AATTAACGAGGTGACGGTCACGACCAAGGATTGGTGAAATCAAGAGTAAAAGAAACCTAAATGGAACAATCTCTGATCAAATTGAAATTCAAGAAATTGAATACTCTGGCAAAAATCCCTACTAGAGCAAGTCTGCTGAGTGCAGGAGCTGACCTTTACAGTATGGAGGAAACAATAGTCCCACCTCGTGGTAAGCAACTAATAGGGACAGGATTACAAGTACAAATCCCACCCAACTGCTATGGCAGGATCGCCCCAAGGTCTGGTATGGCCTGGAATCATCATATTGACGTTGGAGCAGGAGTAGTAGACCCGGACTATACAGGAGAGGTGAAAGTTCTCCTTTTCAATCATGGAGTGGATGGATACATGGTGAAAAGAGGTGATAGAATTGCGCAACTAATATGTGAAATGGTAACTCATCCAATCATTGAGGAAATACAGGATGACCTTGAACGCAAGGAAGGCCGAGGAGATCACGGGTTCGGATCATCCGGGAAATAAGTGGATCTCAATAATAATTAATGAAAAATTGAAATATAATGAATAAAAGAAGATCTTCCGACAGGAATATCTCCCTAAGAGAAAAGATAAATCTATTTTTGATTTACTATAAGAATAAAAATGGAAAATCTTTGTGTTTTCCTTACTCATAATAAAAGAATGATCTCACTCGAATGGGAATAGTTCAATGAATTCTCAGAAAAAAGGAAAAATTGACTCATAAGATGATGAATCTCTAGAGACATATGAAATGAACCATGTATATCATGGGAAAAAACTAAAAGTAAAAAAGAACAAAAATAGTGAGTATATATCTAGTGCATTCAACATTAGAATCTCATATAGAGTACTAATCTAGTAAGATAACTCACCAACAGATATAATTAATAAAATTATCTAAGTATTCTCTACAAAAAATATTTTTCTTTTTAATCCAGTGACAGGATTATAAGATAATTCTTGACCATTCAACAAAACAAAGATTTAAAACAATGGAACGAAGGACCGGATTAACTAAAGGCTTTAAAATACTGGTCTCAGGACGCGGATATCAGAAAGGATGTGTCCCAAGGATATTAAGTGAAACAAATAAAAACTTTGGAAACCTCAGATACATGTCAATGAACAAAGATCATACACTGCTGGTAATGGAGAAAGAAGAAGATCGGGAAAAAACAGTGGAAATCCTAAAAGAATATGGGAATCTGGATGTGGAAATAGTTATGTAAAGATATAAATTAAGAAGAAATGGGTCCATAATAAAAATAGATAAAAATAGGTAAACCCAAAATTACGAAATATCTTTATAAATCATGAAAAATCTATGCGATAATAAAATTAAAAATTGTTCTCTAAATTAAAAGATTACTTGATCTTATCTCGGGAATACAAATAAAAAATTAGAAGAAAAAGATATCAATATTAAGGGGACTGATAACCTCTAGAGGGTGTAAAACAAAAAAGGGGAAACAAACTAATGAAGTAACAAATCCTGGAAGGGACATAAGATAAACTATGAACAACAGATAAGAGATAAAAAATCAGATAAAAAAGACATATAAAAGAAGTCCAATAGAATATTAACTACAAAAGTCTAATCACACTTACCAGTAACTATACCATCAGAAACATCTTACAATAAAACAAACAGTACTGCCAACAGTTTCCTAAAAGTATCTACAACATTATAGTATCTACATTAGTGATTTCAACTAAACAATAAAACTTATCTCTGTGTATAACTGAACTACTCTCTCATCAACGATAAAGAGACAATGGAACAAAGAAATATGGTGTCCAAAACAACGATAGAACCAGTCGAAAGTAGTAGTGACTTACCAGACACTACACATCAAACAAAGGCTCATTCAAAGAAAATCAAGAAAGTCAATCCAGTACAATCGATACCGAGAGATCCTGAACAACTGGACATGGAGGAAGATACGATTGGTCCTGCACCTCAACAAGAGGTAGATCAAGAGTTATGTCAAGAAGGGCTGAAACAAATACAGATTCAGTTCTGCCAAAAAGTACCAAAAGCTGAACAAGTAGAAGAATTAGATCGGTTCCTGGAAGAAACTCTTCAGGCAAACACAAACGAAGACATCAGGAGAGTGGTGAACAATACATCAAAGGAGGTAATAAAAGAACACCAAAATACAATTATTCAAGTAATCTGGAAAAACCCGGTCTCTGGAAGGGAATACAATCCTGAATTGATAAAAGACATTAACAAACTAATGGAGGTAATGGAATGGGGCTTTGGAACTCCACCAGGAGTAAATATTAATTCAGCAGATGATTTTATCATCATGGAAAGTGAGAAATCAATGCAAATTAAAGTTCAAATGTCACATATCAAAGAAATAGAGAACTTTCTGTCAGAGGTGTTTGAAGACAATGAAATAAGCGAACTGGCACTCGAAGCAATTGATGTGCAAAGAAAAAAGGAGATAAGCGACTGGATTCAGGAAATCGTGGACAGAAAAGAAGTCCCAGACCATATGACATCAAAGATAGAGAAATTGAGAAAGTTAAATGGATGGACACAACCTGGTAAAGATGAGGAGATAAAGAAAACTGATATACAGAAAGTAGAAAACTTTATCAAAGCAGTATTCAAAAGCAATAGAACTGCCAAGATTCAAGAGGAAATCTTTAAATACAAAGATGAGACAATTAAAGAAATCAAGAGAATCACATTGGAGCTACTACACTCGAGCCAGACAGATACCAACCTATCATCAAATACGAAACTAATAAAAGACATAACCAAATTGGCAAAAGCAGCAAAGTGGTCAATTGAAAAGAAAGAAAAAGAACCAAAGAAAAAAGGGAAAAAGGACCTGAAGAAAAAAGATGTCGAGGATGACCTCAATAAAATAAGAGAAATACAAGAAGATGAAATCCCAAATTTTGAATTCTCAACAAACAATTCTCAAGATATTATTTCTGATCAAGAACAGACTTCAGAAGAACAGGTAGATGTAAGGATGGAGATAGCTGAACTTCAATCTGCAAAAAGAAAGAATGAAATGGACAATCAAATGATGATAAATCCCAAAGATACAAAGAAAAGAAAGGTGGATGAAATAGTTCCAAAGAAAGGGGACGGAGATAAGAAAGAAAAATTTTGCATTGAGGTATCCAAGTTCTCAAGAAAAGAAGATAAAATCATCAACAATCATATTAAACCTTGGAACTACGAGACCCCAAAAGGATTTGGGATATTTATCAAAGGAAAGGGATATCAGAAAGGCTGTGTAGAAAAGATCCTGAATGAGACAGAAGAAGAATTTGGCGCCATCAAGAATATATTTTCAGATAGAGCCTACACACTGGTGGTAATGAAAAAAGAACAAGACCGGGAAAAAATGATGGAAATCCTGAAAGAAAATCAAGAACTAGAAGTTGAATCTGCTAAATACAGATTTCCACAAATAAAATTTTCTGTCCATGAAAGTATGTTGAATCAAGGAGTAGAAACACTAATAGAAGAAGTGAAAAAGTGGAATGGACTAAAGAAGTTTAAAAAGGAAAAACTGAAATTAGCATCAATACATCCGATCAGTAACACGAAATTTGTGATCCTGGTATTGGAAGTACATCCACATATCAGGAACTACATCCTGGACACTCTAGATGGAGAAATAAGAGTACGAAACAAGAGCTTCACAATTAGTGATCACTTCGAGATTCGAAAGTGTAGAAAGTGTGGGTCCATAAAACATGGATGGTGTGTCAATGAAAAACATTGTTTAAACTGTGCAAAAGTCCACAATAAGGATATAAACTGTACACATCCAAGGAAATGTTTAACATGCAAAGGTGGACATAAAACCTTTACATTGGAATGCCCGCTATACAAAAGAGAAATAGAAAATCGAATGGATTTTGTAGATACAACCTATCACTCACTAATGATGGATAGAAACTTCTGAGGAAAGTGCAATTCCAGTGATCAATCTAACAGACAATCATTTATCCTTAACTACTCATCCTCATTTCATTTCCCTACAAACTAACAGAATCTAAAATGGAAGGAAATTCATTTTAACCCGTTTTTGCACATTTTTCTTGTAGTTTTGTGTCAATTTTTGCATCAATCTGATCATTGTGTTATTTGTGCCTTTTTAGTAACAAACCATCTATTTCAGAGTTATTCAAGTTTTCTGTTTTTAAGTGATGAATTTATGTTCAATTTTATTTCATGCATTTACTAATTTCCAAGATATGCAAAATTCAAAACCAAAAAAGGATGAAATTAAACAGGGCAGAACTTTACTGATAAAACCTCCTCAATCGCTGCATTGGGAAACATTACATCGGTTTACCTTCTATGGACTCTGGCCTCACCATACAATCCATACTACATCATGTATGCAATCAAAAAACCAATAATCTATTTCGATTCAGTCACTCTAAGCATTTTCACACTTGTTCCTAACGTGTGAGTATAATATAATCGATCGATTGAAGACTATTATGATTGTTTTGTTAATACAAGTTATCATAATTAATTGTTAAATTTTCACTATTTTAGTGCTTCTCTATGTAAAGGTCACATTTTTCGGCCAGAAACTTTTCCAATCGGAATTGAACATATGATTGAAGCTACTTTCAATTTTGACCATGACAGAAGTGTATGGAAGTATTACGGAGAAAACTCAAATATCTCTGTAAAAGATGCTTGTTGCTGAATGTCCAGCAACTATTCATGACTTTTAATCAGTCTAAACAGCTTACATTTGAATTTGGGTCTAAAGTTAAACCAGTTTTTCAGGTTCAGGGTTGCCAGGAGGACTATTGTAATCTATTGACAGGAGTTTTCGATAAATATTGTAAATAAAGATTCAGTTCAACGAATAGACATATATTTAGCATCGTTTGTAATCCATTTAATGGTTTATTTAACTAATTTAAGCAATAATTGATAGATTATGATTAAAGATAAAACACAAAACATAAAATGTTTTTCACACCCGATAAGAGAAGGCGCCACTAGTCTGTCTGTCAAGTTTGAAAATAAGAGATTCTTTCTTTGTTATTTTCTACTGTTTTCCTCGGTTATAATTTTAACCTCATTTTTTGTAATGTTTGATCCATTTAGTTAATATAAATAACTACGGTTATCTAATTTAAAAGTTATCAATTTATTTATTCAAAGACTTCTTTTTGGTTATTTATTATCCCTTTTACTGAAAAATGCCTCCTAAAACTCGTTTTCAAGAAGGTGAAAGAATACTATGTTTCCATGGACCTTTGTTGTATGAAGCAAAATGCCTTAAGGTTGCTCCAGCTAAATCTGGTGTTTTCAAATATTTCGTCCACTATCAAGGTTGGAATAAAAGCTGGGACGAATGGGTACCCGAGAGTCGTGTTTTAAAGTACAATGAAACCAATGTTGCGAAACAAAAGGAGCTCCAAGAAAGTTATAAATACGTGTACCCTGCATCTAATGCTGCCAAGACCAAGAGTAAGAGTAAAGGTAAGAAAGGATTGCAAGAACCATCTCAAAACAACCCGACTGACAAAGGAACTAAGCAAAAATTAGTTGCCGAGGTTAAGGAGACTACTAAAGAGGGTAGCAAAAGTAAACGTCCCAAAGTTGAAGCTCATGTTGAAGGTGAAGACTGTTATGCTAATAAATTGGAGATACGGATTAAAATGCCTGACGAGTTGAAGCCATTACTCATGGACGATTGGGATTTGATCACAAGACAGAAAAAACTATGTAAGCTTCCTGCTAATGTTTCTGTTAACCAGATTTTGGACCATTACATTGGTTTGAAAAAAAACAACAAGTTAACAGTGGCAAAGGAAAATGCTCTCATCGAAGTTACTAATGGATTCAAGGAATATTTCAATGTTATGTTAGGCAGTCAGCTATTGTACAAATTTGAAAGACCTCAATATCAACAATTTCTTCATGAAAATCCTGGAAAAGAGTTATCATCCCATTATGGATTTATTCATTTATTGCGATTATTTGGTAAGAATCTTGAACATTTTGCTTTTTAAATGATAAAATTTTCTAATCCATTCTATTTATCTCCAATTTAGCTCGACTCGGAGGCATATTAATTTATACATCTTTAGATGAAAAAGAAATGCAGCTTTTATTATCACATATTCATGATTTCTTGAAGTAAGTTTTCATATTAAATACATGTTGCTGATAACTAACAATAATTGTTGATCTTTTTACACAGATTTATGGCTAAAAGTACCGGTTATTATAGCTCTGCTGACTATGATTTTGCACCACCAGAATACCACAAAAAAGCTGTACAATGAGACAAATCGTTATCCAATCTAATTATCAACTCACTCGACCAGCCACCATTAAGATCTTTCTAAATTAGCATTGAAATGATCCATCGATAAATAATTTATTAACGCCATCAAAGTTAGAATCTGTATATAATATGTTTTATAATTATTATGACTTACTATCTTTTGTTGATACTCCATCTAACACTAACCATTTATACTAGTCATTATTCATCTTTCCAAACTTGTTTACGAATGAATGGTGAATAACTTTCATTCAATAAAAGCAAATATTGTTAATATCTGATAATCCCAAAAATTTATTGAAAATTTAAGTGTTAATTGTTTGGTTATTCATATACAAAGGAACTAAACAAAAATTAGTTGCCGAGGTTAAGGAGACTACTAAAGAGGCTAGCAAAAATAAACGTCCCAAAGTTGAAGCTCATGCTGAAGGTGAAGACTGTTATGCTCTATGGAAATACGGATTAAAATGGAGCATTATTTTTCGATGATTTCATTCAATATTTCCAAGTAATTTTTCAGATCGAAACTCAATCCGAATCTTGACCTGGGCTGGACTGGAGCTGGTGTTGTTGTGGTTGTTATTGCCGAAAGCATTTGATCCCTCATTCTTGTTACAGTTTTGTTCATTTCTTGTAAGATTCCACAATTGTAATTTGTCTTCTTACATTCTTGAGGCTGCAATAAACTGTGAATAAAAACCTTTTCGCGTCTTGTCAAGAATTGATTCCTGTCCAATTGGGTTGAATTACTCCAAACTTTCGAAGCCAGGAATTTCACCAAAGGAGCATTTTCACTTGTGATGCGACCAATTTCACAAGCAAACTCTTCATCACAATTTGAACCATTCAGACCAAATTCATCAAAAATCAAATCCAATATTTTAAAACGGGAGAGATTGTGAACACTTGAATTGTAACCAGATCCATTGATGAACCGATTGTACTGTAAGGCCATGTCTTTCGCTCCAGATTGCAGTGTAATTAAACTTCCAATAATTGAGATGATAAAAGTGACTGAAGGAACAACCAGAGCGTTGAAAGTCGGTGTTACTAAACTGATGAACTCCGGAGCTGAAGCTCTGGCAACACTGAATAAAACATTATTGTAAATAGACATGTTTATGTCGGTAGTGAAACTAGAAATGACAAAACTCAATTCGTTTCTTATGTCTTTTATGATCAATCAGTTAAGCTTCTTAAAATTTTAAAGCGCTTATGGCTTTCAGTTTCAGATTAATTTTGAATTTGGCCTTCTTACTTCTGCGTGTTATTATTTTGTCGGTTGGTAAGATAAAAATTCATTGGAAATTTTTGTCTTTATTTATTCATTTTTCATTCAAGTTTGTATCATGAATTTTTAGGCAACTTTTTATATTTGATTCGCTTATGATCTCCCTTATTTTGCGTCTTATTTTTCATCTTTGCTGCAATATTTTTTCCCGAGATGCGAAAAATGCAAAAGACTGTATAAACAAAATATACAAAAAATGTTGACGCAAACATCGATCCGATAGGACTTCGAACATCGAAATAACCAAGTGGAGGTGTAACTACCAAACTCAAAGCACCCAAAATTATTTTATGTCTAACACATGCAAATTTGGCAGTATCATTGGCTTGAAGTTTATATATTCTGATGGTTTTGTCTGACTGTTTCATATGGTATCTGATGAATTGTCGTTGACTCTTGGTTATCTTGATACACACCTGGTTACACTTGTACCAACGAACCCTGCCTTTTTCTTTGGGATCAGTGGCATTGATCATTGGACATTGCATTTCAATGTTATACCCTTCAGGTTCCTCGATATAACTGGCAATATTGAGAGCATTTGGATCAATTTCGAATTTTTTGCTTTTTTTAACCTTAAAGTTTACTGAAAAATTTTTAGACAAATCAATTGGTTTCACGTCAATAGGCAATGAACATAATTCAGGCACACAAATTGATTCATTTAAACAAGTCGGCCTGTTCGAATAGTAAACTTCATCCCGCAAAATCTCACATGAATGAAATGATGTAAAATAACGTTTTTCCAATGTGTTTGTTCTAGAATAAACAGAGAAACAATTTTCCATGAAAAGAAGACGTATCTTGGAATGGAGACAATTCACTTACCCAAAATGCTCTGTTCTTATAACGAAATATCCTTGAACACAAGAATTTCTTTCTACCAGAATTCCTGTCTTGTCGATTGGATCTTTAAGACTAAAACAAGGAGTGCAATCCTGCTCTAAAGATGGCACATAAAATTGGGTTGATTCAACACCTTCATGGCGTTTAATATGGAGGGAGCGATTTTGCTTCGCTTTGAAATGATTCAAAAAATTGGGTGGCATGAGATTCTTATTAGATGTAGGGATTAGGGTTAAATTTTCGGGACACCCAGTGTCTGGTCCAATAAGTTCACCATCAACAAAAATTTCCACTTGAACATGTTTGTCATATTTCCTACTGAACAAACCGTCCTTTGGTTTACAACTGTAAATACCAACAGCGTCTGGACCGAAACGATACATTTGTAACTCATTACACGATCCTGTAGCATAGATTGTCTTATTGGTTTTCGTTAAATCGATTTTTTTACGTATTTTAACTTTTTTATCTTTGCTTTCAACTTGAAAGAGCGGCCTGAAAAACCATTCAAAATGCTTCTTTAAACTTATCTTGAATTCATCTTTTGTTTGGTTTGTAATTAAACAAGAAATAGATGAATTATCACCATATGTAATCATTTTTACAGCCATTAACTTTTTCGGATCATAGTGTCTGAATGTAAACATAGAGTCAATAAAAATATCCGTAGTACATCTTTGACCAAGATTGCTGTGGATGAAAATAAATGAAAATAATATCAAACCAATCATTGTCTAAATAGGAATCTATTTAAACTCGGCATTTCATTTTATGGTGGATATGATGATTTATCTAATGAGTTAATCAAGAGAGATTAATTAGTAAGGCTCTACGATTCAAAAAGGGGCAGTGGATGGTCAAAATACAAGATCACAATAACACAGTGTTTCAAGTTAATAGATATTTTTGATCGCCAGAAAATATTTTCTTATTCTTATTCTTATCCCGAGTCAGTTGGGTAATAAATTTTTCAATTCCTGGTTTCTTTACTTGTCGCCGTTTTGAGAGATTGTGCTGATAACTGAGTAAATAGTGAATTAAGATGTTGATTTATTGTACACATTGAACAACTCGTTGATTTAATTCAATAAAATTTCAGATTTGATTAACAATTTACCTGGACTTACTTTGCAGTGCCATCTGTGAAAATCTTCAAGATTTGAAAGAATCGATTGCTATAACAACTGACTTGTCATAATAAACACTATTTCCTAAACAAAAGTGTTTTTTATTACTTGATTATTTAGACTCTAATCATATTGCTCATTGATGTTTTATTTAAATTGTAAAGTTATGATACTGTGTTACTCTTGATATAATTTACTAGCTCTATTGGACAGAAATAACATGGCTATCAGGTAATGTAAAATTTTCTTTCAATTTTCCATTAACCTTTTCACGATGACAATCAAGTCATGTTTCATTGTTTTTATTAATAAGAGCTATCAATGATAGATTCATTTTACACTTAACAACTAATACATTCTGTTTTTCTCTATGTGTGTGTTTCCTAATGATACTGGACAATTTTAATATAAATGCGGTGTGCTCAGAAAGGCAATTTTTGCTTGGTAATCATTCAAAACCTTGATAACCATGAGTTCCTTGGTGGATCAAAAAAACCTAGATCTCTGTTTAGGTAAGTTTATACATTTCTAGAAATATCTATTGGAAAATTATACGATTTTGCATTTATTTTGGAGCATCTTTAGTGTTCTGCTCTATTAATCTATTTTAAAATCTGATTTTTCTTGACTTTGCAGCTCAAGCAGCTAACCCTCTTGATGAAGAGGTAAACGAGGAAGTGATCAGTCAATTAGTGCATTTGATGAAAGATGATAAAGAGAAAATCGGAGTTGTTTTGAGATTCTTTGGACACAAAGTTCAATCTCCTCAGGAACTCGAGGCGATGAAAGCTTTGAATGTCCTACAAAGCTTGGTGAAACGATCTGATAAAAAGTTCATTGAAGAAGTTGGAAAATTTCGATTCCTCAATGAAATGATAAAAGTCATCTCTCCTAAAGTTCGGTATCTTTTCTATGTTAATAGAATTTCTTTTTCTAATTTGATATTTTCTTTCCGAAACAGTATCTTGCTCAACGATCCCCTGAACGAGTCAAAAGAAAAATCATTGAATTACTTTATCTTTGGAGTATAGAGCACAAACATGAACCCAAAATATTCGAGGCATATCAAATGTTAAAGAGACAAGGAATAATTACTTCAGATCCTAGCCATCTATTACCTGTAAGTTTTCTATTCCATCAATATGATAAAATGTTGACTAAAATTTTTAATTAATGACTTATTTTCACACAGAATACGAGACCGAGTCCTCCGCCTCCTCCAAGACCTAAGGATGAAATTTGGGACAATGCAGAAAATGCAATCATGTTAAAACGATTGATACAAAGTGGCCAACCAGAAGATCGAGTAGCAGCTAACAAGTTGATAAAAATGTTGGCACAACAGGCAGATAAAAAAACTGTAATTAAAGCCAAATGTCAAGCAGAATTGGAATTAGCTCGCAACAATGCTCGACTGTTTGCCGAAGTTTTGGCTAATTTAACTTCATCTAATCGCGAAAATTTCACAGAAAAAGATCTTCTCGATGAGCTTTATGATAGTTGCAAAAAATTGCGTCCCAAGTTATTTAAATTGGCAGGTGAAATGCCTGAATCTGAGCCCCTTTTTGAGGAAACTCTCAAAGTGAACGACGAGTTAACTAAAGTGATCAATGAATATGATGCTGCAATGCAATTAGTGCCTCAATCAAATGGGAATAACAATCCAATCGATTCGCAAATGAACAACTCTTGTAATCTTCTTTTGGAGACTTCATCAACTAGTGCTAACTTATTGGATATAAGTACACCAACGCATGAAACTGCATCCTCTTTTATTATGAATGGTGATGCATCCATAATGGTTCCTGATTCAACAGATATCTCTTTTTCTGGTGATGACAGTCTACTTAGAGACCATGAAACTGGCAAGGATAATCTCGAAAATTCCATTTCTGCACCTGCACCAGTTGCCACAAACAGTCAAAATATTTCCGAATTGTTCGAGATGTTTCCAAAAAATGAAACACGAGGTGTTGTAGATGCACATGTAAATTATCTGAAAGATATATTGGTTCCGTGTATGCCAAAACCACCCAATACACTTATTTCTTCTTTAATATCTTCGTCTTCTGCATCGATTTCGAATAATGAAGCCAATAAATCGCCTAAAAGATCATCATCATGTCTTGATGAATTGGAAAATCTTATGAGATTGACTTTAAATGCTGGCCCTAAACAAGATCCCTCCAGTGATTCAAACATTCCACTTAATACTTTGCGACAAATGGTAAATCCTTCAATTCCTAGCAAACAAAATATTCCTTCCGAGCCACTAAGTGAGCTGGTTGAACTGAATTCTGATAACTCAGAGAACCTGGTATCTTCATCTTCATCTGTATCTGATGTTTCCCCTCAATCAATTGCTGATATTTTTATCCCATTGGAGTCAGTTGAACCTGATAATAGGCCACCTATCGTACTAGTCAATGAAAATGAAATCAAGTCAATCTTAAACTTTGGTGCTAATCAACCTCGTTATGATGTTTCTGTTGCTGTTCTAACTACGACTAATCTTTCTAAGAAAAGCATTTGCAAGATATTTTTCAATATTACTAGTTCTAAGGTAAGCAAGTTGATTATTTGATCAAATGTTCAGTATTGTTTTCATAAAATTTAAATTAACATTTTTTTATTTGTTTTCATCCTTATCTAGGGGATACGATTCAAGTATCAAGCACCTTCAGCAACTGTTTTATCACCTTCAAATCCCTTTTTACCTCCACCAGCAATCACCCAAGTCATTATTTTTGCTAAAACATCGCCAGATAGATTGGAAAAGTGTTATTTCCGTCTTGAATATTCCATCGGAACTGAAAATTTTGTCAAAACAGGAGAAGTTAATATCTGAGCATTTGGATTATAGCGATCTTAATTTAATCACTGTTTATCACTGATTCATCAACTTTTAATTATCAGTGATAATTCAAGTCAATGGCATGCCCTCAACTCAAATTTGCTTTTATTTTTACCTAATCAATTCAAATTTTTATTCAAAAGTAAGCTACATGGTATCGTGTTGTTTAGTTATTGGCTTTTATTGTAATTTAATTTTTATTAAACAAATAATTTTAACTTCACCGAGTAATCTAAAGTCAATTTAAATAATGCTAATTTAAATCTTATAGACCAAAAACTGACAACTCAGCAAGAATTTCAGATGAAATCTAATGGAAATTTTCTCAGCTTTTCAGATAATGAACTAACCATTACGAAAACTTTTGACCTCAATCTGTGAAGATATTGAATTTGAATGGGTGTTTCTTATGAGATATTCCAAGATCAAATAAACAAAAAATATTGGAATAATGAGTTCTAATGTCTTGATGAATAGAATCATAGATGGTTGTCGGAGTTCCACCTTGATTATCCTTAGAGAGAGCTTAATCGGATCTCTCAGGTTAACAATAAATAGACCTTAAAATTTGTTTTGTTGTTTCTTTTATTTGCACTCTTTAGGTTTGAATCTTTGTTGAGGGCTGATCTTCCTATTGAATTCAGGTTATCCTTTGGTTATACCAAGACCCAATTATATATTAAAGAACAAAAGAGTAACAATTCATAAAAAGAAAGATTGAGCCAATTTGAAACGATTTGTAACAAAAATTAGACTTTTTTTCAAAAAAATTATTTTTTTCTTAGTTCTTCAAATATCAGCTTGGTGGCACTCTCGTGACAGTTTGAAAATCTGATCAAACACGTACAGACTCAGTTGCTTATAAAATTTTTGTTGTCATTTCGGATGATGATGTAAATGAATCGTTTCTTTTTTATAAATTGTTTTACAAATTGTGTTTTAATTTCAAAATCTTATTTTGTTGATTAATAATGGCTGAAAGACGGAGCCGTAGAAAAAGAAGAGAAGTAAGTTGATAAATTTATAGACTTTCATCTTTGTTGTCTCCTGTTTTGGTCAGTGTTGAAAAAAAGCAAACAATGTTTAATTTCAATTACATGAAACAAAATAACCAATATGTTTCGGTGACGTGTTGGCTTTCAATGGATGCAATTTGTTTGGTTTAATTTCTTGATTGTTCAAGTTTTGTGATTTTATTTTTTGTTGGACTATGTTTATAATGTGTTTGCTAATATTTCAACATTTGTGTTATTCTTTTAGGCTGATGAAGCTGTTGAAGATGATATTTCTCAAAAACGTGAATTAGAGATTGCCAAGTATTTAAGAAGTAAAGTACCAACTAAAAAGACCACCCTTTTGGGCCATAAGGTGGATTATTTCATTGGTAAGTCAACTTGAACTTTGAATTTGGACAAAAATATACTAACTCAAATTTTATATTACCTTTTAGCTTCCAAAGCGATCGATTGTCTTCTAGACTCAAAGTGGGCAACAAATGAAAAAGGAGAAGAACCTTTGTTTACCACTAGAGAATCTGTTGTAGAATACATGCAAAGAATGCTTGTCCATCAATATTTCCACAGAGCACAGCCAATACCTGTTCGTAAGAAAGATACAAAGCGAACTGAAGGTACTTTGAAACATATTTTTCTCATATGTATGAGTTTTATTGTAACTATTTTTTATTTAATTTTTTCATAGATCCAACCGAGAGTTCAGCTGCCGAAGATACTCGCGATAAAAAGAAGGACAGAGTGAAAAAGGATAAAAAGGATAAAGCAGATAAAGAAACAGAGAAGGAAAAGAATAAATCGAGGGAAAGTAGCAAAGAAGAAAAAGTTGAAAAAGACGACAAGAAGGATACTGAAAAGGACAACAAAGACAAGAAAGATGAGAAGGAACCTAAAGAAAATAAAGTGAAAAAAGAAGGAAAGGATGGCGAGCGAAAAAAAGAAAAACCGAGATTTAAACTTGATATGCATTTAGAACAAGTTTTTGTTGATGGAAATAATGTGAGTACTAGATTATCTTACATCTTGTTAGTGATTTATTGGATTTCTTGCTGCACTTTGAGCTTTTTCTTGTTAAATATTGTGAAATATTTCGTAATCATGCTATGTTTAATTTAATGATTTCCATCAACGGAAACATTTAATACATTCTTGCAGCGACTTTTTTGTGTTATAAATGTGTTATTTATCGCAAATTTTTCTGTTTTTTAATCATTAAATAGCCATATGTTTGGATTTATGAGCCAACTCCCGTTCAGTCATGGGTTATTGGAATACTAGTTTTGATAGCAGCTACCGCTATATGTTTGTTCCCATTGTGGCCTAGGTATCTTCGTAATTTTGTGTATTACTTAAGTATAGCTGGCGCAGGATTTTTGCTTTTCGTCTTCTCACTTGTGATACGTAAGTTTAACTTTATTAAGTAAAATATTTCGTTCTGTCATTTTTCATTTTCTAATTGTCTCTTTTCTGTCAATTTACTGCAGTCCGATTCGTTATTTTTGTTATAATCTGGTTATTAACCTTCGGAAAACATAATTTCTGGATCCTCCCGAATCTCACGGAAGATGTTGGTGTCTTAGAATCTTTTTGGCCATTATATCAATATGAATACAAAGGAGGTAAAAAGAACGAAAAAGATGATGATTCTAAAGAGGAGGATGGAGGTGATAAAAAGGATAAGAAGAAGCAGAAGAAACAAAAGAGTGAAGATGAACAGAGTGATGAAGGTCAAAAAGTTAAAGAAGAAAAAAACGGAAGTAATCAAACTGATGATGATGACGAGGAAACAGAAGAAGTGGAAGAAGAAGAAGAGCAAAGTGAGAAAGGAACTGAAGAAGAAGAAGGTGACAACAAAAGTGGTGAAAATGCTCCATTACTGGAGGATGAAGATGCATCGTCTAACCCAATAAAATCAAACAATGGAGACGCCGACAATGGCTTTGAAATACTTGACGTTCAAGAATCAAGTGAAACTTCTTGATAATCTTAGCCCAAGTTTGTTTCATCCGTAGTGATAAAACTGTTCATTTTGATGAATAATTTTCAGGGTATCATCCTTACATTATTTTCACAGTCAACAGTTAGACAACATTTTTGTAATAAAAAATTGACATTTGATAATGACAATAAGCTTGATTTTTTTGAAGTCGTAATGAAAGATTTATAAATCCAGTAAAGCAGATGAAAGGTTGAAATCTCATAAAATTATTATTTTAGATCCGTCACAACAAAAAGACAAATTTAACTAATCGCTCAAGCATCAAATTAAATAACCTGAAAAAAGATGCTTATACTCAAAAGAAAGAAATAAAGAAATGGATTTAATGCTCCAATTTAAAGTCCACTCAAAGTCCATTCAAGCAACATCCATCTTTAGTCAACTCTTGGTCACATTTTCACCCACACAAATTGCTTCGTCAATCATCTACATGTAAACATTTAACACCAAATCGATTCCAATCAACTTCAATCAAACTCCATTATTTCTTAAAACATTTGCGTTCCTTCAGTTCAATGATCATCCAGTCTGTTAATACAAACTTTCACCCCAATTTTTGTTGTTGAAATCAAAACCATTTATTGTAATGAAACTAATGTGTAAAGATTTGCGTAAAAACAGAAGAGAAAAGTCCTGTTAATAATTATGATAACGACAACATATTGATAATGATATTTAATGATAATTGTTGAATGGATGATTACTTCTTGGTGTTGACTCCAACTTTAATCATATAACTCAATTTGATACTTTTTTGTTTTGTTCTGCTTTTCCCTTACCTTCCACAATCATTATAATGGATGTGATGATGAACAAAAATGATTGTTAAAAGAAACACACAAAAAATGAAATTATTTTTACGGAACTTTAAATTGTTTCGAATCATTTAATATTAGTTTTAATCATAAACTAACTCTCATTACCCAAAATCAAATCATTGACGTATAATTTTCAGCTTTCAACTCGGTATCAAGTCTGCGACCATAATTAGTTATGTATATTGTTGAATGGTAATTGTTATTGTCATTGGCAGCAAGAAGCCAATCATCAATTAATTGAGTTTAAACCATCATTCCGGTGATTCCTGGCATAAGCTCGAAGTACTTTCTTCAAATTTTTTATCACAACACTTGTATATTCAGGTTCTGTTGTTTAAATAGTAAAAATAAGACAATTACGTGACAAAATTGTTCACTAAAATCAACCAATTGAGCTCACCTTCTTTATCATCTTGAAGCTCTTTGAACATACTTTCGTCTTCGTCTTTGAACTGGTTATCTGGATTGTTAAGGTTCATTTCTTGGTCATCTTTAATCAAACCATCACTTCCTATGGTTGCTTCAGATTGACCATAAATGGCTTGAAGTATTGAAGCCTGAAAATCAATCTTAAATTCAACTAAAGCTTATCCAAAATTTTCATATTTACCTTCGAGAGTGGCTCCGATCGTCGACCCATTCGAGGGATAGATTTAGATGTTTTGGTGAAAAATTGTCCATTGATTAATGGTATGGAAATAACAATTACAAGTAAGAAAGAGAGTAAAAAACACGAATTGCCTGTAAATTGAAAAAAATCAACTGATTATATAAAGACTGAAACATTGACTTGATGCACAGGTTTACCTTTCCTACACAATGTCATTGTTAAACTTTACGCTTTGTGTTTTGTTCAGGATTCAATAGACTCAAAGCTCAGGATAAAGGCACAAAAATTAATTACTTCATCAACCTATTTGATATCAATCATAGTTTTGTGAAAAACTTGATTTGATTCCAATTAATTTGATTACACTTTCTAATGATTCACTTTTGTTCCTGGTTCAATGTTCATGCGTTTTTTGGGCTTTTGTAGGTTTTTTACCAATTGAATTAATTACGTATTCAAGTGACTTGATGAGAAGACATTTAAATCAAAGGATTGATCTTTGAAGGGAATAAAATCAATAATATTAATGGCGAATGAAATGTCTAATCGTTAGATAATCAGTTCATTAAAATGGTTAACATCAGTCATTAAGGCTTACATTTTGTTTTATGTTTGGACAGAAGTGAAAGACTTAAATGTGACTCTCGTAAGGGATTTGTCTGTATAATTGTTTCCAATTAACATGTAATGATCCGAACAAATTAAGAGTCTCATATTTTGCTAACAAATAACAATTAATCATCAACAGATAGCTCATGATCTCGAATAACTAATTAGATAACCTCAAATGTCTTGCTGTGGTTCAAGCCATGTGTTACTTGTTGCATGCTAATTGTAAAATGGAAACAAAATGAAAGCTAACAATTAAAGAGTGTAAATATTGTTCTTTGGCCTTTAATTGTTCACCTTATCATAAAGCAATTTAAATGCAATTTAATTAGACGAGACTCTCAACGCATAACAGCTAAATCTATGAAACTTGCCTCTTAACTGAAATTTTGTTTCTATCATTTGTTTAGGCAATTACAGGCTATTGATCAATTGATTAGCCTGATCTAAAATCATCTTAACTATGGTATTGACCAATTTCATGTTAAGGTCAGGTCAAGGATATATTAAAATATATCTGGACAAAGATAGCAAGGTTAACTAAATTGTGATAAACATAATTCGGAAATACTAATAACCAATGATAATACCAAAGTTGAAAATTTTACTGTTTTGCTAACATATGCTTTTAATGATCAGGATTTAATGATACATAAAAAGGTAATCACATCTGATTAGACGTTGATACTTACCAGTTAATTTCATAATTATTATGTCCTGGATGGACTTCAATATTGTTCTGTTGATTATTTTTGGAGATTTGTTTCAATTTGGTAAAGAAATCAATGGGAATTTGGTTGAATTGGTTGTCGTTTAATTGTTATAATATAAATACAATAATGACGATAAATATTGAACAGTTGAGGTGGTTTGTGACACAAATTAACAATATATCAATAATCACAATGAGTTTACTTGTAGTGGTTAAAATTTGAATAAGATTTCGTTACAACAATGAAAATAATACTGTAATTTGTTTTAATAATAATACTTGTTTCTTAAAAATGATGAAGATTTAATGTTTGTAAAGTGATCTATTAGTAGCTGACAAATTGTGTTTATATAAGCTAACTTATTCCGATTGGAAATGTAAGCTCACATTTGACTGTTTCAATGGAAGGTTAAAATTAAGAAAGAATCCATTGTAAGATAATTTTCACTCCCAACGTTATTCCAATCATTGTTATCATCATTGACATTTTCTTCTTCTTTTCTTCTTGTCTAGAAGCTTGTTTTCATCTTCACTTGATTCAGTTTCATTATGATTATACGGGTTCATAAGGGTTGATATAAGTAGCTTTTGGGTTGTTACCAGAAAAGTCAGGAAAAAAAACAAAGTTGAATTTATAAGAGGCTTTTAACTCGGTTCCAACATTTTACGCGATCTTTTGTATTTCAACGAAGCTGATTTAATCCTTTCGAAGATTAATTTCAAATGAAAAGTTAAAGTTGAAAAGTTATTGTCAACGATTAATTGTGATGATAGCATCAACCTTTTTGTTAACCAATTAACAAATAAGTCTACGGTGATCTGGAGTAGGATAATACGCATTGCAGGGTTTAATAGAAAGGTTAAGTCTTGTAATCATTCATCCAAAATGCTCATTTTACGAGTAAATTAAAAGATAATCTTTTACTGAAATCCAGGCTAGATCAGTAATCGATTCTTTTCATGGTATAAGATAGAGATAATAAGGTTACCATAAATTAATTTAACTTATCGAAATATGAATTCTTTAAACTGATTAATATGAGCGATCCTCCAGAGCTGAGCATATTTTGGTAAAGGCTTGACACATCGAGACTGCATCCAAATAACCTGTTAATTGAGAAAATAAAGAAAACAAAATGTTAAAATACAAATTAATCGTCGAGAGACTTGATTAATTGACTATTTAGCAAGTATACTTTTTTACCCGCAGACTCATGTCAAATTGAATTGATGGCTGACGGACTACAAATGGGTCCAGTAACCTTTTCAGATTTTTTACTTGAAGGATAGCAAATTAATTTATGAAATAAGGGATGTCTATTGTAACAATTTAGGGTAGAAAGGGAAAAATTTTGAACTTGGTTAGTCTTATAGAGAGAATCAGCAGTTTAGACAATTTGAACCTATTACTAACTCTATGTAAGCAGTACATATGTATTACCATCTACAGTCCATTCAAAATAAGAAGAATACTTTTTTTGATAAGAAAAAAATCTGATAAGATAAGAAAAACCAATTGAAAAATGTGAAAAATGAGAGCTAAAATCAAATATTATTTAATTTATTTATTTTATTTTCAAAAACACAATAAAAGCAATGGAAGTACCTTTTTGTGCTTCCATCTATCATTTTTCACCCTTAACCCTTTATCTTATCAAAAAAAGTATTCTTCTTATTTTGAATGGACTGTATCTTCATGCAAGGGAACAAATCTATACAAGTAATCAACAGGCAGAAGGGCAACAAATTGTTACTTTTTGTTACATGTGATTGTAAATTGTGATCTTTATAGTTAAGATATATCGTAGACTAATTAATCTTGTGATTTTGATGGTCACAGATTGTAACAGTTGAATTATAAAGCTAATGGGTAAGTTAGATAACAAGTTATTCCAAGTTTTTTTAGCAGCACTCACCTTTCTCCATCATTGAAGACCGTTTACCAAATATGCTTCCATTAAGCGGTGGTTTCCTGCCGTAACATGGTTTGACTATGGTTGACAAGGCTATTAATGTCACCATGAAGTAGATTAAGAACATTTCTCTGGTAAGCATTTTGATAATTTTAATAGTCGACTGATTTTTACCAAAAATTTAACTGGTATTTTCCTCTTTTGCTTCTAGTTGCAATATTTTCGGATGACCACGGAGATTGTTTGGTGTTCACAGTGATTTGTTGAACTCGTTGTTAAATTTATCGCAACTTCGATTGTTGGGTGATGGTGATCAATTTATCAACAGTTATCTTCAACTTTATGCAAAAAAACAAACAAAATAATGAATGGTTTAGCGTATTGATGGCGTTTTTATCTCAACGATATATTTTGCAAATCAAACTGGACTTAGTGGACACTTGATTACAAATTCATACTGAATAAAAGCCAAGCCAATTAATAGCCTTTTATATCTTGATCATGCCTCCCACAGATAATACCTAGGAGGATAAATTAAAGAAAAAAGACAGAGGAAAAAGGGAGTCAGAGATTCAAGATGAAAAAAGAGGAGGATGGTGATGAGATGAGGTATCAAGATGAAGCTGATAATAAGCATCATTTTTATAGAGGATGATCATTTCTGGAGTTAATTTTTATTAACAAGAAATTCTATCCTCGACGGTATTTCCTTACTGATTAATTTTAACCAATAAAACCAAGATAACCGCAAATTTGGCTATCCAGGCAATGTAACAACCAAAGTTAAGATGAATGGACGATGATCACAAATGAAGAACAATAGGAGAAGACAATAATTGATTTATTTTACATTATGTTGATTAAGTTGGGAAGGATACCGAGGTTATGGCTACTTATTTGATTAGTCTACGCCATTTTGAAAAAACATGCATTGGTTTAGTCTCAGTGTCAATCTTTTCATCAAATATATCTTCAACATAATTGTTTTGGGCTTCTCATCCTTGATCAGCTATTTGGATTCCATCTTGATTTAATCAACAATATATCAACTCAATTAATAACTCTTTCCATGGATCAGCTCATATTCATTTATCTCCTTTTTTCATGCCATTCTGCAACCTTTAAATCAACTATCGAGGACAACCGAATAGGGATTTGCTATGGTCAAGTTTGTTCAATAAGAGTTACTATGGAGGCTATAATGGCGATGAGATGCATCACGTAGCAAAGGATACTTTGATATTTTACAAAATTTTATTCAATGTTCTCGACCTGTCTTTTTTCATCATTCATTTACGTTATTTTTTCAAAGCTAGCGGTGATCGACCTTTGATTATATTCACATTGTGGAGTTGCCGAGGAATCTCACGTTTTCATTTCTTTCTTCTCATTCGGTTCTCCTTGGTATTTAATTGCTTGACCAATTCACAAATTAATTCATTGATCTAATCATTGTGATGTCACATTTCAATGTTAAACTTTAAAGATTGTCTTTTCCTTGCCAACTTCATTTTATTCGCATTCAAAGATAATGATGATAAAGTTCGGACAACACATTCACTTTTCTTTACTGACTGATTAACATTCAGACTGTTTCAAATAACGCTTTTGTACATTACTGGATTTAGTAATTGCTTGTGCAATGGAAAAGATTTGATAAAATCTAATGAATCATTTCAAGGTTGAATAAATATCCACCAAGCTTATTTAAAGTTCATTTTCCATTTTAATACTCCATTGGTAGTAAACGTAGCAAATTTCAAAATCAGTTCAGTTAGATTATACTTTTAATAAATTAACGGTGATTCAATATCAAGAAGGCTATTGAGAAGATAATCACCAATAACATGTTTTAGTAGATATAAAAATTGAATTTCTAAGTAATAATGGAGGAGTTTTTGTTTTGATCGTATCCTTTTAATGGTCTAATTTATCCATAAGGCCCTCTAGCTTTTCAATCAATTGTCTTATCTCAGATTTGTCCATTTCTATCGATGATATTTCTTCTTGGTCAGAAAGTGATTCAAAACCTTTGGAAACCGATTTGACAAGTGAAAGGTCTAAGTTGATCAAAGATTCATTGATCTCAGAGAGTAAATTAGATGCAAGAACCATTTTAACCTGCCAATCAAAATCTTTCATCACTGTTAATGGTGAGGGTAATGATATTATAGATGAGGGCGATGAAATTATCTTATCAATAAGACCAGTTTTGATTTCTGCTCTCCTCATCTCAATTGCTTCGTGTACTGACTTTTTTACCTCCTCCGGTAGATCACCTGTAAACTGTAAAAATATATGTTAAAATTGATATCTACATGTCTGAATAGAAATACTTACTTTGAATGTTTGGCCATGTTTGAAGTCAACACTGTGAACAATCAACTGGCTAATGGTTGACACAAAGGAATTGAATTTTTCTACATCAGGCCAGTGATCTGGAACATATAACTCTTCCGTTGGACCATCTCTACCGCAATGTTGATCGATAAGCTCATGGACAACCTATGTTAACCATTTATAATGAGCAAGTATGAAGAATATTTATTCTTTCAAAATGTCAAATAATATTTTATACACAAAATTAACAAACCTTACCTTTGAGATTATCTCAATCGATGGAGATCTCATATTCTTGGTTTGGCAATCAGATGGTAAGAAATCAGATGTTTATGCTGTAAACAAAAGCCTAGAGAAGGCAAATCATTCGGTTGAGTTTTAACAAGTGTTTGTTTTTTTTCGTCTACGCACAATCAGATCCACCTATCACGGTACCAAAACGGTGATTAACTAAAACACCACAGGTAACATTATCACAGTGATTTGTATTCAACTAAACGAAGGATTATGGAAGGACCCAAACATTCATTTGCAGATCTATGAAGATGACAACCAGAAAAGAGGCAACCTATGTTTACCAAAGGAGCTGTTATGATATGGTATCTGTTGATTTCTCTGGGTTCTCTATTTTTAATTAACCAGTGGCTACCGATTATTAGCGATAAAGATGGTTTCTCAAGTGGCTCTAGGAAAACAGCTGAAAACCAGGCAGACAGTGAGTCCAAGTTAACCTGTGATGATCTAAACGAAATAACTAAAATTGCTGTTATTGGTGAAGGAGCTGTGAAAGTAGTGTGGCTTGCTAAATGGAAACACCAATTAATTGCGCTGTCAGAATTGAAGGACACTAATTATCAAGATGATTTTAACCACAATCGAGCCATGCTTATAAAGCTAGCTGACTCTAACAAGGTTGTCAAGCTACTTGGAACTTGCAATGATACATTTATTATTACTCAATTTCATCCTCTGGGCAATCCGTTAAACCTTCCTTTTTGGACTCAGTTTTGGCCTAACAAAATTCTCAATGGTACTCTAGATTGTCTCAAGTTGTGCCTTCATTACGTTGATTTGATCAATTTTTTCCACACACATCCTTCTGGTCCATTGGTAATGTGTGACTCGAACAGCTTAGAAAAATTACTTTCACAATTTCTACTTTCTCTGGATGATGTAAAGACAGATACAGAACCAACCGATTCATTGACCAGTGGGTTAAGGCTTGTTGCCAATGATCTTGATGCTTTACCATCAGCTAAGAGCAGCGGAATCAAATGTGGGCCCAGGCAGATTTTTGGCACCTTTGCTGCTCCTGAACAACATTGGCCGTATCAGGATAGACCATTCAATGATAGTCAGATGCCAGTATATAATGAAAAGATTGACATTTGGAAAATTCCGGACGTTTGTGCTTGGTTCCTCAAATTCTCATCAGATTCTGAGTTTTTGCTTGCTCGACTAAAGCCTATCCACATTCAATGTAAGCAAATGGATCCTTCTGTGAGGCCAACTGCTGCGAAAGTTCATCAGTCATATATGGAATTATATTCCGAACTGTTGATGGAAATGGAATCCAACTATGCAAGAAAATGATCTCAAGTCTATTTTCATCAGATTTATTCTCTGTTAAATGTGTACCTTAAGTGCTGATTACTAATTTAAATTACAATTACCATGTAAACAAGAGCTGCTATTTTTCTGTTAACTCAATCTGAATCTGAAATTTTACTGTAAATACTGTTTGTTTTGTATGTTTATCATTTTTCATACCATTATTTTTTTAATTATCAACATTCATTTAATAAACTTTATTGAGGTTGAGACGATCATGGTTGTGAATGTAATTTCATTGCACAATTCAACGGAAAGTAATTACGATAATTTTACAGCCATTAATTCAATTATTATATTTCATCAATAGATGCCGAGTGTAACTGAAGCACAACTGAAGTAGTATTAAAATAGTAAAACTGTCCTAATTACTCTGATTAATTGAGTACTATTGTGAATGGACTATCTGAATTGATTTGTGATTTGTCATGATATCGACTGTTGGAGTAAAAACTATGGCTGATGGATTGAAAAGTTCAAGCAACTTCATCTGTCACTTTAATTGAGAAAATCTTTGGTAATTTTATCATTCAAGGTTGATCCAAATTCATTGATGAATTTCAGAGCTGAGATTGAGCTTCTCGGAATAAAAAATGACAAGGAAAGTAACAAGCAATTTGATTAAAAGTAAAAGGAATTTAATAATACAATTTATTTGGTTTATTACAATCAAAAAGGTTCAAGGTAAACAAATTTACTTTGAAAGTGTTAATTTACAAAGAATTGATAAAACTAGCTAACTTTTACTCAAGCCTATTAACACACACATTTAAAAACAATCAAATTAGTTGATAGACAGTAAAATTGGACGCATATTTAAAGTCGAAGTAATATTAAAGACACAATCAAACTGACGATGCTGATGAAGCTGGGTATCAAGCTTGATGATCCATTGCACTCAGGGCCAGTACAGAAACAGATTTTTTGAGTGGTTCCATGACCAGGAGCGTTGAAACAACCTGGAGTTCCGAGGAATCCACAGCTTCGAACAACTCGTTCCTCTGGCTCCTTGTTACCTGGAAAAAGTTAAGATTACAAAGGTAATTCATTAATGTGTGTCAGAGCGAAGAGATATTTTCAAGCATTCAATTACAAAGCGATATTTATCAATTATTGGAATGACTCGTTTATTGAGTCGCTAATTCTCACTGATTTTGAGCTAGTAATAATGGAATATGCAAGGTTAATTGACCAATTAAGGTGTCGTTCGCATAATCATTATACTAGAACTTGACTAACTTTGTACTCAATGAATTGATCTAAATTGAAACATAGTAACAATTTTATGATTTGTCATCCCTAATAACTGTTAACAAGGTTTGATGAGAATAGATTCAGGCTAAATAATAATCGGTTGATTTTACTTACCATCGATATCATAGTCGAGAGTGAAGACAGTTTTATAGCAACCAGTGTATCGAATTGATTTATTTAATGGATGATCTGAATGATCAGCTCGCCATTGATCACAGCTTTTGACGAATTTTTTTGGATTAGTGATACATTCTTGACCAGCAGCACCCATTCGACGGATCTCTTGCTCAGTTAATCCTTCTTTTGAGATTGAATTACAAATTGAACAGGATACAGGTTGAGTATCGATAACATTTTTACCAGCGTCCGACATCACTGACATGTAATTGTTTTCTTTTTTGGCAGTAATTCGGTCATTGGGTTGAGCTAAAATGACTGCAATGAGTAGATTAATTAGAATTAATATTTTCCATACTTAATCCATATTTTAGGGAAATTAAAGAAAATGAACTAAATTCAACAAAATTCAAAAAAAGCTGTTCATTTGGTTAAGAAAGAGACCAACAGATGAAAGATACTGATTGTAAACAGAAGACATTTGATTGAAAATACTCTGATTCACAATCACAAGATAACTTTCCCTCTCTTTTTTTGTAGCTCACTTCATATGTGTTCATAGTGAGCTTTGTTTTTATCCTATCCAAAGGAAACGTGTTTAATTAACTTTGACTATTCTTCTGGTGTTAATTATAACAATTGATTATAATGTGTATTTAAATTTAACCTAATCAGGTTAAGAGTGAAATAATAAAAGTAAAGGTTTTCAAACTTACCAGCAGTTATGGAGCAAATGACTAGTGTTGTGAAAATGGCTGATTGACTGATGGTGGTCATATTGGCAATCTTCAAGGAAAAGTAACAGTAAAGGTGGTAATTATTGAATACTGAATCAGTTGTTGTTTTATGCTGATTCTTGTTGAGACATTAATGAGACAACTGAATTCAGTCTTATCTAGGTAAGAAAATATCTTACTTTTATTGGTGTTTTTATACTGATGAATGTTTTTCAACTCTTTTTTTCAGGAGAAAGCTTAGAAGAAGTAGGATTATCAATGGAAGATTTGGCGTTGGCAATGGTAAATGGACTTTTGGATGGCTTTTATTTGGTCTTTTCAGTAACCGTGAGTGTCCTCTTCTTGCTGAGAGTCAATCAGGTGAAAAGCAGCGATGAAAGATGAAAAAAGAGTAGAACGATGATTGATGGTTGTGTTGACAGAGTGAGAGGATGAGGGAGAAGATAGAAAGTTATTTAGCAATGGAATAGATAATTTACTAGCTAATTATTTACTATTAGGTGAAATTAAAATGTAACTGAATTGTCTAGAAACCTTGGTTAACTTAATTGTGAATGAATCGGCAGGTTTGGTTGATGAAACCTAAATATGGTTGATGGGAGGAGAGTTAATTGCATCATGATAAGGTCTTATCATCTTTCACCATGGTGAATGAGAAAAAGAAAGAATCAACTTGGATGCAACAGAGAAGACAATCTAACCTGAAAAGAAAGATGCTGATGAAGATGCTGAAATTATGGACTTGGAATCTTCTCGAGAATTACAAATTGTCGCCGGAAACGAGATGATATTGATCAAGTGGTGTTATTTGTAATGTCGAGTGGATATTGAGTCGAAAAATTTTTCAGCAATTAGAGATAATTGTTTGTCGGTGTTGAGGTTGATTTAATTGCCTGCCCAATCGCATGTGTAGGACGATTTCCTCTTCTTTATTCATTTTCTTTTCTTTTTTCTTCCATCTTCTTCCGTAAAACAAACTCACAATTGAATCTGCTGAGTCTGGGCATCGAAGAAAAAAAGATCAAGAATAATCAACTGTTCGCTCAATCCAATTGAATAGAATCAAATTTCTGAAAGCGAAATATCATTTACACATTTACTTTACATTAAAGTAATTGTGATCTTCCTAATCGCTCATTTACAGACCCATTGAAACATCAAGTAGGCGATTCACATTCATTTTCCCACCTCATTTAAGTAATAATTGTTTTCATCATAAATTCAGTTCAGAAAGAAAGTCAAACTTAAAGATTGAAACTGAGGATTGTTAAGGCCGTCAAAGGCTCCATTGATCCATTATAAATCAAGAATCACGTCTTTTTTTCATTTAAATCACATTCTCATGTAATTTATTCTTTCTCTTAATCATTCTAGGGAATAATAACGATTTGCTTTGACGAGGAAATTCAATGATCATCTCTGGAAATTGTTTGGAGTCCATTTCATCATCTGATTGCGTTTTCAGTCACATTACACGTTTATCTCGTTTCCAATGCTAAATGACCATTCATTCATACCCGAATCAAACTCTCTGGCCATTTACTTGGTTTGGATTAACAAGATATTGAGTTGACTTTGATAATTTACAAAGTGGATCCATCGTCGATATAAGTTATTGACTTTATCAATGTTTTCCAACACCAGTCGTTCATCTTTGGATAGTTTGACCTTATTCAATATCATTTAGATCTTCATGAACTGTAATTCAAAAATATCATCAACCTCAATGACTTACATTAACACTCTCGTGGAGACATGGACTACATATCAATATCATCTTTCTCATTCATCAATTTTCTACTACATCCACTATTTCCTGTCATTATCATCTAGAAGATAGTATTATTGAGATCTTGAGATCGTTCATTCATTTCTTTTTTTAAGAGAAAACTCAACCTTAATCTATTAACACTTATCTGGCAATATCTTATTCACCATCTACGCAGTGTGTATTTATGTTTAGCATTGTGAATTGAGAAGACGGAATGAGTGCCCCTCTTCATCTTCATAGTTTCTTCTCAATGAAATTGACTCTCTTTGCCACTCAATCTTTTTGGAGTATGGAAATTTCGCAACTTAACATCACCATTGCTGTTCAGTGATTTGTCTATTAAGCTTTTCCATTCTAAATTGCATCGACAATATTTGCTCAATGAGAAGACAAAGGTGATCGGTTAATGCTGAATAACAGGAAATTGTCCCTTCAATCAAAATGATGATCATCCCTACCATCGTCATCATTTGATTGTATCTAACGATCAACATTGGCTATCAATAACGACAAGCACACGAAATGAGAAACGGAAATAAATGATATAATGTTAAGGTGTATTGTACAAGTTGATTGTTTTGTTGGCGACAATGGATCAATATTATTAATGGATTTTGTCTAGTGGTTTGATGCCACTAAATTAGTATTATTCATTAATATCTAGATGATCTTACCTTCTTAAATGTTATAAACATGATAAGTAATCTTGTTTAACAAACTGTTTCAAAGAAGAAGAGTCAATGAAGATCAATTCACCTTTAAAGAACGGAAATACTCAAGTGTTACCCGACCGTAATTTTCAAAGATTAAAACTAATGTTACTTCAAGACACTTTTCTATCACATGAACAAAAAAATTTCATTCATTGTCACATCACTCCAACTTTAATGGTCAATGAATTGCTGATGAAACATGAAAATTTCATAATTCCAAACTAAATAGTCTGAAAGTTGTTAATTTATTTGATTAAATTTTATTCAAGATCTTCAGATTACTTTGAAAGATGAGGTTGGTTGATTTTGATACAACATGCAATTGTGTACATCTGTATCAAAACTGATTCTTGTTACAATGATTCCTTTAATTATTCATTAAATATTCAAGTAAATAGATACAAATCAAGAAAAGATTATCATCAAGAGTGAATTAAATTAATTTAAATTTAGATTGCACAATTTATAACAATTTATAAAAATACGAAATTGAATAAACCGCTTTTTTTGGTAGCTCACTGGTTGAGTCAGCTGATTTTTTTGCTCGTTGAATATACACAACAAACAAGATGAAAGAATTTTACCTTTGATTAACTGTTTTTTTTGTATTTTTCGACACTTTCTCTCAATGATGGTTATCTAGATTTTATAATTACTCCTAGACTATTCATTTTTTAATAGTTTAATCAAACAATCAACTTCTACTATTGTAAACTGAACCATCAATTTGTGGCCTTACCACATCAACAAAACCATATCTCAACTTTTATCACCTATGTTACCTTTACAATCTACATTTAGTTTAATTTATTTGTTTACTTTTGTTCTAATTTTCTTTGTTAGTTTGTATAAACCTTTAAATAATTTATGAATATTTTTATAAACTTCTAAGTTCTAAATTTTAATAAGTGATACCATTATCTACTTAACCATGAGCTTTACTGTTGAAGTGAACGACAGTGAATCCACTAATACTAGTTATCCAAGCAAAACTCAACTGGATGATGCTGATTTCGATGAATTCGATGATTTTCAAGAGGCATCTCCTTTGATTAATGGTGAGACTATCAACATATCTAATAGTCAGCCATTTCCAGTTGATCCAGATAAAACTGATAGCCTAAAAAGTCCGACGTCCTTTTCTAAACCTGTAGACTCTACCCAAAATTTAACGACAAGCTTACCTAGCTTGGATATGATTATTAATCAATCTTTCATCAAGGCTTTTAACGATGAAAATGATAAAGCCAATGAAAGCATTACATCTGATCTTTTCAACGATAAAACATCTCAAAGGTTTGTTATTGTTTCCTTGTTTTATTAACTATCAAACATTCATGTATCTAGTAACAGTAGGTACAGTGAAGTTTGAATCTTTTTGCTTTATTTATGGATTATCGTAAATCATGGAAAAGCTTACAACCACTGTAATTTCCTCTCAAAAGCAATATAATCCATTTAATATATTAATTTGTTTACTTTTTTTCTTTTGATAGCTATAAAATATGGGAAAATTTAACAAATTTGGAAGAATCAACGTCATTTCGCTTAAATTGGGAATCTTCTCATACATTCCAAGTCTTTCTTAGATCTCTTAAAATTGACAACAAAAATATTGTAAGTTATTGTCATAATGATAATTTAATGTTCTAGTTCAATTCAAATCATGAAGTTGATGATGGAGTCAGTTGAAGTGAAAAAAATAGAGTGACCTTGTTTCACCAATTTTTCACTGCTTCAAAAAATCAACCTTCTAAGCTTATGTAGCAATTTTCTTTTACTTTTCAACCCAACCATTAAGAAAAGCACAACTATGAAGATTTTATCTGTTCCACCATTTTACCGTTAGTCAGTTTGGCTGTAGTATAGTATAATTAACTTTTTTACGCCAATTTACGTCAACTTGCCACGATTTCCTCATTTGCAAAAGTTTACTTCTTGCTGACAACTCATTATACATAAAATTATTTGAAGGGATTGACTCATTTTATGTGAAATATCCTAAATTTTAATTGATTTTTTTCTTGTGTTTTCTTTTCTAGATTGATAACTTTTTTGTCAATACATCTGAATCAAGTTCAGAGCCAGAAGAACTCACCATGAGTAAAGTAACATTGGCTGATTCCCAACCTGAGGTGGTCAATACTGTTGAAAATCAAAACTCGTCTCAAATTTCATCGTCATCGCCATCTTCATCGCCGCCGATTACATCAACAACATCGTGCACAATCTCATTGAATTGTGAGCCGCCATCCTTAGTTGAATCAACCAAACTCCCACAAGTGTCACAAAAAGCACAACAAACCTTGAGTGAATCAAACCAAAATCAAAATTCAAGTGCCTCATCAGTACCTAAAGTAAATTTTGATTTGAATACAAGTGGATTAGCTAATCCGTCGGAAGAAATCAATCCTTCTAACAATCTATTGGATGTTACATTTTTCTTAAACAATCCTAACTTTATGCAACCTTGCTCAAGCCCTAAAGCAACTGTTAAAGCCAATGGTAAAACGACTATTTTCCATTTATTCCGAATTTAATTTAAAATATTTGCTCTTTTAACTTATTTTGTCGCTTTTTATTTCGAAACAGAATCTGAATCAGCAACATCACTACAAAACAACGAACTATCAGCCAAGCCTCTTTCCATCATATCGTCGACATCAACTGATCCCTTCCACAATTTGATCTCTCACATGCAAGATGCATCTTCTATGCGATCCACAACCAAATCATCAATTACACCATCTGAAACTAATAAGATTTTCGAAGAATTACCTTTGCTATCTTTCATGCGGACAAAACTTATGATGTTTCCTTTGAGAGATTCAATCAAAGACTGATCATCCAAGAGCATCTATCCAATCAAAAATGACATTGGTATGAATTCAACTAATGATATTTGAGACTGTTTCGAATGTACCTTTCTTCTAATATTACATTTTTCACGCTCAAAAGTTGACCTTTTACATTGTTCAATTTGTTACAATTTTATCACCTTTTCATCGTTACTAGAGCCATCAGAAAGATACATTATTTATAATTAGCTTGTAACTCACCTTGAAATTGATTAATGACAATCAAATACTAAATTTTCACAAAAGTGAAATATCTCTCATTTTGTTGATTGTAACCTTGTAAAAATGTTTATAAATTATTTTACAGTAGCATATGTTTAAATATTACGACAAAATTACTCGTTGAGATTTGATGACAATCAATTTCTAATGCACTTTGGATAAAAATTACCAAAAATGTTAAAAATGATCCGAACCATATCACAGATCAATTTAAATTGTTTAATCTCTACTTATAAATCAGCAATGATTTAATCAAGTCCAGTATTGAAAAATAAAACAATCTTTTCAGTATTGAAAGAAAGATCTGTTGAAAAATTGATGTTTCATATTTATTCAAAAATATCGTCGCATTTTATAATTTTATGAATTGGTTAAGAAATTTTAAGAAAGTAAGTATAAAAAATACTGAACACTCAATGCACAATTAAGTTTAGAATAAATTCGTCTTAATTATATATTTTTATGTATTTCAGTCATCTTCTAAATCATCGGCATCGTCTCCGCTTTCACTAAAAGCACATTCATCGTCCGTTTGATCTTCACAGCCGGAAATATTCATATGAGTATAACGATCGACCAAGGAATGATGGGAACAAGATGAAGAAAAGGAAGAATCAGATGTTTGATAGGCACCTGAAGGACCCGCGGAAGTGGAAGCACCAGCATTTACACCAGAAGGGCCAGCTTCATTCCAATCATCTTGAGTAATACCTGAAGGATCATCAACTGGATAATAGTAACCTCCATACAGTAAGGGTGTAGGAATACGTTGGAGGTTGTTATTGTTTGGATCAGAATCTTCATCAAAATCGTCATCATCATCAAGATCCATTGGTGGGGCACACACTTTTTTCTTCGGCCGTTTTCCTTCTTCTTCATCTTCAAAAGATGACGGAACAAGACCACTCGTGCTTGCTCCGTAATTCACTATACTTGTACATGGTATGTACCCTGAACTTGGACCAGCCACTGGCTCTGGCTCTGGATCACTGCGACCACTTCCACTCTGTCTAGTCACATTGCTACCGTGCCCACTATCGCCAGCGCTGCTACTAGCACCACCAGCACTACCACTAGCACTACCACCAGCAGTACCACTTGCACTGGGACCAGCATTGCCACCATCTCCACCATTACCGTTGCTGTGGCTTCCATTACCTACTCCACTACCATTGCCATAATTGTAGTGATGGCCATTACCATGACCGGCTCCACTACCATTGCCACAACCATTGCCACTACCATAATCATGTTCATCCATGGCGACTTCATCATCATCATCATCGTCAATATCGTCATCACTATCGTCATCGCTATCGTCTTCATCATTTGAAAGCTTAATAATAATTCTGCATGAATCTGCTTCTGGTGAATTTGGAGCTGCATGAACTACATCTTCGTCCATCTCTATTGGTATAGCGTTTTCTCTTTCGGCTTCCATCCTTCGCTGATTTTGAAAGTATCCAATAACAAAGAAATTTATGAGATCAAAGTCAAAACAATAGATTCATTTGATCCAAACAACAATATTTACCTGATTTATACACGTAAGGCACGGTTCGTTATCTAATCCAATTGATGGGTAACAGATAAAGATGTAAAATGGTTAAGATTAAGAGATTATATGAGATTATTGTTTACTACAATTGCTTACCGTCGGGCTGAACCCCTTCATTACCACCTTCTCGTGTCCAAGTGACACGACGTTTAGTTATTCCTGATTTTCGGCTTATATACTGACCTTTGCCTGGAAAAAATGACATAATTGTTATGTCAAGAGTAAAATATGTTTTAAAGTAAAGGAAACCAAGAAAAATGAGTACAAATCAATGGGTAATTTAAAGCAACAACAAAGTCTAGTCAAAGTTAAAATGTCATTTGAGGTAATATGTGAAGAAATTTTTTGTTTGAGATTTAAAAAAAATTGATCCAAGTTTTTAAATCTTACTATCAGGAATTGACCAATTGACAAGCTCACAATTGTTAATGAATCCAACCTACTTTTAAATCAAATTGCTCAGATATTTTACTTTGGATTTCTTGACTAAATTTAAATTTCGCTCAACATTTCTTGATTCTTAGTTCCTTTGATCTATTTGATTATAACGTGCCAATAATAATTCATGTCCAAAGAAAGTCTTTATTCGGCTTGTGTTGAAACAAATAACTGGGTAGATTATAATTTTACCCATTAATCCCGTATTAAAGAGTAATTTAATCTAATTCGTTGAGTATTATATCCATTGAAAATGCAATTAGTAATATTCCAGGTTGAAATGCCTAGAAGCTGGGAAAATTAAGCATTTATGAGCAATTAAAGACAAAACTACAGTTATATACTGCCAATATATTATAAACTATGTACAATGTAATAATTCCTGATGGTTAGTTAATATTTTTAAATGGAATGACTTCAGCATATAAAATTATTTGAACAGTAATCATTCAATAAAAACAATATGGCTCGATTAAAGTGCAAAGAATATTGGTTTTATTCTTTTATTATACAGGAATAATTGTTTTTTCAATAAGTATAACAAAAAGCACATCATGGTCATAATTATTAGGTTGTTCGGAAAGTTTTGATACCCTCAATATATCTGAGTTTCAAATGTTCATTAAATTGTTAAAATCAATCTTATATTTTTGTTTCTTATACCAACAATTGATTAAAACCTCAGCTTTAATTTGAACCTATTTTCATCATAAAAATATTGATTAACAAACTGCAATTTTAATTTAATCAAATCATGATTTTTTTGCATTTGCACAATTAGATTTAATCATTGATTTTGATAGCCAAACAATCGAATACCGAATAAAAATTAACATCAATTCAGAGCTTGCAACCTGATAAATTCATTGAAATTTTTTATATTATTTTAATCATTACCATTCTTTAATTATTCCTAAGAAATCGAAATTCTGTTTAACATTGATTTTCCGTAGATTAGATTTTTTGCATTTCTGACAAAAATTTCAATATTAAAGTCCCATAGAAAATTGTCAAAAAATTGTCTCGACAGTTAATAATTTTTTTAATTGCTTGAATATTGATAACAATTTAAACAAAATTATTATTTTCAATAAATTATTTGAGTTTGGAGCTTTCGATTAATGTTAATTTTTAGGCGATATTTGATCATTTAATCATAAAAATTATTGATTAAATTTAATTGTTGTAAAACGCCGAAAAATGATAAATTGCTTAAATTAGAATTAGAGTGTTTTAATTAATATTTTTGATTGTTAAAAAAGTTTAAATTGAAGCCTAAACTCTAATTCATAGTTGATATGAAAATCAAAGAAATTAAATTAATTCTTACAATTAAACAATCAGTTAAAACTTATAAAATTTCAAAAGTATCAGAACTTTCCGAACAACCTAATAAATGAATTATCCATTAGCAAAATGAAATTACCGCCCAAAGTCAACCTTATAGCAAAGGTCATGAGCAAAGAACATATGTTTGTAAATAAAAAATCATGGGAATGATTAACTTTCCATCATCTCAAAATAATGTTTGTAAATTGTTTAATTACTGTTGCTGATAATGATGATTGATAATTGATTGTCTAGATAATTGTTGATTATAAAGGAAAATGATTTGAGTTGAATCTTCTCCATTGTTTCTCATGCTTGTTATACGTTTAATGTTGTAAAATTTCCATTATGTTATTATTACATTGTGCTACTAACTCTTGCTTTACAGAACTTCATCATTGCATTTTTACCAGAAAAACCGGTAATCAATTCTTTAATTTATACGTTTATACAGTTTCTTAAAGGTAAGAGGATCTTAACAATCGTCACTAGTCTGGTTTAAATGTGTCATCTCGCATGTAGCTATTCAAATAAATAGTTGACAAGCTTGATTAACAATGTCGCCTCTTTAACTCTTCTCACTGATACATTATTTGATATTTTTAATCCTCATTCTACTCTTTCATTTGTTCCCTTGCAGTAATTTGGAGATAATTGGATTTTATCAGCTATATTTATTTCATCATCCATCACCATCATTGTTATTTTCATCCATAACAACTTATTGGTAACCTTATCAAACTGGATACATTAAATTCTATCGATTCAACACAATCTAATTGTCAACTAGGAAGTATCATGTCTAGAACATATTTCCGTGAGCGACGATTAATTGTTGATTTGTTTGTAATCGCTTTGGGAATCAGTTGCTGGGTCTCAATAAATGGGCTATGGATGCAAACACCAATTTTAACGACTCAGTTACCAGAAAAATGGAACCTTGCTTCTTATATTGTGATCATCACACAAATGGCAAACATTGGACCGATTGCCTTTGGATTATTTCGCAAAAAGCTGAAGGTAAGGAAAATTTGCCATCTAAATGAATTCCGATTGATATTGAATCGACTTATTGAACAAATTAATTTACAATCAACTTGAGAGTTGTTAATTTGATGCTACTTGTTTTCAATTGTCTTTATGTTGAGTGTTTTTTCATCACTCCACTATTTATGACTATCTTTATTTGTACACTGTACTTGAAATGTTCACAAGGTTTCATTATCAAAAAGTCTTTAGATTTAATCTACTTGATGATTTTGATGAAGATATTCTCAATTTTCTTTTACTCTAGTCATATGAAGGAATTGTGATCCACCTGACTCTAGCCATTGGAGTCTTTTCCTCAATATTATTAGCTAAATTTTGGAAGAACACTGTGGTAATCGGGACAAAGGAACACAGCCTTCCTTTTCTAGTTTTAACTGGATTCTTGGCTCTAGTCGATTGCACCTCATCAGTTCTTTATTTACCATATATGGCTAATTTCAAATCCAAATATTTGATGTCATTTTTTGTTGGCGAAGGCTTGAGTGGTTTGATTCCGAGCATTGTCTCTCTTTTCCAAGGTAAATTTAATAACCAATAACCTAAAAAATCATGCATGATTTAGTCTTGTCTGAATATCAGTAGTTGATATCGATAGTTGTCAGTTCAAATCATCGCTAATAGCTGTAAAATATAATTCATTTTTTGACATTTTCTCAGCTATCCTTGTAATATATTTTACAGATAATGATTTGCAAAGACATTTCAACCATATTCATATTGTAATTGCTTATCAAGTGCAATCTGATGGTAAATTAGCTAGACAATATGACATTTACTATGAAAACTATAATTTATGTCAAAATTAATTTACAGGATTGTTAACTTTTTTACTTTCTCTTTTCTTGCTCAGGAGTCGGTGGTAATCCAACATGTGAAACAACAACCATAAATGGAACTATTCATCAACATGCAGTTTATCCTGAACCTAAATTTTCTGTGACAATATTCTGTGTCTTCTTAACGATAATAATGATTTTCAGTTGGGTTTCATTCACTATACTCAACTCATCATTCTGTCATTCCGAGTTATCTCGTGAAAAACCAATGAATAAAGAAGGAGATGACAATGAATTGCCAATCATGGGGACAAGAGAAGCATTTAAATTAACCAGAAACAGGATCCGTTACTTACTTTTCCTCCAAGCATTGATTAGTGCTTTAACCAATGGTGTCCTTCCATCACTTCAAAGCTATTCATGTGCTCCATACGGTACCTTAGCTTATAACCTGGCCGTTAAACTTGCTGGATTAGCAAATCCAATCTGTGCTTTTTTAGCCTTCTTCTGGAAATCAAAGATTAACCTAAAGATGATAACTTTATTAACCTGTTTGGGGCTTTGTTTCTCTTCATACACAGCTGTTACTGCTGTTTTAAGTCCATCTCCACCTTTTGTTTCTTCTCCTTTCGGGTCTTTTCTATTAATAATCTCGTGGATCTCATTGACGGGAACCTTTTCATACACTAAGTCATGTATTGCTTCAGTATTTCGTGATTTCTCCAAGCGAGGACAGTTGGCCCTTTTTTGGGTTGGTGTTTTCACTCAAACTGGATCAGCTATTGGCGCTATACTTACTTTTACTTTACTTAACTATACCCATATCTTCAAATCTTATAATCCTTGTTCATAAGAGACCTTGCAGCCCAAATCGATGATTATTCATCAGCTTGACCATTAATACGGACAGAATGGCAATTTTAATATAAAGGCGACCAATTTTATCTCGATCAATCAGATCTCATAATACTAGTGAGTTTGGTCCATAAAAGCACGAGGAGTAAAAATTCATCTCATTACATTACCATCTTTATTATTTGAAAAAATTCAACCCATCAACGAAACGATTATAGACCTTCATGAGCCATTTGCTGAATTACGTCGAGTTAATTGATAATTTGAAATATATCTCTGTCAATCAATTGGTTATACAATCAAAATGCCATTGAATATTGCGTGTGCAAGTCATACTGAAAATTAGTTGTGATTGTCTGGTTAAAGAAATACAATTTTTGACTTTTAAAAGTTGTTAGCATGTATAAAAAGTGATAGTTAACTGTTTGTCCAAGAAGATAATTCATATTCATTGTGCATCGACTTGCTCATTGAATCAACTTTCATCGAGCTCATCAATTATTGAAATAGATGCAATATTTTACTTAACTTTTATATTACAGTTATAACAAATTATATGAATTGTTACTCTTTAAGTGTAAAATAATAAAAACAAGAACAGTTTGTCGTTATTAATAAACTAATTTAAGTTAAATTGAAAGCGGTTTCCGTACCTTTTTATAACTTGTGTCAAACATCCAATATCTTTATTATTACAGTAAATCCACACTTTTTCGATATTTTTGGAGGTACTCCATCTATTACAATTATTGGAATAATTGATACTTTCTCTTATACTTTTCTTTCTAATTTTTCATTTTTATTTGACCAATAAAAAAAAATCGAATCGCTAAAAATATCGATTACCTAATTAATCGAGAATCGCCCATCTCTACAGAAGAGTTGCTTTCCGACTCGCAGGAACGGATAAAGCAACCAGGAAGACATTTAAGCTTCCCATGTTAAGGCATCGCCGCCTTTTACAAAAAGATATACAGTGATCCCTCTCAAAATGCGAGCCTCTCTAAGGAGCGACGTTACCAGGGAACGGTCTATTCATACGGTCGAAAAATAATTTAATTTAACTCAAAAAGATCTAAAATCAAGCATTAAAACAAACATAATTACTAACAAGGAAGTACGCGAGTAAAATTTAATTGTATTTTTATCAAAACCCAATTAGGTTTTATGAGTGTTTAATTGTCTCGAAATCTTTCGGGTAGCAAATTAAAGATTAACGAGAAAAAAGGAATCGAAATTCAATTTTTTACATGTAAAGTATGGTAAAGAGCATACAAAACAAAACGAGTGAAACAAAAAGGCTCATCACAATGGGTTCATATTATTGCTTTCACATTGATCTATGCATAGCGATGAACAGTAAATGGCGCTTCTCGAAGCTTCTGTCCATTTGCTACTCAAAAGACGAACTATATTGTTTGTTAGTAAGACGAATTCAATGACACATCAATCATTGAAATCGGTTCGGATGACTTCGGGTACCTCCCTTGTAAGAAATTCATGGAATTGTGTAAAAACATGTGAAAAGCGAACGAAACAGCGTCTAAACAATTTGCCTTGAAAATAGACAATTACACGAAAGAGTCGCATTTTGAGAGGGATTACTGTACATTACATTGAGATTTAATTACATTCAATAAGATATTAAATTAGTTGATAGATGTGTTAGTATTTTAATTTTTGCTTCTTTGTATAGATCAATTTTTGCATAGTTTCTGGTAATTTTACCAAGATTTAATGAGTGTATGATGGAAGTTCTTACCTTAGGTTACCTATTATGATCAATTTCTGAGCCCATTTTCAATAAAAAATATTCAAATGATTGAATAATTTAAAATAAATCACGAGTTGAAAAAACAATGTCACTTCGTGGGATTAGAGTTTTGGCTATTTTTACATAAGTTCTAGTTGGAATTTTATTTAACAAAAAAAATTAATTTTTAATTTAATTTTATGGTTTTTGATGTTTAATTGGGCAATTAGTATAATATAACCGATTATACTATACGAGTATACCCAATTAAAACCATAATTGAAGTCCTCGCAAAATTTTTTCAATTTAAAAACTAAATTAAACTAAATGGTTTATTTCGTTATCATGACTCTGACATTTTGAGAGTGTCATTATCCGAGGTTTGACAGTATTATTGCATTGACTATCTTATCGAGACTTGATCATTGTTATACAAGTGAATCCATTGAGTTTGACGGCTCTTTTAATTTTTTTGCGCATCTACATAATTCCCATTTATGTGATAGATGATCAAGTGTAATGCCTAATTGTAATCTTATCACATCAATGGGAATTAGATGCGCAAAAAAATTAATAGCGCACAGATAATTTAACCCATTAATTTACCAAACAAATACCAATTGAAAACAGATTGTCAAAGCAAATTAACCAGGTAAACCTTACGATAGATTAAACCCAAAAACCAGACATTCCAATGATTAGGAGTGATCGATCAAGACTAGCCAACAATTTACCATCAACTGCCGTCTTTACCAAGGTTTATCGATTAAAAGGTTATAACCACTAATATCATTTAAATAAGCTTCAAAGGACAAATCTTGTAACACTGAGGTCACAAATAATCATATCATCATTATAACCATAAGCATCTTTATTGGCAAAAATAACTAATACATTGTACATATAATAACCATATACCAATGATTGGAACAGCCAATTGTTCTGGTTCTGGATCACTGCGACCACTTCCACTCTTTGGTAACCTGTTCGGAGACTTTGATGTGGCAAATCTAAGTACCCGTTAAAATATTGAGAATATTTCAACAGTTTTTTGTAGATTTGTAAATAAGAGTATGAAAAATGTCTGGTGAAAATTTGAAATTTCTTGACAGAAGATTCAGTTAGTTATCGAACATGGAACAGCGAAGATCCAGAAAATGTTTTTTCATTTTATATTTCTTTGCATCACAATTCACAAAAAACATGAAAAAACTGAGCGCATTGAAAATGTACCTGATGCGGTCAGGTTTCGTGAAAAACCGAAATTTGGAAAGAAAATGATGTTTAAAGTAGCAATAAGTGAATATGGTCATTCATAGGTTAATGATCAAAATGGGCGAATTGGAAAGGCCAAAAATAGGTCTAAACTATTTGATGAACCATATTTCTGCCGTCAAATGAAAATTTTTGTCTCAGAAGATACCTATTCTTAATAAAACGGTAAAATGTCATGAATTGTAAACGCGAATGTTTGACAGATGAACTGATCTAAAAATTTTATATTTTGTCTGCATATTAGCTCATTTACAGCCTCGCAAAGTTGTCGTCCAACCTTTTTTCCGAACAGGTTAGTAACATTGCTACCGAGCCCACTACCCCCAGCAGTACAATTTGCACTGGCACCAGCATTGCCACCATCTCCACCATTACCATTGCTGTGGCTTCCATTACCTACTCCACTACCATTGGTATAGCGTTTTTTCTTTCGGCTTCCATCCTTCGCTGATTTTGAAAGTATCCAATAACAAAGAAATTAATGAGATCAAATTCCAAATAGAAGATTCATTTGATCCAAACAACAATATTTACCTGATTTATACACGTAAGGCACGGTTCGTTATCTAATCCAATTGATGGGTAACAGATAAAGAGGTAAAATGGTTAAGATTAAGATATTATATGAGGTTATTGTTTACTACAATTGCCTACCTTCTCCTCCTAGTTTAAGCGATAATTGTGAAGTGACCTTTGTTTTCCTCATTCTGGATTTCTCAGATATCAAAGCTACACTATCCAACTATAACATGTTGAATTTTCAGAAAAATTCAACCATTATCTCACGAGATACAAGAAAAAACCAAAAAGTTGCAAACTTTTTCCCCACAGGTTATACTGACCTTTGCCTGAAAAAAATGACATAATTGTTATGTCAAGAGTGAAATATGCTATAAAGTAAAGGAAATTAAGGATACTTTACTTTGGATTTCTTAACTAAATTTGAATTTCGCTCAATATTTCTTGATTCTTGTTTACTTTGATCTGTTTGATTGTAACGTGCCAATAATAATTTATGTCCAAAGAAAGTCTTTGCTCGACTTGTGTTGAAACAAATAACTGGGTAGATCATAATTTTACCCGTTAATCCCGTATTAAAGAGTAATTTAATTCAATGCGTTAAGTACCATATAGGTATTAAAGGGTGTCAGAAATTAAACTAAAAATTATTGGCTTTAGATAATTTTGGTTAAACAAATGAAAACGATTTTTGATGAGATGATTTTCTGCGACATCTTTGAGTGAAAAAATGAAGATCTAAGGGCACTTTTTTAAGAAATCGGCAAAGAAGCCTCAGAAAAGAAGCAATTAACAACTAACAAAACAGTCTACACTCTGAATAAAGATGCTTCTTTAACTCGAGAGCTTTTGTCTTATGAAAATGAGTTTTGGTCATTTGAACGCGGTTTTTTTATGAAAACTCTGACTTAACAGTCAGCGGTTTTACTCTTTTGAATTCTGGTTTTGTTCATATGAAAGTTGGTTCTAAACAAACGAGAATGATTGTATAATGTAATGATTTCAAATGGTATATTCGTTATTAATTCCTGATGGTTAATATTTTTAAATGGAATGACTTTAGCATATAAAATTATTTCAACAGTAATCATCCAATAAAAACAATATAGCTCTATTAAAAGCGTTTTAAATGTTCTCTCTAACGATATATTAATTGTTTTTCCGTTGTTTATTTCTATTAAAATAGTATGGTCGTCAGGATGACTTTCATCATTATATTCACTATGTAAATGTATTGACTTTGGACTTCGGGCATTTCAATGTTTTAAGAGATGGAATCAAGTTACAGTAATCAGTTATTAATAGATCTCAAAGAGACGAAGCTAATGATATATAAATCATTGTTGAAAATCATGTGGTTGATGAGTAACTGATGCCCAAGTTGGAGTCGAAGAATGAAAAAAATGGAAAAATTAAAGGTTAAATGAGATTAATGGTAAATATGCCGTTAAGACTAAATCTGCTGTAGTAAGTGAGGTCTGATTACAATCGTATACCGGGCGTTTTTTCATTTTGCGCACTCATGCAGGCATAATGTTAGTCACATGTACATAACTCATACCATTGGAAAGATAAATGAATTTTGATAAATGCGATTGATTAACGGAATGGTATGGAATCGCTCATATCCTTTAGCCAGTAAGAGTTATGAACATGTAACTAACGTTATCGGGTCGGAAAAATTTTTTAGATTTCAGAAAAGCACCTTGAATAACCTTGAGCGTTTGGACTTATGGTTGTTCAATCTGAATAAGATCATGGTTCACAAAAGCACAACATGATCATAATTCAATGAATCCTTCATTAGCAAAATGAAATTACCGCCCAAAGTCAACCTTATAGCAAAGAACATGTTTTGTAAATGAAAATCAAGTAAATGATTGACTTTCCATCATTTCGAAATAATGTTTGTAAATTATTTAATTACTGTCGCTGATTATGATGATTGATAATTGATTGTCTAGATAATTGTTGATTATAAAGGAAAATGATTTGCGTTGAATCTTCTCCATTGTTTCTTACGCTTGTTATACGTTTAATGTTGTAAAATTGTTATTATTATTACATGACATATTATATAAGGTAAACAAGTAAAGATTATGTTTCGAATTGCTCATCAATTTCCTGTGATTCGAGATGTACTCTAAAAGAATCATTCTCTACTTGTTTACCTCATACATGCATTGTTAATACATTGTGCTACTAACTCTTGCTTTACAGAACTTCACCATTTCATTTTTACCAGAAAAACCGGTAATCAATTCTTTAATACGTTTTTTACAGTATCTTAAAGGCAAGAGGGTCTTAACAATCATCACTAGGCTGGTTAAAATGTGTCATCTAGGGAGTTTCATGTCATATTTCCGTGAGCGACGATTAATTGTTGATTTGTTTGTAATCGCTTTGGGCATCAGTTGCTGGGTCTCAATAAATGGGTTATGGACGCAAACACCAATTTTAACGACTCAGTTACCAGAAAAATGGAACCTTGCTTCTAGTATCGTGATCATCATACAAATGGCAAACATTGGACCAATTGCCTTTGGATTATTTCGCAAAAAGCTGAAGGTAAGGAAAATTTGCCATCTAAATGACTTCCGATTGATATTGAATCGACTTATTGAACAAATTAATTTATAATCAACTTGAGAGTTGTTAATTTGATGCTACTTGTTTTCAATTGTATTTATGTCGAGTGTTTTTTCATCACTCCAATATTTATGACTATCTTTATTTGTACACTGTACTTAAATGTTCACAAATTTTCATTATCAAAAAGTCTTTAGATTTAATCTACTTGATGAAGATATTCTGGATTTTCTTTACTCTAGTCATATGAAGGAATTGTGATCCACCTGACTCTAGCCATTGGAGTCTTTTCCTCAATATTATTAGCTAAATTTTGGAAGACCACTGTACAAATCGGGACAAAGGAACACAGCCTTCCTTTTCTAATTTTAACTGGATTCTTGGCTCTAGTCGATTGCACCTCATCAGTTCTTTATTTACCCTACATGGCTAATTTCAAATCCAAATATTTGATGTCATTTTTTGTTGGCGAAAGCTTGAGTGGTTTAATTCCTAGCATTGTCGCTCTTTTCCAAGGTAAATTTGGAGATCAATAACCTAATAGTTCATGCATGATTTATTTTTGATTTAGACATTTCAAACATATTCATATTGTAATTATTAGAGCGATCCATTGATGGTTACCCTAGCATAGTTAACTTAAGACGGACAAAAACACTTCTAAGTTACTCTCCAGGTCGTGTTTGATCAGGGAAAAAGGTTTAGATAATTTCCAATTAGTTTTTATTAAGTTGTGCGCAAAACAAAAATTTTTGAAAGAGAAATCTTTTGAGTAAAGAATTGAAAATTTTTACAGATTTTTCGACTTTACGCGAGAAATAAAGACTTTTGACTATATATCCATAATCCAGCTGACTTATGCATCTAATCTGAAGTCCAAATGCAGCTAAGTCTTATTTCAAGTCCAAAATCACGAAAAATCTGCAAAAATTGTGATTTCTGAGCTCAAAAATTAATCAACTTAATCAAAACTAATCAGAAATCGTCCAAACATTATTCCCTGATCAAACACGACCTGGAGAGTATCTTAAAAGTGTTTTATGCATCTCAAGTTAAGTTAACTATGCTAGGGTAACCATCAATGAATCGCTCTAATACTAATTGCTTATCAAGTGCAATCTCATGGTAAATTAGCTAGACAATATGACATTTACTATGCAAACTATAATTTATGTCAAAATCAATTCACAGGATTGTTAACTTTTTTACTTTCTCTTTTCTTGCTCAGGGGTCGGTGGTCATCCAACATGTGAAACAACAATCATAAACGGAACTATTCACCGCCATGCAGTTTATCCTGAACCTAAATTTTCTGTGGCAATATTCTGTGTCTTCTTGACGGTAATAATGATTTTCAGTTGGGTTTCATTCACTATACTGAACTCATCATTCTGTCATTCCGAGTTATCTCGTGAAAAACCAATGAATAAAGAAGATGATGACGATCAATCGCCAATCATGGAGACAACGGAAACATTTAAATTAACCAGAAACAGGATCCGTTACTTACTTTTCCTCCAAGCATTGATTAGTGCTTTAACCAATGGTGTCCTTCCATCACTTCAAAGCTATTCATGTGCTCCATACGGTACCTTAGCTTATAGCCTGGCCGTTAAAATTTCTGGATTAGCAAGTCCAATCTGTGCTTTTTTAGCCTTCTTCTGGAAATCAAAGATAAACTTAAAGATGATAACTTCATTTTTCTGTTTGGGGCTTTTTTTCTCTTCATACACAGCTGTTACCGCTGTTTTAAGTCCATCTCCACCTTTTGTTTCTTCTCCTTTCGGGTCTTTCCTATTAATAATCTCGTGGACCGCATTGAAGGGATCCTTTACATACACTAAGGCATGTATTGCTTCAGTATTTCGTGATTTCTCCAAGCGAGGACAGTTGGCCCTTTTTTGGGTTGGTGTTTTCACTCAAACTGGATCAGCTATTGGCGCTATACTTACTTTTACTTTACTTAACTATACCCATATCTTCAAATCTTATAATCCTTGCTCATGAGAGCCCTTGTAGCCCAAATCGATGATTAGCTGATATGATTCCTAAGCATCTACAAAATTTTACCTTGCAAGCTTGACCATTAATACGGACAGAAAGGCAATTTTGGTTAGAGGTTATTTCTGGTTAAAGACATATTTTGGCCTTTTAAAGTTGTCATCGTAAATTAAAAGTGATAGTAACTGTATGTCCAAAAACAGTTTATCGTTATTAATAAACTAATTTAAGTTAAATTAAAAGCGGTTTCCGTTTTTATGTCTACAAGTGGAACCTAGATCATGACTGATCGTAATTTTTTCACTGAATACGGGACTGGCTTTTTTCACCGTATTGTCCAATGCGGTAAAAACGATAGAAAAGTGGTTGATGAAGTGATGGATGTGTTGGAAAAAAGTCAATCCCACTGCGTACAATAAATTCAATCCATATTTAAAGACTCAAATTCTTACAATTTGTTAATGAAAAACCAGCGTCAATGAGAAAAACGTAAAAATGCAATAAAATCTGGTTATGCAGCTGAACAAAATGAAATCTTTTTGTACAGTTAAAGTAACATATTTTTTACTTAACTCTTTACTCGAAAGACAGTTTTACTTATCCTTCTAATCCAACAATAAACCATCAACCTGAATAACCAAAAAGTTTTCCCCCCAAAGTCAATAGTAAAAGATACGGATTCTGCATTTTCCCCCACCCTGTTTAAACGCTAATTTCTCAGTAACCTAAATTCCGAGAGAGTTCGAACTATTTTTTGAGATTGTATTAATAGTTTAATCGTGCCCAGTGGATGTAGGCATACACGCCAGAAGAATGCGCATCAAGAGAATTGGTCAAATAAGGCGCAGCTTTTGCGTTTATTAAAATTTATATGCGCTACACGCTCGATTCAATTTAAATTTCCCAAAAAGATACTCCAACCAAGACCCGACCCATTAATCACTCATTCAACTTGACCAACTCTTTAACCACTGAGCTAGTGGTTAATTTAAAATGATAGTTTTAATTTTTGAAGTGTATTGTAGAAGCTGAAACTGTTACTTTTGTTTAGATGAAAATTTTTGCGTTAAACGCAAAAAGCGCGAAGAGACAATGACAAAAAATATGTACTGCGTGTATAAAGAAAAACGCTTCAATTCGTGCGCTCAATTTTCTTTTATGCGTCTATTTTGATTCGACTGGGTGGCTTTCATCCTGTTTGAAAATTTTCTTTAGAACCCGTTTAGTTTGACCCCAATCTTCCCGCAAAAATTTCATAGTTTGACTTAATATATTGCATATAGATTGTACAGGGTCCGCCACAATACATGTCAGCCTGTATTTTTTGAATAACTTTTTTATTTTTTCGTCAATCAAGCTCATTCTCACAGAAAATAATCTTGAATAAAGGGGAAACAAAGATATGGACCGGTCAAATTTTTCGGGTATCGCAGGTCAAAATTGCGCCTGCGCGAAATGAAGGTACAATTTTCGGGCGTCGTACGGGTTTTTGTTCTATCTTTTTCGACTGTACAGATATTTTTAAGTTTTTTGCACTGTTTTACAAACTTTGTTAGTCACTTGCCAATGTTCTGAAATAATTTTGTCATTGCGTTCTGATAAAAGCAATTTATAGCCGATTGAATAGGACACTTCATCATGCGCGAATTCGAGCAAATTGAAAAATAAAGCATTGATGTGATGGAGCAGTATTATTCTGCTACTCAATAGGTGCCAGGGGCAAGAAAAGCCCTATGGAGTTATTCTGGACTGAAAAATGTGCATAGTATCTCAGAAATCTGTCTATGAAAGCCTCATTGAATAACATTGGGTCTGAAAATGACTTTTTTTTTGCGCAGGTGCCATTTTGACCTGCGATACCCGAAAAATTTGACCGGTCCATATCTTTGTTTCCCCTTTATTCAAGATTATTTTCTGTGAGAATGAGCTTGATTGACGAAAAAATAAAAAAGTTATTCAAAAAATACAGGCTGACATGTTTTGTGGCGGACCCTGTATATAGATATATAGATGTATAGATTGTTGCATCGACTATCTTATTGAGACTTGATCATTGTTATATTTCCATAAATTTGAGTTCATTTGTTCAAAGTCCTCAACTGAATAAATAGCGCACAGATAATTTAACCCATTAATTTACCAAACAAATACCAATTGAAAACAGATTGTCAAACCAAATTAACCAGGTAAACCTTAGATTAAACCCAAAAACCAGACATTCCAATGATTAGGAGTGATCGATCAAGACTAGCCAACAATTTACCATCAACTGCCGTCTTTACCAAGGTTTATCGATTAAAAGGTTATAACCACTAATATCATTTAAATAAGCTTCAAAGAATAAATCCTGTAACACTGAGGTCACAAATAATCATATCATCATTATAACCATAAGGTTATATTATCAACTCCAATCCTAATAGATATTTTTATTTCGCATGTAGATAAATATTTATCATAATATGTATAATAATCGGAAAGGAAAACATTATAGCATCTTTATTGGCAAAAATAACTACATATAATAACCATATACTAATGATAAACAAGCAATATTTGTAGTTATAAATATAATGATATTGAGCCACTTAAAGTAAGCATTTCAGAGTTTCAATCAAATACCAGTATACACAGTGCATGAACATCAATCACCAAAATACAACTCTAGCAATGAAATTAAAATTGATTTAAGGCTTTTTCATAACACAAATAAATCTAAAAACTGAAGCTAATTTCAAGGCAAAAATAATTTAATTACCAGAATCTACATTGAGATGCTCTTGGAATCAGCATTTGGTCAAATAACTTCACTTTTGCTTATTAGTCTCATACAAGTTTCATTATCAATATTGAAATGGATGATTTACTAACCTAATAACCAGTAAAAATGAGTCTTTACCTTGATCTAATAATGTTGAAAAGTGCAGAAGCTCGGGGAAAGGACGAAAAATTTGCTGCAAGAAAAGCTGGGTTTACTGTGTTAACCTTAATTAACCTGAAACTAGTTTTGACTGTGAATTTGTTTTGCCTGTTATTTCATGATATGTGATATTGAATGTCCAATGGAAATATTGGGAACTAGGACAGGAAAGAGAAAGAGTAAAAGGTAATAACATTGATGATAAAATGTGTTAATAAGGTGAACAGCAAAATGGTGTCAACTAATAATGAACCATTGCAATTGTTATCAAATTGTGCCAAACATCCAACCATTGAATGTAAAAATATTACGGATTGAATAGTCACAGTTTTACTAACGAGTTTTACCAATTGAAAAAGGTAACACATTTGGCTTTTGATATTATTGAAACGATCGATAAAAGCTAATACAAAGTTGTTATTATCATTGTCAATGAGGTTTAGTGTGTTATATTTTTACTTTGCATTTCTTGTCTTCGGGCATTCAGTTGGTACATTAATTTATTCACAGTTTCTTAAGCTCTCTATCTGAATGTCAGACTTGATCATCCATAGCTTCAAGGTAATCAAAGTAAATAAACTCATCATCATTGCCATCATTATCATCATCAATATAATCATCATTATAATGGGAAAGACAAGGGAATGAACAGAAAGAAATGGCAATAAAAAAGGTTCACAAACATATGGCAATACCAATGGAGTGAAGATGATAATTTTATTAAACAATAGACTCTATTTAATGTACATTTATTTATCACCTTATTGTATGATTGGACAATCTTCTGGTTGTTTAACCAGTTTTTTCATTATTATGTACAAAATTTCCGGTTCTCATGTTTAGTTGTTGGCTTTGCTTTTCCTGGTCAATCGTTGTTGGCCAATCTGGTTCATTTTCCTGGTAAACACATTTAGGTCTCCTTTTTCAGTTATCCGGTAAACATGATTGTTGATGCTTCTTATTTACAATATAAATTACAATTAACTATTATTTACAAATTTGGGTTAATTTTTGGTCATTTGTGCTTTTAATTGCTTTCTTAAGGTTTGTTAAAAAATTAAACTGAAAGGTTGATCCATTTTGATCCAATTTAATGGTTTAACCGTTAACATGAAGCTTGCCAACAATATCAAATATCCTTTGGTAAAATTAGACCATTTGATCTTTACTTTAATATTACATCTAAATATTGTGTATAAATGGAAAGGTAAGGAAATAAATTACATGTTAATATTGATTGTTTGCATTTGTGTTATTATCAAAGGTCAAAGAGTTGAAATAAAGTTTCAATTTCATTGTTAAACTGAGTAGGAAACAAAAGACGAGAATACGGTTAAACAAGGTTTAGTCTTTCAGGAATTGAGAATGGTTTAGCTTTATCCTTTCCATCCTCATTTATCATTCATTTTACATGGAAAAGGTTCTTTACTTAAGCTGGTTTGACCATTGAAATTACATCTGGTCTCATTGAATAGCAAACTTGCAATTTCTGTTCATTATCACCTAAATTTTCATCCAAAATGTAAACTTCGCTCGACTCAATTATAAAGTGCAATTTCATTTCAATCTTTGAAACTGAATTAGCGTTATCACTGTTTAATCAGATCTTAGTTTAGTCTACGATTAACAGAGCATTAATAACAGGGATGCGAAATGAATGGTGAAAAAAACGAGCAAAGGTTGAATGAAGATTAAGTAGATACAATTTGATTAATTCAATCTCTTTTGCCTTCACTTTTAATATTAACCTCCACATTGAATGAAGGTTTGCAATTTTTGTTGCTTTTTTTCGACTTTACTTTTTTCTATCCAAACGTTGAGCTATTATAATATGATAAATAAAATACGTAAAGTGCTAATTACCTTAATTTCCGTTTGGCTTAACATAATCATTAAGTTAATCAAAGTTATCGTCACAATTAGGCTTGTTTAGAAGTTGAAAGACACAAACAAATTTCCAATGTTACACTGTTTTTGTTCATTTTAGGTTTTGCTTTTGGACCAAAATCCATGATGGATTGTATTGAAAACATGATTAAAACGTGATTGAATTATGTGGTTAATGGTGAAGTTAAATGATCCAGATTGTTGAATTGGAAGAAGAGAGTAAAAAGGTTGAAATTGAATTGAAAATACAAATCAAACCTTCTTTTGGGTAAACCATTTCTGGTTATTTAAAGATGTATTATGTCTTTATGCTGGTTTTGGGTTTAAATTAATGGTAGTTAGATGATGGTCTCTCTGTTTCCCTGAAGATGGAAGACGAGAAAAATGGTTCAAAATGAATCTTGTTTTCCTTTTACAGCTTAAGTTTAATTTAAATGTTGATTTAGATTGTTTTTGAAATTGTTTACCTTTTTCTGGTTGGTAGCACTTGCAAGTGTTGATTGGTATTAACTGTTTTCAGCTATCATTACATGTTGGCCCATCTGATGAGCTAATTATAAAGGATGGATTTGGACGAAGTGGACGATTAAAGCTACGGACAACAGCAATATAAATGATTCGTGTAAAAAGTAGTACAACACAGATCAACATAGTTGCATAAACCGATACCAAAAGGGTTGTCGCAAAGCTAGTCTCAGAGTATAAATCATCGTAAAGGGTTTCACTTGATTCAAGGGTTGAATTATCCTCAATGGATGTCGTCATTGAGCTTAATCACTTTATTCAAATTGTTGTAATTAACCATATCACAATGGTAAAACCAATAAACATGATCACCATTCACAAACAGTCAGTTAACCCAATCTTGAACCAGAAAAATGGGTAAAAATGCAATCCAAATGATAATGTTTAAATAATCCTTGGAAAAGTCAGACAACTGGGTTTCCATGAAACATTTTCACTCCGAATGCTTCTGATGAACAAGATTAAATAAAGAAACATTGAAATTAACAAATTAATCCAACAATATAATCTAATATTAACGCATCTTGAATAGTTAATAACATTTGGTTGTTCAATTTGCAAGGTAAAAAAAGGTTAATTATTTACGGCAGAAGTGCAGGTTAAGAGTAAATTTGATTTATCTTGATTCGTAAGGTTGAATAATTTACTGGTCAAATGGTAGAAACTAGTGTTTGCTTGTAATTAAATTATTCAATTGAATAATTGTCAATGAGTTTCAATGATTAAAATGACTTTTCCTGAAAATGGGTTAACTTGGGTAACCTGCAAGTTGATGGATCAACCCAATTGTAAAAGTAGAAACATTTGGCAAAATGTATTCACAATTTGTTTGCCTTTAACTTCAATTTATGAAAAGGTTCAACTTTAATTGTCATTTAAATGATTGAAATGTTCAACTAATCGATAACCTTTTTACATTAAATAAATCTAAATCATTTTCACTCTAATGAATGGTTTGTCATTGCTATAAATATCGATATTGAAGCAAATGAAAATGGGTTGACATCAATTGAAGAAGAAAATTGATTGTTAAATTGATTGTTGTAAATTACAATGGAGTCACTTATTTATCTAGATAATTGTAAATCAATGGATTGAAAAATGTATGAGTTGTTGGGTTCAAATTTCTCATTTATTATCATGAATAAAAGACATGAACCAAAGCCAAGCCAAGTATTTATTGGGTTAATAAAGCACATTGTTTGGGTAATGAAGAGCAAAAAATTTACAAAAATTACCTGATTTTGCTTCATCAAACTTTATTCGGTTCATGGGATTGTCAGCGGATTGTCAGATTGTTGAACGTTTTGGTCAAATATATTGATTAGTTTGACTGGAAACACAAAAGTTGATGACAAAAATGTTGATTGAACATGGAGACTGAAGGAAAAAATCCAAATTAAATCAAGAGTGAAACAAGATGAAGCAAATGCTGATGATTATGGTGGCAACAAGACATTTAAATTGGATAAATCCTGCAATCCTGATTTTTTGACTAATCCAACACAAAACAATGTTTGGTTCACTTTGGTTAAATTTTAACCAGAAATAATCCTTTCGATTTGATTTTCACTTTGAAAATGCAACAATTTATCATGTTTGCAATGCAAATAACCAGAAGGAAAAATGAAAAGCAGAAACCAAATGAAATGAAAATTTGAATACAAAAATGATAAGAAAATGAAAAATGAAATAAACAGTTAATTAATCACAATTTTGTTTCAATTGAAACCAAAGAAACAAAAGTAGTGAAGGAAAAAGGAAAAGCAAAGAAAGGTTCACTTTCACGTGGTAACCATTAATAACAATGTAAAGGTGTATAATATATATAAATATGTTTGACTTGGTATGTTGTTGGAGTGAACAAGATGATTGTTTATAACAGGCAAGAAAGAAGACAAAAATGTAAAGATGAGAAAAGAAGAAGAAGAAGAAGAAGACAGGATAAAATGATGATGAGGATAAAGTGAGGAATGAGAGACGAGATGAGAAAGTAAAGAGAGAGTGTTGCTATTATTGACTTACCAATGATTTAACTGGGATTTTGCGCTCACCTTTACCTTATAAACTCTGTATGATATTTTCCCTTCTTTCCTCTTCTTTTCCCAATACACAGACTCTCATGAGGGATGCACTGGCATGGTTACGTTTAACGTTACAACTAACCTTCATCATCTTCATCATCATCTTCATCATCATCTTCATCATCATCTTTTCCATCTTCCTCGTCATCTTCACAATTTCATCTCTTTTCTATTAGCTTTTCATTTATTTCTTTTCTTCTCGTTGCCTTTCAATTTTTCGTTTCACTCATCACTTTTGTTTTTTCCTGCTTTTCGCCATCTTCTCCTTCCTTCTTGGTTCATCATGTAACGCTGGAATCCTGATGTCTCTTTATGCGTGTCTTAACCTTTCCTTACTCAATTGGGTACAATCCTGGTTACTTTGTCTCTCCTTCCCTGGGAATCTTTAATTCACTTTTTACCTTTCATCTCTTTACCATTCTCATCTTGCCATACATCTTCATCTTCCTCTCTTCATCTCTTCATCAGTCTGAACTTTCTCTCTCTCTCATGAACCAATGTCTATGAAATAAAAAGACAGTGAAAAATCACTAAAATGGTAAATGCACTGGGAATGAAATAAGAAGAAAGTAAACTCAATTTTTCTGGTGAAAGTTGATCTTATTCCTTGAAAAGTTCAACTCTTGATTACTTTAGCTATTATTGTCTGCTTCACCAAATTAACAAGTTTAAAAATTGTCACTTCCAACTGATTATATTTATTTTGATGTTAAACATTTCAATGCACAGCAAGCAGCCTTATATCAACATTTGCTGTAAATTTCACGATCATTTTCAACCTAAACATTATAATAATGATGATGATTAAAATGATAATGAACTGAATTTGAGTCTGTAAAAGTAATTTGATTAGATTTAAAATAGATATCAACTTTTGACATTTACTCCTAATTCACTCGTAATCACGAAGTCAACTAAATTGTGATTAACTTGATATTTACTCTTTAATCTAGACTCTTTTTTTGTTGTTGTCAACTTTTACTCCAACCATTAACAATTACAATTGAACGACTAACAACATTGTTTAAATTACTTTTTTATACTCTAGTTGACTTATTAAAAACAAGTAATGAAAAAGCAAAGCAAAAATTGAAACTAAATTGGAACCAAAAAACATGAACTTTCATTTAGACAATGTTATCATCACAATAATACTTGTTATTTTCAACAAAAATATTATTGTTCTTTATATTAACTAGAGTCTTCTGTGATCATGACTGATCACAAATTTCATTCATTCCAAAAAATTCAATCCACATTAAAAGAAATTCTAATTCTTAATGAACAAAACCAGAATAAGAAATCCAAAAGTTGAAATCTTTAGCTTTTGTCACTTTGATAATATTCATTTGGAAGGATAAAAGCCTTTCTCTAAGTAAATGTAAAAAATTTTCAATCGAGGTGAGAGTCGAAACTTTTCAGGAGCACAAAACTGATTTCATATTTCGAGTCAAAAATTTCTTTGACGAAATAGAGGGCAAAGTTTAAGCTTTGGTCCTTTTTTGTTTAATCGAAGCGCCAAACTCTTTACTCGAGAGACAATTACACATATATTGATACTTCTAATCCAACGATAAAGATCAACTTGAAAACCCCAAAAGTTTTTCTCACAATGCTACAGAATACGGATTCTGCCGTTTTCCCGTCGTCCTGTTTTTGTGTCTGTCCGTGAATTTATCATTAATTTGAATTCTGATTCCGCTCGCACTATTTTCAGAAGTGTGGTTCGATTATGGCTTTCATTTTGTGTAAAAATTTTCGTTGGAATCTTTTTCGTTTAGTCACAATTCTTAGATGAAAATTTAATGTTTTGACTTTTATTGTATATAGATCATATTCATCATTATTATCAACAGGTTATCAAACAGATTACGTTTCTTTTGTTGCAAGATTGTTTTCCATTTGCAATTTGAGTTCACATTTCATCATGATTTGAGAATTGAATTCATGGAAACTGATAACAGCAATGGCAATCCAATACTCAAGCAGAGTTTTATTCAAGTCATTTGTGAATGTTCATGTAAGTATAAATAATAAGGTAAACCTGAAGGAAGAAAAAAAAACAGGGAATGAGAAATGAGAAATAGAATAATAAAAAAGGGAAAAAACTGGGAGTGAAGAAGAAAATTGTAACTTGAATTTATATAATATTTTTATATATATTTATATAACTGTAACTGACTTAAGATGGTGAAGAAAATATCATTTTGAAGAAAAAGAAGGAAAAATTTTTGCTGAAAAATTTGCAGGCAAATTGGAAGGAAAGGGAATTCTAGGTAGATACTGGGAAGGAACAGGGAAGGAACAAGAAAAGGAAGGATTGAAAAGCATATTTTCTTTTCTCCTTTTATCAGGAATCAGCAGAAAAAAATGAACAATAAGTTTCAAGTCTTTGCTTGTTGATGGTTAAAAGTATTATAACCAAGTAATCTGTAAAAGGCAATGTGCACTTGAAAATGTTGAGCAAATAGTAATAATCATTGTATTATTGAAAGTTTTGTTTCTTTCCTTTGTATTTGTATTGTGTTTTTGTGTTGCTTTTTGTAGTTTCATTTGTTAGACAAAAGTAAGCACAAGAGTAAGCAAATTAGTTTGCAGTTGCGAACAAGATTCACATTTGCCTTTTCCTTGGTGACGTTTGAATACCATGAAACTCAATTAAACCATGGTTATTGGGTTAATAATTGCTCACGAGTGCAACATTTCTGCTGATAAACAATTACATTGAAAGATCTCTGGATGCTGAGCTTGGCTGAGCTTTGAAAAGGTTGGTGAAACATTTCAAGTGTTAACCATTTGAGGTAATTTGAATTGCATCTCAATCATTTTCAATCCTTTTATTGCTGCTCTACATTTTTCAATCTTTCCAAGGAAGGGAATTTCACAGAATTTTTTAAGTTGAAATTCTGAATTGAAATGAGGTTAATTTTGAAGGAAAATCATTTAATCAAATGGGAATCATTCTTGTGCCTTTGACCATCAAAGTGTTTTGATCGTTTACTTGACTGGATTGAATAGCATTCTGTGAATCAATTTATTGAACTCAGTTTTTGACATTTTTCTTGAAACACTCGAATGTCTGGAGAAATCAATTTTCGCCGGTAAACTGTGCAACTTGGAAAAGTCAAAATTCGTTTTCATCTTGAAATTGTGTGTGATTTATATTCAAGTTTCAAGCTTGTCTGAGAAGGTAAAAGAAACTGACAAAATTTATAAAAGCTGACAAGGAAGGAAATTCTGGCAAGTTTCAACTCAAGAATCGATTTGAGATTAAGAGTAACATATAATGCAAGGTGACAAGTTACTTTGTAAAAATGGATGAAAAGAGGAGCAAAAAATTAAACCATTAGAAAGGATTACGGAGTAAAATTGAGAATTGATTGGTGTTGACTTTGATGGCAATTAATTGGGTTGCAAGAGGAAAACTAATTTATTATCATTGTAAAGAGGATTTTGAACGGAGCCATGAAACGGTGAAAAGCACTCAAATAATCAGTTAACTTAATCAAGTGAAAAAATGGTGGATTAAAAAGTCCCAACAGATTCCTTGGATTGAACACGATATAAGCTGGTCTCGACTGAGTTAACCTTTTTATGTTTTGAAAATTGCTCAGACAGCATTTATATCATTATTATTTATAATTGAGTTTGATAATTTATCAAGTTACTCTTAATTGTTGAACAAAAAGTGATTAAAATAATTGCATTTCTTTTCTTTGGACAAACCTCTCAGATCTATTAAAAGTCTCAGCTCTTGGGTTCATTATTGAACCCAAACCAGTGATTAAACTTTATTAGACACAATTAACAGGATTCGTTGGCAACCAGCTTCAATTGTTCCAGATGGACATGAAATGGTCCAGAATCATGGTATTAACAATCAAGGTAAACAGCTTTTCTCCTGGTAACTTCATTTAAACATTAACCCATTGATAGAGCAAAGGCCAATTCTGGTTAAACAAAGACACAAGTAATTTCCATCGGGAAACTGTTTACTCTTGTATATTTAACTGCGACAATTTGGTTGGATCAAGGTGATACAATTGAAAAATGAACTGATAATTAAAGAGGACAACCATTGAACCAGGATTACTGTAATGGCCAAGAATGGTTTACCATGTTAATGGTTTAAATAAGGAAAAGGCTATAAAGATTGATCAGTTTATTTGTTAATGCATTATCTTTCTGGTAATATTTACTTTGATGTCATCTTTTACCATCAACTGGGAGCCAAAAATGATCTCAAACCCGCAAAGGTTTCAAATTGAATACAGAAACGTAAACATGATAATCATTAATGATTATCTATTGATGTACTCCATTTAATATCCTGGTTCTGAGTAAATAGAGACAATTTTCAGTCAACAGGTTAACAATTTTTCTCCTTTTCAATATTTCAATATAAAGACGAACCTTCATTAATTTTCCTCTTCAAGTTATAATTAAATTTATACAAGACTTAATTTAGTTATCATAATAACCAGAAAATAATGTTACATTGTTGGCTTGCTGTGAACTAGGCATTAACTGGGGGTAAATGGGTTCAATTGAATGATAATAATCTAATCTGGTTTGGGTTCAGGAAGCTGTTTATGTTTAGAGTCGGTGATTAGGAATGAATAGTTTGCTGGTTTTATAACAATTAATTAAAGACAATTTATTTGAAGGTGAAAACAAGTTTGAGATTCAACGATAAATCAGGAAAGGTTGGCCATGTAACTGTCAAGTTGAATACAATCTTGATCATTTTGTTATAAAAACACAGCATTTTGTATTGCACTAAAAATTGGGTTTACTTTTTTTTGTCTGCCATTAGATTGTCTTCAAGTTTTAAGTGCTTTCAAATGTTTCGTCTAATTTCAACTTGAAAACTGTTTAAATTGATCACTCGATACTTGGCAACAATCAGGATAATTGGTTGATCAACTTGAATCATAAATATCAATTTGATAACATCCAAAAGTAGACACAAAACTGGAGCAATATTTATTTATTAAAGGTAAACAAAAGGCAAACAACTAAGAAAATTTTCCTCCAACCTTTCAATTTATTTCCTGGTTTTTCTGGCTTCCAAATCAATTTTATCAACAAATTTTCCTTTTCCTTTCCAACATCAAATGCTGAACAAATTGCTGATGGTTGATGGAAGATGTAATAAATTTGTTGAAATGAAAACAAAAGACCAGATTTTTAGGTGAAAACAATATTCTGGTAAACGATATTTTGAGACAATTTTTATTTCTTCATTTTATATTTTTATCTTATAATCCCAGTTTTGGGCTCATTTTTTCACCCATTTTTGCCTTTTCTTCAATCCTGACATTCATTTATTTCACTTACCAGATGAAAAAACAACAACAAAAACAATAGCCTTTCAATGAGGACATAAAGAAGAGATAAAAGCAAAAGGCAATATCGAGTTTGAACAAAGTACTAAAGAAGGCAAACAACAGCTATAACCAAGCAACAGCTCAACATCAAAATTGGTTAAAACCTTCAACTGAAATCCTAAGGTAAGGTTGCAATTTAAGCTGATTATTGGTAAATTGTTGGTTTGAACTTTGCAAAAAATTGACTTTTCTTCCAAATAACAATAAAAACTTTTGACATTAATATGCAATCCATGGCAAAAGGGTTCCACTTGCAATACAAAAAAAAACCAAAGCTGTTGTCGAGTCAACCAGAGTGAGTTACTCTCATTGACTTGAATGTGTGTTTCTGGTTTTTATTTTGCTGCTACCTTCCCAACGGGTTAGTTAAATGGCAAGAATGATAATGTTATAAATCCTAGACAGAAGCAAAAGCTTTTCAAGTGTCAACGTTGTAATGGCTTTTCAATTGTTTATCATATCCACTGAAAATGGAAAATTGAAAGAGTTTCCAAATTTTCCAAAACTGTCAATATACATTGTCATGTCAGTTTGATAATGTTAACTGTTACTGACGTATTTCAGTCCATTTTCATCAAAATGATTGCCTAGTTTGATTGAATAATAATACATTGAGAGCTTGAAAAAAGGGCAAAAAATGCCAGTCAAGATGATGTCCATGTTCATTGTTTATCAAATCACCTGTCAATAATGGACTAATTTTACCTCATTTTTACCTCGTTTACCTTTTTTGCCTTTTTTCATACAAAATTTAGTTTCTAATGTTGTTATTAATAATGCATTTTATATATTTTATCCGACAATATTAACAATTCATGGGAAAACATTTATTATTATTATGCTCGACATGGAACTGAATCTTTTATTTGGTAGTTCATTGAAAGACTGATTATCAATTTATTGATCGGTTGAAATTGAAATTCTTGACTAGTTGGACCCAAACATTTCAAAATTTTCATCTTGAAATTGGTTGAAAGAGGTTGGTAAAGGGTTTGGTTAAAGAAACCAGATTTTGTGGATAAAATGTTTTGAGGTTTTGCTTTTTTAAAATATTCATACAAATATCTTGTATTTTGTTATTGTTTCATGAAGCTTTATCTTTTGATTGGTTCTGGGAATTGTGATTTATTCTGGTTGTTCAATTATTTTCAAGGTGCATCAATATTTCAATCATGGAAAAAAGGTTAAACAGAAAAAGATGAAAATAATGATTACATTGATAATCAATAATAATTGTAATTGTTTCCTTCAATATTTTGCCATTATTTCCAATCATTTATGTTTTGCTCATTCTATTACATCTAAACTGTTATTCATTTAGCATCCAATTGTTCAGTTTTGGCTCTTTTATTCACTCGCTTTTTACATCATCATCATCATCTTAATGATTAACGTCAGTATAATCAACAAGAAAAAGAAAAAGCAATAACAAATGATTTTCACAAAAGAAAAGTACATTTCTTTTTGGTTCGACAAAACATTTAGGCAAAGGTCACTAAGTTTGCTGGCTTTTTTTCAGTGTAAAATTCATGGTTGGTAAACTTTTGAGGATCAATTTTAAGGCAAGATTCATGAGAGTCAAAGGGAAACTGGAGAAGCAGAAGAATGAAAATAATGGAAACAAGCAATGAAAACTGGGAGTGAAAGTGAATGTTCAAGTCAACCCTTGAACCAACAAAATGTACAACATTCTTCTTCTTCTTCTGTATGAAAACTAAAAATAAACATGAACAAATAATCTTCTAATGCTTTCGATAATCATCAAGAGTTTATTGTTTATTTTGCAATATTCATTCATTCACCCTGTTCTCTTGGTTGTGGTTCAAGTAGATAATTATCATGCAATTGAATGCAAGTGCACACTGGATTCAACCATCAACCTTAAATTAGCATCTTGAATGTTGAATACAAATTTCTAACCAAATTATAATTTAACCATTTTTTTACCTCCCAGTAGTGTTGAAGTGTACTTGAAAAAATATCATTAATCTGAAGCATTTAGGCATTTGAGCATATTGTTAGTGTAACAGTTGAACCGAAACAATCACAAGTTAATCATGAATGTTGTCGGTCAGCAATACTATCGGGATTCCAGTTGCAAGTTCAACTTTTTTCAAGGTAACCAAAGATGATTGAATGGATTTGAAAAGGAAAGGACAAAAAGCAAAAGTGAAAAGTAAAATGATAGTAAATATTGTCAAAATGTCCAAATTTGAAACTTTGTGGTTCATTGAAACTCAAGGGACTGTTGGGTCAAGTTTCCTGTTCACAGGGAATCCAGTTTACAAATTTTCTAGATGATAATAGAGATGGTGGTGGTGATGTTGATGATAGCCATCATCATCATCATTATCTTTATTACCTTTTTTCAGCATAAATTGCCACAGGATTGACATGAGGTAAGCTGAAACTTGTTCACTTACGCTCCATTTAACGTCCCAGTTTGCACCTGATAATGATGTCTTCAAGACAGGTAATGATGACAATTTGATTCAATGTCGGGGAAAAAGAGAAATGACTTTGCGTCAACAACAGACAACAAAAGATGACAAATTAATTTAGACACTGATTTAATTGTCAACTGTTGATCAACTTAATCATGCATTTTGAGCAAAATAAAACAAAACAAAAAATTGGAGTCAAGTGAAGTCAGTTCTTTGATCGTTCGAATGGTTGTTTTTACAACTTCATAATCGATAGATTCACTCATTTCAAGACAGTTTTCAATTAATGTAAATGATTTTAATGTTGAACATTTTATGCTGATTAAGCGATAACTTTGTGTCTCTTAATTTGATCCTATTTAGTTGATTATTTTGCTTCCTTTAGTAGCGAAAAGGTTTGTTACCTGAGTTGATTGGACAATGTTAATGATCATTAGATTAGCAAATTAATGCAAAGCGTTGTTCATGAGCTGCTCATGAGCTGCTGTTTACTGTATTTTTGTTTGCTAAGATTTTCTTGTCTTCATTTATTACTTTTGTGCATTCAATGGACGATTATTATAATCGATAACTTTTACTCTTTTCTTCATCTCATCTAATAGATGAACACAGTTTCACCAATCTCATTATTCCTCAGGGTATCATGAAAACAAATCTGGTTCAGTTTGTGCCATGAAATTTTGTTGCAAAGAGCAATTACTATTTCTTTGTATCTTTTCAATGGAATCATTCCAGCTGATTGTTACACCTGTTTAGGTTCATATCTAGAGATTTACTTCAAGTTTGACCTTTAAACTGGAGCATGCACAGCAATTTCATCCATTAATTCAGCCCTGACTCAATTTAATGAGATGAATATGAACAGAAATGAATTCTTCGAATCTAGACTCAAACTGTCATCATTATGACATTTTTTCATTTTTTCATTATTCATTTTCTAAAATACTCTAAAAGTCAAATGAACACAAGATAATGTTTTACTGAAGAATTGAATAATGACCGATAAAGAAAACGCCGATGGACAAGAGATTGAGACCAATCATGTTTGGGTTGTATTTAAGAACCATTTCAATACATCATTTACATTGATTGAGCATAGGATTCAAACAAGAGCTGAAACAAGAGCCAACCGATTCTGAATCAATTGCTAGTCAAATACCAATGATGATTTCAATAATCGACAAATTTTTGGGTTAATTTTGCAAAATGGAAATTTATTTGAAATTTATTTAATAAAACACTTAAAAAATTATTACAAAGTTAGTTGCTTTAAAGTTTCATAACTTTTATTTAGCTTTCTTCAAAAGCAAGAATTGAAAGTAGCTCCATCCGCATGTTTAATTCCGATTGGAATAGTAGTTGGACAAAACTTGCGACTTTCAGATGAAGCAAGACTGTAAAACGATAAAAATCATAAAATTATGTTAATAGGACAAATAATTGAAACAAAATGAAGGGAATAGTCTTCAATCGATTGATGGTACTTACTGTGTGTAGGGATTGAGTGTTGCAGTGCTTAGAGTTACTGAATCGAAGTATATTTTTGGCTTGTTGATTGCGTAGTAGGGATTGTATGGTGAGGCCAGAGTCCATCGAAGGTAAACCGAAGTAATGTTTTGCAATGGAGCGATTGATGAAATTGTTGCAGTATAAATTTTTTCCCTTTTGATCTTAATATCACTGCAAGAAGAATGAAGCAAAATTTGTTACCAATCGATATTAATAAGAAATGAAATAAACTTACTTTGGAGTCAATACAAACTCTTGTGCTGTATTTTTCTTGCTGTTGTCACTGTTAGGACTCGTGATTGAAAGCTTTAGTTTACCGTCATGGCTATCGAACTTTTTAGAGGCCGTTCTAACAGTCACTCCATAGTTGTACACTAAAAAACACAAACAAAAATTGTTATTATTATCAATAATTCGGTGCACTGAGAAAACAATGAGACTTGGACCTTACCTTGAGCAGTTACAGTGATGATACAAATGTTAACTAAAACAAAAGCAAACAATGTTTTTGAATTCATGTTGAGATGGTTTATTGTCGATGATGATGCTTCAGTTAGATTCAAAGTAATACAATGTGTTATGAACAAGATGAATCGCTTTAAATAGTGGCAACTAATCACTAATCCAAGTGTTTCTCCTCCTTACAAGAGGCATCACGTGTTGCACTAACTTTATTTTGCGTTCATTGAGTGTCACTGAAGATATTATTTTTCAATTGCAGAAAGTTGTTGTGCCAGTGATATTAAGCCTGGTAAGTTTGCCGATTCGTACTTAAAGTAAAGCCTAACAAAAGGTTGTAATGCCATCTTTCGAGTTTTAAGATAATGCCTGCTTCTACGATTATGTTATGATTTGTCAAAATAGCAAAAGACAAAAAAGTAAAACGGCTTTTAAAGTTAATCTATTGAAAAGTTTAGTAAGAAAATCGGTTTAAATCAAGTGGCAAGTTAGCTTGCGGCGGTTATTTCGCTAGTAAAGCATTTAATCGCAATCTTTTTAATCGCTTTAAATCTCTCTGACTTGAGCAAAAGGGACCTGGAAGCGGCATCTAATGATGAATATGATAACTTCAAAGGATAAGGAATATTGTTCATCTGGTACATGAAGATGGTAATACTTTTGTGCTCCTAACTCTTTCCAGGTAAAAATCGGAGGAGTGAGTTTTTCGAAGCTGTAGATCCCTCGGAATTCCAGGTTTTTTCAATATCCCTGGTCATGGAACTAAACAAAAAATTGTCTATGTATTTGCCCAGAGTGTAATGGTTCATCAAGCTTGATTATGTCATTACGCGATTTTTGGTTGAAAATACCAAGCATTCACAATGAAAGATCAGTTTTATACAAAGAAAAGACTTCTCATCGAGGTGTGAATTTTTTAGTTTCATTTCTTTTGACAATGAAGAGATAGTTTTACACAAAAGGAAAACCCGCCTAAAAATGAAGAGACCAAAGTTAATTTTCAATAACTAATTCTTGCAAACTTTGAGTATTACTCCGATTTTACTGTTTATAAACTTATTTGATTGCTTTTTAATGTTTTGTTGAATTTATTTAATTAAAAACTTGTAAAGAGAGAGAGAAAGAGAGTTTACAGTGATATTCGGGTTTCTTTGTGAAACTTTCATATTAACTGTGCTCAAATACAAGAATTGAAAGTAGCTCCATCCGCATGTTTAATTCCGATCGGAATCTTTTCTGGACAAAATTTGCGACTTTGAGATGAAGCAACACTGAAAGAGCAAAACATTGTACAATTAACCAACAGAACAATCATAACAGTCTTCAGCCAATTGATTGAATAATACTCACTGTGTGTAAGGATTGACGATTGAAGTGGTAAGGGTAACTGAATCGAAATAGATTTTTGGCTTTTTGATTGCATAGTAGGGATTGAATGGTGAAGCCAGAGTCCATCGAAGGTAAACCGATGTAATGTTGTTCAATGGAGCAAAAGATGCTATTGCTGCAGTATAAGTTCTGTCCTTTTTGATCTTAACATCTCTGTAAAAGAAACGATACAAAATTCATTTAATTTTTGTTTCAATCATGTGATATGAAATTAAACTGCTGTAACTTACGTTGGGGTCAAAACAAAGTCTTCTTGTGAAGTCTTTTTGGAATCGTAACTCATGACGGAAAGCTTGAGTTTACCTTCATGGCTATCGAATTTCTTATCGGCCGTTTTAACAGTCACTTCATAGCTGAACACTGAAAGCACAAACACAATTTTCAATTAATTAATTCTGTAGAATCAGTAAACAATTATAATTACCTTGAGCAGCATCAATGACAACATATAAGTTGACAGCTAAAACAAAAGCTAAAAATATTTTTGAATTCATGTTGAGTCGATGATTTATTAATGATGGTGATGTTTCAGCTAACTTCAGAGCAATGAATAAAATATGATCGAAATGAATTACTTTAAATAATGGCAAACTATCAATAATCTAACTGATTTTCTTCTTTCTAAGAACAATCATGGGCTGACTTGATTTGCGTTTTAGATTGCAATTGATGATATTGTTCAGTTGAAAAAGGTTGTACTAGCGATAAGTTTTGATCGTATCTTCAATGTTATTGTTTTACAGCTTGAATGTATTGATCAATGATCTTGATTTTTTTATTGCTATTCATATCTTGTTGTTTGATCTGGGTTTCATCAATTTCAAAGGGTAATGTTCATGGAGGGTTTAAGACTCTGTGTTTACTCAAGAAGACGGTCAATGCCATTTACTGAGTGTTTTTATTTTGTCCGTCTGTTCGGGTTCATAACTCGAGAACCACTTATGCTAAGGAAAAGTGGGCAAGGGTTCTTTTTCACTCGAGGCAGCCCATGCACTTTGTTTCGATATCATTTGTTTATTTGAAAAAATGTGTATTTGGCCAACAATTAATCTCAGAAACGAGCTAAGCTATGATTTTCGCTAGATTGTATTGAGCTTCTTAGATTCAAACCGCACAAGCCTTTGCTTAAAAGAGATTTTAGAAACCAAATTGAACTTTATGTTTGATAGTTTTTAGAAAAGAAATTTTCCAGAAAAATAAACACATGAAAAATGATTTCAACCTAAAAAGTTTCAAGATAAATTGTAATAAATTAATCAAAATAATTATCGAATTTAGTCGGAAAACAATGAAATTAAGATAAGTTTATACAAAATAAAGCTAACTTTTATCAAATTGTTTTGTTATTAGTTATCGATTAGATCGATGAGATAGTTGTATCAATTGTTTTCAATAATATCGTAATAAATAATCATTGCAAAACAAATTGTAACACATGATTACTAGGAATTTTGTGGAGGAGAATCTCTCAGATTATTGATAATTTGCCACTATTTAAAGTTAATGTAATTTAATGTATTTCATTTCAATCATTATTAATTGTGCTAATTTGAAGTTTAAGCAACATTGAAAGTCAAAAAAACAATAAATTGATTCAAAATGAATTCAAAGATCTTTTTTGCTTTTTTTTTAGCTGTTTACATCTGTATCATCACTGTAAATGCTCAAGGTAAGGGCCGAGTCGCATTGTTTTCTCAGTCCACAGAATTAATTGCTCACAAATTGTGTTCGTGTTTTTAGTTTACAGCTATGGAGTGTCTGTTAAAACGGCCGATAAAGAATTCGGTAGCCAAAAAGGTAAAATCAAGCTTGCAATCATGAGTACAAATACCGTAAAAACTACACAAGAAGACTTTGTATTGACTCCAAAGTAAGTTGATTTTATTTCATATATTTATTAATAATTACATATTCATTGTTGACATATTTTGTTAATTTTTCTTGCAGTGATATTAAGATCAAAAAGGACAGAACTTATACTGCAACAGTTTCATCAATCGCTCCATTAAACAACATCACATCGGTTTACCTTCGATGGACTCTGGCCTCACCATACAATCCATACTACGCAATCAAAAAGCCAACAATCTACTTTGATTCAGTTACCCTTAGCACTTCAATCGTTAATCCTTACACACAGTGAGTATCATCACTTTTATTGATTGAAGACTATTGTGATTGCTTCGTTACTGCAAGTTGTTAATCGTAATTAATTGTACAATTTTTTGCTCTTCTAGTCTTGCTGTTTCTCAAAGTTGCAAGTTTTGTCCAGCAACTACACCAATCGGAATTAAACATGCGGATGGAGCTACTTTCAATTCATGTATCTGAATCTGTATCTATAAAAGTTATGGACCATAAACTCAACTAATTTTGTAATATTTTTTCATGTTTTATAAATAAAAATAAAATAAATTTTAAAATTGTTTTTATGTTAATGTTAAATCTCATACAGCCTTTGTAAGGTTTCACCATAGGTACACCATTGATAAACTTATAGCTGGTGCAACAACTTTGTTCAACTGAACATAATCAGGAAGAACGCTTTTCCCAATGATATGGATTAAATGTCATTATTTTAGGTCCAATGTGAGGAAACTGGAGAGGAACCAACAAGTTCAGATAATATTAGCTCTGATAACAATGAATCTCCCAAGAATCATAAGACAAAGTCAGAGTATCTAACTCGACCTCATCGCCATAGCCATCAAAATGTACACAAAGATTTCAAATCTAGAGATTCAGATTCTGTTGAACAGCATTTATAATCAATTGCATCCAGAGATTAAAGAAATCCCTGTCAAAGGTTGAAATGTAATTTCGAAGGAGTTTGTGAATTCAATACTAGAGGTCGCCCCTACTGTGAATACAAATTCAATTGTTCAACAAAAATAAGACTAGAGATGGCAGGATCGGCGATTTAAAAGCTCGATCTTCAGATCGAAAAAAATTAAAAGATCGAGCCCAAGATCGACCAAAATGAAAAGATCGAATCGAAGGTCGATCCAAGATCGATCTTTCAATGTTTTGATTTTCCGTACAACTGCTGACTGAAATGATTGAGTGAAAAACAAAATCATGAAAAATCTAGCAATTTTTGGGTTATTTTACGTAATTTTTAGGCTGGTCGATCTTTCTCGAGTACTCGATCTTTTCCTGTCATCCCTAAATAAGACAGATTAAGGGAAACTGAAACGGTTTGCGTTCCAGATGCACGTTATTATGAAAATTTATGTTCCCTGAAAGAAGAATCATTTCGTTAGGTCCGTTTTAATAGTTTTGTTGGAAAATCGTATTCCCTGGGAGTTATTCATCGAATCCCTTAAGACCCCATGCGACCTAACTTTTCAAATAGAGCTTTGCATGACGATTCTATGATGCTAGGCACATTGCTTCAAACCTCTGATTCTGTTTAGATATTATATATTGTTTATAATTATTAGACTCAGACTCATTAGTATATTGTTTAGCGCCATAAAAAGCAATATGGAACAACATTATTCTAGAACATAGAACATTATTCACGCAGACTCAGTAATCGTTCCTAATTAATATAAGCGATACTTTTACAATATCAAGAACACAACTTCAAAAGCAGCGCTTGCATCAACGTCACAAATAATAAAAATAATAATAGTAATAATAACTGCAAAATGGACTCTGAAGGTCATGCCATTGGCAGCGATACACTCCAACAAAAGTTGCTGGAACCAAAGTTAGAGGGTCATCCTGATCACTCACCTCTACAGCAACATAACCAACTCGATCAGTCTCCCCCTATTCAGCCTTCGCCATACCAGCCTCAACCTTATCTTCCTCCTACCCATCGACCTCCACCCCAACCGCCCACACAAACCCAGCTTCCACCAGACCATACTTCGCAAACCCATCCTCAGCAGATCTACAGGCCGAGAAGAAGAAGAAGAAGAGGACAAGCATGGCAACGGACAAACAATAAGTAAGCTTTTTATTTAATTCCCATTAAATGTTCTAATGATCGCAATGATCTAATTTGTGTTCGTTTTTCTTTTGTATCTTTCAGTATGAACATTACCAACTATATCTACATCTTGGATGGTCGGTCTCCAGTGGCTATGGACATAATAAATAGGTGCCTTCAAGGACATTCCCGCTGGAACCGACCATATTAAAATTTTAAAAAAATGATCAATAAAATAATTAAATATAAGTGATGATTATGATGATATAAAAGAAAAGCATTAAAAAATTATGTAGTTACAGTAAGTAACAGTAAGTCCAGTTATTTCTCTTTAGCCTTTCTACCCTTTTCCCTTCAGTGGTAGTCATTAGAGTGGACTTAAAACTGCAAAATTTGATTTTTTCCTCCTGTAGTTCACATAGATGTTAGCACTCCAAAAAACAAAAACCTCGGGAAATTACTGTATATTATTTTTAAAAACGTATGCATTGAAAAGTGTATAGCAAATCTGCAACCAGCATGGAAAATTTTCGACCTCTCATGATGGAAAGCTTTTAAAGCCAAATATCACAAAATGACACAAGTTATATCTATAGTTATTACATAGTTACAATATTTATCTCGGTCTTTATATCAGCTTCTGCAATTTTCACTCTTTTTGGCTATTTTTCAAATATGATTGACCAAATTATTCAGAATGTTTGATTACGTTGTTTCAACATTTACTGGCTTGGACGGCATCTTTATTGAGTTTAAAAATATACTTTTAAATCCATATTTCAATCTGTTAACCCTGTTTGCTGATTTTCCAGAATCAAAACTTCACTATATAATTCAGCATGCTATCCATGTGCATATCCATGTAATCAACATGGAAATTGAGTAATCGGCTGAATTTGCGGTCTCTTTCAACATGATGGGTTAGTCGAGACAAACATTTTGAAATCCTGAATAACTTGTAAGAGCAATAAATTATTTTGTGATCCTAAGCGAACCCGATATTCAGCATTCGAAAGGGTGAATAAATCTGACGAGTTAGTTTATTTATTTAATTGTTATTAAAGTTGATTTAATTCAGTAATTATTTGAAACACGGTCTTTTCCTTGCAATCGCAGTAATCAAATAAGAATTGGTTCGCTAATTATGAAAATTTCATAGTGCTCAAAATACAAGACATGAAAAGTACCTCTATTAGCATGTTGCGTGCAAAGGGAATAGATGCTAGACGAAACTTGCGACTTTGAGATACAAGACATTTAGCAATCAGCATCTATTCGAGAGACGTTTGGGGTTCTATAATAATAGATCCAATCCGTTTCGATATGCCCAAATTTGAAATTAGCTTCATCCTCATTTGTAATTCCGATTGGAAAAGTTTCTGGATAAAAAATGTGAATTTCACATGGAGAAAAACTGTAGGAGCAAAAAACCAGACAATTGAGATTAACAACTGACATTTAAAACTATGTTATTAGTCTTCAATCAAACGATTAGATGATACACACCTTGGGAGTGGCAAAAGCGTAAACATCTTTAGCTTAACCGGATTGACATAGATTGTTGGTTTTTTGGTCGCATAGGCGGTATTGTTTGGTGTGGCCAGAGTCCATCGAAGGTAAACTGATGTAATGTGGTCTAATGGAGCAATCGATGAAATTTTTGCAGTATAAGTACTGTCTCTTTTTAATTCAACATCACTGCAGGAAAAATCATACAAAGTTTAATATTAAATACTAAATATTAATTCAAATAAACTTACTTTGGAGTCAATAAGTAGTCTTCTCGTGTAATTTTATTGGTGTCATTACTCATAACTGAAAGCTTGAGTTTACCTTCATGGCTATCAAACTCTCTATAAGCCGTGCTAACAGCCACTTTATAGCTGTACACTAAAGAACACGAACACAATTTTCGATTAATCAATTAATTCTATGGAATCAGAAAACAATGAGACGTTAACATTACCTTGAGCAGTTGTAATGGTACAGATGTTAACAGCTAAAATAAAAGCAAAAATGATCTTTGAATTCATGTTGAGTCGAGTTATTGTTTTGTTGACTTACAATTTTGATCCAACTAATTCAAATGCAATACAATTAATATTGATCGGAATGAAATATTAATACTTTAAATAGTGGGAAATTATCAACAATCTAAGAGACTCTCCTCTACAAAATTCCGAGTAATCATGTGTTACGATTCTGGGTACAAGAATGATTTAAGATGATAGTATTATTGTATAATCGAAAACAATTTATAAAACCATATATTTGCTTATGATTCCAAACAAGTAGACAGCACAAGAACGCTATGTAAAAGACCGTCCTCTATAAATATGATCGAAAATCGATAATTGGTTTTTATTCCATTTACAGAGCGTTTTTCGTTTGTCTGCTTATTTGGCTTCATAGAACTGTTTATATATGGTTATATCAACTGTTTTAAATTATACAATATTATCATCATCATAAACAATTCTTGGAACCCGAACCGTAACATATGATTAATCGGAATTTTGTGGAAAGGAATCTCGTATATTATTGATAACTTGTCGCTATTTAAAGTACTGTTCTCGATCATTATTATTATATTTGTATTACTTTGATGTTGAAACAGCATTAAAAATCAACAAAACACTAAATCGAGTCAAAATGAATTCAAAGATCTTGTTTGCTTTTGTTTTAACTGTTAACATTTGCATCATCACTGCAACTACTCAGGGTAAAGTTGTTGTCCAAGTCTTATTGTTTTCTGTGTCCAAAGAGAGAATTGATTAATCACAAATTGTATTATTGTTTTTAGTCTACACCTATGGAATGTTTGTTAGAACTGCAGATAAAGAATTCGATAGCCAAAACGGTAAACTCAAGCTCTCAGTCATTAGTACTGACAATCTATTTCCTTACCGTGAACCGTATACCAGCAAAATTACACAAGAAGATTTTGTATTGATCAAAGTAAGTTTAAATGGATTAATATCGTTACGATTCGTTGACGCATTCTGCATAATTTTTCTTTCAGTGATGTTGAAGGTAAACTCAAGCTTGCAATCATGAGTACTAATACCAAAAAAACTACACAAGAAGACTTTGTATTGACTCCAAAGTAAGTTAATTTTATTTCATATATTTACATATTTATTGTTGACATATTTTGTTAATTTTTCTTGCAGTGATATCAAGATCAAAAAGGACAAAACTTATGCTACAACAATTTCATCGATTGCTCCATTAGACAACATTACATCGGTTTATCTTCGATAGACTCTGGCCTCACAAGACAATCCAGTCTATTCAATCGAAAAACCAACAATTTACTTCGATTCAATCATTCTAAGCATGTTCACGCTTAAGTCCTACCCAGAGTGAGTATCATCTATCAATTTATTTCGGGCTAACCTAAATTGTTTTGTTGTCAATCATGATTAATGTTTTTTCGCTCTTTCAGGCTTTTTCCATGTGTAAGTTACGATTTTCGGCCAGAAACAAATCCGATCGAAATTAAACATGCGGATGGAACTACACTGGGTGACAAAAGTATAAGACCACTTAATATTTGTTTATAAATCTTTTGCTATTGCGATTGTGTGCATTATGATAATAGATTTGAAAAGAGCATGAAAAATTGAATCAAATGAGATCTTGTTTTAAATAATATATGAAATAATTAGAAAATTATAATGAAAAAATTGAGATTTGCTGGTGACAAAAGTATAAGACCACTTGATAAATTTCACGATTTTTTTCCATACATTTAATTTTTTGAGTTTTTTGGAGCAAATATTATTAAAATCATGTAAATGAATCTGTTTCCAAGATTCAGTAGCAATATGATCAATGGATTTTCGAAAAATTAAGTAATCAGATTGCCATAGGAATACATTGAAAAATTGGGTTTATTCCTATTATTTTTAAGATTAAGTTTATTTTTTGAATTTTTTTTCATGATAATTGTTCAGTATTATCATAGAAGCTAAGAACAGTTTGAATTTTGATAATACCATGAATATTTCTCAATTTATGAGCATTTGTTTCTTTCTTTGCATGCTTTTCTATGCTTTTGCATTGAAAAGCATATGTAAAGTATTAAAATTGTAAACAATTGCTCATAAATCGGAAACAATTCATGATATTCTCGAAATTCGAACTGTTCATAGTTTCTATGATAAAACTTAACAATTATCATGAAAAAATTACTAAAAAAGTAAATTTAATCTAAAAAATAATAGGAATAAACCCAATTTTCAATGCATTCCTATGGCAAGCTTATATCTTAATTTCACAAAAATTGGTTAATCATATTGTTATCAAACTCTTGGATTTTATTCATTTACATGATTTAAATAATATTTGCACCAAAAAACTCAGAAAAATTAAATGCATGAAAAAAAATCATGAATTTCATAAAGTGGTCTTATACTTTTGTCACCAGCAAATCTTAATTTTTTCATTATAATTTTCTCATTATTTGATAGATTTTTCTAATTAAGGTCTCATTTTATGCCACATTTTACACTGTTTTCAAATATATTATTACAATTCCTGATATCGAAATGTTTAAAGAGCTAGGCACAAAAATTAAGTGGTCTTATACTTTTGTCACCTACTGTACATTCAATTTTTACAATCGCAGAGTGCAATGGAAATATTACGGAGAAAACTCAAATATCTCTGTATTAGATGCTGAATGTCATTAGACATTTGTTACGAACCCGATATTCAGCATTCGAAAGAGTGAATCAATCTGACGAGTTGGTTTATTTATTTAATTGTAATTAAAGTTTATTTAATTCAGTAATTGTTTGGAACACGGTCTTTTCCTTGCAATCGCAGTAATCGAGTAAGAATTGGTTAGCTAATTATGAAAATTTCATAGTATTGCTCGAAATACAAGACATGAAAAGTATCTCCATATCTAGCATGTTAAGTGCAAAGGGAATAGTTGCTAGACAAAACTTGCGACTTTGAGATACAAGACATTTAGGAATCAGCATCTATTTGAGAAATACTTGGGGTACTATAATAATAGGTTCAATCCGTTTTGATATGCCAAAATTTGAAATTACCTCCATCATCATTTGTAATCCCGATTGCGATAATTTCTAAATAAAACTGTGAATTTTACACAAAGAAAAACTGCAAGAGCGAAAAAATTAGACAGTTAAGATCAAAAAATGACATTCAAAACTATCTTATCAGTCTTATATCAAAGGATTAGATGAGACTCACCCTGGGAGTGGCAAAAGCGTGAACTTATTTAGCTGGCTGAATTAAAATAGATTGTTGGTTTTTTGATTCCAATTTTGTTCAAACTGACCCAAATGTTTATACCCAATTGTTATGACCCAACAATTTATAGTGATCAAAATGGCATTTTAATACTTCAAATGTTGGCAAATTATCAATAATCTAAGAGATTCCCGTCTACGAAATTCGGCAGCTTTCTGGATTCTTTGCTTGAAGAATTTAGCAGCTCGCTCTTCAGTCTTTTTCTGCTTCTTCTGGAGATAAGCTTCGTAAGCCAAGCAGACAGTTCCTTTTAGTTCAGCTTCCAAACGCTGCTTTTGAAGTTAGAGTTTTCTTTCTTCTCTTCATTTCTCATTCTTGGGTTTATTAGGTTTAGTTGGACCACCAGATGGAGCAGAAGGACCAGTGCGAGTTTCAACAGCTTGTACTTCAGGAGTTACCAAAGGACGGAGGAAGCTGGGTCAATCAACTGGTTTAGGAGGGTTTTGTTCTGCCAAAGGACGATTAGGCTGGAAGGGTCGGCTGATAGATGGACCAAGAGGACGGCTGGACGAAGAAGAAGGGCAAGAATTGGAATCCAAGGGTTGAAAAGTACCACCAGGGGCGTATATTGCTTTTAATCCCCACCAAAGACCACCAAAGGTTTACTAATAGGTCCAGCAGGTGTTGGTGCAGATGCTAGACCCTAGGTATCGCTACCAAACCAGTGTCCGGGCGAGCTAAACGGAGAATCGATGGATTCGGGATCGTAATCCGACACGAGAGAGAGAAAATCCACTAAAACAATAGACAGAAAAAAGAGCAAGAGATTAGTTCTGGAAGAACAAGAAAAACAATCTTGTCAACTGCGCCGAATGTGACAGTTCACAACTGCTAACAGCCAAAAAAGGAAGAGTTAACTGACTTTTCTATGGACATTAACCAAAAGTGAAAAGTTAGAGAGAAAGGGATGGAGCTTACTATTCTAAAACCTATCGGTTTAAAGTGAAAAGAGGAGAGAGGGCAGCACTAGAGAGTGAAGAAGCAAGAAGTTGAAAGTTGAAGTCAAACTTTATTGATAATTTTAAAGAAAAGCTCTGAGTATATGTGTTTCCCATGGGACATAGGGATTTCAGTAAAAAATGGTTCAAATTTAACCTTTCGTTGTAATTTAAAAAACTCTGAGGCATGTTCACAAGATTGAGTGTAACAAAAGACCCAATGAAACTAAGACGTTTACTCAATCAGCATGACAATGTGACAATTTGAGAGGGTTCACTGTAGTTTTAAGGATAAATAAATTCCTTTAAAAACTTCTTTATCTTTAAAATCTCATGAAGCACTGAAACACCATATTTATACAAAGCTTTCTAAGGACATTTTGATGATCATTGTCATCTTTCATTATGTCTATTTATGAACAGAAACATAACTTCATTGAATTATTTGAACGAAACGATAAAGGTAGCTATGAATGCTTTATTAGGCATTTAATTAGACAATATCTTTTATATTTTGCTTCAATTCAATGTTTAATGTGAAAGATGAAAGATGAAAGATTAGTAAGAATTCAATGCAATGCATAATGTTACGGTTAAAGCCAAACAATAGTATGAATAGATCAATGAAGAGAAACATTTAAAAATTTTCCTTCCAAGAACCATCGATTCTGTGATAATTACTCATATTGTTAGAAGAATGTTTATGCAATTATTATACAGAAAGTTTTTATGTTGTCTCCTTATTTGGGTTCATAACTCAATATATGGTTATATTAATTGTTTCCAATTGTATAATATCAGCATCATAAATAATTCTTGGAAGACGAATTGTAACACATGATTACGCGGAACTTTGTTGAGGATAGCTTCTTAGATTTTTGATAATTTGCCACTATTTGCAGTATTTATTTCGATCATTTTTATTATAATTGTACTACTATTGAGTGGAAGCAACATTGAAAAGCAACTAACAATTAATCGACTCAGCATGAATTCAAAAATCTTGTTTGCTTTTGTTTTAGCTGTTAACATCTGTATCATCACTGCAACTGCTAAAGGTAAGGACCGAGTCTCGTTGCTCTCTGGGTCTACCGAATTAATTGCAAATTTTTTCTGAATAGTGTACACCTATGGAGTGATTGTTAGAACGGCTAATAAAGACTTCGAAAGTCATGAAGGTAAACTCAAGCTGTCAGTTATAAGTAACAACACCAACAAAATTACACAAGAAGACTTTGAATTGACTCCAAAGTAAGTTCATTTTATTGCATATTTTGATTAATTGCTAACTTTGCTTGAATTTCGCTGTAGTGATGTTGAAATCATGCAAGCCAATAAATATGCTACAACAATTTCATCGTTTGCGCCACCAGATAAAATTACATCGGTCTACCTTCGATGGACTCTGTCCCAACCAGACAATCCATACAATGCCATTGAAAAACCAACAGTCTATTTCAAATCAGTCAATCTAAACTTTTTTGAATTTAGACAAGATCCACAGTGAGTATCATGCAACCAATTAATTAAAGACTAATACAACTATTTTGTAAATACGAGCCGTCAATCATAATTAATTGTTTCATTCACCGATCTTTCAGGTGGTCTCCATGTACAAGTTACAAGTTTTATCCAGAAACTATTCCAATTGGAATTAAACATGCTGATGGAGCTATCTTCAACTATTACGATGAAGAAACGACATTCAAGTTTTACAAACAAAACGTTTCTGTGTTGGATGCGGAATGCTAAGTGTCTTGCATCTTAAAATCATCTTAGAGACACAGTATCCAGCATCTTTCCCAATTGCAATTGCATACAGATGGAGCTAATTAAGATTCTTGTATTTGAAAAAAGATACATGCATGAGGATTTTATAAACTGAAATATGTTCGCAATACTTACAATTGTGTGCCCGGGTTACTATTATGACCAGGAAAGAGCCTAAAGGAGTATGGGTAAAAATTCTGACTTTCGAGTTAAGAGTTCAAACTTTGTGAGTTTGTAGGCCCATAAAAACTGAGTCCATTAGTGACATTAAAAATTTTCTCCGATCGACCGTTTTTGAGAAAATCGAGGTCAAAGTGCAAACTTCGACTTTATTATATAGTTTGACTAAATATATAAAAAATTCAAGTTTGCTTATTCATTGATGAGTATACTTATAGCGCATCATAAGCATTATCATTCAACTCAATATACGAAATACAAAATCTGACAACACAAGCTAGAACATTCTTTGTATAACTTTTGATGATTACAAAAGTCTAATTTACTATAGCTATTGGTAAGATCTAATGATAAAACGAAGAATGATGATTGTGGATATAGCCATTGTCGAGATATCGGGGTTCAAACTTTTCAGGTCAATGTCCAAAATCAAGAGAACTGTTGATAAATTGAAAAAAGTGTTCGATCGATGCTATTTACTAACAATGTTTATGGACAAATACTAAGTTTCAGATCTCTAGCTATTATGGTCACAGAATGGCGGAGGTTTAACGGAAAATCGAAGTGATATCGAAGGTATCTGTTGCACAGAAACAGAGAATTTTATTTTCCAAAATAATTGCATTTTCTGTTTAGCCATCAAAAGATACCTAAGGAAAATAAGTTTCGTGAAAAAATCTTGTCCCATTATCGAATAAAAGGCGATCGAAGTTTGCACTTTGACCTCGATTTTCTCAAAAACGGTCGATCGGAGAAAATTTTTAATGTCACTAATGGACTCAGTTTTTATGGGCCTACAAACTCACAAAGTTTGAACTCTTAACTCGAAAGTCAGAATTTTTACCCATACTCCTTTAGCCAACTTACACAATCAAGAGCTTGATAACGTTTTGGCACTGATTTAGCTCAAATTTTACCAATTTTTTATTGAATTTTTACCAATAATTTATTAGATTTAAACTTGAAAAAAAGGTTATGGGATTCGAACACAAACGCTCCGAAGCATCAGACCATCACTTTAACCACTAAGCTAAGCTTTCTTATGTTGAAAAATCAATTTAAAGTAAATGCCAATAAAAAAATGGTCATTTAGCTAAAATTTTGTCAAGAAAATTTACCAAGAATTTTGGTGAACTAACAGCTAGATTCGAGTGAGAAATCAGCGCAACAAGAAATGAACGAGAGTTTGAAAAAAAATTAGCTATTCTCCCGCTCATTACCAAGTTTTTGGTAATATTCAGTTAAAAGAGTAACCCGGGTGATCAGATAAATTCATCAAGTAAAATAGTACAAAATTTAATTATTCAAATAAATATTGATATTGATTTCATTTATTCATTCGTCCAGCGATCTTTCTTGACCTCACATCCATATCATCGAGACAAACATTTTTTAAAATGAAAATTGAAGCAACAAAAACAACACAGAAAATTTTTAAAACAATGAACCGACTAAAGATGAATTCAAAAATGTTATTTGCTTTAGCTGTTTTAGCCTTCAATACCTGTTTCACCACTGCAACTACTTAAGCTAAAGTTACGGTCCAAGTTTCATTGAGGTAAAAGAGCTAATCGATAAATTGAAAATTTTGTTCGTGTTTTTTAGTGTTCACCTATGGAGTGGTCGTTAGAACGGATAATAAATTCGAAAGTCATTTGTTGAAAAGTTATAAACTCTTTGATTGCAGTTTGTTTTGGGTTCTGTATCAGTTCTTTTCAAAGATCAACCCTTTTTTCGTTGGTTTCATTATCGTCTGACCGTCATTTTCTTTTTTTTATCAATAGGTTCCCATGATTTTTGGCAAAATAAGTATGAAAAGACTGTATTATTGAATAAACCTTACATATTTTTTGGCTTTTTGATTGCATGATTGGGATTGTATGGTGAAGTCAGAGTTTATCGAAGGTAAGCCGATGTAACAGTCACTTCATGTTTGAACACTGAAAGCACAAACACAATGTTTAGTTCATTAATTCTGTAGAATCAGTAAATCAATCCATCGAAGGTAAACATATGTAATGTTGTACAATGCAGCGATTTAGGAAAATATCGCAGCATAAGTTTTATTTCTTTCTGAGCTTATTTAAACATGACGACAAGCCAAATTATACGAAGTTTGTTAGCAATTCATTAAGATATGAAATTAAATACAATTATTACCTTAGAGTAAATTCAAAGTCTTCTGTTGTAATTTTATTGGTTCTATCGCTCATAACTGGATGCTTGAGCTCACCTTCATGACTTTCGAAGTCTTTATCAGCCGTTTTAATACTCCCTCGATAATTCAACAATGTTTTACAATTTCGTGGCCAAAAGCGCAACCATTAACAGTAAATGATTGAGAAACTTTACGCCAGGCAAAAAATGCTTATTAGCGCACTTTTAGCTGATCAATAGTCAAAAAGTGTTGATGGGGAAAGTAAAAATTGTAATATGTACAAAATGTGGTGAAAATGACGTCTTACAGAGTTTTAATTATTTCCAATCATTTTTTCAGGTCCGAAAACCTTTCTAAATGTAATAAAAATAGAGTAAAAAATTTCGAAAACTTGCATGCTTTCGTAAAAATTGGTATTTCGACTTCAATTAACTCGTGATCCGAAAGTTCCGAAACAGGAGACGTTAACCCTATGCATAATTTTTTCTGCTCTATCGAATGTCTATGGTCTCGAACCGAAATTATTGAGACACCTGAGACGTATCCCTCGTTAGAAATGAACAGACATTTCCGAGAAAATAAACATAGATGATGCGTACCTAAAAGTTTAGAGATAAATTGTACTAAAATAATCACAATCATATATCAAATTTATTCATTCATTATGTGAAATATAAGTGTATTTTTATCAACTGGTTAGATATTAGTTATCGATAAAATGAATGTAGATGGTTTTATCAAATATTTTCAATCATACAATAACAATATCATCATAAATAATCATTACAACACAATGGACAACACAAAATTACTAGGAATTCTGCGGTGTAAAATCAGTGTAAATGATAATTTAGCACTATTTAAAGCATTTCATTTTGATCATTTTGTATTACTTCAAAGTTAAAGTGTCATTTAGAATCAACAAAAAATAAATCGACTCAACATGAATGCAAAGATCTTGTTTGCTTTTGTTTTAGCTGTTAACATTTGTATCATCACTGCAACTGCTCAAGGTATTTATGATTATTTTCTGATTCTACCGAATTAATTCATTAAAAAATTGTGTTTGTGCTTTCAGTGTACAGCTATTCAGTGTCTGTTAAAACGGCCGATAAAGAATTCAGCAGTCATGATGGTAAAATCAAAATTTCAGTTCTCAGCTCTGATAGCGTAAAGACTTCACAAGAAGACTTCGTATTGACTCCAAAGTAAGTTCATTTTATTTCATATCTTAATGCTTTGCTAACAAACTTGAAATCATTTTCCTTCAGTGATATTGAAATCAAAAAAGACGAAACTTATAACTATGCAATACCACTGATTGCTCCATTGGAAAACATTACATCGGTTTACCTTCGATGGACTCTGGCCTCACCATACAATCCCTACTATGCAATCAAAAAGCCAAAAATATATTTCGACTCAGTTACTCTTGTCTCTACATACATTGTACCTTTCATACAGTGAGTATCATCTATTCAATTGATTGAAGACTATTATTGTTTTGTTTATGCAAGTTGCTAATCATAATTAATTGTTCAATTGCTCTTACAGTCAGATTGGATCGAAAAATCGCAAGTTTTGTCCGGAAACTATTCCAATCGGTATCGAACATGCGGATGGAGCTACTTTCAATCCTTGTACTTGAAGAAAGCTATGAAAGTTTTAAAAAGAAGATTCAAATATCTATGATTAAATAATAAAAGCAAAATAATTCTCTATTTTATTATTGTGATAAATATTCACTCGCTAGTTCAATTCTTTATGAGAGTAAATATAAGTCAGATTTTACCAATGATTACGACTTTTGCTTTGACACGATGAACTCGGTGCAGATAGTTATATCCGCGTATTTAAATGGTTTGCAAGTATTTTTATTCCTTGAATTTGAAAATAGCGTGAAAAAACTTTAAATCATTGTTATCACTAAGAATAGTTTATAAGAATAGAATGATGAGATTAGGGTTGAAAAATTAAAATCTGACTTTACTTTTTACATTTCATTTCAATTACACTGCTATAAGTTTTGGTCTTTTTGACACAATTCAACTCAACATTGTAATGCAAAAAAACAACTTTGATACATAAATTCAATGAAAATTGATGAACAAATTTTGTTGATTGGTGAAGTCTAAATAGTAAATATTCAATTGTTCACTGTGATTGATAAATTGCATTGATCACTATCTACAGATTTAATCTCAATCTGTCGTCGACATGATTCTTCTTTCAGGGAACATAAATTTTCATAATAACGTCCATCCGAACCACAAACTGTTTCAGTTTTCCCTTTACTTTGTCTTATCATGGTTGAACAATTGAATTTGCATTCACAGTAAGGGCGACCTCTGTTATTGAATTCACAGACTCCTCCGAAATTACATTTCAACCTTTGACAGGGATTTTTAGAATCTCTGGATGCCACTGATGTTGAGTGGTGTTCAACAGCATCTGAATCTCTAGATTTGAAATCTTTGTGTTCATTTTGATGGCGATGATGATGAGGTTGCGTTAGGTGCTCTGACTTTGTCTGATGATTCTTGTGAGATTCATTGTTATCAGAGCTATTATCATCTGAGCTTGTTGGTTCATCTTCAGTTTCCTCGCACTGGCCATAAAATAATGACCTTAAATCCATGTCATTGAGACAAGCATTTTTCCTCATTTCACATTCATTCGGATAAGTGTTTCCATCGTTAGCACAAATTGGTTCATAAACTGGATCAGAACATGAAGTGGGGCAAACGCATCGTCCATTTTCACATTGAGCACCATTTTTGCAGACAATCTTTTGGCATGAATCTGTTACAGAAAACATTGAAATCAATAAGATTAAATCGTTGAGATTATTGCAGAGTTACAGATTGACGACATTTCCATGTAAAATTTCCCTTCCAACCTTCATTTGAGATTATTGGAAATGATATTTACTCAAGTAGATTAATGGTAGTATTAACTAACAAGTAATGTAAGTAGATTAAAATTATGGAAATGTCTTCAATCTAAACTTGAACCAATTAAATATACCGCAAGGTCCTAAATGAGCGATTGTAATATCAGTTTGGGCCAAACAAGATCGAACTCGTAATTCACATTCATTATCGTAAGTAACTCCATTTGAACCACAAATTGGAGCATCGAGTCGTAAGCAAACTTGTGGACAAACGCATTCGTAAATACCATAAATATTAGCTTCACAAATAGCATAATATTTGCATTTTAATTTATCGCAGCTTCCTGAAAATAAAATGAAAAAAATTGCAATTAGATCATCAAATTAAAAGTCAATATTGAAGTCGCATGCCAGTTATTACGTTAAAATGCCATTACATTAAAAATAATCCAAAAGGTAAGAAAATTTTATTCTGGTTTCTGCAAAAGCGAAAAGCTGGTAACTCAACTCTAATCTGATCACAAAATCGTCAAATAAAACTAAGGGGCGATCAATGAAAATGGCACCGAATAGCACTGTAATATCATTTGGTTTATTTAGCTATAACTAACTATTATTTTGTTTGATTAGTTTTGATTAACTATCAATGATAGATTAAGATTCAAATCAAGCTGAATCTCAGTCCCATTCAGTGAACGCTCGAAGTAAGTCTCATCACCAGTTTTCAATTTTCGCCAGTTTATAAGCTCAGCTCGTAGCTCGACTCAATCGTCGAATTAATCTATTTCATTTTCCATTAAAAATCCAAAAGTCAGATCGACTAAACTAAATAAGTTATGAATACTTGGTAAATTTTGTCACGATTGTCAAAGATGATTGATGACGGTTTTCTTCGACAATTAATCTCGGAAATTAACATAATCATTGACAAGTATTTTCCCTTAAAATTATTCCCCAATTATGAGCAAGTTTTTTCCCTTCTTGATTGTAAAGGTTATTTCCAAAACAAAATTGAACTTTGTCATTATCGTTTGATTATTTGTAAAAATAAATGATTCTGAGAAAAATGAACAATCATCAAATGGCTCATGTTTTGAAATTACAAGATAAATTGTAATGGAACAATCGAAATCATTTACAGTAAAGGCTGAGATAATGGGACGCTGAGATAATGAGACTCAATTAATATACGATCCCTTAGAAGTAACCAATTTCTTTGTTTACATTTTTTCTTCAATGGAAATACAAAATGCCGAGAAGAAATTTATTGAATCGTGAAAAATTAAAGTTAATTTCAAATTTAGAAAATAATGATTTAAATAATTTCGATGCTCAGCATCAGTTCCATGTGAGTCGGTCAACAATTTATCGGTGTTTGTCATCTAAAGATGATATTGTTTATGCAGTGGAAAATGGAATGGGCAAAAGAGCCAGGTAAGACAATTAATTTCGTTCCTTCAAGCTGATAATTTTGTCTAATAATTTTTTCTTTTTTCTTCTCTTTTCAGGGTTGAAAAAGATAAACATACTGTTCATGATAATTTTGTCAAGGATTTTATCTTAGAGTGTCAAACAAAAGGAATTGGATTGAAAGCTAGTTTCATCAAAAATTATGCTAGAATCAAAGCAATTGAGATTGGTAGACATGAATTAAATTGTAGTAAAGGATGGTTTGATTCCTTTAGACAGAGGACAAACTTAAAGTTTGGAAAAATTTCGGGTGAAGCAAAAGGAGCAAACATGGAAAAGGTTCATGAATGGAAAACAGAAATAATACCAAGAATTATTATTGACTGGAGAAGTGAATTTATCTACAATTGTGATGAGACTGCTTTGTTTTGGAGACAAACACCAGTCAAAACTTATTTCATTAGTAAATTTGATCATTCCGGAGACAAACTATTCAGAGAAAGGATTACAGTATTATTCTGTGTCAACCGAGCTGGTGATAAAGAAAAGCCTTTAGTTATTGGTACAGCCAAAAAACCTAGATGTTCATTTGTTGGTTGGCTAGATAATTTTGATATTAATTATTGTTCTCAGTCAAATGCTTGGATGGACTTGAAGACATTTGACAATTGGCTTTCTAATTGGAACCAAAGATTAGAAGAAGAAGGAAAAAAAATTTTACTAATTTTAGACAATTTTGCTGGACATAATGTAAATACTGAAAAGTACAATATGATTTCGTTTAAATTTCTTCCTCCTCAAACTACAAGTCATATTCAGCCATTAGATGCAGGAATTATTCATTCATTTAAATCAAAATATCTCACTCTTTTTGTCAAATCTCTAATTTCTAATGCTGATTCTGGTCATTTAAATGAAAAAGTCAAAAAAATTAATTTATTTAATGCTTTAAATTGGGTAGATTTAGCTTGGAAAGATGTAACTTCTCAAACAATTTACAATTGCTGGTCACATACTGGATTCAGTTACTCTCATGAAGCTGAATCAAATCAAACAAATGATGATCTCTCAAGTGCCCTTACCAATCTTTCTATTAATTGTTGTTCAGTAAATGATTTCATTAACCAAGTTACTATGGAAGTAACAAATTATTATGATTTTGATATTAATAAAATTTAATAACATTGATTTCGCTGGCAAAATAAGCTATTTTCACTCTTGCCCTTTAAATAAGCTATTTCAAGAGAGTCTCATTATCTCAGCCTTTACTGTACCAGACTTCACACATTCATCTGTTAAACAATGGCAATGAGAGCAAGAACCAAAAACTGTGGAAGTACACCGAAACATTTAATCAAAAAAATCGAATCAATGGAAATAATTAATAAAATATAAGCTTTAAATTATAACTTATATGTGAAAATGTATTTGACTTCGATTAATTGATTTTAATTCTCTGATTAATTTCCAAGAAAAAAATTCAGTTTCAAAAAAGGTTGAAATGGATGATCTCAAATTTATGTGACTTCATAACACAATGATATAATAATCAGTGATAACCATGAAATGTAAACACAACGAATGGTTAATCTCCCGAGGAGGAGAGTCTAGATGATTATTGATAAATTGTGATTATTTAAATGAGAGACAAGTCATTAATTGTATTGCTTTGGAATTAGTTGAAGCATCAGTAAAAACATCGACTCAAAATGAATTCAAAAATCCTGTTAGCTTTTGTTTTGGCTGTCAACATTTGTGTCATCATTGATGCTGCTCAAGGTATTTATGATTATTTTCTGGTTCTACAGAATTAATTAATTGAAAATTGTGTTTGTGCTTTCAGTGTACAGCTATGAAGTGATTGTCAAAACGGCCGATAAAAAATTCAGCAGTCATGATGGTAAAATCAAAATTTCAGTTCTCAGCTCTGATAGCGTAAAGACTTCACAAGAAGCGTTTGTATTGACTCCAACGTAAGTTCATTTTATTTCATATCTCGACGCATTGCTAATAATTTTGCATGATTTTTCCTGAAGTGATGTTAAAATTAAACAGGACAAGACTTATACTGCGACAATTTCATCGGTCGCTCCATTAAACAACATTACATGTGTTTACCTTCGATGGAGTTTGGCCTCACCATACAATCCAGTCTACGCAGTTAAGAAACCAGTTATCTACTTTGATCCCATTATTGTTAGCAACTCTGTTGTTGATCCAAACACACAGTGAGTATCAACAAATCAATTGATTATTTATCTGATTGGATTCTGATTGTTCAAGAAATTACTATTTGTGTTACACGTTGTAAAAGGCTGAATTTTAGTTGGAATTTTCTTGTTCATTGTTTTGTTATCGCAAATTGTATATCATAATTAATTGTTAATTTTTCCTCTTTTTAAGGATTTCTGTATCTGCAAGTCGTAAGTTTTGTCCAGCAACTATTCCAATTGCAATCAAACATGCGGATGGAGCTTCTTTCGATGCTTGTACCTGAACAAGGCCATGAAAGTTTGAAAAGAAATCTCAGATAACTTTGTAACTATTTCCTAGCAATAAAATTGTATTGGCCTAAAATGTAAAGTTGATTCCAAAATTATTGACTATAATTCAAGATTTCTAGTTTACAGAATATTCAACCAGACAAGTTTTCTGGTTCAACCTTCTGATAATAGGCTGATTATCTCGCTGCTTAGCTCACTTTTTAACCGATAATGATAAGTGTTAATGATCAGAAAATCATGTGAAATGTTCGATAAAAGATGGCGTAACCAAGTTCAACAAAGGTTGTTTCAAATAAAGTTTCAGTTTGACAGAATCTGTTGAACATTGCTTGTTGAATCACTAGATGGATAGACACAAGACTTTTAGTTACAAGAAACAAAGGTAAACTCATTCAGGCTTCGATTTCATTTAATGAAGACAACAGCGATGACGATTTCATTATATTTTCAAAATATCGCTGACTTTACTTACTACAAGGTCCTTTATGTGAAATGTAAATTGCTTTTTGATCTTGACATGACGCTTTATGAAGTTCACATTCATTTGCATAACTGACTCCATTGGATCCACAAACGGGTTCATTTTCATCTGGACATTGGCGGCATTGACAAACACTTTTCAACTGATTGTCAAACTCTTTTGTTTGAACACAAACTCCACCAAAATGACAATTGTCTGGTGAACATGAGACAAAAGCATTTGATGTTGATCGATTAGATTGAAGTCCACTGATTGATAAACCATTGGTCAAACCGTTGATAACTGGTGAAACTTGTTGATAATTTTCACATGGACCAGAATATGAAACTGTCAGGTTAACCTTTTTAAGGCAAGAATCTCTTAATAAGTGACAAACAGAGTCGTATGTAATCCGATTTGATCCACAAATTGGCTTATAAATTGATTCACATTGTAAACAGGTACATTTAGCAGAACCAAATTTATCGACAATACATTTACCATGAAAGTGACATTTTAATTTATGGCATGGATGATGACCTGTTAAAGTATTGGAAGAAAAAGGTTAATCAATCAAGTTGAAATAAACGAAATAATCAGAAAATATATCAAATCAACAAATTCAATTCGGAAAAATCAATATTCTGAAATGAGAAAAAAGTGGAAAATCAATATCAAAGTGAAAAACTAAAGCTAAACTGGTAATGAACCTTTAGTTAATTTAATTAGATAATCAAAAAATAACAATATTTTTTCCTTACAATTTGCGAGTAAAAATGTTGTTCATGCAGTTGATCATAAATACTGATCTTTTGGATCAATAGACTAGACTAAGAGGTTAGATATTAGTGAAAAGGTAATGAATTAAGTCAACAAAATTGAAATAAAAATGAAACGTAAATGATAACTCAAAGTCAATTATACTGATTATTTGGCGCAGTTGAAAGTTTTTGTAGGTTAAATAAAGTTAGGTAAACGCCTCTAGATAAAGTTTAATATTTAGAAAGTGGAAACATGATATTATCAAGCTAATTTAGATTGTTAACATTCTTTAACCTATTAATATTATCATCATGCTCATCATCATTAAGATTCTCATATTTTATTCTCTCCGCCCGACAGAATCAGTTTTATCTACAAGAATGGTGAAGAATCAACAGACATCATGTAAAGAAAAGACAAGATGAAACAAATCAGTTGCTATCAACAATGAAATAATGTCAAAATTGAAGTGGACATGATGATAAAGAGCAAGATGATAGAAGCAATGGATTGGAATGAAATATAAGCATAAAGAGTCATCATCATCATCTTTTCCTGCATCAAATTGTGTAAACAACATGGAATAATCTGAGGGAAGGAGAAGAAAAAATGATGATGAGAAAGAAGGAGAAAGATGAATAGACTTGAAGACAAGAGAAGTTATCCAATGAACCGTGTGATGATTGAGATGATCTTTACCTTGAATACAATTTGATGAGGGCGAAGGTTTTATATCAATCTTTTTTACACATGATTCTCTGAAAAGTGAACATTCACTTTTGTATAAATTACCATCTGATCCACAGATAAGAGTTTCATTGATCAAAGGATAGGTTGAGAGGGTCATGGTTGCAACAGTGGTAGTGCTGGTGGTGGTGGTGGTGATTGAAGAGGGCTCCTCTTGATTATGATAAAGGTGGTTATTATTTGGACCATTATTATCCTTTTCCCCAGTAAGACCATCATTATTATGGTGATCAGCTAAATCCATGGTTGAACAGGTTGAATAGTTGCATGTACAAAACGGTTTCCTTTCAATATCCAATTGACAAATTTCATCTGATGGGCACATCATGGTTGAACAGGGATCTATCCAAAGAAAATAAATAAACATGGTTAGATACAGTAAATAAATAAATGTCCATTGTAAAGGAGGCAAAGAAAGATGAAGGGTGAAAAAAATAAGGTTAAAAAGGAACACCAAAATGACCAAAAGCAAATAATAACAAATTGAAAAAAGATGTAATAGAGTTAAAAGTGTATGAAATAGAAGCCTAAACGGCTGATTGACTAGCTGTTAGCCGGTTCTTATTACGTCTTATGCTTTTCATGCTGTCCCAACCCATTTATGCTTTTTCTGCTCTTTTGTTGCCAAATCAATTTATCTATTTATCTATTTATTTATTATAATAACTGTGATATGTTAAATTGTTGTATATTTATTCGACCATTGTGTTTGGTTTTCACAAAAGACTCTTGTAAAGTTCAGTTATTTCACTCTTTTTAATCTGGTTCAAGAAAAATGTTGAAATTCATTGTGTAAGCCTTTTTTACATTGCCATTTGCCTATCAACGGAAAGCATATTCATTTGACCATCTGATTATAACCTTTTCATTATTATTATCATTCCAACGGTAATAAGATTGTTACTTCTGACTAATCTTTTGAAAATGTTCATTTTAACCTTCATGGTGATTATCAAGCCAAGTGGAAAAATGATAATCCAGAATGTATCTCATATTATCCAACCGTAATTCATTGGATTTCATCATCGAGAGAATGATGATGATTCTTTTCTATCACTAATTTCTCTCTTTTTCCCATTTCTTTTCATGACCTTTTTTCTTTCCCTCTCTTCTCTCTACATGTTTTTTCGACTTTTTTACCTGATATTGACGATTATCTTCAGTCCTGTTGATGAGTAAATCTCAGTAGTTTCATCGTTTTACCCTAAACTTGAAGCTATTTCCTATCCTGGTCAATAATAATCACCAATTGGATCATCTGAATGTGTATACAAATCTAACATGAAAACAATTCCATGATATCTTTTCCCTTTATCTTGTTAACATGGGTAAAAATGGATCAACATGGTGATGCTACAATTGAAGGATTATCCTTTTAGGATGTAAGGAAAAGGCTAAAGATGTAGCCAACAGAAACAGGCTGAGGACAAGAAAAGCAAGATAAAAGGCGACAAAATTGATAAAATATAATGGTTTTATAATGGCAACTACCAGCAACCGGGAACCTCAATAATACTTACCACATAAGCCAAAATATTTGACAGAAATGAGCTTTTTTTGAAGGCAAGAAATCTTTTTGAGCTGACAAAGATTCTCATAATCTCTGCCATCAATTCCGCAAACAGGCTCATTGGTTAGAGCAAGAGATTCACTTTGTGAATGAGGATATTTTTCATGTAACCATGTAACTACATCAGGATAATCAAGACATTTCTCTGGACATCGGCACTCACTTCCAAGTCCACCTTTCAATTGTATACAATGGGCACCAAATTTACAATCAGATTCAACGCATTTACTATGAATTTCATCTACAACAAGAAAGAAAGTAAAGATTAACCAAGTGAAATATCAATAATCAAATTAAGCAAATTCAACAGCCACATCGCTGGTTGAAATATATACACAATTTGGCTCAACACAATCAACCCCATTAATTCAAGAGGAAACGTCAAAATTTGCTTTACAATACAAAGATGATCATAACTTGATTACTATTGAACTTTCAACTCCTTGGTTTCGTTTTTATCTAAATTAATCTTATGATTGATGATTACCTTTACAACGATTTACTTTCACCATAATCATCATCATCATCATCATACCCATTCTTGAATGTTTGATAATGTTTAACACAACCAAATGAATGGTAAAAACCAGTTATTCAGACAAGAATAGACAAAAAAATGTTCATCCCTCTCTGATAAAAATTTATCCTAATAACAATAGGAATGAACAAAAAAAACTAATAGTGATATCATTAAAAAAAACAGGAGAAAATGTTATTCTCCTAATATTAATAACAATGATAGTAATAAAATAGAGAATGTGTTCAAACATGAAATTCAATGAAACCAGGGAAGGAAAAAAATTGGAAATGGAATAAGATGAAAAATGCTGAAACATTATCATCAAATTGTGACTGAAAAATGTACAATTTTCATCAATAATATTCAATATTTTTGTGCCATTTCCAATGGAATTGTCAAGTTTATTTTCTAAGTTTGATTAACTTTGAGCAATCAACAATTAGCCTAGTTATTGAGCAAAAAGTTTACCACGAAAATCAAAGTTTGTCTCATTTTACTTCTAATCGAGATGATCAATCATCTTGAACTATTATCGATTTGATTGTAGGCCATTTTGAAGTTCATTTCACGTTCCTGAAATCCCTTTAATCAGATAGAATGTGAATTTTGTTCAAAATATTTGTTGCAATGAATATTGATGTTTAATGAATAGATTAGCAGCAAAATTAGCTAAAAATATCATGTTTTAAACCCTTTGCTTCTTGTTTAACCCAAAAAATTTGACTTTAAGTTTCAAGTTATGGTTAAAAATTGTTTCCAACATTATGATGATTATTAATAGGATAAGGTGTTGAAAGGTTTTTTGAAAGATGATGATGATGTTGAGATGAAAGTGGAAAGATAAAACTTAACAAAGCTCAATGGAATCTCATTTTTCATGACATTAATGAGCAGAGAAGAGGTTGACTATCATTCATTAAAATCACTGATTAGCTTAATCGATTTACCACTTTGAAAAATTAATGATGATTAAGTCGGAAGCAAATGGTTTAACAAACCCATAAAACAATTGATTAGATCAAGGGTAACAGTAAATTGCCTGCAAAAATCAATGTAAAGTCACATTGAACACAAAATATTATTTAATATTTAGAAAAATATTTTAACATTTTGATAAATTGCAATTTAAAATGGACCAAAATCGATGAATTAGAAGTTGAAATGAAGCCCTTTTTGCCTTAAAATTTGAATATAAATACAATTTGACTTGAAATTTTTGCTCATCCAAGGAGATGGCAATTCATCTGAATGATTCTTGAACATTTGACTGATTCTTACGGAATAAGAAATGTAATGAAAAGCAAACAAATTGAAATTGTTTAACATCAACAAAAAGGTAAATGTAAACATCCGAGAAAATGATTGATCAATGATAAATTGAAATGGAAAAAATGATTTCTTGGATTTACATGATTTTCAAAAGCAATCATAATCAATAGCAATGATATTGAAACAATGAAAGAGACGAGAATTCAATTTGAAAAGAATCTCGATTTTTATGATTAAACTGAAGTGAAATTGTTGAACAACCAGAAAATCAAAGCTAATCATTGATTGAAAGTCAATTTACCAGTAAATTGTGTTCAATTTGCGAGTTTAAAAAAGCCTTTAAGGTAAGATAAACATGAGAATGACAAAGTTGAATTGAAACAACAATCAAATGATAATAAGATGATTTACAGTTTGTTTAGTAGATGAACAATAGTTGAGTCAATTTAATCATCAATTCAATTATTTAATGTAACCATTTGATGGAAATGTTAAATATGTGAAAATGGAAGGCAATTGAAGTATAAAAAGAAGCGTAAAATTAAAGGTAAATCAATGAACCAGAAATGATTGTAAGGGATGAACAGAAATTTAGCTTTTCTTCTGAAAACATTCCCTGAATTTACCTGTAAACAAAAGCTTATTTTGTTTAAAGATGTAACTAAGAGATGAAGTTGATGAATAAATTGATTGCTTGGACAGATTGAATAAGATTGACAGGTGATTTAGATTGATTCAGATGTTCCTTTTTTTACGCTCTTGTCTTTCATCTCATTTATACCAACAAAAATAACAATAAAACTATTGACACAATGAAAATATTATCATGAAAGTGATAGAATTGGCGAAGAGAAGAAAACAGAACTGAAAATATCATCTCAACTCAATGAATACTTAACATGCTCATCTTGAGGTTCATCTTTTTTCCCTGACTTTACCCAAATCCTTTACAATCTTATCCCAAAGTAAACTCAATTCAGTTTTCCCTCAAAATTTGATAAACAATTGAAAAATGTTATTCTCAATGTTTATCATTATTTGACAGTTTCAATAGTTTGTGAATACTAAACAGAAACTTGGATTGAAATCATTTCAAATGATTACTTTTTTTCAATTCAAGTTTACCTTTTCAACTTTTTCTGTCAATCATTTGGATAAAATTTAATTGTCAAGTTAATTTGAGATTAAACCAAACTGAATCTTTTAATTTTCACCTGAAATGTCAAGTTTTCATGATGAAATTAATTCCAATTTAGTCTAAACATTTGTTGTTAAACTCAATGTTGGAAACAAGTGAAGCTAAAGTAAAGCTTGAAATTAATATTTTTGTACTTTTAATTGCATGATTAATTGACAGTGCAATATGTAACTCAATTAATGTGACAATTGGAGCACAATTAAAGTGATTAACTCGGCAACTTTGAATCCTATTAAAGGTAAAAATTGATTGTAAAAATGAGCAAAGAATCTGACTGTGGATTCAATTACAATCAACTGTAATCAATCAACTCGTCACAATTAAGATGTAAAACAGAAACGGAAAGTAAATTGAACAAAAAGCATTGTTACTGGAAATGTTACACCAATCACAATCAACATCAAACTTAATTTAATTATGGCCACACTTGTAATCATTATTACGATTTACACTTCATTTCTCATTAAGGTTGAAAATTAGATTAAAATCGGGAAGATGATTTATACATAATCATATGATAATCAAATGTTGCAAAAAGTGTTTTAACCAGAAAAATAAGTGTAACTCATTTAATGATAACTTTTGTTACGCTTTTGGAGGTTGAGAAAAATGTAAAGGTAAATTAGCATAATAATTCATTTGATTAACCCAACCTGGAAATTCATTGTTATTCAGTTGAGAATCAATTAACAAGTCTTATCTCTTGAAAACATGATTCTACAGTTTTTGAGAGTCTAATCAATGAACATTTTAACCTGAAACTCAATTGTTTCATCGAACGTTATTTTGCCTGAAAATTTCATAATTAATTTCAATGCGAGTACAATGATATCAATGGATAACAAGAATTGAAATTTTAACCATTTTCTTGATTTGCATTTTTATTGAAACTCAATTTCAAATGTATATCTTTACTGAATAGTTAAATATTAATACTGTTTTGGTAGGGAAATGTGATCAGAGCGAGTTTACAATTTAAATTGTTTGCCTTTGAATTACAATTTTGCAAATTGAAATGATCAGTTTACTAGACAATTTAAATGTTGATCTCGAGTTAAACATTCAATTTCAATTCAAGTACAAAATATCTTTTCAAGTTTTTATTAAATATTATAATTGCCTGTGAAATAAGCTAATTAGTTTTCAAGACACTAAATGATATAAGATTTAATTATAAATGAAATTAACTTTTCTTTTTGTCTTTAATGAAATTATTTCAATTAAAGAGTTAACTTTGGCAATTACAATAACTTAACTGATTGGTGAACTAATATTTGACTAGTTTTGGAATGAATTGTTTAAGCATTTCAATTGAAGAAGATTGTGAATGAATTTTGAATTCCGGTCATTCCGATTTCCAATTGATTTGTATTTTGAAACTGAATTATCATGATTACGTGAAGAAATAAAAAGATAAATAAGGTTGAATAACTTTGATTGAATTGATTTCAATTTCAGAAGTTGTTCTTGTTCTTGGAAAACAAAGTTTTTTTTCTTATTTGATAACATTTGCTTTGCTTCTTCTTTTTCTTTCAGGGTTATTATTCATTCTCAATTTTGGCTTAAGAGGTTAACTCTGTCCATGAATTGGAGAAGAATCTCTGGTCATGATAAATTGAAAAATATATGAATATAATATTCAAACTTTTATCTTGTTCTTTTCACACTTCAACTTGGAAACATTTTTTTCCTCTTTCTCTCTTCTTTACAATCATTATCATGATTATCAAAGTGAACTTTCAGTGATGCCTCATCTAAATTCAGATTCATCTTGTATATTGAAATGGAAAGGGAAAATGCATTTCAATATTTTTGTACGTTTCAAATGGTAAAATGAAAAATGAATAAGCAAAAGTTGTAAATGAATAAAGGTAAAGGTTAATGGAAAGGTACAAATTTGGACGCAATTTGCACGACTTTCAATTTCAATCAAGTAAATTGTTCTAAAATTGATGTAAAAATTACTGAGAAACAGTTTATTAGTTGAATCTCATGAAACATTCAAGAAAGACACAGAAATTGGCTTTTCTGTTGAATAGTTAATGATATGTTTTGCTATAAAAGGTTAAGATTCAACTTGATTGTTAAAGCCTTTAATTGAATCGACTCTTCAATCAATAATATTGTTTCATTTCTGGTTAAACTTTGCTCAAAACTCGATGAAATAAATTATTAACTCAACTTGAAATGATTTTAATTGGTTCCATGTTAAGAAATTGTAAATCAATTTTACCTTGAATTCAAATCGTGAAAAATTGCTGGAAAAATCTAGTTTTTGGAACTTGAGAAAAGAGAAACTTTTCATGGTTATTATTCATGGTGTAAGTTTCAGGATCAATGACGATGATGCGGGATCATTTCATCCATTAAATAATGAAAATGATGAGCAACCCTGATTCAGGAAATGATGAAAAAAGTGTTTCAATTTTTCGATTCTCATGAGATTGAAAGCATTTTTCATCATTTCCAGGTTATCGGTATAACTTGAGGGTGGATGGAGTTGCACAAAATAGCTAATGATTAAGTTGATCAATCGGTTGTGTTTTGTTTCATTTTGTGATTTGATATAACATTGAATCAAAGGAATGACTGGGAATCATTTTGGTTCATCTTGACTTGTGCGGCTATTGCATGGGATTGCTTTTCAAGATGGACAAGTTTATTGAATGGTTAAACATGAAACATCTTAATGGCAATAATATGATTATTGTTGATTTGAAATCAACTCTTGTTGAAAGTTGATTGTCTTTATATGTACATTATTATGTATTTTGTTTGCGTAACTTGGAAAAATAAGTTTTCTGTTTTTTATCATTTTCATTCACTTTATCATCTTGAGATTCTTAGGCAAATCATGTTATCCTTTGGTATACATGCATATAAGTCTTTGTTAACTAAGTAAACAATCAGCTAATTAAGGATTTGGCCTTTGCTTTTTAACCTTTAGTTTCATCCTTAATACAACATTTTGCTTGAAAAAACATCTTTGTTATACTTTGAGTTAAACAATAATGATAATCATAAGATGATCAAGATGAAGGTAAACTTTAACTCCCTGTCATTGACTTGTACAGGGAGTAAACATCGCTTCCATGATAAATATACAACTTGTATTTATGTACAATCAAGGGTTATTAAAAGTATAAACGAAAAAGTAAACTTGTTTAAACCCTTTTTCATTACAATTTAGTTTATCTCTCTTTAAGAATCAACCTAATCAAGTAAATTGTTGTTCAGATAAACACATGTTGAGAGTAAACTTGAAATGTGAACAATGTTTAAAAACACACTTCTTTAGGTTTGTTGTGTATTGGATTTTATGCATTGTTAGCTTCACTGATTTTGTCTGTAGTTTGGGTTTGATTGTTTCTTCTCTATTAGGTGTCAATTATTAGTTTATGTATAAAATGTTTTAATTGTACTTACGACAGTTTCCTTCGTGTTTAACGTAAATAGTTTGCTGTAATTTGCATGAGCTTAATTGAAGGTGACATGAACTGGGATAAGTAACATTGTCATTGCCACAAACATAATGATGGACGTTGGGATTACATTGGTGAGTACAACGACAATATGGCTCTAATCCGTCTTCATCAAGGACACAATCAGCACCAAATGAGCAACCAATGGTAAGACAATTATCTAGTCAAAGTAAATTAATTAAAAATAATTAATAACAAATTGAGGTTTAAACAGCAGATTACATCTAAAGTCATCAGCGCCACCTTAACAAATTAAACGGGACTGAAAACGGGATTGAAATGCTTTTTAACTATCCTAGATGGCAGTGATGTTAAGAAGCTTGTTTTGTTTTAATTTCAAGTGCTTTTTTAATTAATTGTAATCAACTAATTTCTCCTTAACTTATGGCCCAACAACATTTAAATCAAATTTGTTTCTTCAAATGGTTGTATATTTTATCTTGTGCTTAACCGATAAAAGTTCTCATCTGGATCTCAAATATAACGGTTGTTACTGACTCTATTAATTGATCAAGATACTCAAGCAACTCTTGTTTACGCTGCTTATGATCGACTTTGTAATTTTGCTTAATTTATTGATATTATTGTTTAGTTCCAGTTCATTTTATTTCTTCGAGTGTTAGACTGTCGATCTCATGTGTTATTATATCTCAGACGCTATTCATATCTTTGGGTGAAATTCATATTAGACTGAAAGCCATTGTGTTTAATGCAGCTTTACCTATCAAACCTTTAACCTTACTTGCTATAAGGTTTTAATAATTCCATTTTTAGAGCAATTAATCACGTAAAATGAAAGATCAGTTAACAGTTTCTCGAGGTTGAGTATAATTTCCAATGTGAGAGTTGAAAATTTTGATTGATTGTGTTGATAGTGTTTCATTTTTTGACTAAAATTGGAAACCTCAAAGACAGCTTAACAGTGTTATGGTCAGTTGTAAAGTGAAAGTTGTTGCTATTTTCAGTGAAGTCAGCTGAAATCATATTAGATAACAATTAATCATCCAAATAAATAAAATTGAATTTCACACTTAAAGTTGAATATAAATGAAAACGAGAAAATTGTTTGTTAAAATGTTTCAACACCATTCGTGAAGCCATTTTTTCATTACAATCAAAAAACAAAGGCAACAAAACTAGGAAACTTGAACTGAACTGAACTCTACTTGCAACTGAAATGAGGCGAGAAAATCTGTAAAATCTTGTTGAAAAAATGTTCAGCTTTTCCTTTTTGGCCTTTTATTCATTTTTGACATGAGAAGATGAAAAATAGTGGTTTGCATGATGAAACATCATCAGAATGAATCAGTTCAGGTTCAGGTTGAGTTAATTTAATATCGTAACAAAAAAGCCCAAGACTTGAAAAGGATCAAAACTACATTGTTAACATTTTGTTAATTGTTGCTGATCAACAAACAAATGATCAAATGTTTCGCTTTACCCAAACCATGTTTACCTTTTTTTTCAATTGTAATCCGAGTTTTGGCTCGTTGAGAATCTGTAATGAAAATAAGAATCCAATTAATTTAATTTTGCCGATTGAATAGTAATTATGATTTAAACACAAACAATCAGAATGCATTTGAATGGAAACAAAACTAAAATCAAATCTTTGAACGGCAAAAATTGTCTCCAATAGCTATTGATTAGCTTTCAATCGTGATCTTTTCTCGGTTTTCCTCTTCTCTCAATTTTAGATTAATTAATTGATTATTAATAGCTCATTATTGATTGCTCTTAAATTACAAATGTATTGATTGATTTTGTATTTATTGAATAGCAACAAATAAAAGTATCATTTCCCTTGTGATAAACCTTTCCTTCAATTGTTATTATCTCAGCTGAACTGAGCATCTCACTGAATCATTCATTCCAACCTCTTTTTGATTATAGGGTATTCTTATAGGATATTCAGTCATGATACAGATTATCCTGTCAAACATGGAATCATCCAAAATCATTTGATAAAATATACAAATAATCTTTAGTTATTAAAATAACGCTGGTTAAAGGTGAGATCCAAAAAACGAAGTGAATGTACTTTTATAGTCAACTTGAACAGTATTGAGGTCCTTCCATGTAAATTGTTTCAATATCTTGAATATTTGATTGTTGATCTGCTAATCAATTTGGGTCAATGTTGGCTAGTCTCTGACTTGGTCTTGTTCAACTTGATTTTGACTAATTGATGTAATTGTTAAAGTGTGAATGTCATTGAGATTTATGTTGTTGAATCTTTTATGCTACAATCAAGAGGTTTATGGTGATTCCCATTGAGATTAAGGTTTGAATTGATGAGATGTCACAGTAAAACAAATGAAAAGGAAGGAAATAATCAAATGAAGATGAATTTGACACTTGGATTGAACCTGGAGTTAATCAAAGGTTAATAACAATCAGGGCAGGTAAATGTAAACAGTTAGGTAAGAGCCTTTTTTTTATAATTGTTGGTCTAAAATGGTTATTAAACTACTTAATGCTTATTACTCGAGATATTTCTATTAATAAATTGTAACATATCAACCAAAAAAAGGAAGCAACTGCAAGTAAATACAACAAGGTTTACAAAATAAACGAGACAGTAAATAAAATGTATTACGAAAATTGAATAATAATAGTTGAAGTTTGTACTTCTTGCTTGCTTGCCTTTTTTCAGAGATATAATGATAATAATAGGAATAACATTCAGTTGATGATGAAGATGATAATGTATAACAAGATGATAGCAGAAAAAAGCAAAGAGAAGAAATATGATGATAAAAGTTGGAAAATATTTGGAAATGAAGAAGAAGAAGAAGAAGTAAAAAATGTATTTAAGTTAAGGGTGATTAACATTATATCTATTACAATTTTGTAGCCATATATCTATGTATTTATATGGCAGCGGTTCACATTAGCATTATCTTAAATCTTGAACATTTAGGGTGAAACAAACGAAGAAATAAAATCTGAAAATTTACATTTCAGTTCATTTTACCCAAAATATTTGTATATTTAGGTACGTCTATTTATATATTAAGATAGTTTCAAGAATCTCTCAGCATGATAATAACTAAATGTTTTAAGTATTATCAACAGTTAAGACTCTAGTATTTTCCTCTTCTTCTTCTCCATCCAAATAAAATTGAATAAACCAGATACATTGAGGAGTCAATGAAACATGGAGTTGAACAACTGGGAAGCTCAAATGGTTTAGCTTTAGCTTGTTGTACGTGTTGGAAAGATATGCAGGAATGGTTTTCTTCCTTCTCTTCAAATTATTCCTCATCCTCTTCATCTTTTGCCTTTAAAAATGAAATGATGGAAGAAAAAAATTAATAAAAAAAGTTTTCATCAAGAATTGAAAATTGGCTCTTCAGAGTTATTTTAACCTATTAGAAAATGTTAGTGCCTTAAAATAGCTTATTTTCACTATTTATCGGGCAGTTTCATCTGACGATTTTCAATATTGTTCAATATAAAGAAACCAATTTCATGAAGAGTCTTACATTTGAAATAATTTAATAAAATTAAAAATAGTAATTCAACAAGACTATGTCAAGAACTGAGGATAAATCTAACATTTTCTAATAGGTTAGCATATTTTTTTACCTCACAATGTATTTCCTTTGCTTTCAAGGAGTCTTTACATGATTGAAGTGTGTTTTTGATGATGATGATGATAAAATGACGAGTATGAAGAGATGGAGGAAGGAAGAGATGTAAACTCATCTTAACCTTTACCTCAACTTGTTAGAATCACTTTTGAAGCAAGCAAAATGTTGTCAATTTGTCCTTTTTTTGTCTTACATTCACTTTACATTGACATTTTTCAAGTTGAATATTTCGAACCACAAGGATAGTAACGCTAACATAATAAAATATTAATCACTGATAAATTGTACAAAATTTAACACTTGACTTTCCAAAACAATTTACACTAATTTGTTAAAAAATGTCTAATTTTAATCACAGATTGAAAAAGCTAAACATAGCTCCATGTGAAGGCAATTTTAAGCGCCATTCAAAGAGAATTGTTTTTGGTAAAGCCTATTTGCACAAGAAAAGTATCTAGTCTTTAGAATCTGGGTAAAGAGTAGGATCAGCAAGGAGTCGAGCGCGCTTTTTATTTTACAACTTTACACATGAAATTTTAAATTTTACATTCACAATTGTGTGTTGGTTAAAGGCAGAATTAAAATAAGATTAAATCTGATTCACTGTCAATTAATAATCAACAAAATTTTACTAAAAAAATTCTGATTCTAAACTAATCTACAAAATAAAGCACCGGGGTTTGAACCTAAAATCTCCTCTACTTTAACCCAACCTTTTACCCACTAGGCTAAGCCTGAATTCATAATTTGACGATTAAAAATAATGTAATAACCAAAACATTCCGCAACATTAGTTCCCTTATGAGATGGCGTTGGAGGTGCACTTTGTGTAATTAGTCTGGGTGCTTATTTACACACGAATCGTGTGTAAATAGGCTCTACCATTGTTTTTCCCTTTTGTTACTAATTATTAATATTTATTTTTTGCGTAAGATGGCGACTTGAAAAAATAGCAAAAAGTTGTTGCAAAAAAATAAACAACACGATGAAAGCATTTATGAATAAATTATCACCAATTAAGACTCTTATTTAAACGTTTATCTACTTACATGAAATGTATACAATTATGGATCCAACGGCAATTAAAATTAGAAGTACTATTCCAAGGATCAAGAGTGATAATAAAATGTAAAAGGAACCTTTTCGCCGATATAATAAAGTTGGAGATAGATGCTGTTGTATTGTAGCTGTTGAACTGTGCTCAACATATGGATTATAACGTAAACAGTTACCATTTGTTGGCGGATTTTCCAACAATTTAGGCTCAATTGTATCCTTACGTGATTTAACTATTGACCTAGGATGACCATTGGAATCACTGGTAACAATGGATTGCATTGATTTGATGACCATCTTGCATTTATACACATAAAGCTTTGCTAGCTTTAGCTACTTTTTATTAATCGCTGGTAAAGACGTTTCTGGTCAAACTACCGTAACTCCAATAACTCAATAATCACTTTTGGGTAAAACCGTCACCAATTAATCAGGTAAGTTAAAAAGTTTTAATCCATTTCAAGTAAAGTTGTTTAGTTTTCACTTTGCACCTTGTTCAAGTTTAAAGATGAAACTGTATTCATCTATTCACTTCATTAGTCTTTTGAGTTTTTGCAAACATTCTTTTTCTTCTGTTGATTTGAATCCAAATTTGGGTAAAAATTACACAGTAATTATTTTCGATAATGGATGTTACATTAAATCAAATTGTACAATTGATTATGGATATTACCATTATTTTTTAAACAAGTTGTAAAGTGAAGTTTATTGCCTATGAAAAAAAGAGGCAAAGAAAAAAGTTTGCAAAACAAAAATTAGATGATGAGGAAGAAGAAATAAGTTGAGTGATGATAATGATGATGATGTTACTTTTGAAGAGCGTAAAATAAGTAAAAATGAAACAAGAATCACTTCAGTTCATTGCTGGGAGTTCAGAAACGAGATAAAAGACTTTACATTATCATGCGTATAAATGTCTTATCTTCCATCTTCCATCTTCCCTCATCTCGCTTACTCCATTCATATAATATAATAAATATAAATTTTCTCACTCCAAGTTTAATTTTTCACTCCCCAGGATGATCAATTTCGTTGAAGACCCATTCCATCACCCTTTGGCATCATCATAATAATCATCCTCATCAAGTGCTTTACTGTGTTTACCTGCTCAATGCTTTTCCAAAGTAATCGCGTGTCAATCCCTTGAGGCCTTTTTAAACAATTTGTCTTACTTTTTTGGTTGATCATCACTCTTTTCAAGCCAAAGGACAAAAGACAGCACACAATGGTCAACCAGTTTCACCAACCTTTCACTTTTTGATCAACCCTTGAAGTTTAAAATTCAGAGCTGCTTCATGAATTACCAAAGCTTTAACCGAGATTTAATTATCCCTGAAAGTTGGTCTTGTTTTTTGGGGTGATAATCAGGTTGGAAGGATCAATTGAAGAGTCAAAGAGGATCAAATGGTTAGGGTTGACCAAAGGACTAAATTGATGATTTTACAGTAAAGAAAAGCGAAACTCTTGGATCTATTGAATTAAGATCGTTTGGAGAGCGACAAGATAAAGAAAAAGATTTCCTGAAAAACCATTATTAATGCTAATGAGGTTGATTGAATAAGTAAGCGATGAAACTGATGATGATACTGGAAAATAATAATAATATAAATTGAAATGGTCATTAATTTGACATTAATGTCTGTGAGCTTTTATTTATTTGAATTGCTCATTGTAAGTGATTACAAGTAATAATATGATATAAAAAAAAGGTGAACCTCTCTTTACACTCATTTCAATCCCAAAAGATGAGATTGGTACAGATCACAGTCTCATACCTTTACGGATTTATGTCATTATCATGTGGTTAACTTGAGATTTCAAATGTTATATCTTTATACTTATATGCCTTTTTATTTTTATCATCTTACAGGGACTGAAACTTGAAGCTGATACAAAAGCATGAAGGAAAGTGGCACCGAAAGTGGCTTTAATTTGTTATGATGGCCAAAATGGGGATTCCCTTTAATAGACATTTGTTGGAATATTTCACTTTTTATCTTCCTCTTCATCCTCATGCTCTTCCTTTTTCCTCTCCATCTTACATGGATTATTGTAAGATTACTTGTAAGATTTATTCCCAGAAGATGTGCTTTTACTTTTTGTTTCATCTTGCCATCATCATCAACAATACAAGGAGAGGAAAGGGTTTCAGCCATTAAAAAAGAGCAAGAAAAAGCCAACCATGGATGGAACCGATTGACGATCTAGAAAATGATTTGTGACCAATTCAACTCTAATCATATCATCATTAAGTCAATGTTAATTGTCTTAAGGTTAGACAATTGTTGAACCTTACATTGGCAATGATTGTAAATCATTTTTGATTTTATAATTTGGTGCAATTTTCAAAAGGTTCATAACATTAGCTTCATTTGTTAGGTAATTTTTCAGCCTTTTCAGAGTTCCTTTTGATTTAAGGTTTTCCTTGAGCCTCATTTTTGGCTTCCCTGGTATTGTTCAAACCTTTAATTGTATTGTACACAAACACACACAATGTTGCCTTCCTTCAAATTAAACAAATCCGCTTGAAAAGCAAGCTTTAATCAAGATGAATTTCATGATGTTGATGATGGTGGAGAAAAAACTAGAAACTGAAGACAAAGAAAAGTAACTTTTTTTGAATTGAAGGAGGTAAACACTGTGTTCAAAGATGCCTTAGTTAAGATGATGGTTTTTTACTGTTGAATTTTCTTGCTCATAACACTAACGACAATCAAGTCATTTATTTCATCTCAAGAGGACTAAATGAAAAATAATTTGACAATAATTTGATAATAAATATGTTTCCTTCAAACATTACCTTCAAATCATATCGAGTGAAATGGTGATATTTAAACACTGATTAGTTTTTCCAAAGAACGCTGTTCACTTTTTTCCTATTCAATTTCAATTTGGATTCCGATTGAATTTGTATTGTAAATATCAATATGATTTACTTTTACCATTCATCTTGTCAAGTTACCATTCAAACATTGAACCTTTCCATTCATTGATTATTCAACTGATTTGTTATAAATATGTAAAACAAGACACAATTTTGTATTTATTATCATTGTTTTTTCTTACTTCAACATTTATCATCTTGTCATATCAAGATAAACTGTTTTTTATCATTTATTCACACATGAATCTGAATGAAAAATAGCCTGGAAAAGGTGAAAACAAAGTCAAACTGGAAAAATGTGAATCAACATTGGAAAAAGAGAGAACACGATTTACATGAAAAATTGGTTGACAATTGAGTGTAACTTTATTAATTTACATGTGAATGGAACATCAAATTTTAATGAATCAAGTCAATTGTAACTGTTGTTGACTTGCTTTGGTCAAATTGCAATTTGATTGACATTTTCAATTGTTTCAACATTTCGTCTCCTTTTACCTTCCAACTCAACTTTTACTCCTAATTGTATTTAAATTAATCAGCCAAATTAAATTGTAAAAAGCATCTTAAACTATCCAAAGTAAATTGAATTTAAATCCCAAACTCAAGCTTTTGTTGTCCAACTCCAACCTACAAAATGACATCTTTTCATCTTCCATCTTCTTGCAGTTCAATATCCAAGTTTAACCAAATGAAAAGCCAAATGAGGCTGATGGTGATGATAATGACGATAATTCACATGAAATGAATCCCTTTGGTTTCAAATTGCTGAACAGCAGCAATAATGGTTCAACCAATTTTCAAAGTCAAAACAATCATTTAAATCCATCGTTTTTGTCTTCTTATTTCATCCTTTTCTTCATCATCCATCAACCATTTTCAGACCAAAGTAGAAGCAACAATATCCAAGAAAAGACCCCAAAACAGGGTTAAAATGTAAGCAAAAAATACCTTTTTTAAGGTTGAAATTTTCTTCTTCAAATCTTAAAACAAAAAGTCTTGTTTCGTCTCCATAGACCTATTTATTTATTATTATTGAACTGTCTTTATCATCCTTCTCCTCTCTCTCTATTTGTCTTCATCATCATCATCTCCGAGTCTTTGTTTTCATCAAAAAATGTAACATGAAAAAACTGAAGCAATTGAACTTGAAAAAAACAAGCTCAAGCCTGGCTGAACAGCGATTACCGTCAATGCATTTCATCCTTCTTGATCTTCATTTGTATCATTCTTATCCTCATCATCCTCATCATCTTTTACTCCTACTTTGTCTTCAAATTTTCAGATAAAAAACAATCTTTTATGTAAAAAAATCGTTCCCTGTCATTTGTTGTCTTTTTTTGGGCAAGATTGAAGCATGACTTGATGGGAAAGGTTTAAAAGTGGATTTAACCCTTTCTTTTGTACCTTGATTGTCACAGTGATTGGTAACTTGAAGTATAATTAAATAGTTTAATCATAGTCAACATTTCAAGGAATCTTTTAGGGTTCATCTGATTGTTTGAAATGTTACTTGTTTATCAATATTCAAGTTGCTCGTTTTGTTGTTCAATTGATTAACTCAGAAACCCAATGATGATAACGATGATGGTGATAAAAATGAGCATAAATCAGCCTTTAGGCTTTGGGTTGTTTTAATCTTGTAAAAGTCAAGTTTGGGTTGATAAATGTTTACCTAAAATTAGCCTGGTGCTAATTAGATTTGATTGACAATTAGCTGTTATAGAGACAGCTGTTTGATTGACTGCCAGTGTTAATTGATGAAATTATGTTGATGAGGTTGCTGAGTGAAAGATAAACCAGTTCACAATTTGATACCTTTCATCATTACTTTTATTATTATCATAAAGCTTTTTATCACAATTTAAAATAAAACCCTTTTTTCTTTGAAATTTTCATTGCTTACAGAATGGATAAGCTTTGAATTATGATATGGAGGCAAAACTGGTTATCGGGTTGACCAAGTTGAAGTCTATTTTTCGGTTACAAATTTTTCAATATCATCTCGTAATTGTGTGATTGATTGGATTGCCTTCTCGTCAAAGGAATGACTTTTTTTGTCAACTGCACAAACGGTTCCTTGGATTGTACCATCAGGACCATGGAGAGGAACACCAATGTAGGAAATTAGGCCAAACTTTTGTGCATCAACGTTATCCTTCCATTCCTCTGATTGGGTTGAATCATTAACAACTAAGAGACCATTTGTTTCAATCACTTTTTCACAGTACAATTTTTTATCCGGTTTACGAAGTTCTTCCATTCCAAGAGGAAATTTATCAGCTTCAGGTCCACCAGAGAGGTCAACTTTAACTGATAAGTCATCTGATTTCATGACCAACACATTGGATACATTTAAATCAATGGCAAGCTGATTAAGTCGAGCTTGAAAATCTTCAATTTTAGCATCAACAGCCATGATTGATTATTGATTATTAAACCATATACGACACAGAGAGACACACACACAAAGCACAGGACACAAAAGAGAGTCAAAAATTAATCGTAAAGGAAGGCAATCAATTAATGCTCACCACTAATCACAGATCCGAAATCAATAAACAGATGATTTAACAAAAACGCAAAGACTCTGTTTCACTGGAAAAATTACGATAAACAAAAAGGCCTGATGATTGATATTGATTACAATTGATGGATATTGAATTGATCTTAATAAACCCAAAGAGAGCACAATTTGCCAGAAAAAAAGTGAATTCAATTTGAATTATAACCTGAATCTGAACCAGAAGACTATCACAACTGTAAATGAGTTTGTAGCGAGTCAATGGAAAACTCAATGTTTAAAATGATGTTAGGTGGTGATGATGAGAATCACTAATTTTACGGTTCTTGATGTTGATGAAAAGGAGGAGATTGTAGTTGAAAAAGTTTAAAGGTTGAATGATCTGATTTAACATGAAAAAAATGGTGAACAAAAAAACGTCGAATTGAAATTTTGGGTAAAATAACTTTCGGTCAAAATGCGTTAAAATAACTATAAGGTTAACAATGCCTATTAACAGAGCTAAAGCCCGAAAAATAACCTGTTTTTAGTGAAACAAAAATTTTCAGGTAAAAATTGTAATCTCAATTATTTACCCTTTCCCACCATTATTATAAATTATTATTTAGTCTGGTTATTTCTTGTCTACTGATAATGATGAATACAATTGATTGACGGCTACATCTTTTTACTTTTGTGTTCTGCAACCTCATTCTCGTTCTTATTTTTGTGAATCTTTTTCTTTCTTTTTCCCTTCTCTCTCTCTCCTTTCATCGTTCATCATCATTATCAATTTCAATCCCGGAAATATTATCTTCGTGATCATCTTTTCACCTTCACGCAACCTTAACATTGACCTGAGCAAAGGTGTTTCTTAATTTAAACACGAAAAAAATGATTGTCTATGTTTAACTCAATTCAACTCAATTGTTTTGTATGCTTTTGTTACTTCTCTACTTGTGCATTCACTTTACAGGTTAATTTTGACTAAATTGTGATTCTTAACCTTCACCATCTACATGGTGATTGACAGTAACAATTTGATATAATCTTGACTCAATCCATAAGATAATTTTTCAATCCACATTCAATAATGCATTAAAGTTGATAAACCTTTTTTCACTCAAGGTTTTAAGGTAACATTTACCTTATGTTTAATGATGGCCTTTTTTTACCTTTTTTCCCTCTCAATTCTGCTACTCAATTGGGAAGTAGAAAGATTATCTCATCTTATATTTAATAGTTTGAATCAAAGTCTGCCTTATTTATCAACCAAAAGGTGTAATTTAAAGTGAGATCCCAATGAATTTGTTGATAAATTATTCCCAGCCAAACCCATTTAATCTCAACCTTTGGCAACTCTTTTAGCCATGAAAATGAATATAATGAATTGAAAAAAAGTTCCAATTTGGTTGAGCTTTTTTTTCTGCTTTTGATGCTTTTTGATTAAAGATTGAAGTGTATTAGGACAAATAAACGTTGATTGAAACTGTGAGTCAAGCAAAAATTGTTAAAAAAACAAGCAAATGAAAGGTTTATGATGATGTAAGGTTCACTTGGATTATACATTGGTTAAGATTATTCAATACAAAGTTGGCGGTTAAAAATTGAAAAGTCGGGGGAGAGACAAAAATGGTTGCCATCAATTAAACTGCATTTTAAGCTTCTTTTCTTGAAGTTAATTTTATATTTTCAGTTTGTTTTTTTTATTTATTTAATCTTGTGATGTTACAATATCAACAATTAATTGACAATTCAATGTCATTGGTTAATTGTGAGACTATTTTTGTATACTTTTCCATTTCTAGTGTTACTTGTTGATTTAATGGAGTTCAAGTGTAAAAAAAGCTAAAACCAAGTCTATGGATGTCTGAATAGACAAAAAAGCTAACTTCTGTGTCGACTTGTTTTTCTCACTGTAGACATTAAATGTGCTTTTGTTGATTTTTCTGGTTCTCATCATGGGTTGAATCATTCTGGATGAGGGGCTAATTTAACCATACAATGGTTACCATCTTTGACAATTACAATTACCTTTTGAAATAACCTTCAATTCACCTGTCTTTGTTCTCATTCTATTCTCAACGTCTTCACCTTCACCATCATCATAATGCAAAGCTATTCCTGGTGTTCACTATGACTTGTTTGACTTGAGACAGCATGATTTTACCCTTCTCTTTCAACATCAAGAATGAATTGATTCACTCATCTTCTGGAATTTATGGTTATCTGATTCAACAGAGTGTTGAAATCAACACTTTTTTCTTTAGATGCACCAAACCAAGACCTCTTCGCCTGTAAACAAGTAGTTTCAATCCTTTAAGGTGCGTAAAGATTAAATTAGCTATCTTTGATTTATCGTGGATTTCTTGGCTATCTTGAAATTCGATTAATCAAGTGTAAGGTGAAATTAAACTAATTACTTTCTATGTAATTTTTAAAATTTAATCGTTGACTTATTAATTTACATTTCTTGTTTTTTTTGTTTCAACTTCCCAGGCTGTTCACATGATGATTCCTAGGCAATGGAAAGTGTTTATTAAACTGGATACAAAACAAAAGGCAGAGCGTCATTAAAAAATGGTTAACTCAGAATGGACTTGAACACAGGGAAACAAGCCAAAGCAGGAACAATCAGAAATGCAAACTTTAAGGATATACAAAGTTATTTGTTGATTACAGTTAAATAACACAATACAGTTATATTTAACTGTTTGATTTGAAGTTGATGATGATCATTACTATTATGATTATGTTTATGGAAAGCAAAATAGTGTAATTGAACTTGAGGGCAATTTGAAAGAATCAAGTTCACCGATCTTTTTTTTCTTCTTGTTGTTTCCTTCCTCATTTGAAAACCAATATTACATTTTCTTAAAGTAACTTGAACAATTAGCCTTAAGGGTTTCCAAGCCATTGGATTCTGGTTTCCGGTCCTCATGATAACAAACATCAACATCAGTCAAAAAGTTCTGTTATCTTTGGCACGTTGGAATAGACGAAAGAGAAAGAAAGAGAAAAGTTCATTATAATCATCATTATGAATATTTGCATCTTCCTAATGGCAAGTCAATCAATTCTTGGAAATCCATCAACTCTCACTCTTGAACGACTCTCTTTCAACTTTCCCTTTAAAAGATACTTTCTCTCTCTCTCTCTTCTTTATCATCATCATCAACATCATCATATGCATGAATGCTCAACCTTTTTTACTTGTTTTATCTCAACATCATCCATGTATATATACAGATACAGATGTACCTTTGCCATATTAGTTGTGTTCATACCTATCTGAGGGAAAAAAGTTTTTTTAAGGTGTTAACCTGTAAGTTAAATACTCAGGCTTACAAAGTGTTCCTCTCCGGTGGGAAACCTGATATCCTTCAACCGGTTGGCCAGCCTAAGTAACAAACCCACCAAGAGGAAAAGCCTTTTCAGTTTATTTCAAACAAATAATAGTGACTTTTTTGTTACACTCTTCCCAATATCGCCAGTCAATTTATTCATTCACTTTTATTCATTATATTCAGACAGGACAAAAACAGATTCACTTTGTTCAACAACTGGTGTCCCAATAACTCATCATGTTCCTTTACCATTCAATACTATTTGCTTCGGTATGTTTCAATAATTTTAAATGCTAATCACTTCTTAATTAATGTTAATTTTACTTTTGTCCAGATTTTCATAACAACTATCCAATCTCATGGATCTTATCATTCAAGGGGTAAGTTTAACCATTTTTTTCCCAATACTTGTTGGTCATTTGGCTAGAAGTTTCAAGCTTATTAGATTTTTTGCAGAAAATTTTCCGAGGAAAATTATTGTCGCAATTAACTAAATAGGCAAATAATTTTGATTGATTGGACAATTTTCTCGTTGGTCAGTGTTTATTTCAAGGATTTTAACTTGAAATGTTGAATTTTGTTCGAGTTTTGTTCCTGATTGAGTGAAATTTTCATGTCCAACCCTTTTTACTTTGATTGTCATCAAGTTGTAACAACAATTTAATGTTTAAAGTTGATGGTTAAATCAAGTGTTTATTGTGATTATCCAAGCGCAATCATCACTTGGTCAAATGTGTGTATTAAGTGATTGTGATTGAATTGATTAAAGGTTCAAGACTTTGTTTTGAAGGACACTAATTAACAATTACTGTCCACTGAGACAAGTCTTAATCAAAGGTTATCCATTTCCATTAACTTTAATCAAATAGATTTGTTAATTAGATAGTTTTCTCAATCAATTGAAACAATAGGGAGACAAAAGTTATAAGCAATTGAAAAAAGTCCAAGCCATGATTAACAATTAAGTTAAAGATGTTGATAAGCAAAATTGAGCTTCGCATTTCACCAAACGCCATGAATAATTGAATCTAAACTAAACTGTCAGACTCATCTATTGATTGCAATTAAACAAAGCCAACAAAGACTGTTAAGGTTATACTCTAATGATAATAGCTTAATATAATAATAACAAAATAAAAGATGAAAGTAAAATATGCTCAAGGTGATAACAATTGACAGGGAAATTTGAATGGAAGGGAAAAAGTGTGAACAACTTGAAATAACCTTAGGGCAGCAAATAGCGTCCTTTACCCTCCTCATCCCTTTGGTTTGAGTTACAATCATAATGGCCATAATTTATTGATGAATCTAAGTGATTGTCAAATTAAAGGCAATTGTTTTCCAGTGCCATTATTTGTTTGGTAAAATTTTGGTGATAATCTGATTAACTGTTGACGAGTCTTTAGTTCTTGTTGTTGTTGTTTTGTGTTCAATCAAATTTGGACTTGGCCAAGGAACCACTTGAAAGTTCCCTTTGCTGTGGTCAGCTTTACTCAACCCAAACTTGCCTACGGCTTTGTAAACCATTGTGAATACTGATATTTATATTCAGTGTAAGGTCAGGTTTGTAATGTAAATTGTTTCGGCAAATATAATGATTAAATGATCAAATGGCCGAAATGTTTAATGTTAATAACATTAACAATATTAATAAAATGAAAAAGCCAAACAATTGCAATCAATAACAATACAAATTGAATAGTAAAGACAATATGAGATTTGAGTAGAGAATTGGTTTTTCTTGTTAAAGTTAAATTACTAAACCTTCAAAACCATTTGCCTAGCAATGAATTGAATTTTTGTTGATTCAATCCATATGAACAGATAAAGGAGAGAGAGAGAGAGTATGATTAGGGATGAGGATGAAGAGGAGGAAGGAGATGATGCAGGTAGATCAGGGTCTCATTCAAATTCAGATCTTCCTTTGCTTCTTTTGCTTGTCAATTTTATTAGGAAAAATAGTCTCTTGAGTATTTTTCAGGGAAAACCTTTTCTTTTTTTTCTCTTCTTTTACTGAAAAAAAGTCTTTTTTTCTGGTGAAGAGGAGAAGCTCCTTGAGGCTTCTTCACACATCATTTTGAGATGATGATTGTGATGATGATGATGCAAAAGATGCAAAAAGACAAACCATTTTGTTTGAGTTGTCTACAAAAGTCCCATTGAAAAGGAATGAAAAAAATTCTTTGACTTACTTTTTTCCATGAAATTTTCTTTCCAATTATCATCTGACTACATGAATCTCTTCAACTTGTCTTCTTCCTCCTCATCAATTGATGAAGGTAAATATGGGAAACTAACATTCAGCAAAATTCATTTAACCTTGTAACTATTTTTCAATGATTGCTAGGATTTAGACAATATTTTGATAACCTCAGTCAATTGCATTTCAACATTGTTTACCAACTTTCAATTTATATTATTAGCAATTAAACAAGAATTAAATTGTCAATTTATGTTGATTGACTGCTGATTTAAGCTGAAACATCTCGGGATAACTCACGAGCTAAATTTAATCAACATTTAATTGAATAATTTTGAGCTACTGAATGGCTTGTTTTAATAGTCAATAGTTGATCATTTCAATGAAGATGCAAATTTAAATAACAGTTTCGCTTTAGATTTTGATTATTTCTCGTTTAATTCAGTTATTTCAATTACTTTAACCTGATGTAAAATTTGAAAAAACCTTGCAAGACTTTACCTGATACTTTTATCTTTCTGAATATTGAATAGGATGAAACTGAATCAAAAGAATGGGTTAAAAGAAGAGAAAATAATATTAACATAATCTTCGTTTTTTCCTCGTTTTTTCTTCTTCATTTTGCCATTCAATTGATTCAGCAAATAAATGTTGATCATGATTTATTTGATTAGCAATTTTGTGCAAAAATTTACATAAATACCAATAACAGTGAATCTAATATATCGTGAGTTTTCAAATTTTTTGGACAAAATCAAATTTGAATATAAATTCTCTGAAATTAAGCTGTTAATCTCAGTCATTTTGTGATTTGATTTACAAAAAACGGATAAATTGATGATTAAAAATTATGTTGAATTTTGAGAAATGAATTTAACCATGTAAAGGGTTATCAATTAATGAATGCATCTTTTGATCAACGGTTTATCAAACCATGAAATTGTGTTCATAGTTTCACTTGAATCTATTCGTTGTTGAAAAGGTTAAAAAGCTTATTGTTAATCTTGTTACTAAATACATTACAATCTATTAATCATCGTTATTAATAATCAGAATTTTGTTCATCATTATTATCAGTTTCATAGAGAATTGGATGTAATTTATGAAAAAAAAGATTGGGAGTTTTTTGTTCTCATTACAATTATAAAGGTAATAATGATAATTACTTAAGTCATAATGTTACTGGTGAACAAAAATAATACCATAATTTTCGTGATGACAGTCTATTAAATTGAACAATTAACATTCTTATTCATTAAGTTTAAAAGCTGCTCTTAATCAATGTTTAAGGTTAACAATGTTTGAATTTAACCAGATCCTTAAGTGTATAACCATCGGTTGAAATAATTTAACCCAATATTTCACTCTAAAGTTGAAAGCTTCATTCCTTTGAATCAGATCATTGTATGGGATAATTGTTATTCCGGTTAATAAACTATTAAATAATGGAAATCAGTACCTTGAGCTATTTTTCATTTGTTTAATAGTATCTAACAATGAACGGTTGAAAAGTATTCCGATAATTTATTGAAGCCTCCTGTTTGATTTTTCATCGTTTACACCTAGATGTTGTTGTCTGAACTTGATCGATATATTTTGAATGATTTATTAATGGGAACAATGATTGTCAATCTGATTATTTATGATGCCAATAGTGTTTCTATGAATTTAATATCATTAGTAGATCCAGAGTTGAGGCAATCTTACCACGATCTGGTTTAATGATTCAATTATCGATATAATTACCAAAGAATAATAAATGATTCATTTATAAACAATTTAAGACTTTAATGGTTCAATGATCAACAAGTAATTTATTTTTAAACAAATGTCTCTCTTTTGTTACATTTTTAATATTGATGAAATAATGTTGTCGTTTTGATGAACGACTTTATGTTTATTTGATTAATTATTGTTTATGTTTTTATCTTGATAATAATAGATCGACAAGGACATGAGAGAACTTGGTTTCAAATGTCAATTCCTTATCTGGATACAACAATTCAATTTCAACCTCCAGCAGGTAAGTGAATCGATTTTGATTTCATTAATGAAAGTAAAAATTTGACAAATCTTTTTAAATATTTTAGGTCTTGAACCCGAACGGTTGTTTGATTTTATGACACCTTTACAAAATTGGAATCCTCTGGAGCCACCACCATTCATGAGACCATTTTTTGATCGCCCGAACCAATTCAGACCAATGATACCACCTCCACCTCCACCCATACCACCTTTCTCCCAAGACACACCTTCTACTTCATCAAATCCCAATTCAATCCCTGAACCTGAACCAGAATCGGGATTCTCGGTATCTTCATCTGCATTTAACCCATCTAGACGAAGATGGAAGCCTCGGTGGCATCCTCATAACCGTGCCGGTGGACATTCTGGTAAAAGACCCAATGCTTTAAGACCATCAAATGGGAATGGAAATGGATGTCGGTATGTTCCTGGAACTAAAGGAGGACGAAAATGCCGTCCAGGCCAGCGTTTCTGGGAAAAATCCAAGCCTAGTGAACCTCAACCCAGTTGGCCATTCTTTGTGTTCCCACCACCACGGCCTTCAATATCAGATGATAAACCAGAAGTTCCTAATACTTTCACTGAAGTAACAAAAAAAGACGACCCTGCTTGTGGTAATCGACATCTTCCAAGACCAACTAAACCATCAGAACTGAATCCACCATCAACAACAACGATGGTGACAACGTCAACAGCAGTCACACCATTGGAAAAAAACGAAACTACAAATGAACCAGTTGCTAACAAAACAGAAACTCCATTAACATCTACAACAACGACTACAACTGAATTACCAATAACACCAGATTCATCAGATTCATCTGATGTTGCACCTAATACTAATGAAAAACAGCCTTCATCAAATGACTCGTCACAATCTTTACCATCTGACTCAAAAAGTTCAGATGCTAAACCGGAAAAGGACGGAAATTTCTCGGAATTTGAATCGAAAAATGAGCCAAATACAAATGAAAAGGAACCAGGTGAAGAAATTGAAAAGAAAAAAGAAACCGAAGAAAAGACTGAACTATCAGTGTCATCTAAACCAAAAGATTCTGATGATGGGGTTAGAGTAAGGACAAATATAAATAATGGTGAGGATATTTCCCCATCCGGTATGGTGACAACAATGGGACCTTTAGAGGAATCAGATGGAAAAGAAAATGGAAATAAGAAAATGGAAGAAACAAAAGATGATGATAAAAAGATTGAATCTAAAGAAAATGAAAATGTTGATGGAGAAGATAACAAGAAAAAAGAAGCTGACGAAACTGTTGATTTGAAATATTCCCCATTCACATCAAATCCAAGTGAATCATCTTCACCAAAATCTTCATCTTCATATTCATCACCAGAAAGTGAAGTTACAACCATATCAAATGATAATGTCAACAATGAGGTTGTTTCAACAACAAGTTCAACTGATTTAGGTAACATTGACTTACTCAATGAAGCTGATACCCTTCCAGATGAAATTGATAAAGGTAACAATAATAAGAAATCTGCATTACCGGATGCTGAAGCTAAACGGAAAAGGGAAGCAGAAAAGGAACAATTTATCAAACAAATTGAATCAATGTCCATTGAAGAGTTTAGAAAACTTGCATCTAAGATTGCATCTTTATCAAGTTAAATGATGAAAACAAAATTTTGGTCAACTTTTTTATCCATCTGTCAAAAATAGTGAAACTCAGTTTATCTTGACTCGGAAGTAAACTCAGGATGAATACATTATTACACGAAAATAATTATAATAATGATACAGAATGATTATGGTGGTGATGGCTATGATAATGCTAAATCAAAAAAGGCAATATGATGATAAATCAGAAGAAGAGAACAAATCTTGCTTCGAAATTATCATAAAAAAGTAAACAAAAAGTCGATGTTTTTTATTCAACTTATCATTTATCTTTCAATGTTTTCCTCATTGCTTTTATCAAAAACTATCACAATAACCTTTGATGGTAATACTTCTCACCATATCTTTCAATTTCATCTGCAGCAATAATGACTGTTATTCATTGTAACTTCAGTGCCAACACCATCTTTGTAATTTTTTTAAAAAATCCTTCTTCGACTTTTCCGTCAAAATTTGCTTTCCGTCTCAAATGATTTAATTAATCTACTTAATCATAACATTGGTGCAAAGATTCAAGGAGAAACAATTGTGATTGTATTGGGATGGACGAATTTCCGAATCAAATGATTGTCATAATGTGAACAATTTATGAACCAATAAATTGATTATTGTATTAATGACAATAAATGTATTATTAAAACTGTAATCATCTATTTGATTAACTTATCAAACAAAAAAAGGAAGCTCTCTAAAGAGTCGGAAATTCTTTATCACATTTCATGTTTATGATTTGGGTTTAATGATCAAATAGAAGCCTAATTATGAATTTTCAAAGCTACTCGATCAGCTGATTAGGCAGGAAAGATAAACAGAAAAAATGGCCAATGACTTGACCACTTTGATGCAATTAGATTTCGCTTTTTCAGTCCGAAGAGAGTATAAACAGTCCGCTGACATATTCCTTGAAGAGCCAGAAATGGCAATTAAAAATTTACAGCGACGCAACTACCAGAATCTGGTAAATAAGACTGTTTTGAAATAGAAGTTTAAATTAAATCAAAATGATTCTCTGTTGGTGAATTGATTACAGTGATAACATTGTTGATTGATGACTAGGGGCGTAACTATGGATTAACTGTTAAGTGAATGTTTCTCTATTGTAACCAACTTAAAACAGTTTCTTGTTTTAAATGGTTATTGTTTAGTTGAAGACAATTTTCTTTACACCATTCTTTCATTGTCATTACATCACCTACACATCCTTCAACATCATCATCACCATCATCGTTAAACTCATCAACAAAACAATCATTAATAAGTGTTCATTATCATAATGGGATGTTGCTTTTGTAAACAAATAATTGATGAAAGATCAGCAGCAGCCAAAGATCCAACCAGTGGTCTAGGAATAATTGACCATGAGGAAACATCGACAACATTGGAGGGCGATGATGATCGACGTCGCCAGTCTAAATCATGGAATCGCAGTCTTCATCGGATGGCTTTAAGTGTCATTGATATATCTTCATTTGAGACGACCAACTATGATGCCAAGGAATATGATGAACGAACCAAATTGTATGCCTCTCGTTTAGACGAAGTCAAGCCAATTAGTAATAGCAATAAATTGAAGAACAAGAAAAGTTGGGATCCGAAAACAATTGTATCCAAAGGTAAAATATCCAGTGAAGATATGAATCTTATTGAAGAGGTAGCAGAAAAATCTTTACATGCAGTTAACAATTTCACTGTTCACAGTGATCAATCAGTCGTACAACCTTTTCAACCATTTTGAATTTGAGCTTATAGTTAAAGCATTTTCAAGTTGTTACAACTTATAAATAATGTGAAATTATTATTATCCTCTCATGAGTCAATTTTGGGTACGATTATGTATCATAATAAATATCGTCCGTTTAAGTAAATAATTTTTTGTTCAACAATATACATGGGTAAATATACCAGTTTTGATTGAATCACATATTTTTGTTGCGAGAAAAAACAATAAATCACAACATTGAAATTATAGATACTGGAATAATCATGATTTATCATTTGAATTTTCTTTTAAATTCTTACTACAATTAGCTTCATTACTCTTCGATTCATCCTCGCCAGAATCATCATCATCTTCCATATCGGGAATGGGAAATCGTAATATTGCAGCGATACCCGTTAGTTGTTCTAGTTCTATAAAAAGAAAAAGATTTCAGACATTAGACAGTTTCAAATCGAGTTAAAATATTCTACTCACGTTCACCAGAAATATGAAGACTTGAGAATATCCTAACTTCACCTCCATTTTCTTTGACACTGTCTACTAAAGCAACGTAACGTTTTCTTTCTAAAGGATCGTTACAGCGGAAGAGATGATCTGATATTAATAAAGTTTCTATTGCTTGGAACTGATTCGCTTTTTCCACATGTTTGTATCCATAGAATGCCCGATCAGATTCCGATGACAACATTTGGTAGAAAGAGTCTAATGCTTTAACTTCAGCGGCTGCTTTAGTATCAGCAAGCCGATTTTGTATCAGAGGATCTACAAGAATTTCTTTCAAACTATGTTTGAAACCTGAAGATGAGTGGACTAAAACAAACTTATTTTTGTTCTCTATAATTAACTTGTTGTCTTGTTTGACGGCTTCTTGCACCATGAATTCATAGAACTGATCCTTCACAAATCCTGGACTTGCTAAAAGCACACATTTGACCACTGAAAAATAAAAATTTTAAAGTTAGTAATGCAGATTAACATTGATTTGAACATTAAATAATTTACCATCGAAGTTTATGTGTCGTATTATAGCTTGCATTACACTCTCGAAAAATCGATTCATCCCTTTTTCATGTTGAGAACATAAACCCTTCCTTTTTCTCGGTATATTACATTCGACCTTTGCTCTTGTAATGGTCATGGAAGAAGTAATAAAGCAAACATTTGCTAAGCCTTGCTGCATTACAACAGCAGCCAAATCTGCACGCTGAGTAGGATCACAAGCCATTTCCAGTCTATCTAATGCAATGGAATCCCAGTGTTCTTTAGTTAAAGTAAATTTTCTGTTCAGCTCTAAATCAAGTGTATGATACTGGTTCATCTTTACAAACTGATTCTCTACAATGTTTCGTCCTTTGACACGAACCAGACAAGCCTGAGTATCATATTCGGTTGATTCAACTTTGAGTGTTAACGTAGTCCGAACACGACTACTACCAGTACTTCCAGTGGCTGATTCAAGCGTAACTTTACGAAATGTAGAAGCTTTAACAGCGTCATTTGCTTCAATGAGATTATAAGCATGCCACATATCCTCATCTTCTTCAGGGATCAAGACAACAGATCTAGAATAGATACAATATAATGTTTTTACACATGGACATTCTCAAAAAGCTAGAAGACTATCTGATAGACAAAACTTACCCGTGATTATCTTTGTCAATGTATTTCCCAACCAATTTCATTTTGGAAGTAAATTCTTGAAAATTACGCACTAAATTAAATTATGCGATACAAAAATAAATAAAATATTTTCATAATAAACATCAGAAGTTTAATTCTAACTTCAACTTAACAGGTTAATAAACAATCATTTCTGTTCACGAGGTAAACACTTCACTTCTTCCATCTGTGGAGAAATCATTGAACAATTTTTTTCGCCGAAAAATGAAAAGTCGATTATTTGTCCAATTAGTTAAATAGGTTTACAATTAAAAGTTTTTAATTCTAGATTTTACTAAATCGAAATAATAGCAAAAAATTCGGCAAAATTTCCATAATAAATTAGCGCAATTCATTATGCATTAATTAATTTCGATTTAGCCCTTTAATGCAGCTTTTATCGAATCCTAGCTAGAAACCGTAATATTAGACTTTCGAGCGAGTTTTTTTTATAACGATCTATGTTTAATTAATCGATTGTCTTAGGTTTAAGATTTTACGATTGGATTTACAGTTAAAAAAGTTAAACTTTATTTGGATTTGAACAATTAAATAGATGCAATTCCGAGTAGTATTGATAAGAAAATCCATGGTGATCCGATCTCTTATCGATATTTACAAGTACATGTATGTTTAGGTGCAAAGCTCTTATTTTATCAAAGTGTAATCGAATTAATGAGAAGGTTTATGAATTTGATACTGATTTGTTATAATTCTCAATTTAATTCATCAGTTTATTGTGGTTGATCAACTTGTTTAATAAATAATTACTCAATTTCTAAGATGGCCTTAGCAAAATTTCCTGTTACTTTTTTCTTCGATGTACTCTCACCTTATTCTTACATAGGTTTTGAGATTTTGACAAGGTACAATAAAGTTTGGACGAAAATGGACTTAAAATTGAAACCTTGTTCTATCTTCCATGTTTTCAAGGAATCTGGTAACAAAGCTCCAATGACCATTCCAGCTAAAGGGGCTCACTTGACACACGATCTTAACAGAGTTTCAAAAATGGCTGAGGTATGAATTTAAATGTTTGTGCAATCCAAATGTAAAATTTATAAAGCCATTTATTATTAGTAATGTACCTGAATTATTGTACATTACCAATGTTATTATCGTACTCTAGCTTTTCTGTTATTTTTACCTCTAGATTCCATTTGGTGTTCCTAGTAATTTCTTGTCGCTAGCTTTTGAACAAGGTTCATCCAAGACACTCAAATTTATAGCCGCTGGAGACTTTGTCACCCAATCTAAAGCTACTGAAAATTTAACGAGACAAATATTCAAGCGTGTGTTTGCTAACAATCCAGGACTTGAGATTTCATCTCCACAAGCTTGGCTTGAAGCAGGAAATGCTGCAGGCATTGATGATTCAACCTTGAGTGAAATCATCATTCAAGCCGAAAAACCACAGTTTAAAGCAAAGGTGGTTGAAAACACTAAAGAAGCAGTTGGTTTTGGTGCATTCGGTCTTCCAATAACTGTTATCCACGCCCCAGAAGGTCCAATCATGCTATTTGGCTCTGATAGAATTGAACTTCTCGCTCATCTTATTGGTGAAACTTATCTTGGACCAAATCCAATAAAAAAGTCAAATCTATAATTTTATTACATGTGTAAAAACGTTATATTGGTTATTGTTATTTGTAATTCGGATTGATATTTGTATACATTTTTAAAAGTGCTTTACATCAAAATTAAAATTTTATTAGACCTTACCAAAAGGTATCTTCAAAGTTTCTACACGAATAAATTCCAAGTTTACTTAAACAACTGACAATAGAAATATTGGTCAGTATAAAGCGTTCCTTTGAGTGAAATAGAAAAGAAAACAAAGCTATATTAAAGTGAGGTCCCGCCTTCGGTATTTTCACCTGTGACAGTTTCATGTTTGTTTACTCTTTTTCTTCTCCTTCATCTTTTCATTATTGTTTCATTGTATATTTTTTTGTCTAGTTATTTCGTTAATAATGGACGGTCTGAAAAAGCCCCTTCCTGACGAGCTTGTAATCAAAATACTTTTTCATTGTGATGGACAGACATTTATGAGATGTGCCAGAGCTTGTAAACGATTCCACAGAATTGCTGCTGGTATGGGAGCCGATAAATCTAAATATTGGTATCATGCAGTTAAGAGAGATATTGAACCATCGCTAATTTCCCAATTGCTGCTCAATCATCCTGTTGAGTTAGGTGACAAAATTCATAATCTCTATCAAGTACTTTACTCGGAGGCATCAGCTGATGATGCGATCTATTGGCCAGCGCGTTATGACCCTTGGTATCAACTCTATACAAAATGGTTTTCAGGATCACAGCTGAAAAACAAAAGCTTTACACGTTACAATGTCGATGGATTACACAATAATCATGTAGCTATTATAAAACAATCAGGTCCGTCTATTTTGAATATTCTTTAGCTTACTCTCAACTAATTAAATCATCTATTTCAATCCATAGGTGATCTCGTAATAACAGGACATTATAATGGAGCCGTCGCTGTTCATAACTGTACTTCTGATACTATGACATATATTACCGTTCATCTACGTGAGATAACAGGAATTGCTCTGGTCAATTTAACTTTGCATCAATCTTTTAAATATCTTGAAAATGCTAAGTGCAATCATCATCATATTATATCAATTGCTAGAGGGGGTCATCTACGTTGTTATCCGATATTTCCAACGGAAGAAACCGATGGATCGTCAACATTGAGCACGAGACTAGCAGAAAAAGATCTTAATGATGTGCGTGTGTTTGGAAACCAGTGTGTCGTTCAAACAAAAGATGCATTTTTTGTTCTCAAAATAACACTGCCTAAAAGTGCCAACCGAGATTTTCGTTCTGCTGATTCTCTTATTACTCCGCTGGAAATTAGCAAGATGCATACAATTTCCATCAATACAAATATATGCTTTAAAGCAACTAGTTGGATGAATTTCTGGAGAAATAAGGTAATGAAACATCTCAATAAATGTTCTTGGAAATTCTACTTAAAATATATTTGTTTGTAGATTACACATGTTGATGGTTTAACTTTCCGAATCGATATCCATGACTCTGCCTGTAAAGATTGGATTTGGGACTACACGCCAGAGTTTTCATCAACTCTTTCATTAACAGGGTCGCAAAACAAAAACCGCGCTGTGATTTCCCGTGCTTTCCTCTTTAGAGATAAAATCGCCCTTTTCGTCTCAAGTAAGTAGAATAATTTTACGTTCCTTTTTATTCCAATCTAACTTTAATGTACTTAATGTAAATCCGACTTATAGGTACAGGAGGTGTATATGTTACTCTGGATTTGGATACAATTCAAGAAATACCAACATTGGAGCATTTTGATGCTGGTGTATCAGTCATTTCATATTGGGGGAGTTTAATTGCTTTCGGACTAACAAATGGCAAAATATACGGCTATAGCGTCTTGGAATCTTCCAAATTGTTAAGTTTGGATCTTTCTGACCCAATATTTGTTAGACACATCGATCCAGATAGAGGAAGTGAAGCAATAGTTTCATTGGATGTTTACAATTCAGGATCGGGTTATTCTATTGCAGCTTCTACTTTATACAGCTTGACTGTCTTTAAAAGTGTCGGTTGATGGCTCATAACATGTATTCAATATCGGTTAAATCAAAAAGTCTCACGTCTATTTTGTCCAGAATTTGGATGGTAACTTGAGAATCTTAGGATTAATGATGACTCTCAAATTAAAGCGGATGGTTTGTTTAATTTGTTAAAGATCTCCGCTAAATCAATTAATCAAGTTTTGAAAATCGTGTTTAATTTGTTCAATTAATTAAGTTATTTTATTGTTTCTTTTCATAATTAAAGTTAAAAACTGTAAATTAGTTTCAATCATTCGCTTTGGAATTTTGAAGAAATTTTTACCGCTCATTCATTCAAAGTTGATAAAAAGATCAATAGATGTCACTAGTCACAACCAATGGTCTGGTTTGCAAATAAAGCAAACAATAACAACTGTTTTTCATAAAAGCGATATCCTTGTGTTTTTATTAAATTCTTGATCTTGTGTTAACGTTTTCAAAGTTATTAATTCAATAATTATTAGTAATTCATCCATTGTTACAATCGACCATCCATTCACTAGATTAGTTCAATAATGTCACTCGCATCCAATAGATCCCGGCGTGCCAATGCCGGATCCAAAATGAATGAGCTTTTAGGTAAAGAAGATGAAGAGTTTTACCAGCAAGCCTATGGAGGTTTCGTTGATGTAAGTATCCAGCTTTTAAATTTGAGAACTTTTCTCTCAGCTATTCTTTCTTCCATTTTTTTTCATTCTGTTTTTCTTCCTATCTCATTATGTATCTCTCTTTTCCAATTCTGCTTTCTTCACTCCCAAGGACGATAATGACAAGGAGTTTTAACCATTTTCTTCTTTTTTCCTCTAATTGTTTTTTAAAATTCAGGAAGACGGTGAAGTTGACAATGAATATGAACCAGAAGCATCAGATGACGATGTTGTCGATTCTGATTTTGATATTGAAGAAAATGACGAGCTAATCGAGCAAGATGAAGAGGAAGAAAAAACAAAGAAAAAAACCAAAGGTTACAAGGAACCACCAAAAGAAAAGATTGTGAAGAAGAAAACTGTCAAACCCAAGGTAGAGCCAGCAAAAAGTATAGAAATTATTCCAAACAAAAAATCAGTGAGAGATTCAACAAAACTCAAATCTGAGCAAACAGCTTTCAGATTGAAATTAGACCTAGAAGCTAAAAGGAATATTAAAAAAAGGAATTATAAAGATAATTCAAGTTGGCGGAAACTCACACAAGAAGAATTGTTGAAAGAAGCGAAAATAACGGAAAAAATCAATTTGAAAAGTTTAGAAAAATATCGCAAACTAGAATTGGAAAAGGCTCAAAAGAGTAAATTTGTCAAAGAGGTTGCCAAAGGACCAAGGATAATCTTTAAATCTACATCGATGCCATTTTTAGAAGTGGGAGAAAATGGTGAAGTGAAGGAAACTGGCGAAAGGTTTGCCCGAAACTTTATTACCTTCACTGATGAAGAAACTTTTGCTCAATATTGCAATAAAAATACAGAGCCGCAAACTCCCGCTCATAGGCCAATATGTCCGATTTCTGGTTTAAGAGCTCGATATTTTGATCCAGTCACACAGATGCCTTTTTCATCTGCGAATACATTCAAAGCACTCAGGGAAGCTTATTGTCATAAATTGGAAATGTTAGGTGATCCTAAACAGCCCGATGTTGCTAAATGGCTAGAATGGAGAAAGAGGCATGTGTAGATTAATACACTGCAGAGCCCGGTTAAATCAATTTTCTTGATCTCCATTTAGTGACAATATCAACAATATCTTGTCTTGTTTGATGACTTGTATGATGAATGCGTAAAACTGATCTTTCAAAAATCCTGGACTTGCTAAGAGCACACACTTGACTACTGAAAAGAAAAATTTCACAATTAGTAATGCAGACCAACACTGATTAAAATAATTTACCATCAAATTTTATGTGTCGTAATAGCTTACATTACACTTTCAAAATTTTGGTGTATTACATTCAACAATTAGCAATGAAAGAAGTAATAGTGCGAACATTCGCTAAGCCTTGCTGCATGACATCAGCAGCCAAATCTGAATGCTTAAAGCAGTCTGAACGCGACTGATTCAAGAGTAACTTTACGAAGTGTATCAGCTTTAACGGAGCTTCTTCAACAAGCTTTATTGACATTATAAGCATGCCACTCACCCTCATCTTCAGGAATAAAGACAACAGATCTAAAATAGATACAATATAATGTTTTTACAAATGATACCAAAAATTCCACTTGTATCTGATTACTTTTGTCAATCTATTTTCCAACCAATTTCATTGTGATGTGTTGAAAATCACGCACTAAACTAAATCATGATATACAAAAACTAAATAAAATATTTTTACAATAACCATCAAAAGTTTGATTCTAAAGCCAGCTTAAATAACAGCTTAATAAACAATCATTTTTTTAAAATATTAAGCTAAACACGAGTCCATTAAAATAATACGAATCAATCAATACAGATTCTCACATCCCAGCACTGGATTAGTGCATTTTAGATCTTACCCTGCACAGTCTGATCGTCCGATTAAGAACGCTTAAAGTAACAGAAATGCTTTACGTACATTTAATTACTTTTTTATTTGACTGGCAAGAATAAAAGTTATGTGTGATATAATTGAAGGTTAATTTCATTACTAAATGAAACAATGTCAAATATTGCGATTAAAGTATAAAAACACTTTGAGTGTTACCCAAGAATTCGTTCTATTCTTATGTTTCAGTCTAACAATTAAGTCTGGGGAACAAATTAAATTATAGTTCAACAAAGAACAATTATGTTAGCTGATGATAATACTCTGAAATCTTTGTTGGATTAAAAACTCAACTCAAGTGAAACGCAAGCATATTTGTGCTTCATTTACATTTACCCAGAATAACTTGAAACTCATTTTCAATGAATTGAGACAAGAAACAAAAACATGATATAGAAAAGGAAAACATAATGAGTTCAATGTTAAACTATTAATTCAATTTTGACAGAAATAATGAGGCCAAATGCTGAATATGTGAAATTCCTATTATCATTTGGCTATGAGCATGATCAAGTTCAAAGAGGATTAGTTAGATGAGATGAGTAAAATGAAGAATAAAAGTTGAAACCATTTCATTATCATCTTTGTTTCTTACCTACCAAACCATGCTAAGTTTAGCTTGCAAAAAGATTTAAACCAAACCAAATCGGTTCGAAGCATCTAATCATTTCAAATTGTTATGGTAAATTTAAATCGTTGAACTGGTTCATTGGTTAAAGTAATTTTCATTTGCTGAGTCTTACCAATCTTGTTATTTCTTCAGACAATCCTCATCTCAAAGCCATCTAATTATGGATTCAGATGAACAGTCAAACCCAATTGAATCATTGGATCAAAGTGAATTGGATATTGATCAGTTTGTTACCAAATTGTCATCAACAAAGAAAAAAGTGGAATCAATTGCCGAAAAGGTTTCATGGTCATCAGCTGGTGCATTAGTTGATACCGAGAACGCTCACACATTTGCAGCTGAATCTGCTTGTTCATCGTCAAAATGGTTATCATCTCAAAAGATTACCGAAAGATTCAGTGACAATGTGATTTTAACAGATGACGATTCCTTAGTTGTTGTTTGTAATCGTTCAGCTAGACGAATGCAGACTCATTCCGAGTCAATTGTTACCCGAAAAGTACGCTCTCAAATCATTGAAATGGACGATGAAGGTAATGATTGTGAAGAAGGTGATTTTTTTGAGGAAGAACAATTAATTTCAGCTCCAACAAAGTCAAATGAAGATACAACTCTTGACACATCAACAACAAAGGCTAATTTTGAAGCAACAGACTTGGAATCAACTCAACAGGTGAAACAAGCTTCGATTGATGTTTCATCAACAGCTTGGTTAAATGAAACCAAAAAATTGACTTCATCTTGCTGGTCTTCACAGGCCATGGAAAGCTTCGAATCGGTTGAAAGTTGCATCGAGGAGAGCGAAGTGGGACAAGAATTGCAAGATGAAAATCAACAGGTATGGACTAGAATGGAAAGAATTAGAGATAAATATGAATCTGCATCAAGTTCCCAATCCCACCATACTTGGTCATCAATACATTCAGAGAGCATTGAATCTTGTTCCGAGATTTTATCGACATCTATTAGTGAATCTTTTGATGATAAAATGTTTAGCTTTGATGGTAACAGTTGCAACTTTAGTAGAACTAATTCGCATGCAGATAATAATGAAGATGATGATGGATTTGAGCCTGACACCGAAGTAGCAGTTTCAATAAGAAGGCCTTCTCAATCATTGGTATCAGCTGAAGCTTATGTTTTCCGTCAGAGGAAATCTCTTGAGGAACTTGAAACTGAAATTGTTATAAGGAAAAAGCGTAAACCCAAAGTTAAACAAGAAATGGTTGAAACGGCAACAATTTTCCTTTCAAATAGCGATTCAACTGATGAAATGAAAGAAACATTGTCAAGTTTATCATCGTCATCAACAACATCATTACCAAAAGCACCCTCTGTAGTACCAACATCATTACCGTCATTATCATCATTTTCATTGAAATCAATTCCTGACTATCGAAGAGAATCTTTTGTGGAAACACTGAAGAAACATTCATCTCTTGATACTGAAACTGATTCCATGGAAGATGAAGATGATAATGATGAATTTGATGGTCAAAATTGTTTCCCAAAAAGTGATCCAAACTCCTTTGTCAGCACAAATAATAATTCTGATTGGAACAATAACAGGGCAACGTCGACAGTATTTAAGAGTGATCAAGAAATAAACGATCTCTTTTAATCTGGTTAACCCATTCACGAGCTATGTGGACCTGATTCTCTGGTTTCTTTGTCGTCTGCTTGCGCTATGGTTAAGACTTTGGTTAATTGATTATTTTAGCTGTTGGTCAGTCAAAAATGAATGAGTTGCTTGTAAATGTTTCAGGGATTTTTTGGTACACTAAATGGAATCACTTCTGACTTCAATGGCTACATAAACGATGAAAAAAACAATGTCAATATTGTCTGAATCAATTGATATTCAATAAAATTGCCATCAAATTACTCCAAAATTGCATTACTAAATCTCATTTCACTTTATTTGTCGATGGTAAGTAATGATTTGTCTTTATTCAGAATCTATCTGTCGATACATGCATTAAATACACTAACAGTTAATAATATAATTGCAGTTTAGAGCACTTATGACGAAAAAATCTAGCAAATTGTAGTAAGAAAACTAAACAAGAATAAACTTTGTTACTAAAAAGACACAATAAACACAATTGTAGCATTTTTGCACAAACTGACACAAATACTACAAGAAAAATAGGCAAAAACGGGTGGAAATAGACTTCTTTTGATTTTGGGTTGCGTTAGTTTGTAAGGAAATGAAAGCTGAGTCAATTTGTGTGATCTGAAAGTTTCTCTGATCAATAGTTCTCGAGAAAATCGAGTTCAAAATCGAAACTTCGATCGCTTTTTGTACAATAATGAAAGCAACTTTTTTCATGAAAACTCATTTTACTGTTGTAACTTTTGACAAGCAACCAGAATATGTACTTATTTCTAGGAATAAAACTTTATTTTTCTGTAAAACAGATCAAGTTCGATTTATCGTTAAACCGAACTCTTTCTGTCACCGTAATAGTTAGAGAGTCGAAAGTTATTAATGGCCCGTAAAAATTAATGGTACACAGCATGGACCCAATAGTTTTTTCAATTTATCGTTAGTTCTCTTGATTTTGGCCTTTTATCGCAAATCTTTGAACCTCGATATTTCGAGAATGACATCACTTATAGTCGTCATTCTTTGACCAAACATAAGATTGCATTATGGTTATAATATAATATAACTTAATATTGAATAAAATTCAAGCTAGTTCATTTAATAATGAATATCCTTCTAACAGATGAGCTTTGTGTTTGATTAAATATTTATCTTTAAAAATCAAGCTAAAATCTGGTAACACGAAAACACAATGCTATAACTTTATTTGTAGTATCCTGAATAATTTACTATTTCAGTATATTATAGCCCATAATGATATCTAGTGTTTGGCCAAGAATCATGATTGTAGATGATATCGTTCCCGGGATATTGAGGCTCAAAGTTTTCAGGTCAATCGTCAAAATTAAGAAAACTGTTGTTGCATTGAAAAAAATTTTTGGTCATTGATGTGTGTCAGCAATATTTACACATGCAGGATAAGTTTCAGCTCCTTAATAATTACGGCCACAGAAGGCGATCGGTTAAACTAAAAATCGAACTAACATGTTTATCAGAAAAAGAAAAGTTTTATTTCTTAACATATGTACATTTTCTGGTTGTCCAATGAAAATTACATCAGTTAAATGAGTTTCATGAAAAAATTTGCTTCCATATCTGAACAAAAGATGATCGAAGTTTCAAGTTTGACCTCGATTTTCTCGAAATCTGTTCATCGTAGGAATTATTTATTAGCACCAATAGACACGGTTAGAGGTGTCCTTACAAAGCCACCAAGTCTAAACTCTCAATTCAAATGTTCGAGCCTTTGGCAGCACTTTTTGCAAGTTTAACTTACAAATTGATAGTTTAGTTTAGAAAATTGGTTTATTTACCAAGAAATGGGTTTAGATGTGTTTGTTTTGTTAAATAAGTTGTTCCTAGACCATTCTAAACCCAAAAAACATGACCCAAATGCACAAATAGAAATTTATTAAATTGAATTGCATTATTAATTAGTAAAGAATTATATTGGTCAAAGAATGAAGACTGTAGGGGATGCCATTCTCGAGATATCGAGGCTCAAAGATTTGCGATAAAAGGCCAAAATCAAGAGAACTATGAATAAATTGAAAAAACTATTGGGTCCATGCTGTGTATCATTAATTTTTATGGTCCAATAATAACTTTCGGCTCTAACTGTTACGGTCACAGAAGGAATTCGGTTTAACGACAAATCGAACTTGATCTGGTTTACAGAAAAATAAAGTTTTATTCCTAAAACTAAGTTCATTTTCTGGTTGCTTGTTGAAATTTACATCAGTAAAATGAGTTTTCATGAAAAAACATGCTTTCATTATTGTACAAAAAGCGATCGAAGTTTCGATTTTGAACTCGATTTTCTCGAGATCTATTGGTCAGAGAAACTTTTAAATCACACAAATGGACTCAGCTTTCATTTCCCTACAAACTAACAGAACCCAAAATCAAAAGAAGTCTATTTTTACTCGTTTCTGCCCATTTTTCTCGCAGTATTTGTGTCAGTTTGTGTTTATTGTGTAGTTACAACCAAGAAAAGCTTTTGAAAACTTAAAGCTAATATCATAATTTTCAGCTTTCATCGCTTTAAACGACTTAAACTGACATACATATTGATTCCAATGTTACAGATGATTTTAATACACCTATTTAAAGTGGCCTTCAAACTTCAAAATTGTCTTTATTGTGTAAATGCGTTTCTAAAATGGACCACGAACTTGACTTTTGGAAGAGTTTTTGATTCAAATCCAAAAAATCTAAGGTCGACTGCTGGCTGACCTAGTTTGCCATATAATATCTTAGCAAATGCATGAAGTAAATAAGACGAGCTACAGAATAATCAAAATCTATTTAGTCAATTGATTTAAAGAAGATCAATCAGATCAGTTATCTTTTCCATCAAAGAAACGATGAGAAATTTTCTTGTAAACTGAGGCTAACATATTTTTCGATATCTTTATTGGGACTGGATTTAAATGAACTGTTTCCTTTGTTTGCTTTGAAAAAGAATTAGAAAAGCATTCTCTGATCGAAATTAACTAATCTTAATCCAATGAATAAAAATTCCATCATAGCGATCTCAATCACAACAACTTGGTAAAAGATTGTATCGAGTTACAGTTAGTAAGAAATTATAATAATCTTTCAACAAGTTTGTAAGTTGTCATAAACATATCGAACAATCAATCTCTAGTATCTCTTGAGTAGTGATGAATTTACTTCCAATTCAGTGAATATATCATTTATGGCATTAATTTTATTTCCATTTGTTCAGCATTGAAAAAATTTGCACAAGTGATTCATAATACAAATGTAAAACAAGATCAGATTAGGCGATATTGTAAAACATAAAATCAGTGAGTTGTAAGCTTTTCGGAGTGACTTCTATTTTTATCTCATAAGTGAAGTATATGTGCTCATGAAACATTCTGAATCTTGTAAACTTTGAAAATCTAGACAAAACTGCAAATTAAATCAATTTTATTCAGCTGAAATGGGAAATAATTGTTAAATCGGTGCAAATTTTTGAATTTAATTGATTTTTCTGTGCCTTGGAGGGGAAATTGATCTTTCTTCTTTTCCTAGAAATGTCTTCGGCCATTTCAATTCGTTCCCAATCATGAATAAAGCCTTCTTTTTCATGAGTATAAGCATTGATCCTTTTCCTTTCTAATGAAAATTTTCGTAATTCCAGCGCTATAACACTTGAAAAGAACAATAAAACATTGATAATGGCTTTTCTGTTGTTTATAAGCATCAATAGGTTAAGTTATTTTTCATTGACAATTTCACGATACATTGATCTAATGATTGATTCCAATTATTATAAAAATCGTCACTTATCTTGGTAATTTTGGGCCTCTAAAGGTGTTGACTTGAACAAATCGAATGGCTTTAAGATCGGATCAAAGTGATTTGAAAAACAATAATATTGATGCTGTGTACCCTTTATTTACACATGTACTTATACCTCAACATATTTGATAAAGATGTGATACAATTGTATCGAAAAAATGGGAAACTTGTTTTGCATTGATTGATCGATTAGATGATCGTTTCGATGCTCATCAAAGAGCATAGTCTAGAATTTATTTAAAATAATAAAAATCATAATAAAAACAATGATTAACAGTAAATCAAATTCAATTATTTGTGTTTTCTCGTGATTCCTATTGCCTATTTTTTTAAAAAAAGGTAAATTTATTTTACTAATAATAATGATGGGCTCACTGAATCGAGCCAATTTTTTCAATTAGCGTGCAGCTATTGTCATTAAAATTGGTTAATTATCAATACGGACGCTAATACTAAGTAGTAGTCTTCACTTAAGTGTCAGACTAGTTAATTAAAATGTATTTATATTTTCTTTAAATATGTCAATAGGAATAATAAATAGACAACAAGCTTAGGGAAACAATTAAAAAATGGATGATGTTACGATGAATAAAATAGGATGATTGCTACTCTATCTTGAGTTCCAGAAATAGGAACTTGGTTCCTTATTGATGTAATAAACATTGTATAAATAAAATTGACATTCATTTTTTGATTCCAATTGTAAATGTTGGTCCTTGGTTAGTTGCTAAATAACTGATTCGTTTGTCCTCTGGAGGTACAATTGATGTTGTATGGTTAGGAGTTGTTGTATTGATTGATGATATTTTAGCAGTCAATCTAGCAGGAATTATTGATTTGAACACTTCAGGGCTTTTGGTGTACCATTTATGTAATCCAACTAATATCACTGAACAACAAACAATAGCAGCTCCACTGAGGTCAGTCCATTCTACTGATTCATTCAATAGCGTCACTTGGTAAACAAACGACATTACAATATCAAGAGTTCTAGTCATTGAAACAGGACCTGCTTCTTCAATTTTAAGAGCAACAGTTTGGAAAAATTGTCCGGCTGCTGTAGTAACACCAACTCCTATCAACATAAGGCTATCCCGAAGATTTCCAGGTACTTTTAAATCACCAATAATCAAGAGAAGGATCAATGATTGTAATATTCCTGATACAGAAAAGTAAAAGATAACCACTGCTGATGGTGTTTGACGCATACGACGAAGGCAAATTACATTAACAGCACGGGTAATAGAACCTGCTAAAGCTGTTCCAACACCAATCCCCCATTTTACATCATAACTTGATTCACCGCCAAATAAAAAGGGCGGCTTACAGATCATAACCACTCCAATAATTGTAAGTCCAGCTGATATCGCCTGAATAAGTCCACAAGATTCACTTAAGCAAATACAGGCAAACAAGGAGACAAAGACCGGCGATGAGAATGAAATTGTTGATTGATCACCCAGAGAAATGAATTGAATAGCATAATAATTACAACAAGCTGTTATGAAACCACAGACACATCGAGCCACTAAAGGCAAACGTTCACCTCTGGTAATACTAAGACGTTCACGATAAGATATAACCACAGTTGTATATATTATAGACTGTACAATTGATCTGTAAAAGAAGAAGAAAGATTTGCAATTAGTAAACAATCAATAATAAACACCAAATATGCAAAAAAATGGCACAAACAAAATTCAAAGGATTAGCATAATCACAAAGCCTTTTCAACTCTTCACTTATGACTTCATCATAAGTTACGATTAGTCATTGGAAGAGAGCCAATTTTAAAAAAATTGAATTTCAATATTTCATTTGAATTATCTTGAATTAACAGCCTTTTCTCGATTTCAAATCAGTGAATTAACAAAATTAAACACAAATTGAATTTTTCAAGAGCTTTTTTCTGAATATTGATTGTAAAAATGACTACAAGATTGAATTTTTATCATGAATGAACTAACAGTAAATGCAAAAATCTTTGGTTTACATGAAAGTTAAATCAATTGCTAGAGTTAATAACAACTCTGTGTTTTTTTGTGCATGAAGACGATGAACTTTTTATGTTTATTGAAATATTGTCACTTATAATTATCAATCTCTATGATTATCCCAGATTTATGCTGTACATTGTAATGTTAATTTTAATAGAGGATCACGGAAAATCCCAGGAATTAAAAGAGTTACTGGGTTGTTGTTTACAATTATTCAATTGTAACAAAAAGATTCATCATATAATGCCTTTTGATAACCCTTATATCATTAAACAATTAGAAATGTTAATTGTTTGCTATCAGCTGGAAAATGTGCAGTAAATATTGATCTATTGCTACTGTTAAAGCAGCTAAAATGTATTACAATTTTGCTAATTATGACTCAGTTAACTCAATCAAACCAATCAATACTTTAACCAATTTCAAGAGTAATCAAACATCAAGTTAATTTGCTGTAGTTCAATTAATCATTTATGGACATTGGCTAGTTTGAGACAGTTTAACCCAGTTCAGGCTAAATTTAGAGTAACATATCTTATCATATTCAATCTTATCCATTTGTTATCCGGCAATTTAGATTGATAATCAAAATGCTTGTTCAAGCTTTTCAAGAGTCTTTACTATTTGCTTAGGAAGTGTTGTTTGCTCATCATTCCTATGAAAATAACGTTTTTATTTCAAGATAAATAAACATGAGCCCTCTAGGCAAGACGATTGGATCAGTGAATAACAAAACAATCAAAGGTCTATTATTGTGTACAAAAAACGGATGAAAGTGGTAAAGTAATCGCTCAACAGGTTAAGGAACCAAAGGAGAGGAAACGTTTCAAGATAATTGAAAGCAACGTCAATGATTAAGATGATTTATCGTTAATTTTGTGATACTGTTTTACACAATTGTTATCAAATTGAATGGAAAAAACAGTGATGAAACATTTTACTGATTGTTAATCAATCCTGAACTAACAAGACTTGAGACTGAAAAAATGTGAACAACAAAAATTATCTGCAAGGTCTAACATGGCATGTGTTGTGATAAACATAAAAAGTCAATGAGATTGATTCGCGCGCACCGGTTTCAACCTTTTTTGGCCTCATCCAGATCACTGAAAGACTCTGAACACTTGCATACTTAAAGTTTAGTCTTTTCAACGTTAATAAATAGACAGATCAACATTGACTGTCCAGTGGATAGCGACTTGGACTGGGTCGGCTAGGCAGTTAAGGTAAATTTTTGTCAATGTTCATGTTTGATTGAAGGGAAAGATTGACTAACCTGAATAATACGGTTTCAACGGCATCCACTGTTTCAACCAGTTTGGCACACAAGGAACCAGTTGCAAATAAAACGGCCGCAATGGCAGCAAATATAATTCCCATGGCTGGAATTTTGGATAATCGCTCGAGAAAACCTGGTTTAAGTTCATCTTGGGTTGGTGGCTGGTAAAAGTCAGTCTCTAACATAGACATGGTTAGGGATGTGTATGGGTATAGATGATGTTGCTTAGTTGATGTCTAGTGTTGTTGAAACAAAAATTGTTAACAATTAACTACTAATTAACTTGTCAATTCATCTTTACCTTTATGCTTTCCTCGGCTTTAAACCATTATCAGCCGAGATTAACTCAACATCTCCACCCCCTATTATTCTCACTTGCTTTTTGATGTTTTTTTTCTTTTCTTTATTTGTTTTGTTTATCTCATGAATCTATTTCTCTCTCTCTCTCACTCTTTCTCGTTCTCCCTCTTCTCATCTTTAAACATTTGTGCTTCAATATTTTCCATCACTGGTTCATACTGTCGATGTATTCACCGAAATCTGCTGATCAATTGGGTGTTTAGATGTCCAAAATTGACCCACAATTTGTCCACCTGTTACACATGTCAACTTGGACCGTATTTTTTGCCATATACCATTCATTATAGATACTTGTGGAGCTTACTGTTTCATAGATCACTTGGTAATTAAATAAAGATTAGGTAATTTCGAGTGTCATATTAATTGCTGAATTATACTTCAGGCAATGGCAATAAACAACATGCGTAATATTGAATAACCTGGGATATCAGTTAAAAGTAAGTATGAGACCTTAAACCCTTCAAAATTAGTCACCCTATTACCTTTTTTATTTTTGTTTTATTGCTGGTGATATTGTCTCATTAGATGATTTATTTTGCGTACAACTTAATCATTTCAATCTTCATTACATTATAATCTATTCATTGTTAATTGTTCTTTTCATCTTTATTGGTGTTTTTGTTATTTCTTTTCTGTGTCTTTTAAATATCCTGCAATCTTACATCATTTGTTAACTTGGCTACTTTATATTGTCAGCCTCTGTGTTCATTTATTCTGCCCTTACAAATCTAGATTAAAAATCGCATTTGACTTGTTACTTTTTACTTTTTTATTATACCATTGACGTTAGCAACATTTAATTTACATGGAAAAACAATTTACCTCATGCGAATGATCACGACCTGTCACGACGGTTGTTCATGTTAAACCGTTTCCAAGTTTATATGACTCAGCAACACAATCTTGGAAGATTATATTTCAGTGTTGATCTTCTCATAATACTAATCGGTGTTTCTCCGCTTTCGAGTCAGTTTGTTGAGTCGTTGAATTTTTTGTATTGCAAGAAATGGTAAAAACCTTTGAATCAGAGACAGTGTATTATCGAGGCAAAATATTCTGAACTCCTAACAATTTAGCAGATATATGGGTCATGAATCAAATTTTTCGAGCCATCTAACAATTACTTCTGTGCTTTTATCACTTCCTTATTTCAACAGATTTTCATTCAGTTCTTTTTGCTATTTCTAAATAATATCATATTCTTTCTATTATAAAACAGATTGGTCAACTGCTTATGATATACGAGCTTAGGAGGCAAAAGACGATGTATATTTTGGTCGATGATGGATGAATTGAATAACCAACTCTCGATAACTTGAAATTTAGAAGCTCAAAACTGGAAAGTCCAATGGAAAGGGTGAAAAGACAATAGTTAAGCGTAATCAAACGCTTTGGAAAATTTATCAGTGATGAATTTATTATGATGAATTAGGTAATCACATTAGTCTTTGCTCTGTGAATTTGTTTAATATGATTATTTTACAAACTGTGATTAAATATTTTTACGTTCAATTAACCTGGAAAAAGCCAAAGACTTATGTGATTACCTAAGAGATAATTTGATTCATTAATGTATAATGAAACGAAATTAAAAAACCTTACAATTTTTTACTAAACGAATTATCAAAAGAAAAATTAATAGTTGATAGATTAAGACGCATTTGAGGTAAATTAAACAACCTACTTAATCTTGATTCACACTTAATTACCTTAGAATGAAGTTTCCTGGAATTTGTTTACAAATTGTATTCGAATCAAATCAAACTTTTAACCTCGCAATTTAGTGTCAAAAGGCATGCTAAATTCATTTTGATGCTTTATCGTCAATGGTCAAGATTAGTTACTGTTAATAGCTATTTATATTATTAATTAATATATTAATATATTGACTTTCATATTGAAAAATCATTGCATGTATCATGTTATAACTTTCAAAGATTATCGTTTTTTAAATGGTTTATGATAATACGGAAGGATAACATCAATAAAATACATTAATAGCTAATACAAAGAAGGTCAAGGCTTTAAATATCTTAATTAGCAAATGGTTTGGTTTGAGATTGGCTTAGAAATGATTTTGATGGCTCAATTCATGAAATTGAAAACTTAAAAAATGGTCAAGAATCAGGGATGAAAAACTAAATGATTTATTGACACACATTTCTGCGTTTTCAAGAACCAATTGTACAAGTTACAAATTGTTTGCTAAATCACTAGGATACGTCCGGTTTGTATGCGTTAACTATGTGTTGAGTTAAACTATCCAATCTATAGACAACGTATTGACCGTAAGACCTTATCTACAAATAATTCAAAATTAAAACTGAATCTCTGCCCTGAATATCACCAAACTTAATTTTCTAGGTTCTGGTTACTGTTTTTTTCATCCTGTTGTGTTTCTTCCATTTTTAATCTATTCTTACTTTTTACATTCATTACAATCATTCTCGTTTGAATAGAAACAACTTTCATATGAACACAACCAGCATTCAAAAGAGTAAAACTGGCTGACTGTAACATTACAACTTGAAGCCATTGATAGAAAATCTTAGTTTAGACGTTTTTAGGAATTTAAGCATTTAAAATGACTGAATTTAGTGGAAAAGACTGAATGAGGCAAGATTTGTTATATTTGATCAATTTTCAACAGATCACAGTTTATTAGCATGAGAATTTAAGTTAATTTGAATTCATACAGATAGTTTTTACAAAAATCTCAGCATAAAAAATTAATGGAGCCATTAATTTAGAGTTGCAACTATTTAAGTTGGTGATACCTCTTTTCAAACACTTTTCAGTATTGTATAAATATATTTTTTAGCATTTCATTTTGGATATAAAGCCTTTCAAAACTCAAGATCTTTTCCAAGCCTTTCTATCTCGTCAACAATAAAGTCCATATCTTCCATTGTTGCCGGAGGAATGCAAGTTAAAGAAAGGCGGAAAAAATTTGGCAAGTTTTTACAGGTCAAAGGCTGATATCCAATCATAAGAGATCCAGATGACATCATTCGCGATTTAATAGCTGGACAAACTTTATGGAGAGTAGCTGGATCAATGTGAGTTTGGTTTCTCAACTTTTCTGGAATGTACCAAAAAGATACAGTAGATCCTTCAAATTGAGGCAAAACTAACTTAAAATTTGGACGATGGGCTAATTTATCTGTTATGTAACGATTCATTTGGATAATATTGTCAACCAAGTGTTCCCATTCATCTTCACCGCGAGAAGCAAGAGTCAACCAAGCTTTCAGAGAGTCAACTTTACGACCACATTGGATAGATTTGTCTCCCAAATCATAATCAGCATCATAATATTTGTCAGACTGGAAAATATACTCGGCATTAAGACTATTACAGTGTTGGAGAAGCTGACAATGACGAGTTAAGAACAGGGAACACTGAAGTGGTGCTCCAGCTAATTTATGAAGGTTCCATGCAACTGAGTCAGCTAATTCAATTCCATCTAATAGAGTGCGATGTTTCAAAGAAAGTAAGAAAGTTCCGCCAAGAGCAGCATCAACATGTAACCAGATATTATATTTTGCACAGATTGCTGCTACCTCTCGGATTGGATCAAAAGCACCCAAAACAGTAGTTCCAGCAGTAGCGATAACCACGAAGGGCACAGCGCCATCTTTTATAGTATTTTCAATTTCTTTTTCCAATTCTGAAGGAATCATTTTTCCACGATCATCAGTTTTCACCTTAACAACAGAATTAGTTCCATGACCCATCCAAATTGAAGATTTAGACAGTGAATAATGAGACTGTAAAGTGTAGCAAACAAAGAGAGCAATTAACAAATGTTAGAGCATTATTTTAAAATTTTATTTCTCGATAAACTTACGCTGTCTGAGCCAAAAGCAACCAAACGAGGTAAACCACGAACACCATTTTCTTTGGTGTCTGAAAATTTATTGTATCGGGCTAAAATCATGCCATACATATTGGAGATCGAACCGCCTTTAAAAGAAAGGTTGAAAAGAAGTTGATGATTGTGTTTCTATTAAAAATTTTTCTTCGTGTTTTACCTGGTGAGAAGATACCATCGATTTTATCAAGATCCCAACCACATTTGGAGCCACAATATTCGATTATCTTCCTTTCCAAAAGCGTGAAAACTGGCGCGATTTCATATGTTGCTCTATAATATCAAAAAAATACATCAATACTTGACGTAGTAAGATTGTTGTCCTTTTCAATTATTAAGATTAACGTTAAAAGTGTCGTGCCAAGACCCGAATTTCATCCTCAAATTATGTTTACTTACTGGCTTGTATTGAGTGCATCAGTTAACCATGCACCAGCAACACCAAATTGATCGACACCGCCATACAATTGATTATAGAAATGAGGATGAGCTTCGATTAAAAAGAGAAAAGGGTTATTCAATTAAGTGTCAATTAATACATATTGATACAACTTACTTGTTTTAACACTATATTTAATGACTTGACGACAAAAGTCTTCCAATTGTTTTATAGTTAAACCATCCTTGGTTATTTCCAATTTCAGAATTTTCTGTTTAATAATAAAGAACGAGAATTGATCAGATATAATGTTGTTCAAGGTAAATGTTGAAATAATCATAAATAAGAGCAAATGTACATCATAAATGCTGATAACACGTGTGTTTCATCATATATGATAACACAAATGATCGAGCAGAATGGATTGAATCATTGATTATCTTAAGAATTGGTAAAACAATCTACGAAGTAAATAAGGTCTTATTATATCAATAATTAATGATTAATAATAATTTAATAAGAGACAAAAATACATTTTGTTTACTAAAACCAAAATAAATGAGGATAAAACTATTGCTTATCGATGCATTGAGCTCTATTCAATTAGACCAGATAAGTTTCCTGGTTTAAAACACATCTTACAAAGTAAGAAATACTCATCCATGTTTTCAACATTCAATAACATGTTGATTTAAACAGTTAATTATTGTGAAAAATTTAATTTCCAGTTATAACTTATATTCTAAATAATATAAGATAATAAGATGTTAAGATATACAAGAGACTACGTATCTATCAACAGACGAAATGATGATCAGTGAGGTAAACAAGGATTAACAAGGATCGAACCCATAAGAGAAATGAACAAAGTCAACTAACAAACAACTTGTAAGACCTTCATGCAGAAACAGAAGCAATTTGTAATTGTATTTACCTCAAGATCAGCTGGTTGAGTGAAGTTGACCAACTTTGTATTGGTATTTTTAACATTATCCGAATCTCCAATTAAATGAAATTCATCAAGAATCATTTCAGCCACTTTACGAATAAGCGTATCATCAGCAACATTATCCTTTTTGCTCTCAGAAACATTATTTGAGGTTGAAGACGCTTCCGATGAATGATTAAGACCAAACCAATTTTTGTTTGTCCGCTGGTAAAGATCAGCTAACCATGAAATTTTCTCAGTCTCCTGTGTATGGCTCATATTTGTGGGTTGTCGACGGTTTCAGAATCACAGCAATAATAGAGTTGAATTTGATGATTATGTTAAAATGGGTTACAAAGAGGATCAAAAGACAAGCGTGTGAAACAAAAGCAAAACAACGGTTAAGATGATGTGAACAAAGAAGTGACTAACATTAACCGTCTGGGTTAAAATTAAAGGATAGATTTAACAAAATGGAAAAAAGCAAGATAAGAAAACCAAACTCTTAATGGTTTAGGTTTAGGTTTTGTTTTATGTAACTGGTTAAAAACTAGGAGATGTATAAAAACGGTTGCACAAAATTGAATTCAAGTTAGTCGAATGGTAAACATGATTGGTAAATGGTTCCACTTTGGCACATCAATTTATATACTCTTGGTGTAAACACGGGACTACCAGAAAACCAGAGACCGGGAAGTTGTTGAGGGTAACTATCAAATTGAAAATATAATAGTTGTTGTAATCTAAATTGACAATGTAACTCGTGATAAGTTGATTCGAGACTGTTGACTTTGTTACAGTGGGGAAATATTTTTGTTGAGTTGTATGAGAACACAAGAGAGTATCGTTCTTTTATTTACGAACTCCGAAGTCTTTGTTGATGATGAAGATGATATATCTTAATTGTAGTGGAGAAGTTTCCCTTTTTTCTCCGGACTCCGAAGTCCATATTGTGTGTAGTTATCGTTGGGAAAGAAGCAAAATATCAAGAGATTAAGTAAAGACTTATTAAAAGAGGAAATTTTTCCATAATCAGCTGAGAATAGATTTCACAATTGTTAGCTGCAAATCATTAAATTTTACCTCATTTCTTAATAGTTGTTGAAGCCATCAGTATTAAACGTGATTGTGGTTAAATTAAATTGTTTCAATTAATTGATTCGGCCGAGTCTTTGTCAAGTGCAATACATTCAATACATTTGTATCTTTTCAGGGTTTCAATCTGTCTTTTGCTTACATCACAACTCTCATGTCTTACCGTAATACACTGTAAGATAGGTAAATTTTGATCCAACTGCTGACGAGTAAAACAGGTAAGGTAAGTTACTATTGGCACATGAGACTCATGGTAGCATTGGTAATTAAATCAAATGTCTATAATAGTCAATAGTCTATAATTTGCAGTCACTTGAATAGTCTATATCTTTTATCATTGCTATCAACGTTTTTTCCCGGTAACATTCACCGGTAAATTTTTCTTGTCTCTCTTTGATTACTTTATTTAAATAAACAATGAATGGCAACATTCAATAAGCAAAAAACAACAACTCCAATTTGAGCTAGATAAAACATAATTGAATAAAATCAGGTTAATTAATTCAAATCCAGTTTAACTGGTAGACTTTCATGATCGTCACATTCAAGCTTGACAAGTCTTTACTATAGATAGTAAACGTTACATAGGATTAGCTAATCACTAAACTAGGGTAAATTTTGTAACTATTGAATGCTTCTAATATACCGATTAGAAGAGTTAATCTAAATTACAATGTCAAGTTGCATGATAGCTATTAAAAATATTTGGTATTAAGCAGCAAAAATCATATCTTACCTTTGTTCAGATTGAGGATTCATGCATGCATTGAATGTCGGTTTAATCCAAAAGTCCTACATCTCATGGTTGTTTTGCCTGCAGTTTAAATAGTAATCTAGAAATCCTGGTTTCATTAATGTACCAAAAAATGGCTCATCTAATTTGTTAAAGATCGCCATTAAATCAGTTAACCGATAACAAAGTTGACTTTCAAGTAAACTGTTTACGTCTTATGGGTTTATCATTTTGTTCACAAATACATGGATTTCACAAATAAATGGATGTTGATAGGAAGCATTTTTCAATTTTTAAAACTCATATTAATTGTAAAATTAGTTGAAGTTATTTCTTTGATTCTTTTCATAGTTGAAATTAAAAATCTGTAAATATTCTGACTCAATCATTTACTGTTAAATTTGGAGGAAATTTTTACCGCTCATTTAATCAAAGTTGTTACAAGGATCAATAGATGTCACTAGTGTAATAACCGGTTACATGATTTGGTTTGAAAACAAAAAACGGTCTCTTTCAACAGCGATATTTTTGCCTTTGTATTAAATTCTTGATCTTGTGTCAGCTTTTTCCCAAATTATTAATTAACTAATTATTTATCTCTTGTGTTACGTTCATCTATTTATTACATTAGATCAACAATGTCGATTGCATCTAATAGATCTCGCCGTCCTAATGCTGGATCCAAAATGAATGAGGTTTCAGGTAAAGAAGATGATGAGTTTTACAAGCAAGCCTATGGAGGTTTCGTTGAGGTAAGTGTGCGCCATTTAAATTTGAAAACTTCTTTTTTCCTCCCTTTTTCTTCTCTACCTTTTCTTTCTTTCACCTTTTATTGTTGCTCTCTTTTTTCTTTATCTTTCTATCTTTCTCTTTATCCATCTTTCTTTTACCAATTCTGCTTTCTGCCTTGTTCTTCCTTTCTTAGGATGATAATGATAATGAGTTTGAACCAGAATGTTCTGATGATGAAGCTGTTGAAGGCATTCGAGAAAATGGAGAATCGGCAGATTTGGATGATAAAGAACATCCACCGGCAAAGCGTTTGAAAACTGAAGCTAAAGCTGGTGAAGACGCTGAAAGCGACGAAGATGCTGAAAGTGTGGAAGATGTTGAAAGCGATGATGATGATGATGATGACGATGATGACGATGATGATGATGAAGGTAAGTTGTTTTTTCCCAATTAAGCGGTTTTCAGTGAAAGCTATGTTTTAAAACTCAGCTTTTTTCATACAATTTGTTGCTATTTTATTGATAGATATTATCATTATTTTTAGTATTTTGTTTCATATTTGCTTAAAATCTTGAAAATTTATCTTTGTTTCAGTAACTTAAATTAACAAAAAAGAAATTGTTTTCTCTTTGTTCTATGTATTTTAAACTTGTTATTTTATGTTCTTCTATTTTACTTTTTTATTACTTTGGGTCTCATAGAAGATGAAGAAGATGAAGTAGCAGAAGAAGAAAATGGCGATGAAGATGATGACGCTGAGGGCGAAGGAGAAGAGGAAGACGATGAAGATGAGGCCGATGAAGATGATTCAATCGATGCTGGCGCCAAGAAGAGCAAAAAAGCTGAAGCAGAGGCCATTCCAGAAAAATCTAAAGCAGAATGATAATCTCGTGAAGGTTGCTTCCATCGAGCACTTGATACGGGCACAAATGTATTTAATCTATTAACTAGGTACTGAAATCATGTCTTAAAATTCAAACATTTTCTTCCTCGAAACACCAATCAACAAACGCTGTAACAATCAATGTATTTTGTACCAGAATGATATAAAAAGACTTGACAAACTGAGAAAATAAACTTTCTCTTGATTACCAGAAAGCCTGCTGTTATTAATCTAAAACATCAAATGGTTAACAAAACTTACCCAATCGGTTACCAGTAAATTGACAGACAAACGTATCAAATGGCGATAGTTTCATAGCAAATAGTGATTGATTAATGTTATTGATATATTTTCACTGAATATACCATGAAACCTGTTTTCATTCTGATCCTTCACTATCTTAATCCGTAAGCATCAAATAGTTCAAAGTAAACTCAGACAGTAAATGTGAAAATTTTGGTGAAATCAAATTTTCAAATACTCCTTGAATTATCTCAATCCAGTTGATTTGCTGTCTCAAGCAAAGGAACAATAAATGAATCATTAATTAGATTCTCATCAAGCTCGTCTCAATGAAAGTCCAAAAATCCATCATCTGATAAACCTAAACAAGTTACAACAATCAAAGTTGATAAACAAAGCATGATGATAAAATATGCTGATTATCCTTGACACTTTTCACATAATAAACCATCTAATAAATAAGATGTTACAATTGCTTCCTAAATCAGTGAACAATGGGACAAAATATTTTAGATCTGGTGTAAATTGTTCCTCTTGGAAATCACCAACAATCAATTGTCTTAAAGATAGATGTTAGTAAATTGTTAATAAATTACATTTTCTCATGCATTGTTTTTTAGGTGAGAAAACAAACTTTCCTCTAATCATTGGTATCATCTTTACAATCAACATTAGCAGATGAAATGATTTAAATCGTGATCCACAAAAACATTACCAGTGTGTTAACACTGACAATCAACTGGACTGATTCAATCATATTGATAGTAACAATAAAATATAATAATAATGAAATTAGTCAACAGTGAACAGAAAATGTTGTTAACATTATTTTAATATTGATTGTTAACTTGACCTACGGCCTAGATTTGAACACAAAAGGATCCAAATTTTTATGAACTGGTAAACCTTTTTTATCATCAGCTGATCATGATCGGCTTGATGAGAAGATTTTGATTCATGATTAAGACAATTATTAAGTAATGTATTACAATAGATGAGCAAATTACATCTTAACCTGTCTTTATTATTAAGACTATAAAACCTTTGATCATGTAATAATTTGATTAGCATTGTTTGTGGCTTCATGATTTACATCAGTATTTTATATCAATTATACTGGCTCAATGGTTAATCAAAATCTTGATGAAAGGAGAAAGTGAAATTAATAATAAAACGTTGAATAATCAACTTATAAATTGTGAGAAGATTTGATTGCAATAGTTGACAGGTTGATCTTCAATCATCAACTTTGCCAGTAAATCCATCTCAATTTATTTACCTTAAAACATTTACTTTAATAATGATAATCATGCTCATAATCATGATTAAATTTGACCAGGTTTCCATGATTGTACATCAATAATCGGAGTTAATGGGAAACAAAATATACTATTATATGAAAACAATTATTATCATGATAACAATCATTGTTTATTAAGGTATTAAGGTGAATTAGCTAAACAGTAATTGTAAGGTGAAATCATTTTTCCACTGCCATTTATCCTCTTTAAGCCGGCCTTAAGATTCCCATCGGTGCTGGGCAATTTGAGTGACCAGCTTTGAACAATTTCAAGCTCTTACTCAACCTTCCGTCACATTGAACGGTTTGTTGATCATTTGGTTATTAACCAGTAAATTAGCACATCAACTGTCCACAAGTACCAATGTGTGTCTTATGAGGTAATAAAAAAATAGTATTGAGTTTCCTTCCCGAGATGAAATTGAATTTTTTGGGTTTACAATTAACCGGTAAAAGGCTTAATAAATCATTTCCATACAAATGGTGTAAAGGTCAGTTTTAAAGGATTGACTAGTTGTGATTTAGGTGTTTCATTGGAAACCACTTTTTTCCCTTTCCTTTCCTTTCTTTCCGTTTCAGTCAGCTAATTTTAATCGTTCAGCTTAATTGTGATTGACTTGATCTTTTTGCTTGTTTTGTTTGCTCTTGTTCAATTGACATTTTCATGGTCAAAGTATTGCCTGGCTAGTTTAAATTTGAAACCTGAATAAGAAGAAAATTAGATTAAATGGTGAAAATTAAACTTGATTATTAACTCAATAAAGGAAAATAAATGTCTAAAAAAATAATAACCAATAAACTGGTTGACCAAATTTATCTTATTGTTGTCCATTGTTTTTTTATTCAGTGATCTTGAATCCGATCCTTTTTTACCTCTAAATTGCCTGACCAATTGAAATGATCTTTACAAGTTAAACAGAAAGCTAATTAATAAATCTGATTGACTAATAATTTCAAAGGTAAAATGAAAAAGGATTAGACTTGAAAGGTATTATTGATTAAACTCTTCATGAAAAGTATTTCGTTTTAAAGCTCAATGTGATTCCTTCAACATTGACCCAAACAAAATCAACCTTCAGCTTAATAATTGTCTCTATTGTCCAACAACCAGATGTAAATCTGTCCCATTCAAAAGACATTAGACTGAAAGAGTTAAAAATGGATTCTGAATCTTTAAGCTTTGAATGCCAGACATCGCAATCGTTCCAGATTATTATGAGTTGACTAAACCATAAGCTTTTAAAATGTAAGTTTAACTGTTCACAATTACATCAGTCGAGTTATTCTTGGTAGCTTGAGGTGAGACTAACGGTAAAGAGATGATCAAAATGATGTAAATTGGCCAGACAAACCTGCAAGAATGAGAAAAAAGTGAATTAATGAAGGAAACAAATTACATTTGTGAGGCCAGTTTTTAACGAAAGCTGCCGATTGTATGATTAAAACCATTTTCAATGTAATAAACCAACTTCACACGAAACACACAAAATGTAACATTATTTTATTGCATGTAACACCTTTTCATAACTCATATCATTTAGCTTACCTGGTTATTAGACGATCAGCTTTTCATTTCATTTTGTTTCACCATCCAACTATTGTGACAGATTTGAACATTTTGATGATTTAAAATTGAAAAAGCAATTTTTTGTGATCAGATGAAATTGTGATTTAAACAAATGAGTTGATCATTTATGGATGGTTGGCTGGTAAACATTTGAATCACTTTTTGCCTCTTTGTATTTCAAGGTATTTTGAACAGGGTCAATCTGGTCAGCTATTTTCATGTCCAATTGTTTACCAATCAAGATAACCTTAATCATGGAAAGAGATGAAAAAGAGGTGAAAATGAAAATTATTCATCAATCAGTTACCATTTTTGGTGTTAACTTACCCAAGTTGATTGAGTTGATGTACAATTCAATTATTATTGTTGTAGCACATTAAAAATGACCCATTGAAGGTTCATTTGTTTTGCCTTGCAATCCTGAACATGATTTATTGATTGAACTGGAAATGAATGGTGAAAGTGAAAAGCCGTTAACTTTTCCATTTTACATGCTTTCATCAAATTCATGTGAAACATTCAAAGATGAATCGACCTTTTGATCCAACCATCGACTAATTGCAAACTAGTAAACATGAACCTTTTATCTATCAGAATCAGTTAACATTCAACTGATTTATTGAGAGTAGCATTGTTTTAAAATCAAGATTTATGGCATTTTAAATAACCGTAGTTAACCAACAAGGTATATTTTAAATGGTTAGAAATGAAGAGTTAAAATAAATCTTTCAGTATTGTTTTTGTTTGCATTGTAATTGTATTTAATTGTATTCAATCAACTGTTTTACTGTTGATTAAAAGGTTGACTCTAAGGTCTGATTAAAGGTTAACTTGGGTTTACAAAATTAACCGGTTGATGAGCATTTTACAGATGAAATTAGTGTTGGTGAAAATCAATGGTTTATTTGAAAAATGTCAGTCACTTTATTGATGAATGGTTCTCTGTGGGTAAAAAGTTGCCTTCATTTAGTTTAATTGATGAAACAAATTGAACCAGTTAATTTACCAAATGCATAGTTAAATAACTGGCCAGTTGTAGTTAAAAGATATCCATGTTAATTCATGTTTGCCTGATTAACAGTCAAAATGAACTACAAAATTGTGATTTTTCCTCTTTTCTTGGTTACTTGTCTTATCAACCAAGCTTCACCAAATTGTCAACAGCAACCAACAGTAAAACATGGACACTCTTCGTCATCAAATGTCTTTTCATTCAATAATTTGTTTAACCAACAGGAAAGCTCAAACAATCAACAGACTTGGAATCAAAATTTATTGTTTAATCCATTTGAGTTAACCTTTAAAGCGCCAGGTCAAACCAGTCAATCTCATTTGGGTGACAATTCAAATGGTTTGCTGGTTAATCCAAAGGTTAACAACTTAGCATCTACTTCGGCTTCTAGTTCGTCTTCAGGTGCATCTTCGAGTTCATCAAAAGTAAATGGTGGACAAACTCATGCGACTAATCGACAACTCTTTGCACCTGGTTTGTTTGACTTTTTTCAAGAGCAACCTACGAAAGTCAATGTAAATAGTCATGGTCAGACAGTCAATAAGGGTACATCAGTTGCACCAAAACAGTCCAGTCAAGGGAAACAATTATCAACGCCTTTAGAAACTTTGAAATCTTCATCTGAATCAACATCGTCTTCATCCACTGAATCGACTTCGTTTTCAGAGTTCCCTTTACTTTTTTCTGGATTGGTATCAGCAACTGATGCACAAGATGATGCAGATGATTTGCTTGGGCTGATACAGCAACATCAAAGTCAATGGGGACAAAATTTACCGACACAGCTTACAGGCCCAAAACAAGGCACCAAAGTACCAAAAGTGAATTCAGGGGCATCTTCGTTATCCTCCTCGTCTTCATTTAATTCTGCGTCTTCTTTTCCTGGTTCTTCTCTTTCTTTGGGACACAGTCCGCAACAAAAATTACCTAAAGATGATACGATTAAGGCTCGGCAACAACTACAAAACTCTGGGAAATTTTTACAAGATAGCATTTCTTCATCGGTCGCATCATCGCCTTTTAGCTTCGATCAACTGCTAACTGGTGAAGGTCCAAAAAATGGCCAAGGAGTTGAGAAGGATTCTTTAACTTCCATTTTCTCTGATGATTCTTCTTCCTCTGATTCTGCTTCTGCAACTTCAAATGTTAAGTCAATTAATCAAATAAATCAATTACAATCAACAGCAGATTTGATCAAATCGCTGCAACAAAAACAAAGCCATCAACAGCAAAACATCGAAAAAATCGAATCCCAGTCACCTTATGAACAACTCTTATCATCTTCTGGACTAACACCTCAGTTGTTACAATCACTATCCTCTTCGGTTTCATTGAGTTCATCAAGTTCGTCAAGTGTGCCAAAAGTGAATAATCTTGGACACATAAGTAAATCTCATGAGAAGCACCCTGCAGTTGATTTAAACTCTTTTTTCCAGCAGGAAAGCGACAACCAAAATAGGAATTCGATAGTTGACCGAGGCAACAAAGGTGCGTTGAATATACCAGCACAAGTTGAACAAAAAACCAACGAGCAAACCAAACCTGTGAAATCTTCTGTAACAATACCTTTATTAACATTTCCCTCAACTTCAAAGCATTCTTCAGGTCGACCAGAGCGATCCGGTAGTGCAAGTATTCACAGTCAAAATAGTAAAAGTGGACAAACAGGAACAAGTGCCAGGATTAATAATCATGGATCAGTGACGAAACCTGTAACAAACACTGAACATGATACTTTATTTTCGTCTTTTTCATCTTCTTTTACTCCGATATTCAATAGTGCTTTTCAAATACAGTCCAATGAACAACAAAATTTAGCCGATTTAGCTACAATTATACAAAGACAACAAAATCAAAAGTTAACTGATCAACAGAAAAGCAACAAAGATCAATCACAAAAATCCTCTCAAACTTCAATTCCATCTTCATCTTCGTCTTCTTCAACAGATTCATCTTCCCTCTCAACTGAACAAATCCAAAAGCTTAACACATTCGACTTACTTAAACTGATACAGCAAGAGAATAATGAAGAGAAAACAAATTCAAATGAAGATTTAGCAACAAAAATTGGACAAAACAGTGACAAGAGTAAGCATCAACCACCAATAAACACCAATAAACCAACTTCATCTTCACCATCCTCTTTATCAGCATCTACTTCAGTTGTTTCAACTTCACCATCAACTTCGAAACTTTCAACATCTCAAACTGTTCTACCTTTATCATCAATAAATGCCAAGCTTCAGTCGGACAGTCTAATAAATTCAGCAGCTTTGTCTTTAGCAGCATTATCATCTTCTAATCTAGGTTCGCCGATCACAACAGCAAATAGTCCTCTAATAAATGGAAAAACTAATGTGCCTTTATCAGCCACAGAATCAGAATCTTCATCTGATTCGTCCTCAACCTCAGGATCATCTTTGATTTCTGCATTGAATAAACTCTCACAAACTCCGATCTTACCTTCATCAAAATCATTGTCTTCGTCTACTTCATCTCAGGATAGCGTGATTTCAAATCAACAAATTATTAATCAAAATTTACCTGTAAAGAACGAAAAGTCGACTGATCATAGGCAAATTCAAACGGATCAAAATAAGCAATACAATAAACAAAAAACACCTTCAATAATTGATTCACAGCCAAGTCTTCAACTTCACTCTAAATCAGACCTCAAGACACCAATACAATCTTTACCAATTGAACAAGTGACCGAAAATATCAAGAATCAGCAAAAATCAAGTAGTACATTACCCACAACAACATCTTCCTTGACTGCTTTAACTGATTTATCATCGCTCTCAACTGATCAAATACAGCAGCTCACTAAAGCTGACTTTATTGGACTTTTACAAAACCAAAATAATAAAGAGAAACCAACTTCACACGAAAGTTTAGTGCCTAATATTAGACAAAACAGTGGCAAGCCAACAGTTAGTTCTGATACAGAATCATCATCAGTTTCATCATCTAATTCAGCTTTCTTAACTTTACCATCAACAACAAAACTTTCAAAACAAATGTCAAGTAGCTCTGCTGAGAGTTCAGGAACACATTTACCTCTATCAGTAACTGCTTCAGAAGCCGCAATAGCAGCTGCATTATCGTCCCTTTCTGATTTAAATGACGACGACGATGACGATGATGATGATGATGATGAAACAGAAGACGAAGAATCAACTGAAGAGTCATCAGAAATAGTTAAGCAATCAGTGAGACCTGTGCAGACTCCGATCCAACCGTCTTCACCAACGGATTTATCTTCCCTTTCCACTGCCCGAATACAAAAAATTAACACAGAAGACTTGCTTAAGTTGACACATCCACAAAATCGTAAAGATAAAACAACCTCAGAAGAAAGTTCAGCACCTATCATTGGACAAAACAGTGACAAGAGTAAGAATAGACCTACAGCAAACACTAAGCCTTCACCCTCATCATCTAGCTCAGCCCATTCAACGTCTCCATCAACTTTGAATTCTGAGTCAAACAATAATAAACAGAAATTAAGTGCGGCTCAAATCTACTCAGAAGCGGGTTCGATGCTAACAGCCTCATCATCGCTTTCTGATGAACAAATCAAGTCGCTTACTGCATCACCCAGCCCGAAAGCAAAGTCCTCATCCTTAGTTTCATTAGCTAATTTAGATTCTTTGACTACACCACCAAATACTAAACTTTCAAAACAATTGCCAACTGGTACTGATGTGAGTTCAGGAGAAAATTTACCTTTGGTAGCAACTAACGCAGCGATCGGCGCAGGATCTGCAATAGCAACAGCATCCGCACTTTCATCTTCTGATTCAGACTCTTCCTCAGTCTTGCTTCCACTTTTACATTCATCCTCATTAGGTTATCTTAGTTTACAAAATGACAATCAAGATTCAACTGATCTAAAATCTGGAAGTATTGTTACGCCACTCAAAAAACCTACACAGACTTTAATCACACCAGCAGCATTATCTTCTTCATCTCTGTCAACTGATTTGTCTTCATTAACGGCAGAGCAAATCCAACAGCTTACTCCAGAAGATTTGGTTAAACTGTTAAAGCAACCGAATAATCAATTAGACAAAACTTTAAGTGGAGTTATACCACAGAATGCTGATCAAATCAGTGGTAAGGATACGAAACCATTAGCAGTCAGCTCTGGAAGATCATCGTCGTCTCCATCTCACTCGGTTTTACCTGCATCCTCCACATCACCATCTACTCCATCGCTGCATGTCCAACCAGCAGCATCAATACAACCAGAATTAACAGATTCTTTAACGACTTCTGCATTAGCCTCAGCTTCAGTGCTATCTTGGCTCTCTGCTGAACAAATAAACCAGCTTACTGAAGCTGAATTGATGGCGCGTATACAACAACAACAAAATAACCAACGGGCCAATATTTCGCAGAAAAGTAGTTCCTCTAATGGTGAAAAGATCAATGATAAAGGTAAGAATCAAGAAATAAAAAGTATGCAAGCGCAAGCAAATTCTGCTCTTTCAGTTAAACCAACACCAACAACCCAACCAGCATCAGAACACTCAGCTTCATCTCGCGTTTCCACTGGTCAAATACATCCAACTTCCTCATTCAACGTGAATAGAATTTTACAAAATCAAAACAATGGTTTAACTAATCAACAAGCAGCCATTGTTGGATCATTGAGTAAACCCTCACAAACTCCGATTTTGCCTTCATCTTTGTCCAAATCTACTTCATCTCAAGATAGTATAATTTCAAACCAACAAATAATTAATCAAAACTTGAATTTACCTGTAAAGAATAAAGAATCAGTCGATCGAAGGCAACCAAATTCTGAGAAACTTACACAAACTGAACAAAATAAGCAAAGAAATGAACAAAAAACACCTTCGTCAATGGAATCGCACCCAAGTCTACAATCTCACTTTAAAGTAGACCTTAAAACACCAATAAAATCTCCACCTTCTGCTACTGAACAAGTCACTGAAAAGAGCAATAATCAGCAAAAATTAAGCACCAGTGCATCACCCACAACACCGTCGTCCTCTTTAACATCATCCACTCCACTTGTTTCAACAGCAACAGAATCTTCATCTGATTCGTCTTCCCCTTCAGTGTCATCTTTAATTACTGCAATTCCAATAAGTGACCAAAAAAGTAAAGCTCCAACTAATAAACAAACAGGTATTCAACCTACAACTTCATCTTCTAGTCCTTCTACTGCTCCTTCCAAAACTTCACCTTCACCTTCAATTGGCTTTAAATCGATTCCGGAGTCTTCTGCCAATTCGGATGATCATTCACAACATCAAAATAAAGGTCCGCCTAGTCAAATAGCACCCATTAATGGACTATCAGTTAAACCCTTGATCTCTAATCCATCATCAACAACATCTTCCTTGACTTCTTTAACTGATTTATCATCGCTTTCAACTGGTCAAATACAACAGCTTACTAAGGCCGACTTGATTACACTTTTACAAAACCAAAATAATAAAGAGAAACCAACTTCACAAGAAAGTTCAGCACCTATCATTGAACAAAGCAGTGACAGGAGCAAGAATAGACCAACAGCACCCTCATCATCTAGCTCAACCCATTCAACTTCACCCCCAACTTCCAATTCTGAGTCAAACAATAATAAACACAAATCAAGTGCGGCTCAAATCAACTCAGAAGCGGGTTCGATGCTAACAGCCTCATCATGGCTTTCTGATGAACAAATCAAGTCGCTTACTGCATCACCCAGCACGAATGCAAAGTCCTCATCCTTAGCTTCATCAGCTATTTTAGATTCCTTGACTACACAACCAAATACTAAACTTCCAAAACAAACAACAATTAGTTCGGGTGCTAGTTTAGAAGCTGATTTACCTCTATCAGCAACTGCAATAGCAGCCGCTGCAGGAACTGCAATCACAACAGGAACAGCACTAGCATCAGCATCCGCACTCTCATCTTCTGATGCAGACTCTGATTCTTCAGATGCTTCTACTCTTTTACAGTCATTCTCATTAGATGGATTAGGTTCACTACTTGACGATGAAGATTCGACTGATCAGAAATCAGATGCCGTTAGATCACCCAAAAAAGTCGTTCAAACTTTAAGCGCATTACCAACTCCAGCTCTTTCTTCCTCTTCGTCTTCTTCAACTGATCTGTCTTCGTCCTCAACTGGACAAACCCTTAGCACAGAATTGCTCAAAGTGATGCAACAACAGAAAAATAAAGAGAAAGGAGCTTCACAAGAGATTATCGCGCCTAAAACTGCGCAAATAAGTAACAATCAACCATCGTTAAGCGTTGGTAGTTCTGTATCAAAATCTAAGCCAGATGATAATAGACAAATGCCGAGTATTATTGATATGAGTCTAGAAACGTATTCACCTCTATCAGCAACCGCAATCGCAGCAGGATTATCATCTACTGATTCAGACTCTTTACCGTTGCTTTCTGGTGCTTCACAGCATCGAAATAAAGTCACAACTGATGAAAAACCAGGTAATGTTCATCAGCCACCATCAAAGAAACCCTCGCCGACATCAACTGCATCTTCATCTTCTCCTTCTACGTTCATTTCGTCTTCTACAACTGGTTTATCTTCCCTATCGGCTGAACAAATCCAAAAGTTGCCTTCAGAAGATTTGAATAAACTATTGAAACAACAGAATGATCAATTGGATGAGACTGTAGAAGAAAGTGAATCACAGAATAATGACCAAATTAGTAGTAAAAATAAGAAACCAACATTTAGCACGGGTGCAGCACAGACATCTTCAGTTTCACCATCTAATCCAGCTCTGACATCAAAACTTTCAAAGCAAATACCGACTGGTACTGATGTTAGTTCAGGAGAAAATTTACCTTTAACAGCAACTGACTTAGCAATCGGCGCAGGAAATGCAATCGCAACAGCATCAGCACTTTCATCTTCTGATTCAGACTCTTCTTCAGTCTTGCTTCCACATTTACAGACATCCTCATTAGGTGATCTTAGTTTACAAAATGACAATAAAGATTCGACTGATCTTAAATCTGGAAGTATTGTTACACCACTCAACAAACCTCCACAGACTTTAATCGTACCTTCAGCATTATCTTCGTCCTCTCTATCAACTGATTTGTCTTCATTAACGGCAGAGCAAATCCAACAGCTTACTCCAGAAGATTTGATCAAACTGTTAAAGAAACCGAATAATCAATTAGACAAAACTCTGAAAGGAATTATAACAGAGAATGCTGATCAAATCAGTGGTAAGAATACGAAACCATTAACAATCGGCTCTGGTACATCACCGTCGTCTTCATCTCACTCAGCTTTACCTTCATCCCCAACATTACCATCAACTCCATCGTTGCATGTCCAACCAGCAGCATCAATACAGTCAGAATTAGCAAATTCTTTATCGACTTCTGCTCTCTACTGAACAAATAAACCAGCTTACTGCCGCTGAATTGATTCAACTAATACAGCAACAAAATAATCAACGAGACGATATTGCGCAGGGAAGTATTAATAATTTCTCTAATGGTGAGAAGATCAATGAGAAAGCTAAGAATCATGGAGCAGAAAGTATTGAAGCGAATTCTGGTCTTTTATTTACATCAACAGCAGCATCAACATTAGAACAATCGGGCCCTTTTTCTGTTACCCCATCTCCAGTATCCACTGGTCAGATACAGCCGACTTCTTCAGTCAACGTAAATAGTGTTTTACAGAATCGAAATAATGGCTTAACCAATCAACAAGCCATTGTTGGATTAACGAATAAACCCTCACAAACTCCGATCTTTCCTTCATCAACATCTTTGTCTTCGTCAGGTATAATTTCAAATCAGAACTTGGGTTTACCAGTTAAGAACGACAAATCGAATCAAAGACAAACTCAAACAGAACAAAATAAGCAAAGCAATAAACAAAAAACACCTTCGCCAATGGGATCGCAATCAGGTCTACAATCTCCACCTTCTGCTACTGAACAAGTCACTGAAAAGAGCAATAATCAGCAAAAATTAAACACTAGTGCATCACCCACAACACCGTCGTCCTCTTTGACATCATCTACTCCACTTGTTTCAACAGCAACTTCGCCTATTCGAATACCCATTAATGGAATATCAGTTAAATCCTCGAATGATGCGATCTCTAGTCCATCATTGACGTCTTCTTTGACTTCTGCAACTGATTTATCATCGCTTTCAACTGAACAAATACAACAGCTTACTAAGGCTGACTTGATTACACTTTTACAAAACCAAAATAATAAAGAGAAACCAACTTCACAAGAAAGTTTAGTACCTAATGTTGGACAAAACAGCGATTCAGCGACTGCAATAGCAACAGCAGCTGCATTAACGTCCCTTTCTGATTCAGATGAGACAGATGACGAAGAATCAACTGAAGAAACATCAGATATTATTAGACAATCGGTGAGACCTGTACAGACTCCAATCACCTCTTCGTCTTCACCAACTGATTCACTTTCTACTGAACAAATACAAAAGCTAAACACGGATGACTTGCTTCAACCGATACAGCAACAGAATAGTGAAACGAAAACAACTTCACAAAAAACTTTAGCCCCTATTATTGGACAGAGTAGTGCGAATCAACCAACAGTGAGTCCTAATGTTGAATCACCAACCTCACCCTCAGCCTCATTAGCATCTCCGAATCTTTTAACTCTACCAACAACTTCAGAGAGTTTCACACCTAACATTGAACAAAACAGTGACAAGAGTAAGAATAAGCCAACAGTGAGTTCTGATACAGATTCCTCATCCACATCGTCATCTGATTCAGCTGTATTAACTCTACCTTCCAAACTTTCAAAGCAAATACCAAGTAGTTCAGAAATAGATTTACCTCTAACAGCAACTGACACAGCGATCGCCACAGGAACTGCAATCGCAACAGCACCAGCACTTTCATTTTCTGCTTCATCTTTGCTATCGGCTGCACAGATACAATCGTCTAATTTGCATTCACAGCAACAAAATAATGATTCGACTAAACAAAAAAGCAACCTTTCTGGACCTTTAAATAAGTCCTCTCAGACTTCAATTGCACATCCATCACCTATTTCGCCTTCACCTATTCCATCCCAAGATAGTATGACCTCAAACGCACAAATTATTACTCCTAATTTGAATAAACCCACTTTAAGTGACCAAACATCTTCAACCTCAACACAATCAAACTTACTCTCACAACTTTCTCCATCTCATTCGTTAGGCATCAACAGTGACAAATCGTCCGATCATCAACAAGTTGAAACAAATTCCGATAAACCAATAGCAAAGCACAATAGTCAAAAAAGTCAACAAAAAATACCTTCCAGAGTAGATACATCTCATTCCAAATCAACCCCTCATTCATTGGTATCGCTGCCATTTTCTTTATCAACAAATTCTGGTCACCTTCATTCATCTAATAGACAACCATCAATCGGATCAACTAGGCTGAAACATCAGCAACATGGAAAAAATCAAAATATTCATCCAACAGAAAGCCAAACGAATAAAGGCGCGACAAATAGACCAACATCAATAATTCAAAGCAGCAAAGTACCAATTGATGCTTCAAAAACATTAGCATCCACATCAACTTCATCCTCGTCTGCATCCGCACCTTCTGAATCAATATCGACGACTTCTTCCTTAGATTCACCTCCAGCCATTCACCAACAGAGTAATCAGCAAACCCAACCTAGTGAAAGTTCAACATCTTTATTGCAGTCTAATCAACCAGAATCACAGATCAACGAGCAAAGGGGAGATGAAACTCTTACAAGAAAATCAACATTAAATGGCGTATCGAATGGATTATTTACAGGACTGGGCTTGAATACAGATTCACTAACTTCTTCTTCGGCATCAAATAGCGCTCTTCAATCACAGTTAGATGTGAATAAACAATTTCAGATTATACAGAATGAACAAAACAATAAATGGACTGCAGATTCACAAGTAAAAACCCCATCAATGGGTCGAACAGATAAAAATTTCAATCTGAATAATCCAATAATTGACGCGGGTTCGTCATCTTTCCCTCCATCTTCTTCTTCATTGCTGTTAGACAAACAAATCGAAGTACCAGAGACAACTGATCTGACCAAGTCTGGACAACAACAAACAACACGATTGAGTGAAAATACAAGTCTTTCGCCTTCTCAAACAGTTGGTAATGAGTTTCAAATGAAATCCAATGAGCAACATGATTTAGACGCTTTAACTGCACTTGCACAAGAACAACGCAACAATGAAAAGTCTACAAATTCAGGACAAACTATGCAATTTACAAATCAAAACTTGACCAAACAAGGTTTAAGTACGCCAAGGATGAACAGTGACTCGCTTTCGTCATCTTCAGCTCCAAAACTGTCATCAGGTAATGCAGCGAAAACTTTATTGTCACCTAATAATGATGAATTGTCGTCAATCATCCATCAAATGGGATCCAACAAAGACTCATCATCAACATCATCTTATGTTTCATCTTTACTTTCTGCTGAACAAATCCAACAACTTACTCCAAATGATCTAATCAAACTGATTCAACAAAAAAATAAAGAAACAACTGACCAAGAAGTGATCAATCGTGAAAAATTTGATAAATCCTTACAAACTTCTGGTCCAAGTTCAGTTTCATCATTGCTTTCTGCTGAACAAATTCAACAGCTCACTCCGGCTGAATTACTACAAATGATCAAACAGAATGACAAGGAGAAAACGAATTCAGCAGAAAATTTCAGCACAAAAGTTGCACAAAGCAGCGACGAAGGTAACAGTAAATCAACTGTAAGCACCGATGCAAGATCCTCGTCCTCAGCACCAACAGTTAATGTCTTAACTTTACCCTCAACTTCAATACATTCGAAGCAGATACCAAGCAGTACTACTGTGAACTCAGAAATTGATTTACCACTAGCAACTGCCACAGCAACCGCAGCAGAAACTGCGTTATTAACAGCATCAGCACTCTCGTCTCTTGATTCAGACTCGTCCTCAGTGAATCTTCCACTTTTAAAGTCATCTTCAAAAGATGATCTACAACTTGAGAATGCAGATTCAACTAAACAATCAAATATTGCTAGACCATCAGCGATCCTTTTGCCAACTTCAATAACATCTTCACCATCTTCGTTTTTATCAACTGATTTATCTTCGAATGAACAAATACAAAAGCTTAACACAGACGAATTGATCAAACTGGTACAAGAACAGACTAATAAAGAAAAAACAAATGAGGGTTTAGCACCTAACGTCGGACAAAACGGCAACAAAAATAAGAATCATCCAACAATAAACACTGCTACTGCAACTCAATCTTCACCTTCTTCTGTATCACCGTCAACTTCGAAACTATTAACAACTCAATCTGTTATACCTTTACCATCGATGAATGAGCAACTCCAGTCTGACAGTCTAATAAGTTCAGCAGCTTTACCTTTAGCATCATTATCATCTTCTAATTTAGGTTCACCGTCTACAACAGCAAATAGTCACGTAATAAACGGAAAAACTGATGTGCCTTTATCAGCCATAGAATCAGAGTCTTTATCTGATACATCTTCAACCTCAGACTCATCTTCAATTTCTGCATTGAATAAACTCACAAAAACTCCGATCTTGCCTTCATCAACATCATTGTCTTCGTCTACTTCATCTCAGGATAGCATGATGTCAAATCAACAAATCATAAATCAGAACTTGAATTTAACAGTTAAGAACGAGAAATCAAATCAAAGGAAAACTCAAACAGAACAAAATAAGCATAGCAATGAACAAAAAACACCTTCACTAACCGACACACCGATCGAAACAAGTCTTCAGCCTCACTTCACACTCACATCTTCACCAATTGAACAAGTAAACGAAAATATCAAGAATCAGCAAAAATCAAGTAGTGCATTACCCACAACAACTTCTTCCTCAACCTCTTTAATTGATTTATCATCGCTTTCAACTGATCAAATACAAAAGCTTAGTAAAAGTGACTTGATTACACTTTTACAAAACCAAAATAATAAAGAGAAACCAACTTCACAAGAAAGTTTAGTATCTAATATTGAACAAAACAGCAATAAACCAAAATTAAGTTCTGATGCAGAATCCTTATCCTCATCATCAGCTTCGTCATCTAATTTAGCTTTATCACTTTTACCTGCGACTTCAAAACTTTCAAAGCAAATACCAAATAGTTCTGATGTTAGTTCGAAAACAGTTTTACCTCAATCAGCAAAGTCTAATTCAGAGAACGCGCTTAAGCTCACGCAACCACAAAACCATAAGGATGAAACAACTTTAAAAGAAAGTTTAGCACCCATCATTGGACGAAATCATGACAAAAGTCCGAATCAACCAACAGTCAGTCCTAATGTTAAATACCCATCCTCCGCATCAGGGTCATTATCATCATCGAGTCTTTTAACTCTACCATCAACTGAACCTGTTTCGAACTCTAAAACAATTAATGTTAATAAAATACCAAGTAGTGCTCATGTGAGCTCAGGAGTTGATTTGCAATCAGTATCTGAATTAGGATTTACAACCAATACAGCATCAGAATCCTCTTCATTACCTTCCCTATCGGGCAAACAAATCCCAAAGCATTCCACACAAGACCAGAATAAACTTTTGAAGCAACAGAATAATCAATTAGACAAAACTTCAGAAGGAAGAGAAACACAGAATGCTGATCAAATCAATGAAAAAGATACGAAACCACTAGCAATAAGCTCTGGTACATCACCCTCGTCTACATCTCACTCACCTCAATCCTCCTCATCCATACTTCCATCTACTTCATCGTTGTTGGTACAACCTTCAGGATTAACACCATCAGCATCTCCAGATTCTTCTTCTTCTTCATTCGATTCAGCGTCAGCTCTATCTGCTTTATCTTTTCTTTCTGCTGAACAAATCAACCAGCTTACTGCCGCTGAATTGATTCAACTAATACAACAACAAAATAATCAACGAGACAGTAATTCACAGGGAAGGGAATCATCTCTGTCAACTAATTTGTCTTCTCTATCGGCAGAGCAAATCCAACAGCTTACTCCAGAAGATTTGGTTAAACTATTAAAACAACAAGATAATCAGTCGATTAAAACTTCAGAAGGAAGTGAAACAAATAAAGCTGATCTAATGAATGATAAAGGTACGAAACCAATAGCAATAAGCTCTGATGCATCATCTTTATTCTCATCCCCAACAACATCAACTACTTCAGCTCTCTTGACTTCGCCATCAACTGCAAAAATTTCGTCTGATTTGAATTCAGAATCAATCAATAATAAGCAATTACTCAATAGTAATAGTATAAGCTCAAAGACTGGCTCGTTGGCATCAACATCGTCTCATTCTGCAGCATCTGCACTTATGGCTGGACAGATTCCTCAGGCTTCATCAATAAGCTCTGATGCATCACAGATATCCTCAGCTTCTCCATCTAATCCAACTCTACCATTGATTTCAAAGAATCCAAAGCAATTATCAACTGGTACTGGTGCGAGTTCAGAAGAAGATTTACCTTTAACAGCAACTGACTTAGCAATCGGCGCAGGATCTGCAATAGCAACAGCATCAGCACTTTCATCTTCTGATTCAGACTCATCCTCAGCCTTGCTTCCACTTTTACAGTCATCCTCATTAGGTGATCTTAGTTTACAAAATGACAATCAAGATTCAACTGATCTTAAATCTGGAAGTATTGTTACACCACTCAACAAACCTCCACAGACTTTAATCGCACCATCAGCATTATCTTCTTCATCTCTTTCAACTGATTTGTCTTCATTGACGGCAGAGCAAATCCAACAGTTTACTCCAGAAGATTTGGTTAAACTACTAAAGCAACCGAATAATCAATTAGACAAAACTTTAAGTGGAGTTATACCACAGAATGCTGATCAAATCAGTGGTAAGGATACGAAACCATTAACAATAAGCTCTGGTGCATCACCGTCGTCTTCATCTCACTCGGTTTTACCTTCATCCTCAACATTACCATCAACTCCATCGTTGCATGTCCAACCAGCAGCATCAACACAATCAGAATTAGCAGATTCTTTATCAACTTCTGCATTAGCCTCAGCTTCAGCGCTATCTTTGCTTTCTTCTGAACAAATAAACCAGCTTACTGAAGCTGAATTGATTGAGCTCATACAAAAACAACAAAATAACCAACGGGAAAGTAATTCACAGCGAAGTAAATCATCTAATAGTGAAAAAGATACGAATCAAGCATCAGCTCTAATTTCAGCATCATTGAACCCAGCTCTTTTGGTTACACCGACACCTTCTACTGCTTCAATTCCAGTATCCACAAAACAGATACGGCCGTCTTCTTCAGTCAATTTAAATAATGGTTTGGTTAATCAACAAGCAATCGTTGGATCATTGAATACACCCTCATCTTTGTCTTTGTCTACTTCATCTCAGGATAGTATAATTTCAAATCAACAAATTGTTAATCAAAACTTGAATTCACCTGTAAAGAATGAAGCATCAGTCGATCAAACTCAAACAAATCTCGAAAAAATGACACAAACTGAAGAAAATAAGCAAAGCAATGAACAAAAAACACCTTCGCCAATGGGGTCGCAACCGAGTCTCCAATCTCAACCTAAAGTAGACCTTAAAACACCAATAAAATCTCCACCTTCTGCTACTGAACAAGTCACTGGAAAAAGCAATAATCATCAAAATAAAGGTTCGCCTATTCAACCCATTAAAAGCATATCAGTTAAATCCGCGAATGATGCGATCTCTAGTGCATCACTGACGTCTTCTTTGACTTCTTTAACTGATTTATCATCGCTTTCGACTGAACAAATACAACAACTTACTAAGGCTGACTTGGTTGCACTTTTACAAAACCAAAATAATAAAGAGAAGCCAACTTCACAAGAAACTTTAGTTCCTAACATTAGACAAAACAGTGATACACCAACAATAAATTCTGATACAGAATCCTCATCCACACCATCAACTTCGTCATCTAATTTAGCTTTATCAAATTTACCTTCGACTTCAAAACTATCGAGCAAAATCCCAATTAATTCTGGTGTGAATTTAGAAAAAGATTTACCTTTATCACCTACTGTGCCAGCGACTGTGACCGCAAAAGCATCATCACTCTCATCTGCTGATTCAGATTCAAATGATGAGACAGACGAGGAAGAATCAACTGAAGAGCCATCAGATATTATTAGACAATCGGCGAGACCTGTACAGCCTCCAATCACCTCTTCGTCTTCACCAACTGATTTATCTTCCCTTTCTACGCAAACAATCAAAAAGTCTAACACAGACGACTTGCTTAAGCTGACACAATCACAGAACCATAATGATAAAACTTCAGAAGAAAGTTCAGCAACTATCATTGGACAAAATAATGACAAGAGTGTGAATCAGCCAACAATAAACACTATTACTCCAACTCCATCTCCACCGCTCTCTTTATCACCAGCAAATCCAGTTCTTTCAACTTCACCATTAACTTCGAAACTATCAATACCTCAATCTGTTCTACCTTTAACGTCAATTAATGACGGGATTAAGTCGGATAGCTCAATAAGTTCAGCAGCTTTTCCTTTAACAACATTCTCATCTTCTAATCAAGGTCCACCGTCCTCAACAGCAGATAATCCTCTGATAAACGGAAAAACTGATTTACCTTTATCAGTCACAGAATCAGAATCTGGATCTGATACGTCTTCAACTTCAGACTCATCTTTAATTTCTGCATTGAATAAACTCTCAAAAACTTCCACCCCGCCTTCATCTTTATCTTCATCTACTTCATCTCAGGATAGTGTGATCAAACAACAGAATAACAAGGAGAAAACGAATTCAGCACAAAATTTCAGCTCAAAAGTTGCACAAAGCAGCGATAAAGGTAACAGTAAATCAACTGTAAGCACCGATGCAAGATCCTCATTCTTAGCACCAACAGTTAATGCAGCTGTCTTAACTTTACCCTCAACTTCAATGATTTCGAAGCAGATACCAAGCAGTACTACTGTGAGCTCAGAAATTGATTTACCACTAGCAACTGCCACAGCAAATGCAGCAGCAACTGTACTATTATCAGCATCGGCACTCTCATCTCTTGATTCAGACTCATCCTCAGTCGATCTTCCACTTTTAAAGTCATCCGCAAAAGATGATCTACAACAAGATTCAACTAAACAACAACCAGATATTGCTAGGCCATCAACGATACCAGTGCCGACTTCAATAACATTATCACCATTTTCTTCGACGTCCTCTTCGTCTTTATCAACTGATTCATCTTCGAATGAACAAACCCAAAAACTTAACGCGGCTGACCTGCTGAAACTGATACAAAAACAGAATAATAAAGAAAAAACAAATGAAAGTCTAGCACCTAAATTTGGACAAAACAGTAACAAGGATAAGAATCAACAAACTATAAACACTATCACACTAACTTCATCTTCACCATCCGCTTTATCAGAATCTACTCCAGTTATTTCAACTTCACCATCAACTTCATCTCAGAATAGTGTGATTTCTAATCAAGAAATTATTAATCAAAATTTGGATTTGCCTGTAAAGAAAGAAAAATCAGCCGATCAAAGGCAAAGTCAAACAAATTCCGAGAAACAAACTGAACAAAATAAGCAAAGTAATAGACAAAAATCACTTTCTCTAAATGACTCGCCATCAAGTCTTCAACCTGACGTTAAAGCAAACCTACAGACACCAATAAAATCGTCAGCTTCAACTTCTGCTGTTGAACAAGTCACTGAGAAGAGTAAGAATGAGCCCTCATCAAAACCTTCGTCCTCTTTACCAACAACTTCACAACCCATAATAGGATTAGCAAAAAAATTAGATGATACCATCTCCAATCCATCAACAACAAAATCTTCTATGACTTCTTTAACTGATTTATCATCGCTTTCGACTGAACAAGTACAACAGCTTACTAAGGCTGACTTGATTGCACTTTTACAAAACCAAAATAATAAAGAGAAGCCAACTTCACAAGAAACTTTAGTTCCTAACATTAGACAAAACAGTGATACACCAACAATAAATTCTGATACAGAATCCTCATCCACATCATCAGCTTCTTCATCTAATTTAGCTTTATCAACTTTAACCTCAAAACCTTCAAAACAAATACCAAATAGTTTTGATGTTAGTTCGTCAACAGTCTCACCTTTATCAGCGAAAGCAACAGCAGTTCCAATACCATCATTATCTTCAGATTCATCTTCCCCTGTTTCATCGATGCTATTGGCTGGACATATACAGTCGTCTTCTTCGACTGACTTGTCTCCACAACAGCCAAATAATGATTTGATACAACAAAAAACGAACCTTCCTCTACCTTTAAATAAGCCCTCTCAGACTTCAATTAACCATTCATCACCCTCTTCGACTTCATCTATTTCATCTCAGGATAGTACAATCTCGAATCCGCAAATTATTACTCCTGATTTGAGTATATCTACCTTAACTAACCAAGGCTCATCATCTAATTTAGCTTTATTGACTTTACCTTCGACTTCAAAACTTACAAAGCAATTACCAAGTAATGATGTTATTTCAAAAACAGATTTATCTTCATCAGTTACTGTGCCAGCGACTGCAATAGCAACAGCAGTATTGTCACCAACATCAGCACTCTCATCTTCTGGTTCAGATTCTGATTCTTCCTCAGTCTCACTTCCAATTTTACAGGCATCTTCATCGGATGAGCTAGGTCCACAAAATGACAATGAAGATTCAACTGATCAACAATCAGATATGGTTAGGCCATCAGAGAAAGCCGCTCAGATTCCAGTCGCACTAATATCTCCATCTCCTTCTTCCTCTTCATCTTCTTCAACTGATTTATCTTCGACTGAAAAAACCCTTAGCACAGAATCGCTCAAAGTGATACAACAGAAAAATAAAGAGAAAGGAGCTTCACAAGAGAGTATCGCCCCTAAAGTCGCACAAATAAGTAACAAGAATGATAATCAGCCATCAATAAGCGGAAGTGCTTCGTTGAGACAACAGAATAATAAATTTGACAAAACTTCAAAAGAAAGTGAAGCAAGTAATGCTGATCAAATCAATGATAAGGATACGAAACCACTAACAATAAGCTCTGGTGAATCAACCTCATCTTCACCTCACTCAGCTCAATCCTCAGTTTTACCATCTACCTTAACTTTACCATTGACTTTACCCTCAGCCTCATTAGCATCTCCATATCTTTTAACTCTACCAACAACTTCAGAAGAAAGTTTCGCACTTAACATTCAACAAAACAGCGACAATCGTAAGAATAAGCCAACAGTAAGTTCTGATACAGATTCCTCATCCACATCGTCATCTGATTCAGCTATATTAACTCTACCTTCCAAACTTTCAAAGCAAATACCAAGTAGTTCAGAAATAGATTTACCTCTAACAGCAACTAACGCAGCGATCGCCACAGGAACTGCAATCGCAACAGCACCAGTGCTTTCATCTTCTAATTCAGGCTCTTTCCCAGTCACTCTTCCACTTTCAAAATCAAATGATCTAGGCCTACAACTTGATGCTTACGATTCGACTGATCAACAGTCAGATATTGTTAGACAATCGAATAAACCTGCTCAGATTACAATCATATCTACTTCAGTTCCATCAACTTTGTCCTCTAGTTCAACTGATCTATCTCCAATCGCGACTGCACAAAACCAAAAACTCACTACAATCGACTTGCTTAAGCAAATACAAAAGCAGAACAATAAAGAGAAAATAACTTCAGAAGAAGGTTTAGCATCTAACATTGGACTAAATGGTGATCAAAGTAAGAAACAGCCAACAATGAGCACTAAAACTTCACTCCCTTCATCAACTGGCAAACCATCCACGTCCATTCCATCCTTCTTAACTTTACCGTCAACCACAAAACTTTCCTCGTCTGAATCTCCTCTAAGGTCTCAATCAAATACTAATAAGCAAATAACAAGTAGTGGTCATGTGAACACAGAAAAAGATTTATCTTTATTAGGAACCACAACGACAATTGATACAGCGTCAGCCTTTTCGTCTTCTAATCCAGACTCTTCGTCTTTGCAGTCATCGGAAAAGATACAGCCGACCTCCTCTGGAAACTTGCATTTGCAGCATCAAAATAAAGGCACAGCTAACCAAAAATCAGGTATTGTTACACCACTAGACAAACTTACACAGACTTCGATCGCACCTTCGTCATTATCTTCTTCATCTCTGTCGACTGATTTGTCTTCATTAACGACAGAGCAAATCCAACAGCTTACTCCACAAGATTTGGTTAAACTGTTGAAGCAACCGAATAATCAATTAGACAAAACTTCAAGTGGAATTATAACACAGAATGCTGATCAAATCAGTGGTAAGGATACGAAACCATTAACAATCAGCTCCGGTGGACCATCATCTTCATCGCACTCATCTCAATTCTCATCCTCCTTCTCTTCCTCACCATCATCTACTTCAACGTTGTTAGTGCAGCCTTCAGGATCAATACCATCAGCATCTCCAGCAGCTTCTTCTTCCGCTTCTGCATTCGATTCAGCGTCAGCTCTATCTGCTTTATCTTTTCTTTCTGCTGAACAAATCAACCAGCTTACTGAAGCCGAATTGATTCAACTAATACAACAACAAAATAATCAACGAGACAGTAATTCACAGGGAAGTGAATCATCTCTGTCAACTAATTTGTCTTCTCTATCGGCAGAGCAAATCCAACAGCTTACTCCAGAAGATTTGGTTAAACTATTAAAACAACAAAAGAATCAGTCGATTAAAACTTCAGAGGGAAGTGAAACCAATAAAGCTGATCAAATCAATGATAAAGGTACGAAACCAATAGCAATAAGCTCTGATGTATCATCTTCATTCTCATCCCCAACAACATCAACTAGTTCAGCTCTGTTGACTTCGCCATCAACATCAAAAATTTCGTCTGATTTGAATGCGCAATCATTCAATAATAAGCAAATGACAAATAGTGATCATATGAGCTCAAAGACTGGTTCGTCTTCATCGGCATCAAAATTGTCTTCTTTTACTGCATCTGCACTTTTGGCTGGACAGATTCCTCAGGCTTCTTCAGTGGACTCGCTTAGTGATTTAAAAAAACAGCACGATGGTGTGATAATGCAACAGTCAGGCCCCAGCAGCTTATCAGCACAGCCTTCACAGACCCAAATCGCAGTTCCATCTGCTTCTTTGGATTCTAAATCTCTGTCTAATGAACAAATGCAGCAGCTTTCTCAAGCTGACTTGATTAAACTATTGAAAGAACAGAATAATAAATTTGGCAAAACTTCAAAATTAAGTGAAAAAAATAATGCTGATCAAAGCAAGGACACGAAATCAACAGCAATAAGCACTGATGCATCATCAACTTCCACTCTCTTAGTCTCCCCTTCAGCATCTTCTGATTCTTCTTCTTCTGCAATAGTTGACTTGGGTTCACAACATCAAAATAAAGGTATGAATGACCAACAAAAAAGCATTGTTAGACCAACCTCTGCATCATCTTCACTCTCTGCTCAACAACAAACTACTGCAACTGACCAAGTCAAACAAATTCAGAATAAAAATATCGAGCCAAAGAATCTACAAGCTAGCAATATCGATAAAATGAAAGCATCTTCTCAAGAATCTTCCCCTTCGGTAACTGATTTATCTTCACTAACAACTGAACAAATACGGCAGCTTACTGCAACTGAATTGCTTGAACTACTAAAGCAAAAAAATAATCAATGGACTATTAATGGACAGGGAGGTGAATCGCCTAATAACGAGCAAATTAGTAACACTGGGAATAAACAATCAACATCGACCATGTCTACTCCTTCGGTCAGACCTTCACCCTCGTCATCAGCATCATCAACTTCCTCTTCTTCTTCGACTTCTTCACTTCTTGCTTCTCCTAAACAAAACCAACAGACGAATAAACTCAAACAGCAAAATGTAGGGTTGACTAATCAACAATCGCTAAATCATGTTCTACTTAATAAGCCCTCTCAGGTTCAGATTTCATCTGTATTGCCATCCTCATCATCTGTAGCTCATAAAGATCAGAATGTTGACAATCAAAGTACTAAAGTGTCAATGATAAACACTAATCAATCACCAAAAGATTCATTACTTCCACCTGCATCAGCCATTTCTTCTGGACTTGCTTCTTCCACAACATCCTTTGATGCTGGGCAAATCAATCCATCTAATCAAGCAAGCACGCAAGACTTGAGTCAGGAAAACTCCGCTTCAAGTCATTCGTTTAATCAACAGGGTAAGCAGAGCTCCTTAAGTACCCACACCCGTCCAAATCAAGAGGTAAAACACCCAACTAAACCTGGAGAAACATCGCCTTCACTAACTACAGCATCTTCGTCGTCGTCTTCTTCAACTTCAAATTCAGGATTGACGCCGTCAACATCGTCAGTTAATCCAACGTATTCTGTTCAAGTGAATGCACAACACAATCAAAAAGATCGAGGCACTTCAGGAAAACAAACAAGTGACTTTGATACCGGCAAACTGGCAGATGTAAGTAGCCTTTCATCTTCATCTGCTTCTCTCACTCCTTTAACGACATTGAATGAAAAAAATTCATCAAATCAAAAGCTGACTCTAGATGACTTGATGAAACTGGTTCAACAGCAACAACAAAATAATCAATGGAACACAAATTCACAAGGAGAAAGAGCATCAATTGGTCAACTATTAAAAGCCATTGGATCAATCAATGAATCTGCACAAAGTTCATCATCATCGTCTATTCCGTTGTTTAGTGTAGATCAAAAACAAATGGAACACAAAAATCAATTTAATCAAAATAAAAAAACTGATTCGCAATTAATGCAAATGAACAAACAGGGCTCAACAAATCCAATAATAAGCGAGGATACTTCTGCATCCACTTCAGCATCATCTAGTTCATCTTCTGAATCTTCCTCTTCCACTGCAAGTGCCGATAAAATTCAACTTTCAAAACAGCAACAATTAGATTTGTTTAAACTGATACAGCAAACCCAATATAGCTCAAAAGAAAGCGCCGCATTAGCAAGTCAATTCGGTATCAATCGAGGTACAACACTTTTGTCACCAATAAGCTCATCTTCATCAACTCAATCAACTGAGTCTGTTCCATCATCCATTTCATTGTCAACCACGAATACTGAACAAGTTTACTTTAGCAAGCAACAGATCGTCGCATATTTGATTGCATTGATTCAAGCCCAGTTGGCAAAAAGTCCACAAGGAGCTTCACCAGTTTCATCTTCGTTTTCTTCAACTTATGATTCTACACAAAATTACCAAACTGATGAGCAACAAATCGTAGTGCTGTTGATTGAAATTTTACAGCAACAGCAACAGAACGATCACCCGACAAGCTCTCTTCTATCATTGCTTTCTAAAAATATATTCATCATTTCTGAATTACCACCTCAGCTGTTATCTTTAATCACTTCTTTATTCACAACTAGTTTATCACCAAGAGCCGAACATCTTTCAACAATTAATAATCAAATGAATTCAGCTGATTTGAAAAGATTGTTACAACAAATAAAACAACAAAGTGATGTCGAGAAACAATTGAAAAGTCAAATAGGTTCTCAAAGAGAGCAACAACTCGACAGTTCACAATTAATCTCAGCTTTATCCAGACTTTCATCAATGCCACAGACTAATGCACCTTCCGTTGGAATCAATCCAGCAAATGTCCAGTCCAATAAACAATGGAATTTGAATTCACAGCAACAGGCAGCGATTAAAGCTCTTCAATCAAGTCAACAATATAAGCCTGTAGATGATCCATCAGCAGCAGCAGCAGCAGCTTCATCATCCATGGATTCCCAATTATTTGAATATCCAATATTGATGGATCCAACAAACACCAAAGGTTTGATCCCAACAATGGAAGATATAGCCGAACAAGGTATTTTAACGCTGGAAAATTTCGCAAGTGATTTACTCGGACGTTAATAACCAATTTGATTCAAATGAAATATGAGAATGGAAATATAGTAGCCGATCCCATGAACTGATTTCTGTAGCTGTATTTCCTTGCATTCCAATGTAAAAATTTTACCAAATAACTATAATCAATAATGAAGCATCTTTAGCTATAATAGGTGATGAAAATGAAAAAAACCATTGAATTAATAGATAACATAACATAATAAAATAATAAATGGCAATAAATGTTCAAAATAATTGTAACAAACAGGTTTTCATTTAATGGCATTCAAAGAGTTCTTTAGAGTCTGGTTGAACATTTTAAAATATATAATGCTCTGAATTGATAATCGTGAAATTCATGTGAAGTCGGTGAACGCTTTTGTTACAATCAAAGGTGTACTTTAGTAATACAAAACTTACCTTAATGATGCGGTTTGTCATTTGGTGGTTTGGGTTTTGGGAAAACATGCATTTGGTTCTTATGCTATTGTTCATCTTAAATATTTTACTCATCCATTGACATATTTTGTTGTAAAAATCAAAATTGATCCATAAATATTTATTAGTCTCTTTTTTAGATCCACACTTCAGTTTGAGTCCAACCAATTGACGGATTTCAATATAAAAGAACCATTTAACAATTACGTTTTTTATAACCGTTTTTTTTGGTTTTCCGTTTTTTTTATAGCTTTGTTCAACTCGATGAAGTCAGTCCACACGAAACACCACTCAATTTAACCAATTGGTATTTATATTTGAGGTTTACAGTCATTTTTTACCGTTTATTGTCCACCATTATTGCTTTTATTTCCAATCCTTTTTTATTATCAATATGTATACAAATTTGCAAGAAAAGGCTAAAATCGTCTGCCAGGTTAACTTTAAAAGCTTGCTGAGTGGAGTTGCCAGTTGAATTGTATTGCCTTCGTGATCCAGCATTGCGTAAATCAATCACAATATTGTTGTCATTGTTGCAATTTAATTGATAATATTTAGTCAGCATAATGATATAATCACACACTATAATTAGAAAATTGTGATTCCACAGTCAATTGATTGAAATGATGGCTGTAACGAGAAAAGGAGAAAACCAAAAGTAAAACATAGAAAAAAATATCTTTACATATACGAATGTTAAGAATTTAATTTAAAAAATCACTTACTGAAAAACAATTCCCGGATTGAACTAAATTAAGAAATTTAGTGTTAAAACTGAGTAAATGACATAATTTATTCACTATTTAATCGCGAAAATAACAGCTTTTTCACTTAACGTTTTTTTAACTGAAAACCTGTAAATTATGATGACCATTGTACAAAATATTGACAATAGATGCCACTGTTTACAACTCATTTGTTTTGGTAAAAAAAATCAAATGTAATCAAATTATCAAATATCAAAAATATAATTTAATAGATGCCACTCGGTGACTGAATTTCATACAATCGAGTAAAGGAATTAGGTTTTTGTGTTTTGCCTTTGGAAAGCTTGTTGTTATCGTTAATTTGTTAATGTACAATGATCACATTAAACTTTCACACTTCCTAATGGCAAGAAAACGGTTAATTTTTTCATCATGATAAGCTTATTTTTAATGATTAGTTAGAAGCTTGTTTTATTAGTTGCTTTCAAATTGTTGTATCATTGAACTTGGCCCTGTTTTCAGCTGCAAAAAACATTGAAAATAGAGATTATTGGATTACATCGCAGCATGACGCTGAAGATCAGATTAATCTTGTCTCAAGAAAGGCTATATTTACATAGATCAATGTCGTTTTGTTAAAAATTTGATTCCAAAACTTGTTAACGATACAAAGGACATCGATATCTTTCCATAACAGCTTTTTTCACACCAATATGGCAATGCTAATGAACCAATTTGAACAGCCAAAATTAGGTTGTTTGTTTCTTCTCATATTGCTGGCTTTGATTATACTGATATTGATGATGTTGATGTTGATAGAGAAATGAATAACAGATCAAAACTCCTACAGTCTTGATTGGCACCAAAACCATTATTTAAGTTAATTGGTTGAGTAGGAAGCTTCAAGTTGTAAGCAAGTGATATTGCATGGATTCCTTACTGAAAAACTAGAAGAAACAAAAATATAAATAAACAAAGGCTAATTATAGATCAGATAGTAAATCATTTGAAGTTTGAAAAAAAATTGCTTTACTTTAACACAGATTTGATCAATTTTCCTAATAGAAACTAAATGGTAAAATAAAGGGTAACATAAATGTATCCAGTGCTTATAGTGAATAAAGCCTCGTTTGGTGGGAAAGAAAAAGAGTTTTTTTGGTGTTCAGTTCATGGATTATTGATACTTACTTGATTTTGGTGTTTTTTTGCTCATCTATGTGAAATAAAGATGCCAACACTGTTTAACAAATCAAATTTAACACAATTAAAAGCCAACATTCGATACTTTAAAACAATTCCAGGAATAATAAGATTGATTGAATTGGTAAGTAACCGCTGGAACCCTTTCCATTACGCTTGTATCTCGTTTTTGCTTCAACTCATTCAAATTCTCATGCAAATAGCTTTCATTTTTACAATACAATCAAGTGTAATTAGAAAAATTTGATATTAATCATCTTTTGATCATTTTCACTGTTCAATTTTAATTAGATTTTATTTTATTCTCAATCAACAGGTTTTAGGAATCATTTGTTTTGCCTGTTTAATCGGCGGATCTTCGCAGTATTATAATCCTCATATCGGATCCAATGAATATGGATTTTCTGGTGGATCCATTGAAACAAGCCTTTTATTGAATATTTATGCCTGTCTTTTTGGTACTTTTTTAATTATAATTGCAACTTTAACCTCATCGAGTGTACCTTTATCACCCTGTCAATCATCGGTAACAATTTCATCCACCTCAGCAAACAAATTGAGTTTTGTAAGGATCAAATTGATGATTATTTTGCAAGTTTTACCTTTTTACCTAAAACCATTCCTGTTTCATGTGATTACCCTTGTTACCGGTTAACAATCGTCATTATTAGTACTCTTATTTTGTGTCTATTTGTAAGTGTGTGTGTGTGTGATGACATAAACGGAAAGAGCTGTTCAATATTGAATTACCTATCCAACAATTGTTGAAATTATCCTTTAAGTATACAAAATTGTGAACAGATGAAGCACAACAAAAATGCTCTGTCTCACCAAATTTGCTACACTCACAGTGTGTTAAAGGTAAGATTAGTTATTGATCAGGTTACCTTTTAAAGGATAAATTGGTTAATAATAATGAATCTGTAATTTAATTGGTAACATGAAAAGTTGAAGATGGTGAAATTGTATGCTCAATGAAGAGAGAAAGTGAAGATTAACAGGAAGAAATAGTCTTTCCTGGAGTAAAAAGGTAAAAGTAAATTCATTGTTGGAAAAGGTAATCAACTACAATGCAGGTAAAAAGACAACAAGGACGAGAAGAAGATAAGATGAAGGTAAGCAGCCAAGAAGTGATGATGATGGAGGAGGAAGAAAGTAAAGACCAGCAAAAAAAAGTGGAAAGTGAATGGAGATGAAAATTGTAACTGAAAAGATAATTTAGTTTAAATAAAGTTCTCACTCTATTTGACTTTAGCTTTGATTAAACTAGTTTAAACAATGATTTAGACAATTGTAAGCAAACAATCGAGCAATATTTATTTTACTTTTACCTTTTTTTTCAATGAAAGATTGTTGTTACATACTCGTTTTCATACCTGGACAAAGGCTCAATTATTCAACACGATAATCGTGCTTGATATACCTTTTACTTGAGCCATTTCATGTTGGATAACTTGATAATAACACTAATGATGATTACGATGATGCTGTTGTTGATTATCTTGGTGATATATACATTGTTGTGATTAAATCGCAGCACACATCAAGTGCCTTCAATTGTTCAACCACAAAGTGAACATGAAATATCATTTTTCACTTTCAACTGACTCTCAACTGTTACATACAATTAAGATTTTCTCCGCTAGGGGGCGTTTCCGCATAAAATGACCTATATATTCGGACTCAGCTTGTCGAGTTCTATTGCAACTTCAACTTTCCTGGTTCACTTTGATCAATAACTAACTCGATAGAAAGGTATTCCTTTATATTCACCCGATAATTTATTAATTGTTATTAAATCAAATTTCCTTTTCCTTTTTTTTTTGCTAAACATTGATTCAACCAAATCAAAAAGATGTAAAGCTTTCAAATCACAACCGTAACGTTGTAATGATTAATTTTGCATGCAAATTGTTAGTCTGACTAGCTTCATATTTGCCTGGTTAACTCATCTCTAGATTAAACCATTTGATTGGGAAAAACACAAAATTTAATTGTAAAACAAGATTCACTTTCATTTACAATTCATCTCAACGTGAGACTTGAAGATATCATCAAAAATTCAACTCATCTGCTTTGCTTTCAATCAATGAAGACCTTGAATTAACCTTAAAAATATATTTACTTTTGATAATTTGATCAATTTTGTTGATTATTCAATCAGACAATTTAACAATCAATCAAATACAGTGAATAATTGAAATTGAGAGGTTAACTGTTGCTTCAGGTCAACCTAGAGATCTTATGAGACAAGAGTTGCCTTAAAGTTTCCTTTGCTGGTTAACTGGTAAGCTTGAAAAACATGTTTAGCTTTCAATTTCAATTTCAATGTTCCAACCGTTTATCAGACAATTGGATTCATTTTAATTATCATCAAGGTGATCCTGATGTTGGTGATTACATGAAACTATTTTGGTTTATAATGATAATGGTGAGTTGCTGGATAAACCTCTTTATCCCAATTCATTATATCTCAAGATAAACCAAGCCATCATTTGGAACCCAAAAAAGTACCCAAAAAGGACTAAATTGTCAATCTTTATCAACTTAATTTAAGAAGAAAGTTAAATTGTTGAACATTCTTTCTCACAGTTAATTGTTATTATTATCTTATTGTTTTTATTCATTAACAGCAACATTTAATTATTCATCTCAACCTCGACCATCATTTTATGGTTAAATTAACAGTTGTTTTACAAATCAATGAGATTGGGTAAAGTAACAATTTAAATTGCAAATTATACATTCAATGAATTTACTTCAACAATCATTATTAAATGTTATAATCAAAAGTAAAGCCCAACTACTGATCAACATCTAATTAACGAAATTAACCAATCTAATTAAATGAGGAAAGTAATTGCTGAAAGATGTTAAAGCTTCATGTTTCCAAGATTGACAATTGTCTCAAAGTGAATGTAGTTAATTGGGTTCAACTTTCAATTGACTATCTAATGACAATTTAAACCAGATTTTTACAGTGAATCAATTTTTAAAGATGAATTAACGTTAATGTAAAAATTTGACATCTGATTAAATAAATGGTGAAATTGAAGGTAAAATATGAAAGTTGATTGACCCAATTGAATAGATCGTAAACCTTATTATTAACCATTGAGTGTTAATTTAATAATATGTGATGTTGCTTATGAATTATATTCAGTTGATGCTTCACTAATTCAAATTGAATCATTTCTTCTGATCGCCAACAATGAGTTATATTTAAACACGTTTGTCACATATTGATTACAATTGACTTTCATCTCATGGTTAACAAAGTGAATCTAAATGATTTTACTTCAAGTTGATTAACATTGATTTTCATTTCTCTTTTTCCACAAATTATAATTCCATTCATTAACTGATTAACTTTCAATAATCACAATTGTTGTTGTCCAATTCAAAGGTTTTCATTTGCCTTTTTTGAGGTAAATAAACTCAACCATATTGGAACCCAATTTTATATTTAAAACCCAAACTCCAGACTAAATTATTTTGGAAGCTTTTTCATCTTCAAAATCAATTTGAATGCTATTAAATGGTGAAATTGATTAACACCTTAAATCTGTTTAGCAGATTTTACCTCATAATTAAAGTGGAGTTGAGAAGGGAAAAACAATTAATCAGATTGAATCATTATTGTACTGTTGCTGGTTAATTGTGCAAACAAGTTTTTCGATTTACATTTAGATTGTTTTATTTGATTATTTACCAACAGTATGATGAGTAATTTAATTGTGATTCACCTTTAGATTCTTTACATTCTTTAGCTTGAAACCATTAACCAATTGTGTTTACCGCCAACATGATTTGTAAATGTCAATGATATTCAGTCTTCAAGATCATCATTATTTGCCATCTTGACTTTTAATGGTTCATTTTAATTTTGAGTGTAAATTAGTCGATTGTTACAATATCATGATTTGACGGACGCCTTAAATTTTAAACAACTTACTGATTGTGTAAATTGATAAAAGCTAATCAAAAATTTTATTTTGGTGGCTCAACTAAATCAGGTTTATCTGTATTAACGATCATTATTCAAACTGATCTCGAGTTGTATGACCATCCAATTGTGCACAATCTTTACTCATTGGATTGTTCAAGTTAAATCATTAATTTGATCATGTCAAGGTTGAGATTGATTAAGTCACAAATGCATAATCATTTGGATGGTAAATCTTGCAACAATTGGCCTTAAACATTTAGTCTGATGCATAATTGAATAAATTGCTGAGTAAATCAAAAAATTATAATGAAGATGTCCTCAATAGAGAGAGAGAGTAATTATGGCTACTATTGTAATTAAATAATTGCCAATTTATATGCACAATACAAAATTAATAATAACAATGATGGGTTAACATTCACAATAATAATGGTCGTAAATGGCGAAGTGGATACAAGTTGAACAATTAGTTGATCATCAGAACTAATGCAAGAAAAGGAATCAATTAGGTTGAGAAAGACGATGATGATATGTCCAATTGTTAACAATTTAGTTGCGTATTTTGACGATTGAATAGTAGAAATGATTTTTCCTATTGAATCACAGCTTTGGCTTAATGGCAAATCCTCCCAATATGCGTTTACCAAAAGGTAAAATAATCACATTAAAATCCATTCTAATTGGGTCGAAATGGTTTTAATTCCAATCGGTTATTAGTCACTTTAAAGTATAATCCTTTTGCCCTTGATAATCTTTTGAAATATTGAACAATTATTCAATTATCATTTCAATTTGACATGAGTTTGCCTGTAAACAAAAAATAAATTCTTACCAAGTTGTATTACAAATAACAATAGAAACAAGAAAACGATTACTTACCTAATCATAATCAAATTGTAAATTGTAAATTGATCAAATTATGAGAAGGTTTAAATTATAATAACCATAATAGTTATGTTAATCATGAAAATAAAATTGATAAGCCATAAGCAAAAAAAAAAACGTTAACTTTCCTTTTCAAGACGCCATTACTTCAATGTTTACTCATCACGACCGAGGAAATTTCAATGCTGGGAAAAAGAAGAGCCAAATTTGAATTGAAAAAAAAGAGTAAATTAATTTTACTTCAATTATTATATCATGATTACTCTGTGATGGATTAAAATTGTCAGAATTGAAGAAATTATTTTACCGTTTATTTTACCCAAGTTTAGTTAATTGCGAGAACAAATGAAGATTAAATAAGCATTGTTATTAACGTTGTATTTGATGATGTCCTTCAATTGTGATAATTTATTAGCAACAATCAAGGTTATTAATAAGAACCGTAAAGAGCGTAATTCACAATTTGTATTGTATAATAATGAAGCTTTGTTTCATTTTAATTGTAAAACTGTTACTATGATCAAACAAGAAAATTAATAGGATTGTGACTAGAGAAAAGGCTAAATTGATAATCTATTGATTAGAGACAATACAAGGCTAATTTGAATTGATTGTTTTTTAATTAAATTTGGCTTCTATTAAATTTGTTACATTCAATCACAACTTGTTGAGTTAACCATTCACATAGCTTAAGGGTTAAAATAAATCATTTAAAATCGTTTTCCACAATCAGCTTAATCATTTCTGATACTTTTATACATTTGTTTATTTTACCGTACAATTTAACTTTTGATTGTTGTAATTACCTGTCAATGTTTGGACTCGGCTTCTCATACAAACACGATTATAATGATAAATCTGATTTGATATTTGATTGATGATCGTTAATTACTGGTTGATGATGATAATGAAAACCAATTATCCAAATAATTGTGGTTTTATTTACTCTTTGAGGTTCGAGAATTTGATTTCAAGATTGCAGCATTCAATTGGTAAAATGGACTTTTGATTAACTCGATTTGTTGCCTTTTTTTCATTGTTAATCAGTGTGATTCCATTGTCGATGTTGATGTTTACGGTGATTGTAAAAATTGAATTTGATTCGCCTAATTGACCAAGAATCACTCTTGATTAGGAATGCTCATTGCTTGGTTAACCATGAGCCATTTGGATTACTTATTAACAAGGGATTGGCAGTTGATTTTCTTGTTATTAATAATGATTGATAGGCAGGCATTAAAGGCTGTGAGATAATCTTCTGGTTTTAACCCCAATTTAACCAACAAGGAACCCAAATTAAAATCTAACCCTAACAGACCCTTCCTTTAGCCAATTAACTTGACTAAACACAAACACTAACCAGCAGAATAATCATCCATCAAGACACACACAATCAAAGTGCAGCATTACCTGACCATTACCAGATTGGAATAAGAAACATTTAACAGCGGAAAGATGCAATTATAAAGATTCAAATTCAAATATAATTCAATTTCATGTTTTTGTTTAAGCTGTCCATTAATTTTCAATGAAACCAAGAAATTTAATGGCTAATTTATCTAGTCTTTCTTGATGGCATTGTTTCTGCACTCTAACTGTTTTGCTTTGTTGACAATATCACTTTAATAGACTAAATTGTCCGAATGTTTCAACAGGTAACTCAATTTGATCGAAATAATAGAATCTAAAATCAATTTGAGACGCAATAAAACAGCCTTTCATGGAATCCGATTCCTATCATTATATCCACTTGAGTTGCTTGCAATTGTTGCTCCTGTTGACTGTCAATGGCCCTTCTTCACGGTTAGGCTTGAATAATTAAACATGGAAACATTTAACAAGGTCTTTTTTATATTTATAACAAAGCACACAATATATTTCTGCAAAAAAATATAAATAGATATATAAATAAATCATTTAATAAATAGCTAAAGAAAACAAATTGACTTACTCTGAAAATATCATGATAATGGTAACAATAGCAGCGCAACAAGTATAGAGACAGGATCAGGAAACATTAGATCCTTTAATTTGATTCGAGATGTTGATTATCCTTTTTACATTAATTTTGTCACCAACATTTATCTTTTTGAGTTCAAAAATTTGAAGGTTAAGTCATTGTAAAAATTTAATTGTAAGGTTAATTGTGAGATTTCCTATTGAAGTAACAAAATAAACGACATTTTCATTAAAAAGTACAGCTACTCGATACCAATAACCGATATCAATCCTTTGACCGTTAATGAATCATTAATGTTAAACTTTTGTTTTTGTTAAACTTTTGTTTTTCTTGATCCTAAATCTATATTAATTTTCCTAATTCAGTTTCATTTTTTACTACGATATTACATGTTTACGCTTTATATTTTTGTCAAGTTCAACTGAATATGTTATAATATGATGGGCAACAAACTGTAACTGGTTTGATTGACAAGGTTGTCTTAATGTATGAACAACCTTGCTTTGTTTTTCCTATTTTTTACCTTTCCAACAAATTGTTATTGTTTGTGTCATCAGATAATTTTCAATAGTTTTTTTGACAATATCATTCTTCAACACTTTAATTAACTTCTAACAGTATCATCATTCTCATGTTTTCTTTCCTTTTGTTTAGTGTTTTATTTTTCATTTTTTCGCTTTCATCTGTATTTTGGTGAGCTCTTTGACTTTGCTGATTGAAGTCGCCAATCGTAATCGTCACCAAAGGTTCAAGGAGCCAGGATATGCAACTAAAATTGTTTCTTCGGTTAGTTACTTGATCCAGCCAAATTCGACGCCTATTTTGTAACCTTGCTTTGTATTTCTTCTGATTTACTCCAGGTTTTTGGTCTTTTACTTTCGTTTTGTTATCTTCTCAGTTCCATGTTCACATTTCGCACATCACTGCTGTCATCGGAATCAGATTCAGGATCCAATGTCAACTATTTAAAGAGCAAATGTGGCGTTTCCGTTGTGACAAGTGGATTGGGTATCAATACAGATACCAGATTTAGGCCAGCTAATCAATCATTCAGAACATCATCTGCTTTTATTCCTGCCTGGATTGGAAAATATATGGCAACATATGCTAATCAAGAAAACAGGACATCGAACATATATGATGAGATATCAATACCAGTTCCAGAAACTACAAGCGCTTAATCAACTTGAATTTGATTCATTTGCAGACATGTTTCACCATCTAAAAGCTAAGCCATCAAGAGAGAGGAATGTTCATAAGATTACATCTTCCTTTATTCTTTTACATGGAACGAGTTGGGAATGCAAAGAAAAAGAAATTTAGAGATTCGTATATAAATTTCACATGATGCTTATCTGGAGTGAATGAGAAAATAATCAAGGAATCGCCATTCATCAGGACCAGACGTTTAAAAATCTCCTTACACAATCGACTCAAAATCTGACTGAATACTTCTCAAGATATTAATTTCAACGTATAACCGTACAGCCCAAGGATTGACAAGAATTATTTGAGAAAAAAGAAGATGATCGAAACAAGTGATGTAATTAAATAATCTTGAGCTTACCATTAACAAATTGCTGGAGGAGAGTGGTTAAGGAAAATTGAAAGTAAAAGCAACTAAATTTATGTCGGATTATGTTCAATTTGGAGGTGATGATGATCAATTTTCCGGTCGCAGTTAATTTAATCACGTTAAATATACAAATACATTGCAGAATTTTTTTTTCTGGTAAAGTCAAAGAAAAGAATAAACTTCACAAAATTTAATATATTCACCCAAGGTTTTTGTTTTCATAAGGTCAGCTTTGAAAAGTAGGACAATCAGTGTTAAGGTGATTGTTTTTACTGTTGTCCACCAAAAATGCAAATCACCGAGTTGGACATATTAATGAATTTACAAATTTTAATTATAATACTACACTTTAGCCAAAAGTGACTTAGTCTTTACATTCATTACATTACTATAGTTAATTTGATATTTTCCTGTCTAATTATCACGTTTTTACCGTTTCTCTCGGAAATACAGTTAATAACTTGACCACTCTGATAACTATCCATCATTATTATTTGAATTAATTTGTTTCTTTAATCTTCTTGACCTTGTCTTAAATTTCACGTAATCATAATCATAATCACAATAATAAGCATCAACATAGTAAATGAAAGTTATTAACCACCAAAAGACATTTAAAAATGTTGTCCAAAAATTTATTCACAACAACAGTAAACAGTTGGTTTTGTTGTTAATAATTTGAGCAAACAGTGACAAAACAAAACCTAAATCACCGAAATTTGATTATAAACGCAAGTGGAAGGCAAACAATCCTTATAACGCCTTTTGAATCTCACAGTTATCATTAAAATTGAAATACAGTCAACTAATTGCGTGAATCTTTTCGGCTTTATCAATTTCCATAATGTTTCCCTATTGTTACTGTTTCTGGCAAAATAGCCATTTCCGAATCGGGTTATAACCAGGCAAATAAAAGACCAAAAAATGTATTTCATTGATGCAATTTGATTTGTTTTTGATTAATTTTCAATGACATGACTTTAACACTTTGATTCTTGCCATGAAAAAAATTGAAATCAATGACTGGAATTTGAATAATGATGATTTACCCGATTCTGGTTAACTTGCCTGATGAACGTTTAAAACATTCAATTAGCAAGATAGTGATTGAAGTTGGTGATTTTGTTTAAATTTTAAACTTGGCTTTTGGTTAAAAGTAATGTTAAATGTAATTGCTGGTGGTAATAATGATTGTGATGATGATAATTTAAGAAATAGCCAATTAGTATTGTCAAGATGAACATGAAAAATGCTCTTCTTCTTCCGGGTCTTTTCATCACTATTAGCTGTTGTTAAAAGCATGAGTGAAATGATTATCATAATTATGATGGTTATGAGGATGATACTGATTCAGATCAAGGATGGCCAATTGTTGGAATCACTGTAATTGTCAATTGAACAATTAAAGTGCAAGACCAATGGTCAACCTTTCCATCCTTTTATGCTTACTGTGTGTTTGTGTATTGTTATGATCATCAGTTAATTACTCCTTTTATTTTACTTTACCTGATTTCAGATATGAAATGGTTAATTAAAAACGATTTACCAGCAAATTCGTTGGACAAACCCGTTTAACAGAAACGCCATTCTAACGCTCTAATGAATGGCAAGTTACTAGTGGCCTTGTCAAGTTAATCAACTGCTTTTTAGATTAACAATGGACAAACAATTAACTCTAATGAAGATAATCAAGTTAATGGGTTAAACAGGGACAAAAAGATCAATCTAAACCTGTTGATAACAATGTGTTACATTGGAAGACGATTAAACTCAAATCTTTATGGTTACAGAAATATAAAACAATTTGATTTCATTTATGTGATTAAAGGTAAAATCAATCTAAATTGATGCTAAATAATTACAATCATAAATAAATTGCGAGAGGTTGAGATGTTGAAGATGAACCATTTTTTGTAAGCAAAGTGTTCAACATGCATTTGAAGATCTCAGTTTAAATCATTTTACTGGTTTCGTCTGATGATTTTATTTGAATTACTCTTTACACTCTTTTTTTGTTCCTGATTGATGGACAACATTAAATCAACAATCTAATGGAAAACTTAAATTGATTGTGAATTTGTTGTTGTCTCAATCTCCATTGAAATAAAAACAAGCAAAATGTGTACATCTATTGTTGTGTTTCCAGTTTTAGGTAATGATGAACACCGGATACTTTCAATAAGACTTTTGGTCAATTTCAATCAATTCTCAGTTTCCTTGATGTTATTTTTTTACCTTTTTCAATAGGTAAAGTTGGGCTTAAATTCAGGGTACAATTAACGCCAATTAGATCTGCTAGAATAAGGTTAGAGAAAAAAAAGTTTCATTGAGCAGATAAAAAAAATCGAGTTATTGTATGAGAAGAGGAAAGAAGCATGAAAATGTTGCTCTTGTGTTGTTCAGTTATTTTATTGTCTTATGACTAAACCTACCTGAGAGCTTACCTTACGAAAGGGAGTCAGAAGATGATGAAAAGCTGAAGGAGAAAGTGAATAACGAAAGGAAAAGGAGACGAAAAGAGAGAAAGAGAAGGAGAGAGAGAAAAGTTGAGTGAGCAATATGTTTTGCTTGTTGAACATCATTTTTCATTCAAGCAACTCGAGGTACGAAACTCTTTTTTTTGTGGTTCCTTCTCTTCAGCGCCAAATATCGCCATTTGTTAGTCAACAGCAGTTCTATCAACAACAACACCTTTCAGGAATACCATCATTCCGTCAGATTGTGGATTCATGTGCGTTTTTTTGCTACTTGGAAGCTTGACAAAATCACTCGTCCATTGTCAGCACATCACAGCTGTAAAAAACTGGGAAAACTCTTACCTCAAAATAATTTTCTAATTTGTTTGTTTTTTTTTCTTCTTTCACAAATGTGATTAAATGAAATTTGATGGATTTACTAATTTTTCAATTCATAATCAACAATCTTTGACTTGTCGATTTGTTGATTGGAAATTATTTTTGTGATCCGCTTTTACCTCCAAAGGAAGTGTTTATTATCAGCTGATTTATATCCTATGCAAATTTGTTCATCCAGATGTAAATTTTTGTGAACTGATTTATAAATAATGTGTTGTTGTCTTGTTGTTTAGTTGGTTGTTCAATGGTTTTTGGCTAATTAAACTTCCATTGAGACAATAAGCGACTTGTTTGAGCTTCAAGGTGATCTCGCAGTCTCATGAACATGAGATTGCTCCGGTTGGATTATGTTGCCAGCCGATTGTGCACATTGACGTTGACAGTGTTTCGTTTTAATCAATCATTATTTCTACTTGTTCTACTAATATCTTCCTCCTTGACATCGCCAGTTAAACAACCCTTATCTCCATCATCAGACTCTTTTGCTGATTTAGTTTTCAGCGATTCAAATGATCGCAATACCATTCATAATAACCAACAACCAGGCACCAGTGATCAACAGGTACTTTATATTAACCATGGAAATGGTGCCATAAGTTCAATTCGTAGAAGTTTACGTCAACCAGTGACAAAGTTACCCTTCAAACCACACGTTACTAGTTACCCAAGTTCACCTTTTGATAATAACAATAGTGATGTTAATTTAGAGCCGGTTCCATTGATTGGAAACTATCCAGATTCAGCTGAAGACCCAGTTATTCCTATAAATCCAAGTAGATACGAAGAAGTGGAACCTTCAGTTGATCAACCTCCTTCCTCGCCAATATCCATAGGTTCACCTAATAGACGACCATCCAGACGATCAACACAATCTGATGTCAACACGCCTAGTCGCATCATTTATGATCCCCAACCAAGTCTTTCACAACCACCACCACCACCATCATCAGTCTCATCACAACCTTCACTTCCACCATCATCACCACCTCCATCATTAACAACCTTGAATCCAGTTCCCCCTTCAACTCATCGTCCATCAAGAATCTCTGACCCATTCATACCCTTCAATTTTGACAACATTTTCACTCGTGATCCAACTTTTGACATTGAGCGTAACGTGATTGGAGGTAACCAACGTAATCCACCACCATTACCTCTCCCTCTATCGCCAGCATCTCGACCATCTTCGTCTTTATCAAGTCATCGAAATCATTTCCAAAATGAAAACAATGTTGAAGCTTCTCCTTTACACGGTTCTCAACCTTCAACTTCGCCAGGCGAAGAGAATGATATAAATCGTCTAAACAAACCTGAATTGGTTAAAATTAATGAGGATGATCCAACCAATGTTGAACCAAGAGTTCGTAAACAAATTACTGGACCTCCTAGTGCATATGGTGGACGATCTGATCCACCAATAACGACACCATCTCCTCCGTTGCTTGGATCGCTCGGCGGTCCAACAGGGTTTGGTCCGACTTTGGGCTCTGTTGATGGTAATGGTTTTATTCCAAGTTATGGACCACCAGGTTTTGGATTACCTGGTGCTCAAGATATATTTCCATTTTTTGAAACACCATTTTTACCTATTAATCCAACATCATCTGCCAATGGTGGTCAACGAACTCCTCATGGATTTCAAAGACGCAGATTAACAAATAATCATAATCATAACAACTTAGGAGCCTATGGCAATCCTAATCATCATACTTCTTCACCCCCTCCACCAGTAAACAATTTAAATGACAATTCGATTGGTAATGGTTATCCTTCTTATAACATTTATAAAGGAGGCGATGATGATGATGCTGGAGTTAAATGGCCCAAGATATTTAAATTTACAGATGGAAGAGTCAATTTAAGTGAATTTGAAAGGAATAAAAAATCTGGTAAAATCAAATTCCTCAACAAAGAAGATGCCCATTTTGCAGATGTAAGAAGAGACTCATTTCTCATCCTACATGGCGGAGCCTACAACTAATTAAAGCGACCAATTAAACAAAAAAGACACCAGACAAAGAGAGAGAAATCTATTCAAAAATTTGTATTTTTCAGCAAGAATTTCTTACAGTACATTTTGGAGACACTTGATTAACATTTGCAACGATGTCGGACACACTGTGACACTTAATGATGTTCAACGATGTTTTGGCCAAGTGTTGTCATAAGGAGATATATTCATCGAGATATTTGAATCTATTATCATGAGATTTGACTAGCAGATGAAACGATTAACGATATTATTTTTTTTGTGAAAAATGGTCATGATAGTTTCCATCATATAACATCATATCATAATTTGTATTGACTGTTCTGACTAAAATGATACTCGATTGAAACTCATGAGCCAAAGTAACGATCGAATATGTTATATTTCTTGAAATTCCATTGTGACAAAAAATTGTAACTGATAAACCGAAAAAAGTCCAATTTCGGAAAAAAAGGAATGAGAATTGCATATTCATCTTTGACGGTCCAAGTGACCAATAAAGCAATATTTATATCAATTGACTTATTTTTAGTTTTTTTAAACAACACATATTTAGTAACTTTAAATAGTTAACCAACATAATTAGCAGTATTTATTAATGAGCACTTGCACACGTCGAAAATTGATTTGGTCAAAAAGTTAACAATAATTTATGCTTGATAATACAAATTGTTCTGTGCGATGTTCACTCTTCAAACAAATTAATTTATTCACCATTGGTTTTGTTTGAATAAAAAAAAGTTCAACGATGAAATGTTGAACGAATAACATGGAAGGATTATTTTTTCTAAAATCATTGATTACTAAGTGTACATAATGTTTTAACAATAAAGTTTTCTTTTTCGTTGCTATCAGTTATTGATTTGTAAGACAAATGGTGAATTCAAAGAAAATCGGTGTTATTTTTGCATTGGAATTTTTCATCATCTTTTAAAACATCTAGTAATCATTCATTTTATACTTACAAAAGGTCTCAAAAAGACATATCTTGTCTTTTATCTTCAACTGGATAGTAGAGTCCACAGAATGCCTCTTGAATAGCCCGATAACATGGGTAAATTCCTATAAATCCTCCAGCTAATTCTGATAGCTCTATTTTTCTAACATGATCCAGGTAACTTGCTTCAAGATCTTCAATTTCTGGTGGTTTAGGACCTTCCATTTCATCAGGGTCCCAAACTTTTTCTTCATATACGAAAGTTTGTTGTTCTTCTATCTTTGGAACGGGTAAGAATAGGTTTGAAGAGCTTTTACCAACTTTAATACCAGTCGAGAAAGTAGCTGGAGGTCGCCTTATTGGAGGTTTCGTTACTTCAGCTGTTATTCGTTGTTCAAGTTGCATTTTCTCATTAGCATGCTTTGCCAAAATTTGGTTAGCCGGTAAATCAGAGTACATAAGGTCGTCAACCAGGTCTTCGGCAGCTTTCTTTTTAGTTTTAGTCAGATCAATTTCATGTTGTCGTATAACTTGCGCTTCTAATTTATCTTCCCTCTCCTCAGCTAACAGCTCTTCCAATTCCTCGTCATTTTCACTGAGTTTTCCACGATTTCGAGCGATGACATCACTGTTTTCTTTTCTATATTGTTCTATAGAGATTTGAAAGGCAAAGAGTTAGAAAAAAGAAAAGCTCATAGTAAGTTAATGATTGAAACAAATGAAGAAATCCAATAGTGATACTTACCAATTTTTCTTTTGGTTGATTCAACATCTATGTTATTTGTTAAATTGTAGATGATATCTTCAACAAACTCTAAATATTCATTGTATTCTGCCAGGCTTGAGAAATCTTTTTCACTTTTATTGAAGTCTTGTAAAACTGACCTTCGAATGTCTACCTCTTTGTCAACCAGAGGATCTTCAAATAATTGTAGTCTAAATTTAGTCTTTCGAAGTGTAATACCACATTTCGGACAAGCCGAACTACCTTTAACAAACAACAATTCAACACAATTATCACATAATGGATGACCACAAACGTTGACCATCAATTTTAAAGACGGATTACGGTATTTACTGGTTTTACACCGAGGACAAGAAATGTCGTCATTCATGATGACAATAACAGAATAACTTAAAATATTTCAATTACTTAAAAGAAAACTAGAAAATAAACATTTTTGTTTACATGAGAAACCGAAATCATGAATTAGAAAACTCCAAAAAATGCTGTTACCAGGAAGAAGCTGCCATCTCACGACAAAAACAAGGACTAAAAACCTTTAAAAAATGCCTCTAAATGAGCGGTTCTTATGACAGCGGTTCCATCTTGTTAAATTACTCTGTTTAAAGTCAAGACAATTAAAAGTAGAAACTTAAAATCCAATCAAATACAATTTAAAGGGTGTTAAGGTTTATTTCTACCTGCTACAAATTTTACAAATAAAAGATTCCAATTCTATCTCATTTCATATGAAATCAGGAAAAATTAACATTTCATTAATATCTTCGCCAATCGATTCCGAAGACTTGGCTTAATTTCACAGTTTCAAAGATCAGATATTTTTAAAATTTGTATTATTCTTTACATGATAGCAAAGATTAACAATAGACAAACAGATCGATACTTTAATGGCCCCTATCAATTGATATAAAATGAAAACTTGAATTGTTTTTATTTGTCTTTATCCTTTTATTATTACAACAGCAGTTAAGTTTTGTTTAAATAAAACAGGGTACAATGTTGGCAGGTAAGAGGTGGATGAAAAGTTGGAAGAAGAGGAAGGAAGGATGAGAATAGCCGTAAAAGATTGATAATTAGGAACAAGTGAATAAAGTGGTAAAAGTTTTTTTTGTTAGTGTTTAACATAGGTTTTCGCGATTGAAGGAGAGAGATTTTTGATGGTAAGAAATTTTGTTGTCATTAGTATCAATGGCTCTTTGGCTTGGATATTATTTATACATTTATATATGAAGATCGTCCATTAATCTTTCAACCTTTGACTTCAATCATTTGTCTTGCGTTTTTGTGTGCTTCTTTTCAAAAATTTCAATTTCCTTTTCATTTAACTATGATTCTGCTTGATCTTCTGCATTCAAATAACGCGTCCAATATACAAGGTTGAAACAAAGGAAACAAACAGGGAAACAGATTCGGCTAAGTACGTCAATTTGCTTGGAACGGCTTGGAAATCGAGCGAGCCAGCGAGAAATGGGATTCCTATTTGGTGGTCCTGAATGAATCTCACAGACTCGAAGTTTTTCTGCAAGGTTATCAACACCTCGGACCAATGGTTTCTATTGAAGAAAAGCGGAAAAGACAGAAAAATTGGTTAAACTGTTTAAACATTGATTTATATGTAAGTTTAACTTGATGTTGAAAAATGATGAAAGAGGAAAAATTGTTGATGTTTAAGGCATGAAAATGAAAGTGAACATTTAAATAATGTCGTTCAAGTTGAAAAGATTTGAAAAAATGATTTATCAATACAACAACTAACATGCAAGAAGCAAGTTTCAATGTTTATCTTTCAATTGAATTATTTCCTATTTTGTTGCCTCTATTTGGACAAAACTTGTATTGATATTATGAAATACTATATTAAAACAGGTTAAGGTAAATATAGACGAGAAATGTTGAATAAACTTGTCAAAATTTTAAAATAAGTCTGAGTAAAGTGAGAAGAAAAGAAAAAGTAAATTGGGAAGAAACTTGAAAATGAAGATGTTTTCAGAAACTTGCTGGATAAACATCAATTTAACAAAAATGTTGCTACAGATTATGGTTGAAAGGGATGGCAAAATAGTTTCAAATAAACAAATTAAATTTGTCAAAGGTAAATTACAGCTTGAGTTGAATTCAATAACCAACAATTGACATCAATTTGGACATTGAAAAGTATTTTTAAATAATAGGTAAACTCCCAAGCAATGCCAATTGCAGTCAAACATTGAAAATTGAAATGTTTTCAAGTTGACATTTTTTACATTTGATAAATTAAAAAGTAAACATGAATTTGAATTTATCCTGTCCAGCTAAGCTCACAAAACAGTTAAGCTATCATGGTGATGTTGATTATATTGATGGCCTTGTTGGTAAATGTGTTTACCTTTGGAAAGGCCAATGGTTCATTTTCATATGATTCTGGATCAAAAGGTATTTGTTCAATGTCAAGTGATTTACGACGAATCGGAGGTTGACTTGGTGGTGGTGGAGCAGCTGCTCGCCTTTGAGCAGCTCTGTGAGCATCACTTCGAGAAGCATAATTGACCAGGGCAAATTCAAGTAGAGCCCCGAAAACAAAGGTCAAACAAGATTCAGTCCACACATCAATGGCTTTAATATAACTGACTGGTGGAAGAGAGGCATTTATACCAGATATTTGTGTTGCCATGGTTAATAGAGTGGTTACACCGAGTGAAACTCGGGCTGGAATAGCATTAGGGTCTAACCAGAATGAAACCCATGAGACAATCACAAGCATCACACAGGGAAAATATATTTGAATCAGATAATAACTGAATTCACGTTTAAATGTAAGTCTAACTACGATGCAACTGTATTCACCTGGAAAGAGAGAGAAAGAAAAAAAGAGTTTACAAATTAGTAAATAAATTAAATTAAAAGGCATGATTCATTTAATAATGGAATAAATTAAAACTTGCTTTTAACTCTAGAGATGATTGAATAGGCCTTTTGCTAGATATCAGTTGCTATTCAATCTTTACCATGCAAATAAAGGAAACTCTAATAATGATGATTATTGAATAAAGTACATTTTATATCTTAATATAAAATCATAAATGTGTGGACAAAATGATGTTAATCAACATTAATACATCAAGTTTAGAGTGAAAGGAAAGATGATAAATGGAAATATTTTATGCATTCATTTATGCAGATTCTGGAGACTCGACTACTACTTATATATTAATGATAATCATTATTACTGTTTCCATTATTATTATTATCAAAATTGTTATTATTGTACATTATCTCAACCTTTAAGTGTTAGATATAATAATTATTGTACCATTAACATGAAAAAAAGAGTAAACCTTAGTTGTTGTTGCTCTTTTCAACATCATCTTATTTATGAAACCAGAAATAACCTTTTCTGCATACATATATGTTTATTAACAGGGAAGGAGTCCAAAGCAATTGGGAATGACATTTATTTTGTATTGATATCATTATTGTTGTATTGTTGATTGGTTGTTCCAATGATCAACGACAAGAGTAATATCTTTGCCATTACTTTGAATATGAAATGTAAAGATTATCATATGTTTTGTTGTTTACATGAAAACAAGATCGGATACAAAGCATTGCCATTTTGCTTGATTAACATGGAGCTTTGTTTTCATGTTTCAATTAGATTTGTGAATTTTAAACTGGAGTTGACTGTTGTTGACACAATTTGATATTTGGGGAAAAACGTTAATCGCAAATGAAAACACTGATAGATTTAGGATGAATTATTAAGAGCAGGAAATTAGAAGTAAATGAGTGGCAGGGAATTAACTTATTATATTATTAATATAATCATAATGTGAGATATAATATGATTTTGGGGAAATGGCAACGATTATGGTTAAGATAAATACGTTCAGTGATTACGAGTAAATGCATCTGGCAATGTTAATAATAAATGGGCAAATAAATTAATAGTTTTAATGTCTAATTGGACAATAATTGATTCAAATGTCTATCTAAATAGAGATCAATGTTTAATTGAGTCTAACCAGTAGTAACCAAAATATTGGGTAAAGATTTGAGTGCGATTTTAAACATTGAAAAGCTAACAATTAGAGAAGGTAAAACTTGGCAACAACTTGATCAACTGATTGGTCTTGAGAATTGAATTTAACCGGAAAAATAGACGAAATAATCAGAGTAACAAACAAATGATCAACTAATCAATATCTCATTGAAAATCTGAGTGCAGTGTTTGTAGGGTTTACTTAATTAATATCATTTACTTCCAGGGAAGGCAAAAAAAAAGAGGAAAAATGTTCAAGATTTTGGTGCAATAAGAATGAGTTTAAGGATGATGAAGAAGATGATGATTAGAAGGAGAATTGCAAGAGTAAAAAAGAAGATTAAAGGATGATGAAGATGAAAGGGAAAGGCAGAAATGAGGACAAAAAAAAGAGGAAAAGGGAAAAAAGATGAAGATGAAAAGGTTTACCTCACAACTGATTAACTATTGGATCAAGCTTTTGACATTGTAAACTCATTAGTATCACGCTCAATGAATAAGACTCTTCAGGCTAACTAATTAAGAAATCTTTGCTATATCTTTATCATCAACATCAAAATCAACATCTTTAAATGTAAAATCTCAACTTAATCCAATGTACAATTAACTGTAAAAGTAGAGTTCAATTTTCAAGTAAAAAGTCTCAATAACATCTGATGATTGATACAAAATAATTATTTCAGGCCTAAACCTAAGTAATTGCATGTTGACTTTTTATATGAACAAAAAACAAGACTCAAATTATCAGATTACCATTTCATTGATTATTTTCAAATCTATTGCTTATTAAATGTGAACCAAAAGAGGATCCAGAGAAACTAATTAAAATAATAAGTAAAATGATGATAATTATTGTGATGGTTTTGGGTTATTTTGGCTTTTCATCATTGCTCATTATTTTTGATATAATAAAACCATCAGAGTTAATATATTGAATATTAGGTTTCAAGGGACTCTCGATGTACAATAATTTAACTATGATAATCAGTATACGATTTACGGTTAATTGTCATAATTGAATGTTTACTTTAAATTGACATTCGAAAGATTGAAATGATTTAAATTGAAATCCAATTGAAGCTGCTTTGAAGATGATACTAATTCATTGCTCGTTGACTGACTTTGAATTTATGCTAAAAATGGCTAATGAGCAATTGAATGGAGATAAAAGCAAGTTTGATGGTTAATAGTGGAAGCAAATTGTCGATTAATTGTTGATTACTTGTTGATAATTACCTGTATTTGTTCGACTTGTACAATATTCTGTTACATAATTACTTAAACCGAATCGAGGAAGATGAAGGTTTTTAACAACTTGAACTGGATCATCACGTTTCCATTGAAAAACAAGATCTTCTGTTGTATAACCATCTAAAAGGGTGAAATGAAGAGTAAAAATGAGCATTAGTTATAGTTACAGGTGAACATGTGATGAAATTAAAGTGTATTAATAATGAAAAATATTATAAAACTGGATATAAATGTAATATAATTGAGTGGGTCTAAGGTAAATGCTCAATGAATCAATGGATGGTTTACGTGAGGCGAAATTTTGATTTGTCAAGAATTACAATCACTTTCAATGTATGAAACAGATTGGGAAATGTGAGTGAATCAAGTTAACCATGATTATCTATAATGATCAAGAGTAGGATGGAAGATGATGAAAGTGAATCAAATACAAGGATAAGATGATTTGACGAAGTAAAGGTTTTTAAGATGTGATATAAACCTTCAACTCAGTTGGGAAAACTTAAGCTTTCAAGAATGAAGTTACAGTTGTCTGGTTAGATATAATACACATAAATATTGTATGATATATATTCACATATTTGATCGTTATTTGATCAACAGCAAGATAACAATGAGAATCACACAATTGCATGGTAAAAACCAATTGTACAGTTCATTAAGAGATTTCATGATTTATCGCTTCAACCATATCCAGCCAACAGATTCTCAGCTAATGTCCAAGGTATAAAATAAATATCTTTGGTCAAGTCACAACTGAAAGCAAAGAGTTTAAAAAATTAGTAAAATTGTATAAAAAATGATATAAATTGTTGACAATCGAGAAAAATTGAATGATAATTAGAAGACAGTTTCTCCATACAATGTAACACATGAAATGTATACACAATTTGTTTGGACTTGTTTATGGTTATGTATTTGTCTTGGGTAATTGCAATTGAGTCAATAAAGATGAAAGGCTGAATTGATTAGCTGTTAGTTGATTAGCCTCATCACAATGATTATCATTACAATGGATAATTTGCTCAATATCAAAGTAATAAAACAATCTACTGGGTAAACATTATCCATTGTGTTACATTGGGTCGATGAGCTTGAATAGAAAATTTCAATATTCCAATTTCCATGAAAATTTTCTAATTATGATAGATGGCACATTGATCAGGATTGGTGATAATCTGGTAAATTGAGCATTTTGTTCAAGTCTTTCATACAAAGAGCTTGAAAAGTGCAAGCTCAGTTAATGGGAAATGCAAAATAAAAATGTTAAATTTATTTTCTGTTTTGCTTGCTTTGCATTAACAAGTACAAAAGTTGCTGCCTTTTCAATTTAGAGTAATTAAAATTCATTGCTCTACTACAAGTTGATTAATAATATGAAAATGAAACTTGGAAATGTGAAAGAAGGCGAAAGAATAGGGAAAAGTATTTAGGAGCAAATTAAATGATAAAATCATAATTAGCTGAATATTGTGAAATTAAAAACAAATTAGGCAAAGGATTGAGACTGGTGAAGAGTGCATTGGTTGACAAGATTGATACTAATTGTTTCTCAGTTGTAATCAAATTCATTGTTGATTCACAAAGTAGATAATTTAATTCAATCTAATTGTAAATGTAACCCTTTTCATCTGTACCAATGTTGACGGTTGACATGTTAATGATGTTAGAGTGATGTTTTAATATATTTCATCGTGCTTTGAATGTTGATGTTCAACTTTGATCAATTAACCATTAACGTTAGTTCAATTTAGTTGAATGTAGAGCTAAGAAATTATTTTAAAATGAAAGTTAAACCCAAAAAAAAGCTAAACTAAGGTCAAAGAAGGGTCAAAAATGTAACAATAACAAGATTGGACAAGACATTAAAAGATGGTGAGGATGAAGAAGATAGTTAAGGATTGTTTCTTTGAAATAATTTCAGGAGAAACATGAAAAGTAAAGAGATTGAAATGATGATGACAATGTTGCTGCCACTAGTGATACTAATGATGATAGTGGTGGCGATGCTTCAAGAATAGTAAACTTTTGTCTTCAAGTTGACCCTCAAAATATGTTTTTGACCATGATTTACATTAAAAGGAGATTTATTTCTTCTGTTTGACTATTTTCAATTTATCTTCCTTGCTGTTGCTCTTGTTTTTAGCATCATTCTCATCTTGGGATAACCTTTACTTTTCCTCCTTTCCTTTTCCTCTTCATCTTCATCATTGTCTGTATCTTGCCAATCATTTCCGGGTCACAAGCTTCAATGATCCTTTCCTGATACATCCAAATGAAGACAATATATAAATCAAGACTAGATGAGGGAGAGACAAGAAAAAAGAGAGACATTAAATAATGGTAAATACATTGAAGAAGAAATAAAAAGATGATAAAAAAATAGAAGAGAAGATGAGATGAAAGTTAAGCTACCTCAAGAAAATATATATTACGTTGGGAGAATGCACAAAGACTTGAAAGGAGAAAATGAAAACAAGGATAGAAAAAAGAAAGATGAAGAAGAATGGCAAAGAAATGGAAGATTGAAAGATGAGAGAGAAGAGGGGTGAGAGTTTGATAAATCCTTTTGAGATTCCTTCCTTAATCTGAAGATCCTTTTCATACCTTTCTTCATCCTATCGTTCTAGGATATCATCATTTGCTTTTCACTCCTTTAAATTATCATCAGGCTCGCCACTTTCTCACCCTGGGCAAGAAATGTTTGCTTCAATTTGTCAACTAACAAATCCAACTTCAACCTTTTATCTAGTTATTACCATAATATATCAAATGACAAACCAAAGCATTATAAACTGTCTCTATGTACATGGGGACAGTGAATATAAATATCTGAAAAATTTGATCATTTAACCAATCATTAAGAATATGAATAGATTAGAAGTATGGAGTTAAGTGTCAGCTTGATGGTAATTTGAAAGAAAATTCAATTGAGTTAATTATGGTAATAATTGTAAGAATGGTAGGAATCCGTTTAGATTTCACAATTAAAATGCAACCGTGCAGGCAAAAGAACAGTCAACCAGATAAATCAATATTCTGGGAAAGGTGAGAAAGATTCAATTGAAAATCAATTGATGATACGGTAATATCATTTGTACCTAACATCTCTAAGGTTATTGTGTTACAGGTTATGGCAGGGTAAATTTATGCCTCTCAAGCTGCTGGAAACCAGACGAGATGATTGATTCCTTTCCATCAATAAACTAATATGAAAATAAACTCATGCTAAATCAACGATCAACATGACTTGCTTCATGTTTACTTCCTAGGTTTCATTTGATATTGATCACTTTGAGTAAAATCAATTAATTGTCACCTTAATTAAAGTTGAATTTGCGTTGGACACACAAACACACAAACATGAAAACTATTCAAACAATCAGTCTATGGCCACCACACACAATTGTAACTTGACAATCAAGTTATAAGTTGAAGTAATGAAATTGCTTTCCGTTAGATTGAGATTGATTCATTGAGCATTTTTCCAGGTTGATGTTGACTTTATGTTTGTTTTTGGGATTCCTAATTATTTTTAGATCCATTGAGAGGGTAAACCTTTTTTTTGTGATTAATTAATTATTAAGTGTTGACACTTACAACTGGCCATTTTTATTTCACAGTCTTGTTTATCGAGTGGAAAAAATCTCAAATCCATAGGACAGAAGAGTACAAGTGAGATTCGAATGGAGTAAAGGATTTCACCATTTGGATAAATTCGTAACAAAACATTGGGCATAATAATATTATGAAAATGTCCTGATTTTTCATTTGAGAAAAACAAATCAGGTTTCCAGATCCTGTCAGGATCGGTTAACGTTAAGAATCGGATTTTACCGTCCAGATCATGGTATTGAAGGCGATCATCTTTCCATTGTTCACGAAAAGTAATTTGAAGTGCGTATTCCTAGAAGCGGAGAAGAAAAAATATATTAATCAAGAGTTCAAGTAAATTCATATAATAGTTAAACATTTGAAATTAAAATGGTCAAAAAATGAGACAGAAAATTGAATTTGTGTAAATCAATAAGGATGTGAAACTAGACAGATCAGGAACAGATCATCAGGTTAACTTGAAGATATAAATAATAATAGGAAACATGTTTTTTGTCTGGTTAAATGTGTTGATAAATCAATTGATTGAATTGAATTTAGCGTGAATAACAGATTGACAGACGTTTGACTCACTATTGAATCAATTTGTTGGTTAAATGATTATGATTTGCCGTTTTGATTTGATTCATTTGGGATTGCTGGGGTTAAACAATGAGAATGACATCAAGATGATGATCAAGAATCCTTAAATACTCTTCTAATTGATCAATTTCCTGTAGATGATCATATGATTCCTGTAATCTGGTGTTTTTTTCCTAACCTAATGGATTGGATAAAAACAGAAGCAAACGGAATTGGTTGACAGGCATGTAAAGAAGAAATAAAAAGTAGGACAGAAAAAAAATACAAAAATGATTCACTAATTTACCATTAATATTATCATGATTCTCATGATAACCATTAAATTTATAACTGATATAGCTTGATAAAAATAGCTTTCGAGGCTACTAAATAATGAACAGTTGTACATTTATTGATGATAATAGGAGGCACTTAAGTCCATAAAGGTCAAACTTGGTAATAATCAATGTTTGTCTAATTAGTTTACTAACCAAGATAGCCTTCATTACTTTTACTTTCAATTATAAATTCATCAAAATAATCCATCTAATTTTTACTCCTTTTTTCAGGATTATCTCCTAATTGATTGATGGTGTATCTTCTGAAATTTTGTTGAAAGCAGTAAAATGACAAAAGATGGAAACAATAACAAGATAAAACTGGGTGAAAAAACAAGGAACCCTGAAAATTTTTTCATTCATATTGTATAATTCGTGAGGAATAACTGAATAAAATTGATTGTCAGTCTTCAGTGAAGGAGGAAAATGTGAATAATACTTGTAACAATGTAAGTTGTTAAATAATTAAGAGCTTATTAATAATTTGACAAAATACAACAATAACAGTTGCAGTTACTTAGAAAAGATGATAATAATCATATTCATGGAGAGAACTCGTTAAAGTGTTCATTGTTTTGTCACTGTGGGTGTTTTCAAGCTTCTTATGGGAACAAAAAGGGTTAAGAAAATGAACATCCAAAATAACATCTTAACATTGCAAGAGAGAGCATAATTATGAATAGTGAATCAAATGGGAAAGGCTGATAATAGTAGTAATCTAAATACATATATTATGTTCACAATGAGATATTTCAAGTGTAAATAAATTACTTCAATGGATATGAGCTTTTGCCTCTTTTTTTATCCTGAATACCTGGTAAAGCTACCATGATGGACTGAAATTTTCAAGTATAATCCAAAATGGTGAGAACAAGAGAATGAAAATATTGACAATATTTTAGTTCATCAGTTTGCCTTTGATTCACTATTTGATTAGTTGGTCCAATAGCACTGAAATGTATTGATCTTTTCCTGGAACCTCTTTTCTGTTTGAGAGACTTTGATTGTAAGCTTGTTTCCATCTTTCTTTTTACTTCTTCTTCTTCCCTTTGATGTTTCATTTGATTAAAGATTAGGCGATAGGGTTTAATTTTTCTTGACTCAATTATTGAATATTATTGCTGATGTTACTCAATACACATCTATTTTGCTTTCCCCTGATGATCCGATTAATGATTAATTGAGATGATGAACTAGTAAATGGGCAATGATGGATTGTAAATAAACAAAAATAAAGAAGAGAAAATAGTTATGTCAACATCCAAAAAAGAAGAAGAAGAAGAAGAAAGTGAAGGCGACGAAAAAATCAGCGAGATGAGCTTACCATGGCGACATCATCTATTCGTGATATACTTCGAACATATATATTAACTCGAACTATTGCTGGTCCATCTATGTGTGTATGTGTGTAAAAAAAAGGTTAAGGAGAAAAAAGAAGAAAAGAAAAGATTGATTAATGTTGGAAAATAAGTGTTGGAAGAATCAAGAATCACATTCAAGTAAAACCAATAAGGATGAAAGATGTGGATACTGGTGATGTTATTGCTGATGTTGGTGATGGAGAAGACAAGAATAGGGAAGATGTTGATGGTGAGGGAAAAAAGTCAAGAAAGTAATGTTTGCTGTTAGGCTAATTTGCTTGGAAACAATCAGTAAATTGTAGTCCTTATACAGCTCAATGATTAACAATTTGTAATATTTGTTCAGTCAATTTGCAGAATTTGTTTCATTTATTGTTCGGTGTTACATTGTATACTGAACACAGAACGATATTCATGATAACTTTATCGCTTTAATTTTGTCTCATCTTAGATCCTCATCTCTTTTTCCCCTCTTCCTATCATCATTATTATCCTATCAACTGCTTAACCAGCAAAAATGTTGAAGCAGCTGACGACTCTTGAGATTCATTTTCAGGATTGGAAATGGATCAACTGAACAACATTTGGAAATGCTGACAGATAAAGCTTTAAAAAAAGACTTCTCTATTCTTTCCACTCCTTTCTTCCTCTCATCTTCTTTTTCATCATCATCATCCTTTTCTCCCTTTATTCAGACAAGTTATAAATTGAATAGGCGAGAATATAACTTGTTTTTAGGGTGAAAGAGATTCTCCATTATTGTTATATTCACTTTCAAGTGCATCATTCAAATTGCTAACAGTATCCTTTCAAAGTCTATCTCTTTTTTGCAAACCCAAAAAATCTCAACACTTTGAATTTCGTCGAGCTCAATGCTTATTAAACCCAAATCTGTTAATTATTTTAAAAAATGGGCCTCGAAGAACCAGCTTTTTAAATTGATGAATGTTTAAAAAAAGGTAACTTACCCTTTCCATCAGTTGTATTTACTCCTGAAGGTCTTATACGTCTATCATATCTTCCATCACCAATAATTGAATCTAATATTTCTTTTTCACGAGCACGAAAATTTGCTGTTGATCTGAAAAGTAGATAGAAAAAAATAAGTTAACATGAGATGAATTGTCTTAAAAAATAACATGACAACAGTTTGCATTTTTCAGTTTTCAGTTAAACATCTTCAAGCTTAAAATGTCGTCTGATTTATGAAATGTTAACGGTCGCTCCTCATTGGTTAAAGCAATTTCTGGTTGATTAGGGATTTTGTGTTAATTATGGCTTGTCTTTTTGTTTTTAGGTTAAATTGAGAGATTAGTGATCTTTTTGGATTAAAAGCTTGGCATTTTATTTGCAAGCTTTAAATATACTAATTGATCAATGTTATTGGTTAAATCAGTGAATAATATCGAATAGACAATTTAAATCCTTTGGTCTCTCTTGAGAAGTAAAGAAGGAAAGAAAGAAAAAGATGAAGAAAGAGTTAGATAATCAACAATCAATCCAACTTCAAGTTAATAGAAGAGACAATCAATCAATAGAGATTTAACAAATTGTTTCTCCTGTCTAACATCAGATCAGAATCAAGTTAATCATGATTATCTTTTGTTGGTTTACACACAGTGATTTAAAGGCTGGACCAATTCAGTTTGCCCGCCTTGAGAGTGAACAATTGAAACATTTTGATTAACCAATGTTACATTGTTTTATTTTGCCAGTAAATCATTTTTTAAATGTTTTAAAAGAAAAATAAAGCAAAAATAAATTGTTACTTTCAATAGAAAGTTTTCAAACATAACTCAGCCTTCAAATAAGCTCATTCAATCGATTAAAACAATTTATTTGCTCAATTAATCGGTTACATCAATTTTCGCGCTAAACCTTTTGCTAAGCGTTTTGCTACGCCATCTTCAGAACAAAAAGTGTGTTCAAGGTTTAAATTTGTAACCGTTAATTGAAAATTAATTTTAATGACATTCTATTTTATTTTGTGTTAACATAATTGTACATTTTGTGAGCCAGATTTAGTCAATATTTAGAAAAAAATTTCATCAAAATACGAGTACATTCGATATTCAATGTAAATAATTTTTTATATTTTTATGTTTTATTTCTAGATTTTTGTATACACTAAAAGACTGGAATAAGCGGCAAAGCTAGCCAAGTTGATGACCAATTCACTCGGCCATAGTAAAGCTAAACACGCTTTCTGCTTGTCAATAAATGTACGTTTTACCCTTTAAAGTATAGTTCATTATTAATAACCATAGTTGTACTAAATTATTTGTTATATAACCTTTGAACTATCAGTGATTAACCTTGACCTCACACTTGCATCTAGGTTAACCTTACCATTTGAACAAGTCTACCAACCATTAACCATGTTTAAGTGATTCTTTGTAGTGTAACTGTGGTTAATCAGCATTCTGGCGATGATGTTAAATAAAATGTGTCTTTTTTTCCTTTGAGAGTCTGGTATTCTAGTTAATTTGGACTGGATTTTAGATTGGGCTAAATTTTACGTTATTGGAGGAAAACTTGCAAAGATCCAATATGTCAATTGATTGTTCTGGATGAACAAGTGTATATTTAACTTGGTGATCTTGTTTTGCTCAAAAATGAGGAAAAAACTGCTGAAATCCTAGTAATAACTTGGTGACCAGACTGTGAACATTGAATCAAATCAATTTATTGGCTTAAAGTTTAATGATAAACTAAAGTTACCATTGGTTACCTTTTTGGACTTTGGGCAAGGTCCAGTGATTTAACTGACCAGAAAAAAACAACAACATAGCATTGAGTATTGGTCAATGGGTTAACCCTTTTTCATCATTCTCATTTGTTCTTTTTCTTTCTCTCTTTTCCAGGCTTTTTTCCTTTGTGTACAAAAGGAATGATAAATAATTAGCTTTGAATAAATTTAATGGATGACTGATTGTGAACAGGGGAGCAAAGTGAATCTCACCATTGAATCAATGAACACAAAAATCAAGGCAATCCTTTCAAGATAAGCATCGCAAAAATATCCAAGCCAACGATTTTGTTTTACCCAATACAACAAATCTTCACCTGATCTTGCCTCAACTCCAACAAAGACTCAAATGCTCAAAGTCAGAATTTTTGATTAATTGGTTTAAATGTCAGGCTTTAAATAACATTGAAATAGAAAACCTTTTCTATTAGATAATTAAAAAAAATTTGAATGACAACCTGATTAGGATCCATACAGAGATAAATTTACAGTGAAAGCTTGCTAATAATATGTAATGAAATATTGAAAATGAAAAATATATCTCATTATGTATTATTAGACAATCCTTTTTATTGTTGAGATTTGATTAAACATACAAAACAAGATTTACAATATGGTAAATATGCAAACATGTATATTATTAAATAATAATAGAGCATTGTGATAGATATGGAAAGAAAGAGAAGAAGGATGAAAAAAGGATGAGGAAGAATAAGATGGATGATCAAGTAAAATGTTGAAAGGTATAGAGTAAAGGTAACAAAGGTATTAAACCTTCATCTATTTATAAATATTAATAAATTACATTTACAATGTTTATGAATTTATTAAACAGGTAAATTGTTGATGTGGTTGATTCACCAAATTGTAACCAAATTAATATATTAACCATTAATATCATTATAAGATGTAAATGATTATTGATGAAAGCTTTGGGTGAGTGTAAAAAACCCTCAACAAATCTCATTTGAGTTTTAATTTTCTTTCTTGCTGTACTTCACTTCAATTTATCAATCAAATTGAAACATATTTTTTTAATTATGATAGATTCCTGTGAAACTTGCAATTTAATGGAACCCAAGCTTAATGAGTAATTTAACCTGATTAATTAATGTTCATTGTTAATTGAAAATGATCAAATGACACTTAAACTGTTTAACAGTAACAAATGAACCATCTTTTGATAAACTTACAAATAATAGAGAGGTTAGTAAATTGTGATCCCAAATAATGAATGTAAGAGTTTTTATTATTACATGGTAATAACTATAATGAGGCTTCTGATGATTCTGAAATGTGAACAAGAAAAGAAACTCATCAAATTAGATATTAGCCTATAATGAAAAAACGATGAACATAATCTTTGAGCAACATTGAAACCACTCTAATATGCCATCAGTTAAATGATTACAACAATTTTAACCAAACCCTTAACTTCCGTTCATGTAGGAATAAATTGTTAACGATTATCATTCTAATTCATTTTTCAATTCTCATTTACAGAAACATATTGAATGGATGAGAAGCCAGGAAAAGATGGACAAAAGGACAAGCATACAAATGGCCGGCGAGACAAAAGGACAAGAATAACCAGGAAAAGATCAATTTGCAATTTGTCAAGACACCCAATCAACCAGGATGATACATGATGAAAAGCTGACCAAAACATAATTCAATGGAATCTCAGCATTTCTTGTATCAACAGTAATGTCAAGTGTTGCACCATTGCAACTACTGAACTTACCTAATGATACAAATTGATATCTGCCTTTGAACCCGTTTCTGTCACTCAAGTTACCCATATTGGTACCTTGAACCGACAACCTTTAAAATCAAATGGAACCGTAATTTGACCATTTCGTCCATTTCACCAATCAATTAGACAATATTATTCTAAATTAATATGATACACTATTAATTATACTCAACTGATTAATGTTGCTTCGTTTCACCCAAACTAAACTGTTAATCTGTTAAGTGTAATGATATCAAGTGATAGTCACGTAAAGTGAATTGTGATTTGGGGGAAAAAAAGGCAAGAAACACAAGAAAAAAAAGCAGCTTGAACAGATAAACTTTGATTCTGATTCATATTCCAACATGGAACTGGTTTTCTTTTTATTTTTCCTGTTTTTTTATTTCTCTCTCATCCCTTTCCTTCCTGATTTTTTTCCCTCCTCTCTTCTTTCTCCATCTCTTTCTCATCACCAACATCTCATCTTTTCAAGATTTTCTTGCTCTAAACAGTTGAGAACAGCAAGAAAGCAAGAAAAAAAATAATGATAAACTATTGAAGCAAATAGTTTCATCGGAAGTGAACATTATCCTATTCAACTATTATTACCATTCACATTCCCTATTATCAATGCTAAATAGTGAAAGTCTTTAGATGTATAAAAAAAGGGCAAGAATAGCTCTTGATTATATTTTATATATTACAATTTCCGGGTCATTTTACATGGTTCAATATCACTTTATCCATTTGATATCCAACACTTGGCCAGAAACACAACAATTTATCAACAGAAACACACAAGTCTCTATCATTATATTATCACAGCCATCATTTGATAAAACAGTAATAATATGATCAAGTTGGAAAAAAAGGCTTCCACAGAAAAGGAGAGAAAAGGATGAAATATAATCAAAAATTATCATTTCATTCAATTTAAAGTTCATTTTTCTTTCCAATGTTTCTCATTATCATCATTATTACTCAGTTTTACACACAAAACTGAACCTTTTGTAAAGCTAAACAATATTTGTTAAAGTGAAATCACACAATCCAAGAGCAAAAAAGGAGTGAAAAGTTAAAGAAAACCTGGAATCACTATCATCATCATTGAATGGTCAAACAACGGAAGAGAAACAAGATGAAATATAAAATGAAATAATGATGAAAACTATTCAAGTGGAATTGTTTAGCTTTTCATGAACAAGAAAAAAAGAAGGCGATGAAAATGGCGATTCCAATTTCTTGGTATTTCTCTTTATCTTACTTTACAATCATCATGACTAGCAGCACCATAATCATCTCAATCATCTTCATTTTTTGTCATTTCTCATTATCACCATCTTCCATCTCATCTTTGCCATACTTGTCCATTGCAATTGCTCTACCAATTGGTCAACGGATTTTCTTATTAAATCTGGTTATCCATTGCTCCTTAGCATTCCCATCATCAGCATCTTCATCATCTTCATGATTCTCTATTATATTTCTTGCTTTCAATTGGCAGTCAAAAAAAAGAGGAAATTCTCAATCAATAACTTTCTCTTTCCCATCATCTAAGCCTGCAAAATCTTACCGATCGTCACAACCGAACTTTTTTGCTTCTCTCTTTTCCTCATCATTTCTATCATTTTCATCTTCTTGCCATTCTCTAACCATTTTCATCATCATCAACTTCCCTCTTCGTGATGTTCGTAAAAATCTTCGCACTGATCGATATACAAGATAAGATCGATAAGTTGTGAGTCTTTTTATCTACTTTTTCATCATCATCACCATCATCTTTCCTTGTTACTCTTTTACTCTTATCATCTCTCTAACAGAATCTTTTATCATCTTAATCATCATAGCTTACAAGGTAAAAATATCCTTTTATCCAAATTCCTGATTCCCTGTAAACTTTTTCCTCAATCCAACCAATAATTCAATTGGAAAGTTACTTGCAAGCCAAATTGAATTAATTGATTATAATTTTGTTATCCAAAATCATCAAATGTTTCAATATCAATGGTAATGTTGAACCTGATCAATTCAAGTCTATTCACCAAAGAAACCTGGAAAACCTTAACAAGAACAAAACCCTTTTCTCTAATGATAGAGACAGAAAAAAATGTCTTCATTCTAATTTCGATTCTTTTTCATCATTTTTTTGTCACGATTCTGTTTGAAAAAAAACTCTAATCATCAGGAACATCATCATATTTATCATGAAAGCAACATTGCAACTCCAGTTATCAATATCAAAAGCTATTTTTCCATCCATATAATGATATTTACTCCAATTAACCAGAAACTTGTTCTCATCCTCGCTCTTCATCCTCGTCTTCTCCATCTTTAACATCTTAAATAACCTCTCGACCTTATACTTTATTCCTCTTTTTGTCCCTTTTCACTCCCAATCCTTGCTCACAATTTAACTAGTCAATGTGTGTGTGTATATGTGTCTTGTTAGATTATCAAAGTCTCAGTCATCAGAAATATCATTGAGAAGGAAAATCAATTAAGGTTGGCACAGAAGAAGAAGAAGAAGAAGAAGGAAGATGATGAAAAGATCTGTATATTACATGGTTAAAATAAGTGCTGACTCTCAAGGGTATATTGGTAAAGCCAAATAGGACAAATGATTTAGTCCCTTGTTATTATATATGAATACAATTGTGAGCCTTATTTTTCCTTCATCGATCCAAACAAATAAGAATATAATAGTAATAATAAGGAAGAGAAGAAAAAAGAAGAAGAAGAAGAAGAAGAAAAGTTCTTAATAATTTGGTTATTCGGAAAATAAAAGAAACTCAAGCTTCTTAAAAGTTATCATTATTATTATTTTCACCATTGTTTGTCGTTTTAATGTAACTTCACTGATCATCATTCAAACTGTTATCCTGAACAAGGAGGAGTGAAAAGCAGAATGAAAAAAAGGATAAAAATAGCTCTTATAAAACATCTGATTAAACATAATTGTTTGGATATTGTAAAGTCGAGATACTTCATTGATTAGTTTTCATAGAGAATCTCAATTGATTTAAATTTCAAATTGAACCATTCACAGTTTTTCAATTTAATTTTCCAAGTTAATACATTTGCTCATTTTTCATTTGCAAATTGATCAATAAAAAAGCCTCCAAACTCACTTTAATCATTTCCATTTTTTTCATTGACTTTCATGTAAAAGAAAGTGAAAATTTGCTAAAATTTAGTTTCACTTGACTTTGCTCTTCAATGTTTTACCATTTATGATACAAAGATTTTGATAATTTCTTGAAATTGAATCTCATTTTGGGTTATTTTTTGATATCTTTTTGGAAATGATTTTTGATATAATTTTTGATGGACAACATTGTTATCTAATTTTAAGGTGAAGGTTGAAGAGGTTAGATGTTGACATGAGTTGAAATGTTATGAGAAATTGAGTGATTTACTTGATTCTCTTGAGTCTCGATTTTGTTTCACATCTCATTTATTGATCAATGTTTTCCTATCAATCTTGATTACATTGAAATTGATTGAAAAATCTGTTTACATTCAAGTTTCAACTGTTGAAATGGTTAACCATTTCATAAAATGTAAAGTTGTTGCTTTCATTTTGTAACATTTACAAAGTGAATCAACAACACAACAACAACAGCAAACATGAAACACTGTAAAACTGGTTAACAATCAATGGAAGCAAAAGCTCTGACAGTGTGTTGATTGATTACTCAAAGATGCTAGTTGTTATTAAAAGGCCACAAAACAAAAGGGTAACATTATCATTTATCAAGCAAAAAGCAGCATCAATTGGATCAAATTGAATACTACAAAAGTGCTTAATAACTCAACCTGACTCAACCTAGTCCGACTTGAACCCAAATTATCGTTATTTAACCATCTAACATCTAAACTAATCAAACATCCAATGCCATGATTTATGATCCTTGCCATCTTTAATTATAAAGTGAAGAGACTTGCTGGGCAACAATTGATCATTTTAAATCAACATTAGTAAAAATTGATGAAGCAAAATCAGCAATCAGTTTACTATTAGATTCTCGCAATTTGATTGATTCAACATTTTATTTTTTTTCCTCTCGTTTCGATTCGTTTTTTGCCTTTCAACTCATTTATATTATCGATTGGCTTCAATTGCTTTACATAGAAGTAGAAAGCTTTATTGTTATAATAATAATGCAATAACATGGAGTAACTCAACATTATAATAACTATTATGGTAATGATAATGAATAACTCTGTCCTTTTCCTTATACAATTGCAAAGTAAATTGTTTTACTGAATATTGATGAATATTATTGTTGATTTATTCTCAACTTTCAACTCTTTTTTTTGTTATCACCCAAAATTGTTGCCAGTAAACTGAATGAGTGCAAAGTGATTTGAAGAAGGAAAATGATTTTCATTGAAATGGGCTGCGCTTGTGTTTTCTCATTGAAAATGACATTTTTTTCTTGCTTCAATATAATGATAAATATGGTTAAGAAAAGGTTGAGGGAAGAAGAGGAAAAAAGCTTGGAATGACAATCAAATTGGAAATAGAGGTAAAGGTAAACTGTTATCGTTCCCTTTTCATCATCATTCTGTGTAAGAATGGTTTATTTAGGCTGATAATTTGAAATTGTGTCTGAATGTGAGTGATAACAATATATGGAGGAAAAAGGATGAAAGATTCAAATGCACTTTTGTAAAGGGAAGAGTAAAGTAAGAAGTAAAAATGTTTTTGATTGCCTGAAGCCTTTTCATGTAAACTGTATATAAAGACGGTGATGAAGGGTAAGAAAAGGTTTTTGTTGTTATTGAATAAGAGCCACTGGGAATGATGAGCAAGGGAGTGCAATGATGATAAAGATAAAGATGATGAAAAAGAAGAAGAAGAAAGAAGGAAAAAGGAGAAATAAGTTGCATTATAATAATGATGATAAGAAATATAAAAAAAGTGGTAAAGATGCCATTATAATACAGAGAGTGTTTGGTGGATCCATTGAGTAAACATTTTATCTGATGGGATGATTGGTGGTGAAAGATGAGTAACAAGAGATGGAAAGGGAATGACACTTGGTGGGAATGTTGATAAGCATGTGATTTGCAAAGGGAAAGCAAAGGGAAAACAAAAAGAGAAAAGATTGGAAAAATATTTTCGACTAAAAAGGCTGAAGGTAATGGTTAACTCGATGCTAGAGGAGTGATCGTCTTGGGTTGTCTTTTGTAAGCAAGGTTGCCTTTCCTCTCAACCACATAATAGTCTTGAAATGTGACGAGTTCAACGATTGGAAAAGTATCCATTAAAGATGAATGGAAAACTCAACTTTCTTTTTTAATAAGAATAGATGATGTTGATGAGGGTGAAGAGGATTTTGGGTGACAAAATTGAAGCCAGCTTTATGCATTTGATAACAGCTGATGTGATAAACTTGATTTAATGTGAACCCATTTTTTTCTCCTGATTTTGTCTTTTCTTCCCTTCCTCATACTTGAACTTTACTGTTAATGTTTTACTTTTATTGTCACTCATGTTCATCCTCATCTTTTCCTATCAAACCTCTTTTTTCCCCAATAACTCATCTTTAAGGGTTTGAAACTTTTTTCACAAACACATTTCAATGGGTTAAAGTGGCCCTTCTTGAAGTGAACCAAAAAATGATTTTGTTTTCATTTAAATACATTGCTATATCAACTGTAATATTCATTATCATTTGTCATTTTCAATGATTCTTCATCTTCTTTCCTCTTTTTTTCAGGTCAACTCTTCAACTTTTATTGGTTGATCAACAATTTCAATATATTGGATGGAAGAAGAAAAAACAATAGAAAAAAGGTTAAATTAGATTTCGATTAACCACTTTTGCAGCTGTGAATGAAATGTTTACAGTTAAATGAACTGTTGAACATGATGATGGTGATGCTGTTGGAAAGATTGTACAAGAAGATAACAAAATATCTTATTATTATCAACTCATTGAATAATAAGATGATGAGTAGTTGAGCATGATGAACGTGAGTTACACTGAATATGCAATAAAATGAAAATCACCACAAAAATTTGGGCCGCTCGTTGAACCATCTTGATTGAACCATTTGATAGCAATGATTATAATTAATGATTCCAATGATATTACAGGGAAAAGAAGGGCAAAATAATAATGCAATCAGTGTATGTTAATTACAACAATTAACTTCAATCAAGAAGCAACAAGGCGTAAAGATGATAACAACAAAAGTCAGTGACAATGTTAATGGTTTCAACTTTAATTATTATTTAGATTTGACATTTACCTCAATCATCTCATCTTGTCAATCATTTTTGTTTCTTGTCCTCAACTTCACTCATTCCTAATCAATTCAATAATGTCAAGTTTTGATATTTTTGCGCTTGTTGTGGCTTTTAAATATTTCATTGACAAACTAAACATTGAATATAAAGTGAAAATGAATGTAAAATGAATTTAAACTTCACTTTTATTCAACCAACTTCAAGTATCGAGATTGATTGACTCAAATTTGACGCCAGTTGAAATATTAAAAGTGAAAGTTGAAGGAATAATAATGAACCAAATTCCCAAATTGAATAAATGTAAATGAATTTCGTGTTTTCACCTTAAATAGATTTAACCATTTCAATTTAATCAAGCGAAACAAAATGATCCAATTTTACCGGTTTGTTGCCAGTTGTCAAGGGTCAACCCAAGGCAAAGTCAACCTAAATCAGTCAATCTTCTTGGGTTGAGGCTGAGACTTGTGGTTGCCTCAAGCTTTTCAAGATCAACTCAAAGTCGATTGTTACCCAAAAACCAAAAAAAAATATCTGGTCAAGGTTTTCATTCTTGTAAACGATTAAGTTGAAGATCTTTTCAATTACGAATTTAGAATCAAATTTCAATCGTTTTTGTTTCGGTTTAATGTTCATCTGGTTTCCTGATGAATGGCGAAAAATGAAACTAAAATTTTACTTTTTTTCTTGTTCAACTTGTTCCATGTTTTGTTTTCCTTGTAACATCAAAATTTGGTTTCACAAGAAAACAAAATATAAACTAACAAAGTGAATTGTCCAATCTTGGACTTACCTCAAAATCTTGTGGGATTACCCAGGAAATCCTTTACTTCATCTTCATCATCTTCTTTTCTTCTTTTCTGTTCTCTTTCTCTTTTTTCTCTCTTATTATTTTTTCCCCATGCAAAATGCTGAGTTATTGAGTTTCCTATTCTTTTTTTCTTCCTCTCCTCTTGTCCTCATCATTATCATGCTCATTCCTTGACCTTATGGTTTCTTTCATTCAATGAAATTCATAGGTACATTCAACCTTACAACAGCAATCTGCTTGGAATGAAAAAAAAGAGATAAATCTGAACAAATAATAGATTCCATGTGAAACCGACTAAAACACTGAATAGTCAGAAAAAAAAGAAGGGAACAAAAATGATATTCAATTTAAATGGCAACAAAAGACGCTAATAAAAGAGAAAAGCAACTTTTTCTTCTCTCAAGAAAAAAGTTATCTCGACATTGCAAGAAATCACTCCCAGTGACCAGCGACTGATAATCAAATGATAACACGGATTGATGCGCAAATTGGTAAACATGAGTTGAACATGAATCAAAATTTGATTGGAAAAACAGAAAATCGATTAAAAAACATGGAAAAGGAGAAGAAGAAAAAAAAACAAGTTAAATCGCAATGTTGAACAAAACATTATTTCCTCAGTTCACATGATAACATTCACTATTATTTGAAAATAAAAAGTTGAATTTTATATTATCATTATTATTAGCATTATTGTTATTGTACATTCACAGATAGCAAACAAAAAATGTTACAGAATGTTATTATCATCATTATCATTGTTATCATCAGTACCTTCAACTGTTGAGACAGCATGTTGACATTGAGCTTATCCAGGAAAGAGAGAAGACAAAATGTCATTAACATTTATCTTGATCCAGAACAAAATAATAGAAAGAAAAATAATGAAAAATGGAAAATTAATATCAAATTGGCGAAACAGGAATCGAAAGGAATACCCAAAACATGGAAAGAGACAGCATTTAATGAGAAGAGAAAAGTTATCAAAAATTCGTTTCATTTCATTCCCAGTGAAATCCCAATTATTAATACAATTTATTATCATTATTATCATGATAATCAGTTTACATTTCATCATGTTGAAGGATGATAAGGATAATGAGTAAAGAATGAAACAGATTTCATGTTGTTTAAGCGGATCAATTGATTAACCATTCAATGATTGGTAACTAAAGAAACTTTGAATCAACTTTTCAATTGGATATGTGATAAGTGTGAGGAATCGATAAAGGAAATTATTTTCATTTTCATTTTCTCCAACCATTAAAGCTTTACCATTTCAAAATAATGATCAACTCAGGTTGAAACACACCCAATGAATTATTACAGTTGTTCAATTAACTTCATTTTTTGTACCTTACTGACTTCAAAGTAAACCCAATAAATTGATTTTGACACTTGAAACTAGTCTTTGTTATTCTCACTCCCAGTCATGATAAATTTCCAGTTTTATTCCTCAACTGTTGAGTGTCAATTGTTTAACAAGTTTATAAAAAGCAAGAATCTTTATTCATATTTTTATTCCAAGTTTCATCGAAAGTCCATTTGATTGTTTCCATTTCTGAAAAAATGGACTTTTTCCATTCAATGTTTGATTGTTGTTTTCAAAGTGAAATGTTGACATGTAATTCATTTTATCATCTGCAATCTTGAATCATGTTTCATTGATCAGCCGATTGTTCAGATTGATCAATTGATTTTACTCAGTTTGATTTAATAGTTTTTGTTCATGAAAAATGATGAACAGAAAGAAAAGTTGAAGAAAATCAGAAAATCTTTTTTTCGTTCTTTTTGCCTTTTCATCGGGAAAAGGTTCCATTCGTGAGTTGCCAATTTTGGCAAACTTGATTGATTGTCTATGAATCAATTTTAACAAGTTATTTATACTCGGCTTTGTTTTGAAATTAGTTTTCAACTAAAGCTTGATTAGTGTTCAAATTAAGGAATTCAACTTTTCCGCCAACCTTTTTTGGCTTTTCATTGAATCCCTTTTCACTGAGTCAATGTTAAACAAACCATGATGTTGCTATTTGAACCATTTAAACTTATTAGCTACATCATTTTTCACAGCATTGTTTACAATTCAAGAGTTGAAGACTTAACTAACCAAAACCAAATCTGAGAAGCATCCAAGATCGAGAAAATCGCAAATGAGTCGATCATTATCGATCAGAATGCAAAGCGCTCTCGACTAAAAATAGCAACGATTAAAGGTAAGAAAGTGATTACGCTTTAATCCATTGACCAAAATGATCAATAAAAGAGTGTTAAAGAGTATTAAACTGTACATTTCACATTGAATGTCGGCTTAAGATGATTGAATTTGATCATTTGGATTGCAAGATTGATCTAAAAATAACAATTACGGTTCATTCAATTGGCAAGTAATGGACAGCAAAAACGAATCAACATTGTCAATGGAAGGAGAGAGAAAAAAATTGCAACCAAATTGTCAAAAGTCAATCATTAAATGGGTTAACATTGAAAGGCAACATTTAGGTAACTGCTTTCAGGTTTACAGTAAAATATGTAACTCGATGGATAATTTAATTAATGGCAAATGGCAATTTTGAAGGGAATATTAAATTGACTAGAAATCAATTTGATGATAATGGGAACAATAATGACTTGTTGAGAGAGCGATTTGTTTTCTTGTTGTTGATCTACTGTTTGCAAATGAAGTCGACTAACAATAAAATTGATTGATGAGCAAATGGAGTTTTAAAATGCAATTTTAGCTAATTGCTTTTCTGGCAAATGTTTCACTTGAAAAGTAAAATTGTAAATTAAAACAGTTATTCAATTAGAAGGAAAGTGAACGGTAAAAGCAAAGTTGAATTCAATTAACTCTTGATTGGGAGAAACAATTGAAGGTAAATATGATTGCGTTCAAGTTTGGTTAACAAAATGTTTAAACATTTAACTCGCTTCTCAATCAATGGACCTGCAAATGGCCAAATTCAAAGTTGATTAAATATGAATAGAACGAGTTGTTTACAACAATTTTAATCATCTTGCCATTCATCGAGTGTTTACTTTTACAGGAAAATGACACAACACACAGAAATATCGAGTCACTTGATTTTGTTTTTTCCTCCTTTTCTTTCAATACTTTTTTTCCAACTATTTTTTTCTTCTTCTTCTTCATGATGAAGATGGAAAAATAAAAGGCAAAGAAAGGGATTTTCAGCTGAATCGGATAAGTCAACAAGAATCTTATACAATTGATTGGCTGCCCAAGTGAGTTTACTGTTCAGGGAAATGCAAAAGCAAAAACGAAATGGAAAGGCAAAATAAGTACAATAAATAAACAAAAAAGAGATGATGAGGAGAAGGAGGAAGACAGGGAAGAGGAAAGAGTAGAAACAAATAGATGATCAAGAGGGAGGAAGGGAAGGAGGAGGATGAGGTGTTGTAAATGTAGATGAAGACTAGATGAAGAGAAATGAAGAAAAGGCAGTGACCTTTTTTAGAGCTTAACAGTTTTTCTCATGTACATTCGAGTATAGAGTGTACTTTTTTTCATCTTCATCTTCATCATCTTCATCATCTTTGTATTCGCAGGGAAAAACTTTTAATAGTCTCAAGAAATTGTCTTGTTTCTTTCAATCTCCTTTTCGTCTTCTTCTTGTGTCTGTCTGTTTCTCTTCTTATGACCAATCAATGGTTTCACTTAACACTTTTCATGGGAAAAAGTGAACAACTTAATATGAACAAATGTGAATGATTAAACATGCTGAGACAATCGCTCCTTTGGGTCTCATCTTTAATCTTTAATCATGCTTAATCGCTAACAAGTTTACCGCAACGATTTATTGAAATGATGAAACAAAATTGTCGACAGTTAACCTCAGCTTTAGTTGAACACACTTCATCATCATATAATCTCTTTGCTTGTTAATTGTACATCAAAATTTCGTTTTATTGACAGTTCAATGTTGTATTTATATCATTACTTTTCGATATGTTTCCAGTTTTTCTGCAAGGCCAAAATTTATAGCAGAAAATTGCTCGATATGACGATTCTCGTTACCTTTTGAAACCTTTATAAAAATGAATTGCTATGAAATGCATACCAAAACGGTAACTTGGACTTTCAGTGCTGTTTGCTTTGTTTTGCCCTTGCCAATTTTGTACACTAAATCGATGATTTACTCTCTTTGACGATAGAACAAGGCTTGATCTTGATTGCATCTTGAAAATCTATCTACCTCTAAATGTTTCGTACATTCTCATAGCATAAGGTAAAACTCAAGTTTTAACGTTTATTTCTAATTATTTTGCATTATTTGAAGGCACATGGACGATTTGTATGCATTTCAAATTGTTGTCCACCTATTTATATGGTTGTAAATACTGGAAATTACAAACTAATGAGGCAACTTAATGATTGAATTAATGTCAACCTTAAATTGCGATCAAATGAACATAAAGGTTGCCTTAAATTATAACAAAATGTAGCTATTTCTATGGGTTACAATGTTTATACAACGATTTGATTGCAAGCCAAAACTGATTAATCATAATTAGAATCATAGTTAACAACGAAAACTTCATCTACAATAATATTCAAATTTACAAGATCATTTTAGTACCAACTAATTAGCTTTGACTCGATTTGAAAGATTTCAACTTACTTTAGCCAACAATTAATCATTATTGTGCTTTTAAAGAAGCTCTGAAGAAGATCGTTTGATTCTTTAACGATTGCCGTTACCTTCAAAACGATTTGGTGTCCAATCCAAGAAGTAATATTGCTTTACGCAATTGTCTTGCGATTTAAAGTGAATTTTGTATTCTAACTTGGTATTTTGATCGAACTGACTATCGATTAGCAGATTAGTCTTGACTCAATATTAAAAAACGTACAAACTATTCTAATTGTCTGTCCATTCGCATATCTGAAAGGTAAAACTTGTGTTAAAAGCTGATTACCTGGTTATTTTGCATTATTACTGGGCAAGAAAATTGCAATTGAAGAAGTTTTACCTTCTTTCGTTACCTTTTAAAACAATAACCCAAACAAATTGCTATGCAGTTTAATGTAAGACGGAAAATGACTGCATGCTGCTAAATTTGCCATTCAGCGATAAATTTTCTATACTTGCTCACTAAAAAACTGTGCATACTATTCTTAATTGTTGTTTCTAATTTTCATTGCTATTAACCAAAGCCAACCCTTTGATTTAGATCTTTAACAAACAATTTTCAAATTAGAAATAAACTAGACTCTTTGTTAAAAAAGGTTTAATCAATTTTGATCCCTTGAAAATCAAACAGATCTTCAAAATTGCTTTGTCCATTTGCAGAGGCTGGGAGTTAAAACTCCAAATAAACTCCAATCATTAATTTTTTAAGTTGAAATATTGTACAAGAAAAGGTTAAGATGCACAAAATTTTATGCATTTTCAGCAGAAGACTATTTTGATAATTATTTAGAATTAGTTAGTTCACAATTAGTTAGAATCCAGTAGAAGATTCTCATAGATATTACTTTAAAGCAAAAGCACAGTTCAAGAATAGTTGAAAAGGTAACTTTATAAAGCAAATTTCCAAACAATCGAAGCTATCCTTACGAGAAGTAATTCAACGATTGAATTCACAGTTCGAGATCACTTCCATAATCACAGTTGATTTGTAAACGTTAAACATCCAAACATCATTGTGAATGTTGGCTCAAACCTTTCACACAATTAACTTCACCTAATTAGATTGCTTTTAAAATTTTGATCAAAAACAGTTTCATCTCTAATAAGCATTCCATCAACATGCCAATCATTACACCACTCACAGTTGTAAGGTTAAATCGACGGCAAAAGGCCAAAAGATGTTTATATAAATATCTGAACAAACTGGTTGAATAGAAGAAAAATGATTAATCTTACCTGACTAATGTAATTAATGATAAAAGTAGAAAAAATGTTGACATGATCCATTGAGAATCAATGATATCACTTAACTTGACCATTTTATTATAATAATATTACTTGTTACAGGTAGGATGCTGGTTGATTGACTGTGACTTTTGAAGTTAAAAACAAAATGATAAACAATAGACAATTGTTGCAATTAGGTCGTAAATCAATGGAATCAATTTAATCAAATGATGAATAAATATAGCTTTGTTTTATCTATTAAATATCTTATATAAATAACACTTTCAATATAATATAATACATTTCGCTGACTGTACAGTATATCAACGAGTTTCCCTTGAAATTAGTTTTTAAATCCGTTTTAACCACTAAAGTTGATTGCAAATCACTTTGAACAATTATCACTTATAAAGAGCACAAAGCACATTAAATTAGTTATAGTCAATAGTCGATCCAAGGTTGGACAATTTAAAAACACTGTTAACACTCCATCATCTTTGGTTCAAAGACAATCACTGATCATCAATGGCAATCAATCCGTCAACATTGGAAAACAATTAAAGCTGAATAAGGTTACAATTGCGAGTAAAAAGGTTGTCTAAATGTCGTTTCATTATAAAGTAAAAACGCGTTCAACTTTAAATGATTATTGTGCAAAAATTGGTGGAAAAAAAGTTGAATTTTTAAAGGGAATTACATTGATCAGAATTAATGAGAATCAACATTTTGATATAACAATAATACAAGTATAAAGAGAGCAACTGAATTGGATTGAATCATGATATATTGGAAAGTAACTCTCAATTGGATTTTTTGTGTTCAACTCAAAAAAGTTACTCACAGGATGATGATGATCAGGAATGGATGATAAAAGTTAATAGGAAATGAGTTTGCGTCACAATGAAAGGAAACAAATGGATGAGAGTGATGATGATGAAGATGATGATGAGAGAAAGTATAAAATGATCTTTCTTTTGCGTTCCTTTTAATGAGTCAAATTGAATGTGCACACAAATCAAAGGGATTGTTGTAGTCAAATAATAATCATAATAATAATTTAGTTAGTCTCTGGTTGTCATAACTTATTGTAGAATCTGGATTTTTTTGCTTCTCTTCAAAATTGCTCCAATCATTATGGTGATGAAGTATGGTGAAAGATGGTGAAAGATGAAGATGAGGCAAAACTGTGAATCAATTAAACTGTGAATATTATCGATTTGTCTTAATTTCATACTTTTATCTTCTTGTTTCGCCTGCTTCTTGGAGTCCTTTTGTTTTCACTTTTCAATTGAGTTTTGGGTTTGTTGTTTGATTAAGCTTTGTAAAAGGTATAAACTTTCAGTTATTGATTCATTCCCTGGCTATGTATTTATGTATTAAAAATGCTCTTCACCAAATAAATTATTATAATTTAATAATGTGCTTCAACCATTTCTACCTTTTGTCTGCTTGTTTAAGTGAATGTCTGTTTATAAGTGTATTGCTCTAACCATTTAATCATAATAATAATTTATCAATCTCATCTTGCACTCCATTCAATGTCCGCAAGCTATTTTTACGTTAACCAAATTCAATGTAATAATATTTATCTCTTTATTTTTGTTCACCTGGGCTTGGTTACAGTTTACTTTGACCTTTTTTGGAGTAAAATTGATTAAATTGTGTCTCTTTTTGTCTTCCTTTGATTGCCATCAAGAGACTAGGACTTGATGGGATTAGGTTCATGGCTGAGGATTAGTCTTGCCGGTTAACTGATCAATGGGTCGAGTTACAGGTTCGATTTGTCCAATTTTCGCAATCAAATCAACTTTAAACATTGTACAAGTCATCAGTTGGAAATAAATACAATTTTGTTAGACATTTTCTTGTTCTGCATTTCATTTTGTTTACAGTTTCTTTTGTGTGTTCTTTTGATTGTTGAAGGATTTTTCAATGTTTTTGGATGTTTACTAGTAGCAAATCAACTTTGATATTGAAAGTGATCATGAGTTTTGAGTTTTGTCGTTACATTTAACCTTCTTCAGGCAAGTACAGTTGTACTTGTAAAGGGAGGTTAGATCTGATTGTTTTAAAATTTGCTGCAGTTCAACTGCTCTCAAGTTTGAATTTGAAACGAAAGCTATTAGAAACGATCTGATTCATTACTAAAGTAGTTTTCAAATGCTTTTTCTCATTTTGATACTTTTGGGTCAGTATCAATTCAAAATAAGCAAACAGGAAAACGTTGAACTAGTTGGTTTTGCGGAAAACTAACAAATAATATAAAGTTGTATTAACTTTTGAAATTGCGTTCTCAAATTGCTTCTGAATGATCATAAAACACCTCAATTAATCGAGTTGTTATACAAATTTCGTTGAAATGTGAATGAAACCGCTCAAAGTTAAGTTCTGTCTCTAGACGAAACTTTACAACAAATCGTTACAAAAACAGGCATCAATTTAAACAACTTGTTAATTTGACTGCTCAGACGAAGTAGCCTTGTGATAGTGCAAAACAACCAGACAATCAACTTGAGGTCGATCAAAATATCGAGTTAGAAGACAAAATGCACTGTAAATTGCAAGACAATTGTTAATTTGCCCATCTCTTACCTAGTTATGTAGCAAATAATCAGAGAATGAGCTTTAAACGCACGCTTTACCTTTCAGCAATGCGAATTTAACAATTAACAATAGTTTGCACAGTTTGTTAGGCAGTTAGTATACAAAATTCATCGCTAAATGGCAAATTCAGCAGTATGCAGTCATTTTCCGTCTTGAATTAAACTGCATAGCAATTTGTTTGGGTAATTGTTTTTGAAGGTAACGAAAAACGACGCAAAACTTCTTCATTTGCAATTTTCTTGCTCAGTAATAATGCAAAATAACCAGGAAATCAGCTTTAAACACAAGTTTTACCCTTCAGATATGCGAATGGACAGACAATTAGAATATTTTGTACGTTTTTAATATTAAATCAAGACTAATCTGCTCATCGATAGTCATGTTGTGTGATTCAATGTTCGCGCTCTGTACTGTTGGATTAGGTAGCAACCGGGTTGCTACTGTTAACTGTTGCTAACTGGAAATACTCGGTATTTCCTTTATTCTCATTTATATCCTTTTCTTTAATTTCCTTTATTTTTGATATAAATAGCCTTAATTTGTAATCTTTATTTAAGTGACCTTTGGATAATTAAACTAGTTAGAGTTAATTCAACGTGTGTCCTTCATTGTCATAGATTCTCGGAATCTATCTGTTCAGTATTCTAGGAATACTCATCTTGCCAACTAGGTTGGTGAAACCTTTGTAATACTCGGTATTACTTGTGCTCTTGTGATCTAATTTGATCCTGTGAATAGTCTTGGACTATTACGATTAGAAGTGACTATTTGTTCAGTTCTTAGTTTCAACCCTGTTGAAATATCGAGATAAATACTCAACCCGGTTGAGCCATACTGCTGATCTAGCTTCTAGGAAGCTCAGAGTGTGTTAGAAGAACTTGGAAACCGATAGTTACACAACATTTGGTGGAGATGCCCTTCGTTTTGTGAGATTCTCGTGGTTAAGCTGTGCTTTGCTGTTTGTGCTTTCGTTTTTTGGGAGTTGTTTTGTCTCTGTGTGGGGGGAATTGGTGTTATTGACATCTAGAATTTGGAATTCTATGTTATTGGAGATAACGCTTATCGAATTTATTGCTATCTTGCTGATATTGGTATCCGAATTCTGTTGTTCTGTATTCAGCTTGTTTTGGTTAGAGTGCGATTTCCAATAGAATTCCCGGAATTCTACAATGTCTGATAAAGAGAAAGATGGTTTTCTCGTCCCGCAACAACAACGACAACAACAATCTAAGACAATTACGCCTGAAACGATTGAAGCCCTGAAACACAATAATAATGTATTTCAGAAGTCTTTGGCTAATATGGAGAAGACCCAGCAGGAAACGCAAAAGACTATGGGAGAAGTCTTGACGACTTTACAAGCTCAAGGTACGAATTTAGAAATTCTCATGAAAGATTTGGCTGATGTCAGGAAGACTCAGAATGATCATGTGAATATGATTCACGCTTTGAGAGTTGCTGAAAAGACGAGAAGTGATAAAGAGAAATTGCTTGAGAGCAATAAGTTGCGTGTTCAGGGAACACCAACATCGTCTAAAGAAACAACAGGTTTAGAGGATTCCCTGAATCCTCCGGGAGAATCTGATTCTCAGTTACCTGGTAACAGGAGAATTCATTCCTTCTTGGATGAATTTTCAGCAAACGAGAATGGTGAAAGGACTAGAGGTGCTTTGATGAAGGCAGTGCCTTTGCCTCAATTTCATGGTGAACATGAGAAAGCTGCTAGTTGGTTGAGGAGATACGAGGAAGTTGCTGCTCTGAATTATTGGAATGAAGCAGAACTGATTCGAGGAGTTGGAGCTTCGATGAAAGATGAAGCATCAACTTGGTATTGGTATATTTATCTACCTAAGACTGCTGGAAAAGGTCAATCGTGGATGCAGTTTAAACAATTGTTTCTAGCTACCTATGTTAAGGACGAGGATAGGCATGCGATATATCAAAAGTTGATGAACCGGGTTCATCTCAAGACTGAGAGATTATCTGCCTATTGGCATTCTGTCTTAGCATTATGTATGGACTTTAATCCAGACATGACGGAGAGTGAAATTATTACTCATACGCTGAGATCATCCTTGATTGGTCGTAGAACTTTAGAAGTTCTCGAACATTTGATTTCAGTCAATGACGCTATCATTGAAAAGGGTAAAAAGGTTGACTCAAAGTCAAATGAGTCAAAACCTAGCCAAAAGAGTAAAGATGCTAAAGAAGAAAAGCAGCATGACAAAGGGAACAAAGTGTTCAAAAGAAGAGACCCGACTAACGTTGTATGTTACAACTGTATGAAGTCTGGACACTTTATGAAACATTGTCCTGAGGTATATGATGCTGCGAAGGTGAAAGCTAATTCACAACAATTGAAGAACCAACGAAGTGCTGCAGTTGTGAACTCAGCTAATGTTGGAGATGTTCGAGGAACATCAGATGCTCAGAGAGCGTCAACTTCTAATGTTCAGGGAACATTAGGAAATGCTATGGATGTTCCAGGAACATCAAGTGCTCAGGGAGTACGGAATGAGGATGAATCGTTAAGAAGTTTCAGAGACGATTGGCAGATGATAACCAGTGAGATTGGTATACACTCGTCAGATTTACCCTTAACGTTGGATTCATTTCTCGAAAATGTTTCATTGCCAACATTGCCAATTGAAATAAATGGAATCAGAAGTAGAGCATTAGTGGACACAGGAGCTCGAGTGTCACTAATCAGCGATTCATTTAGGGTTCGATGTGGTTTAGATTTGAAGGCATGGAGTTTTGGTGCTTTGACAATGGCGAACACAAATGTGGATGTTCCTCATGGATGGACTGAATGCAAATTGGTTGCTGATTTCCATGTCATACCAATTCGATTTATTGTGTTGAAAAAGTTAACCCAAGATGTGTTGTTGGGAAGTGACTTTTGCACTCGTCATAACGTTATGATAACGTATGGAAACAAAAGTGTGAGATTGATTAAACCTCATCGAGATGTCGTGAAGACAAGGAGATTAATCAATTCTGTTGTGAGTTCCCGGAACTCAAATGTTGGAAGCAACTCGGTTGTTTCTGCTGCTGTTGTTGATCTTGCTGAATTTGAAGATGTTTTTAGCAGATCGCCTGGAGATGTTGGTTGCATCCCGGATGCAGTTCACTCGATTGATACAGGTAATCATCCGCCGATTTACCAGAA